GCCACGAACACCCGCGCCAGCTATGGCCAACGCGTTGAAGGTGGTGCCCGTGGTGGTGCGTGTTTCACTGCCCGCCGGCGCCTCCTCGCTGCTTGTTCTTACTATGGGAGCGAGGCCCCCTCTTTTTCGCTATAATTTGCGGACGACCCTCGCGGGCCTCCGCGTTCCTTTGCTTGTTCTTGTTGTTCGCCATAGTTCAGACACAAAGCCACGAACGGGACAGAGAGACAGAAGAGAAGAAAAAACCCGCGGACACCCGCGCCAGCTATGGCCAACGCGTTGAAGATGGCGCCCGTGGTGGTGCGTGTTTAACTGCCCGCCGGCGCCTCCTGGTTGCTCACTCTTGTCACCATCTTGGGAACACGGCCCCCCCTTTTTCGCTATAATTTGCAGACGACCCTCGCGGGCCTCCGCTCTGTTTCCTTTGTTCTTGTTGTTCGCTATGGTCCGGACCCAAGGCCACGAACGGGACAAAGAGGGAGAAAAGGAGAAAAAAGCCACGAACACCCGCGCCAGCTGTGGCCAACGCGTTGAAGATGGTGCCCGTGGCGGTGCGTGTTTCACTGCCCGCCGGCGCCTCTTGTTTGCTCGTTCTTACTATGGGAACGGGGCCCCCTTTTTTTCGCTATAATTTGCGGACGACCCTCGCGGGCCTCCGTTTTGCTTTGTTCTTGTTGTTCGCTAGAGTCCGGACACAAGGCCACGAACGGGACAAAGAGACGGAAGAGAAGAAAAAAACCGCGGACACCGGTGCCAGTGCTGCCACCTTCCTCTTGTATATAAAATCACCGCGCCCCCGCTCCCCTTTCCCGCGACGCGGAGGGGAGTGCGCGCCCCCCGGGCGCCCGTTTCACCTTGTGAAACCATTCACCCCCGCCCACGTCCCTAAAGTATCCCTTTCCCTTCCTTAACGTCTCCCGGGGCACCCGGGCCCGGGGAGTTTAATTCTTTGAGATAATAAAAATTGAAAATCAGGAGTACGACTGCGAGTACTTAGACTAGGCAATTATGACAAGAAGAAGTGGTAAAAAAGTATGATGTCAGTCCATAACCAGAGTCGTGGTCTTCTTTTCCAGATCCTCGATACTTTTTCCCTGCTCCTTCACTCCGTTTTAGATGGACCCGATCTCATTCAAGTTCATGATCCAGTCTTCACGATTCCCAGGTACTTCTACACAAACTAATATAATACAGCCGACGTTATTCAAGTTCTACGATCTTCTAAATCGATCACACACAACTTAGTCAAGTTCATGATCTAGCTCATCTAAATCGATCCCAAGCGCTAATTCGCAACGAGGAGGAGCTCATAATTCTTCGCAGTGTTTTCCGGAAGGTCTTCGTCAGCACCTTCTTGTACAGATGACTCTTCACCAGCACAAGAATCACATTTTTTGTCTAGAAAACTCGTGGAGGTGTCTGCTGTGCCTGCTGTGCTTGCGGTTACGGCGGATGCAGTGGAAGCGGTAGAGGCGCCGGAAGTAGGAGCAGAAGTGCCTGTAGTAAAACAAAGCAATTAATAGTCAATGTTGGAAAGAACGTCCTCGGCGAGTTGTAATTCTTTTCGTGGAAGGAGGTTGTGGTTGGTTGAGTTGTTTTGTGACAGTGAGGAGTTCTAGAAAAGTGAAAGGAAGCTCATTCTATACGATAGACATTCGCATGTACATTGCGTTTGCAGGAAAACGAAGAAAATTTTATTCTCAGAAGAATAAATTCCAAACTGAAACTTTCAGAGTCAGAGATGAAAGAGATTTTACCATTATTTTGACTCAGGTTGTGCTCCATCGCATCATTTTTCGCAAAAAACTGGTTTTTCTGTAGAGGCTCGTCGTCGTCGACATCATAAGGCATAAAGTCACCACTTCATGGGTTAGAGCGGGAAGTACAGGTAGGGTTCATTTTCATGCTGAATTATGACCATAATAGCCGACTACAACTTCAGAAGTGCATCAGTCTTAGTCGTGGAAGAATAATATATGGGTGGCGCCAAACTAACTAGGAAAAGAAAAAGGAAGCATAGTGGGTGAAGGATAGAAAAGAATAATTTATATAAAGAAGCCCAAACTTATCATGGTTATGATGGACGTCTCCACCTTACGGTAAGGTTGAGATGTCCATAAGGTCCCTAACGGACAAAGGTCTCTATGATTGGCATCGGCTTTATCTTCTGTTTCTCAAAGAGTATGAGCAGCCGTTCATAACATCACCAGGACAAGGATAAACTGTACGCATTCTGCCTTCCACCATAGTTCTTCCTCCTGAACCATGGCCGCCCAGGAAATCCGCGCCCAAAAGGTACGTGAAAGTGAAAGTCACGAACCAGAGCATCCACATTCGGGATTAGAAGTGGTCGGATAGCATGATGGAGTAAGCAGATGTCGAAGTCGACGAACTTTGTTTATGTCGATTTTTGGGACTGTTTCGGAACCAAGTCTAGATCTAGAACCTTAAAGGTCTCGACTCTATTCTAAGGGGCGGCCTGACGTTAGTCGATTCGGATTGGGCACACGACTTCCCTAAGTCTCTTCTGTGTTCTACGAATTTCCCTGATGTTGAAGCTGTGAAGGTGGTCCGATGTTTTTAAGTATTTAAAAGTATAAGGGAGTTGAAGACATCACACTTTCGTATTTCATTCTGATCATAAGAAGCATGCTCCAGCAAGCAACAGCTCCTTAGTGCCTTGAACAGGCCAGACTTGCTCCCGGACATCTTTTTTGCTTTTCACCAAATTATAACGGTCAGGAGTAGGTGAGGCGTTTTGCTTATTTATTGAAGACGTTCTCTTCTTCTCTTTAGATCTACAGAGGAGATCAGACCACATTCACGAGAGAAAGTCTTATTTCGATGACATGGACGAGTAAGCTAATGAGACCTTCATATGCGACATTTAATGTTGGATCATGTTGGTATGTGTTTGAGTTCTCGGGTGTCCTATTTTCGGGGGTCAAATCGGGTGTCATATTTTTCGCAGGTTGCTTGTGGGTAGTTGTGCGTACAATGGTGCCTGTATCTGTTGTCTTGTACCGATACCGAATGTTGACGGGTACTGCAATTCATGCGTGCAACCGAACATTTACGCGCATCTACTAGTACTACACGATGAGAATTTCTTGAGAACCGAGAATGGAATGAATACATTCCAGAGTTAATGCGATCTGCGTTTTTTGGAATTGAGAACAACAACTATTGGTCTTCTCGATAACGCCAGTGGGAGAGTCGTTGGCTGTCCTGTTGTGTTGAGCCTCTTCTAATAATCGAAATGATCATGAAATATTAGTCATAGTGTTCTTGTTGTACAATTTCCGACTTGCAGCTTTTGTTCTCATCGCGCAAAGAAAACAATTATGAAGTCGAATCTACTAGGAAAAAGCAATTGTTAGCTTTAGAACTCCTAGTTCTAGTACAGAGTGAAGAAGACGACCTTTGCGTTGACCTGCTCTATTTCTTTCGAACAGAAAAGTAGGCACTTCCACTTGTAGAAATAGAGAGTCACTTGTGACGAGTCGTGAAGATTTGAGATGCTCTCCTTGTTGCGTCGTCGGTGATCGTCAGTCAGTCGTGGTATGTACCTGCTGAAAATCAACACAATTCTATCAAAAAGTATGTCCTCGTGCGTCTTCTATTCGACGTAGATGTATGGAATAAATCAAATGTCCTCTGCTCATGATGTCAATGTCATCTCTGTCGTAAATAAATAAGTTCTTCGACTAAGTAGACAGAGAGACAGATATGTGCTTCACAAATGGTAAAAAATTCTTAAGTCCTCGTGGTGACATACGACCTGTAGACCAAGATCGTGAGAGACGACCTGTAGCGCCAGCTGCTTTTTGAAAATGGTAATTCTCTCTTTGTCGTGATACGTCATAGTAGCTTGCTTTGGTTTGGTTTTGGTAAATGTATAAGATGTACTCGCTTGCTTCTGAAAATAGTTAAGATAACTTCGACAACATAAATTCACGCCACGCTTCTAGCCCCCCTCCACGCCGCGCTTTGTGCAGCAGTCTGCTGCCTCCACTTGTGCTCCATTTTTTCACAAGATTAGAAGTGGAAGTATGCAATATGGCTGTAGTTGTAGAATTCTCAGAAGAAAAAATCGCATGGATCATGCTCATGGATTATGATTATCTTCACCTTCCTCACGCCAAAAGTGAGATCACAGGTAAGAAACTGAGCGGAGATGTAATATCTGCGTTTGCTAGCACTCAGCCATTTACATTTTCAATACTTTCCATAAGTTGTTGTGTTGTTGTAGCCCTTCTGCATGACGTGGTCACCCATACCTCCACTTATTTTTCTAAGACGCGTCTATCTTTCTAAGACGCGTCGATTTAAGCGGCAATGGAGTCGCTCTGATCGGTGCCACTCTCCTTCAACCACTTGGCGAACTCCAAGGCGACGCCCATGGCCATACCTTGTTGATGCAAAAGAAATTTGTTCCCTAGTACCAGAAACTCAACTCAAAAAAAATCATACAACTGAGAAAAAGTTGCCCTCGTGGTACTAGAAAAAACAAAAAGGTTAAGGTTTTTAAGGGTCGATGTTGTTGCACTATTTCTACTAGAACTATTGTAATTGTTAAACCAAGCAATGAAGTATCAGTCAATACTCTGCGGGCACCCTGCACCCTTATCGTATTCTGCGGTGACGATGCAAGCGCGTCCCTTGAGGTCTCCATCGGTGGCGACTACCATGTGTCCTTTCTCACCCTTCGTTGCGGCATTCATCCAGATAAAGTTGTACTCGTTATTCTGTCCCGTCTCAAATCCTTTCTTGGTTACGGTGTGCCTGGGGGGAAAGTGATGTTGTAATTGGATCCACTTCAAAGACAACTTCTTAGGTGTACTTGGTGTAAGAGGCATATGGTTGTACTTGCTGTAGTGAATGGCGCTGGTGTTAGTATTTGGTAACCTGGATTGGATCGTAAGGGAAAACAAGAAGAGAACCCTTATGATCAAATTCAGGCTATACCAAATACCAGAACCATACAGAGGGGTGGGGTCGGTGTGCAGGTGGTGGTTGTAAAAGTAATGAAAGTGTGAGTGAGGACCCGGACAAGGTGTTTCCTCTAAATCCAAGAAGCAGTCTAGGTTATCTCTCCTTGGATCCAAGAAGTTGTCTTCTGGTATCTCCTAAGAAGTTGTGCTTGGATCCACTTCAAAGACAACTTCTTAGGTTCTTTCTTCTGGCATCACCTAAGAAGTTGTCTCTGAAGTGGACAGATTCATTGATTGATTGATTGATTGATATGCATCCTAAAGTACTTCTTCCCCGCGATCCAAACGCCATTTGGCAAGGGTCCCTTCGCTAAATCGTGCAGCAACGCATCTACTATCGTTTGAAACTCGCAGATCCATATCTGTCAAACGATGGTGTGGGAATTTCACTTTGCTTCAAAGTGATCGGTGAATTGCTTTGTCTTCAAATTGATCATGTCTTAGTCTTTGAGGCAAGCAAAAATAAACTACACATCAGGAAAGGAAAGGATAGTCCTCAACAAAAAACAACCACAACAGGTGGAGAAAAGGTTGTACCCCCTTCTCCGACATATCATCCTGCATAATCATCTTTTCGCCATCTTCACCATACACATGGCTCCATGCCACATCTGTATCGACGCCGGCGTCTGCGTCGCTTGGTCGGCATGATGCTCCCCACCAGGTCGTTCCGGCTGGGACCTAAGTTCTTTTGGATGGTTGAAAATGTTCGGACATCTTCACACGACTTTTCACAATTCATGTTGAGAGTGAGAGTCGACGTCGTCATCGCTGATTTTGATCTAATTACGACTACTAGTTGGACTACGTGAATGGTTCTGGTATTTGGTAGCCTCATTTGGATCATGAGGAAAACAAGAAGAGAATCCTACTTGTGATCAAATTCAGGTTATACCAAATACCAGAACCATTCACTACGTCGAGTGATAAAATAGTGAAAGTCCTTAGCCTTACTAATTACAACTACTCGTAGTTGTACTACGTCGAAAAAAAAATATAATAGAAAATAAAAGGGTCCCTTTTTACCTGTTGTGCCATGCTGAAATCCTTGCCGCCGATTGCTGCACTGAGGCAGTAGTTAATACTGTTGTTCGCGTAGGTCGCATTCTCCTCACTGGGATTGACCATGTAGTCCATCAACAACTGTGCCCACTGCGACATCTTTTAGGAATCTTTTTGGTGGATCAAAGTCGGAATTCTTTTCCGGAACGAGTAGAAGTTGAAGTAGAATCGGGACGAGGGTCTAGAAAAAATGAATTATGAGGCGACGTTGAAGTAGGGTCGGAACGAGGGTCTAGAAAAAATGTAAATGAATTATGAGGCAGTTGTTGATCTTGATCCTACAACTATGAGTATGAAATAAACAGATCACTGTTGCAAATCGATGGAAAACAAAGGGCTGCTTTGAACTCTTTTGGGGATGACGTTCTCTAGCTAGAAAAAGTGGTGAGTTTGGTTTAAGGTTTACGTTTAGCTACCTAGAAGAAGTGGTGAGTTTGGTTTAAGGCTTACGTCTAGGCTTAAGGTTTACGTTTAGCTGCCTAGAAAAAGTGGTGAGGGAGGCACGAGCCCGTGCTACTATATATAATGTACAGAAATGCTGATTCAAAGTGGCTGCTGTTTTTTCATCGATAGAATGTGTTGCAGGTAGAATGAAACGCAAACGACGTCGCCGTTCGCAATGGGTAGAATCGCAATAATGGATACAATGAAAAGTCAAAATGAGGAATTTGATGCCTGGTTCTTACTTTCATCTTTTTGTCCCCTCTTGAATGTTAATTGAGATTTGCACAGAGGGAGCTTCCATTCCGAGCACAAGCAGCTCTACTTAGAATTTTTTGTTTCATCATTCAGTGTCAGAGCACCATCACTCCTCTGCATTCATTCTTCTTCTTTCTGTTGATGTTTGCCTTGGGTGATTGAAGACTTTTGCCATGGCACGAACAGCACTGTCGAAATACCATTCAAGAATGCAGCCCCATTGTGCACATAATTTCTTCTTGATGTGCAATCTTTATCTTTCTTAAGCGTCCTCTTTGATGACGAGGACGGCAAGTCGTCAGAATAAGAATGAGGAAAATGTCAGTTGAGAGCGACAAACGAGCCAACAGGGCGTCATATTTTGAGATTGCAGTACTGCTAGAAAGAGGAAGTCGAAGAACCGAGCGCAGCTAACAACTCTACATCTTCAATGAAGAACCAAACTATAGAACCAACCTCAGCGCGCCTCTCAACCGACCTTCAAAAAATTTCCGAACAAAAAAATTCTGTGATGAGAGTCTCTGTGTGGCGCACATTTTGCCTAGTGGCGCGGTTGCTACATGAATCTCGGCTCCATGACGCACACGGGGAGCGTTGCTTCCAGAAGTTCTAGAAGATGGAGGTGTTGTAATCGATGGAGAAGTGGGACTCTTCATACTTGGAGCAGTGGTTGTTGCCTCACTTTGGCTACCACTTGGTGGAGTTCTTAGACTCTCCATACTTGTCATGTATGGGCCTCTGATGACACTCTCTATACTTGGAGTTGGAGTGGTTCCCTTACTTAAAGCTCAGCATTCAATGGTCACTGATGCTGAACGGAAGAGACTCCCTTCAAAGCTCTCCCCTTTCCCTTCCTTTTCCCCTGTTCTCTAATAAAGGGGTCGCTTCTTCGATCTCAGTGACCAACCCCAATGACCATTGAAAGCTGAGCCTTAACTTACTGCCTCCTGTTAGATCAAATCTACTTCTCGTTTCGCAATGTAGCGTCCTCAACTCACGCAACAAACCGTCCACGTGCAGTTCACCCACCACTGCAACACACGTTCTGCTGGGCTCTCGTCGCTCGTTTAGTAGCTTTCTCGCCATGTACGCGTCTCGGTTGGGGATTAGAGGTCCTCATACGCAACCTCCAAACCACAGAAGTACCCAACCTCCTGTCTTTCATCGAAATCTCCCTCCAAACCACAGAAGTACCTCACACGCTTGCAACCACCCCAACCTCCTGTCTTTCATCGAAATCTCCAAGTGAAGTCCTCCAAGTGATAAGTCCTCCAAACCACAGTACCTGAGCAACTAAACTTGTGCGGTCCCTACCTAGGAAAAAACCATAACAGAAGTAACCATACCTGAATAACAACCTTCTCTAGCACCTGATTTTCCCATCTCATAACTGAATAACGATCTTCTCCAAGCTCTGCTCCATCTCCTCGGAGGTGTATCTCAGCTTCTTCAGCATCAGTTCGACCTTGTGCCAAGTATCGAAGTTGTGCGGTGGGATCGGTATCGAGGCTACAAATTCCTGCCAGCATGCTGGGATTTCTGCTGCTTTTGCCAGCTCGGTCCACGTTTTGGTCACTCCTCCTCTTGCGAGGTGGTTCTTGTCGGTGTTCTTGTTTCTGGGCGAAGGTGTTCCTGTTGATGTTGTACTGGTCGACGGTGTTGTACTCGTTCTTGGTGGAGTCGTAGTCGTCTCTGTAGTCCTAGATGAAGAAGATCCTGACCTAAAAGCACGATCCTGAACTTCTAGACGACGTTCCTTTTCATCCGTGATGCTCTTCCGTTCCTGAAAAGAAGAACCTCCTGAACAACTGCTACTCGAGGCAGATGTACTGCTCGTTCTTGAATCTTGATCTTCTTGCAGAGCGCTGCCTTCTTCTCTCTCAACACTTCTTGGACCTCCTTCTCCTTTTCCTATTCGTTCTCCTATTCGTTCACCTCCAGCGTCTTCACCGTCTTCACCTGGTTGTAAAATACATCCAATCCCCGCTTTTCGTAATCGAACGTCTTTCTCCCATTGCATATGAAGTTTGTAGACGGTGTAAGGCCACAGCAAGGGTTGCCAGAAGAGTTGCGTCTTCAGTGCGTCGAAGGGTATGTCATCGGCAAGCTGAGCGAAAGTCTCCTGGAATGTCCGAGATATGAAAGTGTGTGTGTGTTTGATGCTCCTACCTACTGTTGATGATGAATGATTCATTGGGCGACGTCCTTATAATACATATCTGTAGAAGAGGTGCTTCTACATACGGTGATGATGATCCTGATTGCGTCTGAGGGACGCGTTCCAGACAGTAGCACTCAGACCAAATTATCAACGTGAGATCGCCATATGATCCATCAAAAGCACTGGCTTCCCTAATCGAAATTTGCTGTACCACGCTGCTGCAGCCATGTCCTGGCCTTGCGATAACGTTTCTATCCTTGATGGAATTAGAAGACTTCAGCAGGATATGTGCAGGATATGTGCAGCCGATTAATGGGCTGACTCTAAGGACTGCATTAGGAAGATTGCGTTTCTACGACCAAGGTGGTGCATCGCCCGTATACAAATTCTTTTGGTCGATGAAGGAACAAGATTATTGCGTTTCTACGACTGCGGTGCTGGTCCCTCGCCCGTACACAAAATCTTTTGGTCGAGCAGGAAGGAACAAGATTATTTGATGAGCCAGGTCCACACAGAAACATCGACGACTGTCTGGTCGTCACTAGTTCATCTAGTCCTGACAGCCCTCATAAAAACAGCCGATCCTCATATCGATGACTCAAGTGCTCTCCCCATGCTCCTGCCGCGAACAAGTCTGCGAACCGGTCAGCACAGAGCTCCAACGCAATTTCCTCAGCGTGCAGGTCTTTCAAATGTTGTAATATGTCCATGTGCGTTGTTTCAACGTGTGAAGTTCCCAAAATGAACAACCCAGGTTCGACCTCCTCAATCCTGCATCCGCCTGTACTCGATTTGCTACGGATTCTTTCTCGCTCTTCCGTCGCAGCCTGATGAGCAAGATACTCGGCAGGAACGGATATTGAGGACATGGTTTTCTCTCTATTCACGCTGATGTACACGCTCGCTGAGGATACTCGGCGGGAACGGATATTGAGGACATGGTTTTCTCTCTATTCACGCTGATGTACACGCTCGCTGAGGATACTCGGCGGGAACGGATATTGAGGACATGGTTTTCTCTCTATTCACGCTGATGTACACGCTCGCTGAGGATACTCGGCGGGAACGGATATTGAGGACATGGTTTTCTCTCTATTCACGCTGATGTATGTACACGCTCGCTGAGAAAAAATTCACCCTCTTAACAACTCGGGCATTCATTCATTCATTCACGCTGCCACTAGCATCTCTAGTAGCAACATTCTACGGAGCTAGAATAATCTGTCTTATCATGATGAATTTTCTCCTTCAGCCTTATGAATTTTCTGTTTCACCCTGGTGCTCTGGAGCGCTGGATCGGTTAGCCTTATGAATTTTCTGCTGCCAACCGATCCAGCGCTCCAGAGCACCATAAATAACAAATGGCTCTTAGATTCCACGACCAACTTCTGCTCCTAGTACATTCGTGCCTCCTCACCTAGTACATTCGTGGTTCTTACTGCCTCGCACACCAAAGATAGTCCGCACCATAAATAGTTCGCCGGCAGTCTTTCTTTTCGTTGTACTTGCTCACTGTGCCCTAACGCGCATTGATTTGCTTGATAAAAACACGTAGCGTTGAATCCATAATGCCAACGCAAATACCTCGCAACATGAATCCAAATCACTTGTTCCTCAATCCATGTCCACTAGATGGAACGCAGTAGTACTCCCCAAACTACAGCTCGGAAAAATGGTTCATTCTTGCGTGCGTGAGATAGTTCATTCTTGCGTGTGTGTTGCAGCGAGCCAGATGAAAATGAAATAGACATAGCCGTAGAAGGACCGAATCATAAGGTAGAGAGCAACTAGTTACAAATCTTGGTTTGAAAATGAGAAAAAAACTGAACGAAGATATCTGTCCAACCGTGGACTCCACCACGCACCCGGCAGAAAAGCTGAGAGTTTCCGTAGACTTGTTCTTCTGTAGAAGAAATAAGCGTATATATTACGACAAAGTAGCTCAAGAACAAAATTTCTAGTCTTCAGAGGTACTCGTGCTGTAGAATTTTCAATTAATCCATAGTAGTTGGATGCGAAGAAATCGTTTCACGATTATTGCCGATCATGCTTCTATTTGTTCGAGGAAAATGAAGTCTTAGCTCCATATCCTTTTTTTTTCCATATCCCTTTTCGGATTTTTAAACCCCCCTTCCTCTTCTTTCCGCTGCTGCATAGGCAGCGCTGATCACTCCTGCACTACGTTATGAACGGCGTCTATGTATTCCCTCTAGGCAGACCATCTTCACGGCTATCCCTTTCTTCCCCTTATAAATTAAAAACGTAGTACAACCAACTAAGGGCTTAAAAACGTATCTATAGTCCTAACAGGGGGAGCCTCGATGGTCTGATCACTAGAGGAAAAAACATCATCGTCCATACACTTCGTTCCTGCAGCATCATCTTCTCCAGCCTCTCCTGCTTCAACGCCAACTCCATATCAGCCTCTCGCGTCCTAGCCTCTGCCAACTCCAGGTCCCGTTCCACGCTCCTCACCTGCGAGGCACACTCCTTGCGCGTTTCCTCAACTGCCTTGTTCACCTCCGCTCGCAGTCCCTCCACTGCTCCACGGTTGTTGCTCACGTCTCGCTCTAGATCAGCCACTGCTCGCTGCATGTTGACGACTTGTTGTTGAGAAGAAGCAGCTCCTCCTCTCAAATCTAGCTGATTCTGCACACCCACAGCGATTTGGTCTTTGATATCTCGTGAAGATTGTTGTGACACGTCTCGGATTTGCCTGGCCACATCCACCTGCAGCTCCACCAAGTCTTGCCTACTTGGCACTTGTTGTTGTATGCGCGTCTCGAACAGAGTTCTCACATGGTCTGCCAGAGCTGGGTCGTCGAGGAAAGAGTCTAGGAGCATGTTGCGCAGTGATGAAGTTGTGCCATTGGAAGGTCTCGAGTGTGTTCCTGACGTTCTGGTCGCTAGAACGCCTCCTGAGGATCTCCTACCACCGCTAGAGGATGAAGATGAAGATCCTCTACCTGCCGTCGTACCACCGTCTTCTCCCACGAGTTCCGTCATAAAGTCTTGGCTCATCTGATCCACTGTCCGCTCAATGTACTCGAAGGCTTCTGTGCGTACCAAGTCCAGTTCCTGTTCTGTAGCCTCTGCGAGAACGCGGAGTTCGTTTTCTAGCTGTTCGACCACTGCCCTGAACTCTTTTTTCGATAGGGGCAAAGTTCCCTCCACCTCAGAATTTCGAGTCGCAGCGACCAGCTGTGCCCACTCGGCGGATTGCTGGGACAGGTTGCCAACTGCGCTGGACAGGGAGCGACGGGTTGTTTTCAAGCCACCCGCGTCGACACTAGTTCTGGTTATTGAAGATGATACAGCATTCTTCTTCTGTCTGCTAACGGGTGACATGGTTTCGGTGAACTTGTTGAGGTCGCCGAGCTTGAGCATAACCTCGCCATGGCGGCGCTCTTGAGTATCGAGTCGACGGTCGATGTCTGACAATTGGATATAAATATTTTCTGAGTGAAAAATTTAGGATTCGGACTGTTGTTTCTCGTTCTCGTTGGTCCCCCCCAATGAACTTGAATTTCTCGTCTATGATTACTTCAAGAACAGACAACAAAAAAACGGATGTGTCAAAACGTCAGCTGTAAAAAACCTCTCCTCAGCTCGTTCATTTTCATATCCAGGGTCACGCTGTCAACTCCGCCCAAGCCTCCACTTCCCGCCATCATCGCCCCACTCGATGATGTGGTTGCTTGCAGTTTGTCTGCTTGGTATTTCTCCAACTTGCCCTCCACATCTCGCCAGTGACCTGCTTGGTCCCGGAAGCTCTCGTCTAACTCCATAAACCACTTTCGCATCTTCTCCACTTGTGATTTCAGCTGTTCACTTTCGCCAGTGTTCAAGAGGATTTGCCGATTAGAAATGCGGGATGATGTGCAAGTTCGGCAAGGCGAAGGAGTATGCAGTGGGGGTTTCAGGAGGATTTGGGGTTTAGAAATGGGGGATGACGTGGAAGTTCGGCAAGGCGAAGGAGTGTGCGGCAAGGCGAAGGATTATGATGCAGTGGGGCGCTTGCGCAGGAGTAAGGGCATTTGCAAGTCGTGGTGTTGATGAAGCTGTCACACCAAGATGTCACACCGAGATGTTATGATACCCATGAAAGCGGTTGTCACGTCCTTCAAAGATGCGACTTACTTGATTATGATTTCGTCATTTTGTTTATCATAACACTCGACAACTGCTGCTTCAGGCTTCCAAACGCCTTCGCGCTGTCCAGCACTTGAAATTTCACTTGTTCCAGCACCTCAGCGTTCTGGTAGACTGTCTGCGTCAGTTGTTGAATACTAGCTTGGTTCTGGTGTGGTAGTACAGCTGCTTCCTCCTTCTCCCGAGTGGCGAGAAGATTGAACATCTTGCTCTCAAAGTCTTTCTGGTAGGTGTCGAACCTGTCGATGAAATCGGTGCGCAAAGAAGTGATTTCGGAAGGAAGTTTTTCGTCTCTGGTGAAATTGATTTGGTCTAGTTGGGCTTGGAGTCGGGTACTGTGGTCGGACTGAAGCTCAGAAAGCTTGTCGCAGAGCCTGTGTTGGGGCGGGTGTTGAGAGAGCAGGTTTCTGCCGGCGCAGGTAGGGAATATCATGTTAGTGAGAATCAGCAGCATGATAAGAAGGAAGCAGCATCAAAGAAGAACAACAAGAGCCATAGTAGAAATTTCGATACTCCTTTCCCATGTCGCGGCTTTCCTTCTCGCATACGCGTAGGCCATCAAAGGCAGATCTTCGAGTCTCGGCTAAGGCCTCCACAGTTTCTTTACGGTTGCGGTCAACTGTTTGGTCGAGACTTTGGAGGAGGTGGTCTTGGCTTAGACGAGAAATTTTCGAATCTTTACCATGAAATACTCATTCTCAGCGAAGACAAAACTACTAATCGAATAGACAAGAACAAGTACATCAACGACGTACTACTACTATGTTTTCACAACTCTCGCCTGATTCCGACAGAATGAGTCCTCGGTCCCCATCATAACAAGTCCTTCTCCTTCAGCGCTCTGTCAGCTTCGGACTTTTGGTGTTCCTTCTGTAATGGAACCACGTTTGCAACTAGAAACTCCTGCAGCTTCATGGATATTAGCTGAGATATCTCGTCTTTGGCGTTCTTCAGGTTTTCGTGGAGCATCTGGATTGCAGTGAGAAGGCCTCTTTTGGAGTACAGGAGAAGCTTCTTGAAGGACTTGACCGTGAGAGGTTGGCGAGGCTGAGCTGAGAGGATCGCATGCAAAGACAAGGATATCAAAATCATCAGACTGGGGCGGTCACAAAGTTGTTCTCAAGATTCGCTTCTGAAAGCGAATTCAGAAGGTGTCCCAAGTGATCCAATCATCATGATAGTATGGAGAAAATCGTTTTGATCTTGCCAACAAGTGAAAAAATATTACTGTGTCAGACTGGGGCGGTCACAAAGTTGTTCTCAAGATTCGCTTCTGAAAGCGAATTCAGAAGGTGTCCCAAGTGATCCAATCATCATGATAGTATGGAGAAAATCGTCATGATCTTGCCAACAAGTGAAAAAATATTACTGTGTCAGACTGGGGCGGTCACAAAATTGTTCTCAAGATTCGCTTCTGAAAGCGAATTCAGAAGGTGTCCCAAGTGATCCAATCATCATGATAGTATGGAGAAAATCGCCATGATCTTGCCAACAAGTGAAAAAATATTACTGTGTCAGACTGGGGCGGTCACAAAATTGTTCTCAGGATTCGCTTCTGAAAGCGAATTCAGAAGGTGTCCCAAGTGATCCAATCATCATGATAGTATGGAGAAAATCGCCATGATCTTGCCAAAGGTGAAAAAGTATTACTGTGTCAGACTGAAGGCGGTCACAAAGTTGTTCTCAAGATTCGCTTTTGAAAGCGAATTCAGAAGGTGTCCCAAGTGATCCAATCATCATGATAGTATAGAGAAAATGATCATGAGCTTGCAAAGTGAAAACATAGCTGTGTCAGACTGGGGCGGTCACAAAGTTGTTCTCAAGATTCGCTTCTGAAAGCGAATTCAGAAGGTGTCCCAAGTGATCCAATCATCATGACAGTATGCATATTTGGCACGAACACTAAAAAGATAGCAAAAGCAAAAGCAGCTTGAACTTACCTGTTCCCAATGTTCGCCTTGATTCGCTATCTTATCCTCTAATTTGACGCTTGTCGCCTTCAAACTTCCACTCAAGTTTTGGATATTTTCGACGATCTTCAGTTCCCCAAGCTCTCTTAAAAGAGCCTTTTGTACGCGTTCCTGCGTAGATTCGTCCGAGGCAAAATCGTCAACTTTACCGCTCAGGGCAGTGACTTGATAAGCGTGCTCCTGCAGTTGGACACCTGAGGAAGACCTTTGTGGCTCCTTTGATGAGTGCGACTGAGGTGAATGACATCATCGTTTTAAATTTGTTGTGTGAAAAAAATCTCCACCACGATCAAGTGATGAAATTCTACGTTGTCCCTGCTCCATGCTGGCAAGTTTCTCCAGGACTTGCTCCTTCAGATTCAGCGCTTCTTTCTCTAAATGGCCAATCTTGTCCCAGCACAGCTCCCTAAAAGTCCGATTCTGATCTTCTAAAAAGACCAAGCGTTCGTTGATAACGGCAACTCGCTTCGCGTCTTGCTCGAGAGAATTGCGGAGAAACCTAGTGGTTTGCTCTTGTTGGATTTGGGTGAGACTGAGAGGAAGTAGATGCTCTGAAAATCGTTCAATGGCAAAGCTAGGATCCTAAATTCTTTTCATAAATGGCACTGAGAAGATTGTCAATGCAGATTATCTCTCCACCGAACAAGGTTAAGCGATGGAGAGATCTTCGCTGATTGAGTGTATTCTGGCAGACGTAAGTTGAGTTTGCGTGATATGGTAGAATCACGGCCTCAGGCAACATCTGCGGAAAGTTTCATGATCCTGTGATTTTCTTTGTGATCTATAGCACGAGTTTGGATCTATCACTATCAGTAAGTTCTCACATTCTACTAGATCTCAAAGGGTACGAGATAGAACTGAACGCGAAGCACGGTAACAAATCTTCTACGCGAGTGAGTAACTGCAAACCAAATACGCCAAATCCGTGCTATTTTCCATGACTTTTGGTACTGGCACAGGACTAAAGTGCCCTCGTCCTGGCGGCCCATTGAGGTAGTTGTGCACAACCTGCTTCGGCGTCCGATTCCCTTCTCGACTGACATATGAGCTGTTCAGCCCTCCACTCCCAGCTAAATTCGGACCATATGGCCCTCCTCCGCCTCCACCTGCTCCGCTGGCGGCGGGGGATGAAAGGTTCAATTGCTGAAAAGAGATGGACAATGATCAATCTACTTTCTCAGACGGCATAATCAGTTTTGATGTGGACCAACATCTATGACGAGTTGTTTTCACTCCCGACGACTGTATGACGAGTCCTTTTCTCATTCATGTGGACCCACATCTATGACGAGTCTAACACCCACGCAGATGACATCACAAGACTAAGACATTCCGTCAAATCATAAAATTATGCTCATCGGAAGACTCGCCATCGGATTCGTGCCCATATTCGAGCTCAATGGGTTAGTCTGCACGGTCGCCGAGATCTTCGGGCTTCGATTGAAGCTATTTGCGCTCTGATCCAGGTTGCTATGGCTTGACTGGGACCCGCCGACCTGTTCCGGTAAGCCAAAACCAGGACTCTGCTCTCCGAACACCGACCTCACTTCGGAGACAGGTGGCCGGTAAGGCGCATCGTCGTTGCGAGCCATATTTTCTGCAGTGATTTTCCTTCTAGTTGTACAGTGATAGATTCGTCCTATTGTAGTACCGCGTTAATAGTAGTCTTCGAACATAGAAATGCTGTGATAGATTTCTGACAGATGGTGGTGAGTCTAAACAACTGCTTTGCTTTCGCACCTTCGTCTCTCCTAGCGTCTATTCACGGTCGGTTTCAAAAAGATTCAGTCTGTTCCGCTTCGATATCACAGCTCATTTAGGGACTTCTTTCCTTTTGACTGCCCGCCACATTTCTTGCAGGCAAAGCATCAAAGTTCACTCGAAACTCTCGATCGGTTTTTGTTTTCCCAATGAAGTCACTAATACAGACAACTGAAAGTGACATCACTTTCATAGCGGTTTATAGTAATAGTAGTTGCGACGTACAGATTCAGTATCACAAGCCATTGTGCCGCTGCTCCTGTGTTGTTCGCCAGACAAAAACACCAGATAAACCAAAACCCTGCAGTGCCGAAGCACCTGCTCGCTCATACTTTTATAAGAAAGCACTTCTTGCCCATGCACTTTTTGATAGAGTCACAACAAGATACAGCACGAACAATAGAGTCTCATTGAAAGATCATCGTCCTTCTCCAGCTCGAAAAGCAGCTCTACCGGATAACTTACCCGTGTCAAAGACACAGGTCCTTGCCCTCCCAGAGTTTTCCCAGAGAAAACAAATCCCCCCATCTCAACGTCACGATAAAAAGTGCGCTCCACGGAAGATCGTCCGGCTTTTTTGGACCTGATCGCATTTTGAGGAGAGTTATTCTGATTACGATTTGAAAATAGCGAGATTATTAGTAGACTCATTCTCTGCTGCAAGACACCAAATCGGCTAAAAATCTAGTGTGACTGGTGATTCGCAAATCGGCTAAAAATCTAGTGTGACTGGTGATCGAAGTTCATCTTCGTTTTACATCATTCGCTTTAACAAGTATCAGTGCCTGAACTACAAGCAAATCGCGCGTATGTAGGTGTTCTACATCCTGGGGATGAACTAAATGCAAGTACCTCATCATTCTCCACATCCGCGCCATCTTCTCTTGCGACCTCAAAAAGCACAGAAACTTTCCCCAAGGCAGAGAGACCTTGAGCTTCTTAGTTCTCCTCAGCGGCAGCAGCGACAGCGGCCTTGCGGGCGACGATGCGCTGGTTCTGCTTCTGGACCTTGGCCTTCTTGAAGGACTTCAAGGCAGCCAAGTACTTCTTCTGGGCAGCCGGGACCAGGTCGCGACGGAAGCCAGCCTTGCTGAGGAGAGATTCGAGCTGCTGGGCACCCTTCTTGGCGCACTTCTTGACGCCAGTGGACAAGGAGGACTGCTTGGCTCCGAGCTTCTGGGTCAAGACGACGGATTCCTTCTTTCCCTTCTTCACGATCTTCAAGCCAGCAGCCTTCTTGTTGGCCAAACCGGAGAACTTGAAGGAGTTCAAGCCGGTCAGGTTGTTCGGCTCAGAAGTGAACACCGGAATGTTCTTCTGCTTCTTGATGAAGCTGGAGTTGTCGCGGACCAAGGTCCACAACAAATCAGACGGAACTTGACGCGGCATTTTTTGTGCTTTTAAAGTACGACAAATCCGGATTTGGATGAGTAGTACTCCTCTCGTTGTCCCTGGTAGGTAGTGGGTGAATGAGCCAGGGATGAATACAGATCTTAGCCGCAGAAGTGATACCAACCTCATTTAGAAAATGAGAATGCCCACTTAGATACAAGCGGAAGAGCGAAGAGAGAGTAGAAAACATCTTTTAGATCCCAGATGACCCAACGAAATTCTGATTTGAACAATCTTTACGGTGATCCTCACGCGGATCTCAAGGTCTTCCGATCCAGCTTACTTTCCATGTTCTGTCCTACATTTAGATCAGTCCAGGACTTTAGATCTTCTCTAGAGAGATTCGGCGTCAGAAAAATTATCACTGATCTTCACCGATCCCTTGCGTGGCAACACAATAAAATGCTCATTTTCGAGCTCCGGCTGATCTTTCTTGACTTCTGCAGATAGATTCACCCTGTTTAGATCTGTTCTACGACCCTTTGGAAGACAGCTCGATCCGGCACTACGAACACTGAGACAGGATTTAGATTTTCGAGAGTTGATCTCGATGCGCGAGCAGCTTTTGGTAAGACATCTTTCCCTGTGGAGCATGATTTTTTAGATCTCGATTCAGTGGGACGTTAGTTGTGAACCCGAGGTTTTAACCCCGAATTTAGGTTGTAAGGGAAAGCCCTGTGACTGCTGAGAGTCCATTGTAGACTAGATCTATAATAGTTAACACCTAGTTGCATTACCAACCTTTTTATTGTACAATCTTTAGAGGATCAATCATTAGAAGATGAGGAGCTCTCGCGTGAGCCCATTGAAATAGATAGATTCTGGTTCCAATTGCCACTTGTTACACCGTTCCTAAATCTTACTGATGTTAGAATTCCCCTCGTTGCTGATACTCTCATTTAGAAGGTCTTGATATGCATGATTATCGTACCTGTTCTTCTGCCCTTAGTGTAGCTGTTCACTTCAGCTGATCACTGATATGAAATTACTTATATGCAGCTGCGTATTTGGCGCTTCAACTGTTCATCACCCAGGTTATTCAGCTGGTGTATAAATTCCGTTTCCTATCTAAATAATTCATATTTCCTGTGCAAATCTTGTTGCTCTGGTGTAAGTATGGCATTGTGACGATCTCTGTAATTTAGATGTTACTGCTTCTTGAAGTTTCTATCTATCATCAGGTTCGGGCGCTCCCCTGACGAGCCAAGAATTAGAAAAATACGGCTATTTTCAGTCTAGTTTTTAGTGCCAGTCTTCTGTAATCCATACCAGCCTATCTATGTAAGTCTTTTAGACTGCTATCTGTACCCTTGTCCACATGAGTATTATAACCACATACGACTCCTTTTACCTTTACGTCAATCTTTAGATTTATTCTTCCTTCTCGAAGTCTTCAGCGAATTCCGCTGCTTACTTCATCAGCGGCCGCTGGCGCCCCCTCAGCAGCGGCCGCTGGCGCCCCCTCAGCAGCTTCCGCTGGTGTCGCCTCAGCAGGAGAAGCCTCTTCGTCAGCCGCTGCCGGTGCTTCCTCAGCTGCAGCTGGGTCTGCCTCAGCTGGTGCAGCAGCCTCTTCCGCTGCTGGTTCTCGAGCGGCTACAGCAGGTGCCTCCTCCGCGGTAGCAGCTGGCGCTGCCTGCACCGCTGGTGCTACCTCGTCTGTTACCGGTTCCTCAGTCGGAGCTGCTTCTTCGACCGTCGCTTCCGCTAGTGTCGCATCTTCGACCCATCGTCGCTGTCGCATCACCTTCTACTAGTGTATCTTAAGCCATTGCTGTTGTGTCAAGAGGATCAATATCCTCCTTAGCCGCTTCCGCTGCAGCACGTGCCTCTTCAGCCGCTGGCTCTTCAAGTAGTGAACGTCCTTCTTCAAGTTGATCATTCGTCACGAAACCCGATGATCATCGTCAGAGCGAAAAATTCCTTACATTTGAGTAGTCAAGGCATTCTTAGGCAATGTTTTTTTGGAAACCTGACATCAGCATCTTCTTCTTGGAAATACTTAATCAAGGATCCTTGGAAATAGTCAAGGATCCTCCACCAAGAGCAAAATGCAGTGTCGTGGAAAAGGGCCTTAACATTCCCACGCAGAACGTCCTTCTTCGGCTGCTGCTGGTGCAGGAGGATTCGCTTCTTCTTCTGCGGCCCACTCGAGTACTGCCTGCCATCAGGAAACCGGAGATGTCGCCGGGGAAAAAGATTATCCATGGCTTCTCTTTCTCTGTCGTATTGTGCTCGTCCATATATTTGTAATAATCCTTATTGTCGTCGTCTGCAGATGCAGGTGCTGGCCGGAAATAGCACCAATTCAAGCGACCACCATCGCCTTCGATATTTTCAACCATACAGGTGACCGGCATTTTTTTGATTCCAAGAACTGTAGCACAGGAAGTTTTGGTTCGATCTTACTGCAGTTAGGTCAAGGTTTGAAATTTCATATAACGACACTTGCATACCATGATATTAGCCTACCAGAATGCTTGTTGTAGTTGGGTAGAAGCAACCTAGCAACAACGTTTTCTCTCGTCTAATTTAATATTGCCCCATTTTGTATGAAACAATTTCTTTTGCCGTAGCTGTAGCTCCTTTTCGTCCTCCTAGTTGCTTTTCTCTCACCAAACACAACTCCCACTCGTCGCTTTTTTGCAAGCTGCGTCATCCTGCAGTGTCTCGATCTTGTTTTGTGGAGGACATGGAGGTTTTTGATGTTTTGATCTTGCGATGCTCGTCTTGATGAGCTTCGTTTCTGGTTTCTGTGAGCGAATTTCAAGATCATATCAGGCCTGTTTTGCTTGTGTTCAAACAGGCAGTGACAATTTTGAGATCTTCTTTTTCGTTCCTGCTTTGCTCAAAGCAAGCGGTGAAGCGTGATCATTTTCCGTTGGCTGGTTCTTGCGCTAATGTCAAAACGACGTGTCATCTGTCAATGCTTTTCGACCACTAACGTGCTTTCATGAAACTACATATTGCATCCGTAAACGACACGTCGTAGTCATAGCAAATCTCTTTCTGTTTGTGAGGAGTACTCGACATGTTCAGTAAGCTCTTGCTCAGCGCCGAACCAAGGCGCTGAATGCAAATATGAAACTCGGAAATGGAATTCACATATCAAAGCCTCATCGACATCGTCGTCGTATTCGAATTGCATCTACCGTCCCTTCCCTGTTCCTGTCAGATACTGCAGCGACCCCGCGAGGGTCCTACCTCCTGTCGACTGGAATTCGCATCTCGATTGTTGCTGAGTCGCAACGTCGTGTTGCACAGTATTGCCGTCAATGCCTCTCCAGTGATACACGGATTGCCTGCAAAGAACTCGCACCAGAGGCTCAACGCGAAACACCACGGAGTGTGTTCCGTCTGTCCTCGTCTCCCCTGCTTCTTTTCTCGACCAAGTAATGCGACTCAGTTATCATGAATCCAGGCGTCTTCTAGCAATCTGTGAAGCTTCAATGAAGAAACGTAACTAAGTCTGTGGCTAGTCCGAGTCCAAAGGATCATCAGATATTATACTTGCGGTAAATAACACACGCAGATCAATTCATCTTTCACTACGTATTTCTTCTTTAAACGAAAACGTAAGCTGCTATAAGACGCACAAGTGACAAACCTACAGATGACACGGGCGGAGATTCGTAATGTAGATGCACCAACATCTGCGCGACTCGTCTTTCAAGGCAGACCCGAACCCACTGTTCTCCATGTATCGGATCAGGAAAGACGCATGGCAGAATAACACTACATCTGACTACTAGCGGCTGCGCCATGTTCCCCCGCCTACCCCATGTTGTTCATTCACTGTCGAAGTTCAAGCCCAAGGGCCTCACTCATGCCAGATTGCTAGGCGCAACGGCTTCGCGAGAGATGGCGTGTAGGTAAGAAGTGTGTGGTAAGCAAGTGATGGCTCTTCGTCACTGGAAGGTCAAGCACAAAATCGAGTAAGTAGTCAAAACAATACTCCCTGTTCTAACAACTTCTCAATAAATCTGTGCATGCAAGGAAACCAAAGGATCCTAATGTTTGTTACAAACGAGAAGAGTAACTTAGCGAGACGACATCAACATTCGTATCTATAGTAGTCAACTATAAAAGGAAGATGACGCAGTGCACCACCACCAGTTTAAGAATTTTATAAGATAACTAAGCGGTGCATCAGTACAACTACAATTAGAATAGACCTATCCTGTGTAGATGGTGAAAATGCGACCCTGTGTAGATGGTGAAAATGCGACACCTATCTTGTCTTGATAATGGAGAAGCAAGAAGATCGGTGTCTCCCTGGTGCGCCCAAAAACCAAGGGCAACTGCTGCCCCGAACGTTTTGTTGTCAGGTCCTAGAAGGAAATTGTTGTCCTCGTCCTCGTGCTACTACTAGTAGAGGCACAACCCTTGTTACCTTAGGTTCTGTTGACAATCATGATGCCCCCCGAATTTAGGAAATCGTTGTGCCGCACTTGCTTCGTTCTTCGGTGCTTTTTTGTCGCGGAGTTCGAAACGACAACAGTATTAAGAACGCCATCGGATTGAAGATTTCTGATGCTGATCATAGGGATGTCTCAAAATCAAATAGTAAGTTCTAAAAAGGACGCAACAACATACGTACCAAGGGGAAACAACAAGAATCAGATGGTCACAGCAACAAAAATAGTGCTCATCGTCCTGCCATTGAACCCATCTGCTGGTGTTCAATCTTGGAACAAGTACTGATTTCAGTGAAACAAACATCTATAAGTACAGCAAAAGCCCTCCTCGTTACCTCGTGAACGCTCACTCTTCATTACTTAGACTTGACTAACTTTTCTGCTAACATGCTGCACTTCAGTGAATTGCTAGTTTTCTAAGGTAGGTGTGAAGCAAAGGGGCAGCTCGGGAGCTGCTGTACGTAGGATTACTTTTCTTGAGACGAGATTTGGAGCTCTACTGGGAAGAACCTGCTGAATAGTGCCCCACCAATAACGACGCCTGGAGGTGTAGCAGTAGAAGTTGTACTGCTGTCGTCGGAGGTGAGGTTAGGTTGGGGCCTACCATCCGATGTGGCAGACTTTAGTGGCTGCCTTGAGGAGCCTAGCAAAGGTCGTGCACTCAGAAGTCTACTTACAATTTGTCAAATTCAACAAAAAAACTAGCCTACTGCTCTACCTTCCATCTAGTCTTAATTATGCATCCATTTTCTTCCTCCTGCACTTTAGAAGGTGAGATCTGTAGAAGAAGTCAGAGCTAGTTGTAGACTGAAATTACTGAGGACGAACGACAAATGAGAGCTTTTTGCTGTTCCAGGGCTATCCAAATAAGCTCGGAATCAACACCAACGCCACTCGTTTTTTTATGCGGATAACGAAGCGCTGTGTGTGTCCTTCGACGACTTGTTTATGGTAGAGGAAGAAGACCTTTTCTAGTAGAGGTTTACAGCAAACAACTCCTCAGTTGGACAGTCGCGCGACCTGCGATCTAGGTCTTAGTCTTACGACCTCGAAGATAAGATAACGGCTAAAGGGTAGGGTCTCAAGAATTGAGAGATTGGAGCACGGCAGGATCATCTTCCTATGAAGTATGAAATTTGCATCTGTCACTCTATAAATTATTGTCTTGTTGAAGGGTGACGCAGCGAATAGACAGCTTAGAGTTTGTAATGTTGTGACAATAATTTTTTGCGCCTGGCGTCGCCACGACGAGTACAACAAACTTAGTATGAAGATAGGGAAAGGGAGTTAGCTTCACAGCACAGTGATGAAGCGAGATGAGTGATGAGGTATGTCTAGGGGTATGTCTCTGAACTTATCACATCATATCGATGAAGAATGCGATTATATCATCATTGCTTCTAGATCGAATCTGAAGAATTATTCACGTCCAAGGAACAATGCCAGAGGCTATAACAATGCCAGAGGACTATAATGGCAACGAGGTGAAGAAACTTCTAGTATCAGAAAATACAACCAAAAATTGCGGCAACATCAAGAACAACATCTTTCTAGAACCGATTAGAACTCTGGTTGTACGCGTTGAAAATTATAAACATTTCAAGACTATCACTATCACCCAGCAGCTCCGGAAAATGTCAACCATCAAGTCTCAGAATCTAATTTGCTCAAACTGGTAGCCAGGTTGTAGAACGTAAACAAGAAACATCAATGTTCTTCAACTACGTCAGGTGGAGTAACAATCACAAACCACAACCTCCAACCTTCTGCATCTGGTGCCAAGAACCTAGTCAAACCTACAAAGACCAACAGTCTCTAGTGGATTTGGATAGCTAGGGCTACCACCTAGTTTATCAATGATCATATCGGTCTTCAGGCACGTTCTTCTTGCCGAAGTGTCACATGATGGACAAGGGCCTACTTACAACATTCATCTTGTTCAAAAAATCATGTTGTAGTTGATCACGTTGTAAAAATCAACATGTAACCAAAATTATATCAAGGCCACAGCGCAAAGACAAAGAAAGCCAGAATCTTAACCGCCCCACCCACGACCCCAGGCGTCCTCGTTCGAGGTTGAACGAATGAGAGTGACCTGAGGAGCACTGCTGGTAGCGATCTCGTAATATTGCCCATCACTCCCCAAAATGTACTGCCGAACTTGCTCTTGCGCCGGCTGCTGTTCTTGCTCTTGTTGTTGTACAACTTGGTAATGTTGTTGCGGTTGCTGGTTCTGATGGACAACAGTAGTACTCTCCTGTGGCTGTAGTTGATGAGATGATTGATGCTGATACTGCGTAGTTGTTCCCTGCTGTTGGTGTTGGTAGACCACGGTCTGCTGGTGTGACTGCCGCCGCTGCTGCTGATAATTCTGCTGCGTGGACGAGGGTTGTTGTTGCTGATAGCTGTTCTGCGTAGTTGTAGGAGGTACAGGCCGTTGTTGATTTCGTTGAGAAACCGCCTGCTGCGGCTGCTCTTCCTGAATTGGGACATAGGTAGTAGAAATGCTGCCATCTGGATTGTGCGTGACATACTCCACATATTTCTGTCCCTGACTCTGTTCTCTTGCTCCCGCTGAAGTACTTGTACTCCTCTGACTGCTCATCTGATGTTCTACTTGTTGATGTCCAGCAACAACGTTGTTGTAGTTGTACGCACTAGAAGAAGCTACAGACGTAGTGGACTGATATTGTTGATGCTGTTGAGATGATCCATCGACTGATGTCGAATACAACTGATGCTGCTGTTGCTGCTGACTTTGACCCCCTCTAGGTGTGTACAGTTGATGTCGCGGTGTCTGTTGTTGTGTCTGCTGCCTCTGCTGTTCTTGTACTTGCTGCGTCGTCTGTACTACCTGTCTTTGTGATGACTGCTGATGCTGTTGCTGTTGATTCCTAGTTTGACTCCGCTGAGGCTCCTGCTGAACAACAACTTGCTGCTGCTGGACTTGTTGCTGAGGCTGCTCCACAACATACGTGACTTGATTACCATGTTGATCAAGGTAGACGTATGTCGTTGTAGTTTGTGGCGCAGCTGATGATGTAGTTTGTGGTGCTGCCTGTTGATGTGAAGTAGAGACAAGTTGAAGATTGCTGCCTCCTGGTCCCTGCTGCATTTGATCATTATGTTCCACGACACGCTGCTGGCGCTCTCGAACTTGGTTCTGCTGCGAAGATGAACAAGGGTCCTTTATTCCACCTGCTGCACCATCTCCTCGTCTTCTATCACTTCGATACTCTCGATCCGGCTGCTGTCCTCGAGCACCAGGAAAGGTAGAATTGCCTTCTACAACGCGAGCATCTGCTGCAGATGGATTCATAATTCGGTCGTACGGTCCACAGCGTTGCGTTCTCCGCTGAGTCAGCACTCGCCCACTAGAAGTGCCTTGTTGTTCAACAGCGGAAGAAGCGGTGCCGCGAGACTGATGATGTGCTTGGTTATTCGGATTGGAAATATGGAGCTCATGAGAGGATGCAGTCGCCATGCGCAGGTCATGAGATGATGATCCGGGAGTTCCTCCCGTAGCACCAGTTTCCTGTTGCTGATTGTGAGTGCGTGCTCCCGAGATAGAGTAGTTGTAAGACATCGTCCGAGCCATCATATTCGGCGACTGCTCTGGCCCAGGCGAATAGTTCGTTCCGCCTGGCTGCTGTTTCCCAGGATTTTGTCCCTTTGATGATGTGTGCGGAGTTCCCTTGGAAGAGCTGCCTTTTTTACCAGCACCATCTTTTCCGGCTATAGTCCGACCATCCTTCGACGTGGTCGATGCCACTAGTATTTCAGGAGTACGGTGCTTACCTGGTGGCTGCTGTTGAGCTGATTGCAACGGAGTCTGACCTTTAACCTGTCCAGTTAACGGATCCCTAGCAGCTCTCATGGTCGGCGATATGTTGATTCTTACTGTCCCTGTCTGTTGAGCACCTTTTCCATCAGGTCGTTGAGGTTGCGATTGGACAGATGAAGGTGCTCTGATCGCTGGGCCAGTTGATGCAGAAGAGGGTACAACTACGCCTTTTCCACCACCAGCTTGCTTACTACCGCTTTCAGCTTGCTTACTACCTTTGCTTGCTGGTCCTCCCTTGGCTCCGAAGGACGCTCCGCCGGGACCTACAGAAAGCACAAGAGGACCAGCTTTCTCTCCACCTCCTTTTATTTTGACACCTCCTCCTTTGCTGTTGAGCTGTAGGAGTTCTACAGCCGCGCCTTTCCCGCCCGCGGATGCTTTTCCATACGGTCCTGAAGATAGCGCTCCCCCACGCGGAGACATCATCGATGGCTTTTTACCTCCTGCTTGAGCTCCTTGCTTTCCTCCAGCAGCGGCGGCTGCACCATATGCACTTTTACCAGTTTGTAGTGAAGACGTGGAAGATGGATGATCAAGCCCTTTCGGAGGTTGAATGATCAAGCCCTTGCCCTCCTTCTTGCCAGCACCTGGAGGAAGATGTGCGCCTGGAGGTGCATTAGCGCTTAGCGGAGGCGCGCCACCTCCGCGCTTTCCTTTCCCGCCGTCTTGTGGTGGAGCCATCTTCAGTCCCTTGCCGCCCTCCAGCGGTGTAGCACGACCCTTAGGCGGCATGATAGGAGTACCGGGTGGAGCTGCTCCTTTAGCGCCTTGAGGAGCGCCCTTCTGCATCATTTGCAATGGTGGTGCGCCAATTTTCTGTCCTGGCTTGCCGTTCTTATCCGTCCATAGCGATGTTCCAGGAGGTGGCGGTTGACCTCTCTTGCCGTTCTTATCCGCCCATAGCGCTGGTCCGCCCTTCTGTTGATGTGGTGGTGGCAAAGGTCCTCTTCCTGACGGAGGTGCTCCGCCTTTAAAAACAAGTCCACCTCCCGGAGGTTGTGGTGGCGGTCCGCCTTTCATCATCACTGGCATTCCTCCTTTACCAATCTGTGCACCTGGAGGCATTTTCCCACCTGGCGGTGGAACGATAAGTGGACCTCCTTTGTGCTGTGCTCCTCCTTTTGGAGTCCACTGACTCATCTTACCACCCTGCTTAGGGCCGCCGACCATCAAAGGCTGATCCATCTTTCCTCCTTTCATGTTACTACCTCCTGGTCCTCCTGAGAGGAGTAGCACACCACCTTTAGCAGCGTCCTTTCCTCCCATTCTACTCCCACTGCCATGCAACTGCGGTGCGCCACCTCCTCCAGCAGTAATTATGATACCACCTCCTCCTGCAGCACGTTGCTGCAGCTGTTGCTGTTCTTGCCTCTCCAGAAGCTTGCGTTGTTTCTTCGTTGGCGGCTGTAGAGCTTGGTCTAGACGTGCACTGTCTCGTTTTTCGATGAACACCGCGACACTAGGATCCGTAGCGTTCCAGCAAAAAGTATTGCGAGGACGCTTCTTGCTTGCTGGACCTCCAGGAAATGCTGAGTTCTTAGAAGCATCAGGAGCTGCTGAGTTCTTAGAAGCATTTCTGGATGAAATAGTAGCTCCTTCTTTGGAAGCTGTGTTTTCATCGATGACAATAGCCTCCTCTGCTCCAGCACTGTCCTCGATACCATCATCATTGTCACGACCATCATCACCGTCGCCGGCAAGTGGTCCGCCACCTGCTGCGCCAACACCTCCATCATCTCGTCCCACGACATCAGCATTCTTCAAATTCTCAGCAAGCTCGTTTGCGTTCATAGCGTGTTCGATAGAGGATGTCTCGTTCATAGCGTGCTCGAGGTGCTCGTCAACAGTGCGCAAGAGCCGGGTTTCGGATTCCCCAGGAACTGCAGTCAAATTCCCAGGCCATTTAGCGACGAAACTAGGCTTAGCAGCATTAGCTTCCTTGTTTTGGTCTTCAGTAGTATTTTTTCTTCCCTCAGCTCCTGTAATGCCAGTCTTCTGAGTGGGCGCTGCATTAACAACAGATGAACCAGACTGCTCCTTTTCAGCTGGCTTGTTCTTGATCTTGCTGAAATGAATCTCCAGAAAGGCCAAATCCTTCGGAACGATATTGGGCACAAGCAAACGGGCAGCAGTGTCGTCGCAAGAGACTAAGTCGGGGAAGAGCTGTAGAAACTCACGCAGACCGCCAACTGAAGTTTCGTGGACTCTGCGCACCATCTGATAGCCAGTGTCCATGCCGATCTCGCCGTCTGTTGTATTAAGTGGGAATAAGGTCGTGGTGGAGGTGAAATTTTCATAGAAGATCAAATTCATGTCCAATAGTCCAAGCCCAGTTGCATTCAAAAATCACATCCATCACATTCCAAAGCAACGCCCCAATGAAGAAGTAAGTAAGTGAGTACATTTCACGATCCACGGATCCAGCACATCCTTGAATCGCTCTCCTTGCCAGTGCTCTAGAAACTTGATCTGCACTGCTGTTCTGTGCGCAATGGCTTTCAAAATCGCGTCGCGGAAGATTTGAACTTTGTCGTCATGTCTTAGCTTCTTGCCCAGAGGTTCAGTATCGGTCATTTTGGGGTAAACCTCTCTTAGCTTCTCCCTGTTCCACTCGCGGATCAGTTGGCTGTTATGTTAGTTGTTGAATGTAGTTAATGTGAAAACTATTTAGCGTTGTGCTTACGATGATGAGCATTATATTCCACAGAATGACAGCACTCAACAGTACGACAAGTCAAAATCTCATAAATCAGAAGTAGAACAAGAACAAGAACTAAGCACCAAATTATAATATGAGTTGATGATTGATTGATATGCCTGGCAAGAGGTTGGTGAAAGGCACCAAGACCAAAATATATGAAAGTGAAAGTACACTAGCATCGCTCTTTCCCTTGCGTTGTCTGCTGTTGCAAAAGTTGGAAAGACGTCCAAGATTTCCTTGTCGTGAAGAACTCGATCCGGATGGAGTACAAGTTGTTGATCATCGCCAGAATCCGTTACGATTTCTGCCAATCTTGCGCGCACACGCCGAGTCACTTCAGGACTGATTTCCAGCAATGCTCGTTCCACTTCTGCGCGAGTGCGAATTTTGAGACCTGTAGATCCACCTGTGTTGGAAGCGGGTCCTCCGTTTTTGTCCTTGTTATTCTCATCCTTGTTTTCTCCGGTCTTGTTCAGATTGGGACTGCTCAAAGCTCCTGATGAATCGAGATGATCGCCATTGAGCATACTGTTAAGTAGTTTGTTCCTTCGCTTGCGCTTACGACCGTTCCCCCTACTTCTCTTCTCACCTAACGAAGAGGATCCTGTACTACCACCAGCTTGATGTTTTTCGTCATTAGCGCCGTCATCGTTATCGTCTCCAGTACCTCCATCAGCGCTACCACTATCGCCTTCGGCACTATCTTGTGCACCACCATCTTCAGCTGCACCTCCTGCACCCATAGTTTCGTCGTCCAAACTATTATTAGAGGTAGGTTTTTGGTGCTTGCTTACCCCGCTTTTTATGCCTTTCTCATCCTAAGGAAGAGAGGCATAAAAAGCGGTAAGAAAAGCACCTTTAACCTACCCTTAATATTAGCTTGTCCTCCTAGATTCGCAGCCCCATCATCGTCAAAGTCCTCCTCTTCGCGCATGCCTTCGCTCTCCTCCAAGTCACTAGGAAGGTCCTCTTCATCGTTGTAGTCATCTTCCTCCTCTACGTTGTACTCCAAGTTTGAGGGCTCACCCACTGCATGATGGACAACAACATTCTGATCAAGAACTTCCTCGTGCTGCTGTTCCACCTCGGCTGCACCAGCAACAGCATCATCTACTTCCTCTTCTTCTCCATGATGTTGATCTTGATGCTCCTGGTGCTCTCCTAGCTCATCTCGTCCTTGAAGTTGATGTTCCTCTCCACCTACTCCTAGCTCCTCTTCGTGGTACAACTGCTCTCCTTCTTGAACTTGATACCCTTCTGCACCATTAACTACCTCCTCTGCTTGCGCGTAAGCCATTTCTTCGACCTCTCCTTGATGATGCTCGTCCACTACAACATACTCTTCTAGTACTTGCTCCTCCTGCTCCACCTCTCCTTCTCCACCAATGAAGACGTGTCCATCTTGGTGCTGACCCTCATCCCCTTCTACTTGGTATTCTTCTTCTCCTTGAAGATTGCCTTCGGCGTACACCTGTTCCCCACCGCCTTGTGCCTGGTACTCCTCACCACCCAAATAGCCGTGTTGCTCCTCGTAGCTCAGTATCTCGTCCGACATGATGTACTAGTCGTAGGTACTTTCTATGTGCAGCTGCTGTGTTCGTTGTCGTTCTTGATAAAAAACTTTATTGACTGATTGATTGATCTTGTTCCTGGCAAGGGGTAAGTCTAATGTAGATTCTTTCTAAGCATGGGTCGTGGAGCCAAACTAGCTAGGTAAGTCTAATTATAAATATCAATCCAGGTAAAACCAGCTCGACGCTTATCAATGCTGTTACCAAAACCAAGACAATGTTGACGTCATCGCTTATAAGTCGATGCTTAGAAAAAATCTACATGTTGCTTCTAAAGATTTTATCAACTTCTACGTGTATGTCGTTCTTTCTGCTTACGGATCATGAGCTATGTTTCAGCATGGCACAGATTATAATGGGAGCGATGGTCATGGAGATTTTAAAGATAAGAAAGTACTAGCGCAATTTTCAGCATCAGCGTCAGGTCTTTCAGAAGTGCTACATGATGACGATGCGAATCTACTCGTCGGCGATCTGCCTAAGATTTCCCTGACGACTTCAGAAGTACTACATAAAGATGAGAAAGCAGTACAATTTATTTTAGCATCAGCAAGACTTTCAGACGTACTACTCCAATTCAGAAGATTGAGATTCACCTCCAACATTTGAGTACCCAACTATTTATAGATACGAGATATTGATACTCGAACAATTTCTCTGTCGATTCAGATTCTAAACAACACACACAGCAGCTCTCGTCCTTTCGTAGTTTGGTCGATTTTCATTTATATTCGAGTATACGGACGAGGAGGCACACTACATCAGTAGAACAACCGCATCTTCATGTGTTGAACAACAGAGATAAATGCAGACGAGAACATATTTATTACGAACATCAAGCGAGAGGATTTTTCAGCGCAACTGATGCTGAGATTTTTACAAATTCCTTTCTATAATATCAAGAACAGTAGCAGCGATTTCAACACGAGCTTCCATTGCACGACTCATCAACATCGGAACCACGACATGCATTCGAATTCATACGACCAAGAAAACACACTTGCGACACGAGTCTCATCAACGTCTTCGAGCTCGGAACTTAGCTATCGTCAGAGTCAGACGAGCATGAGGTACTTTGAAAATTTTTGTAAGGGAAATTTCATACACGAGATACTCAGTCATTCATCACTATGCCACTATCAAGAGACACGATCACGACGATGTTAAAAATGACCACAACAAGGTCTTTAAGCCTTTGTTCCTTCTCGTCCTTAATATCAACATTTATCATCACATCAACACTTAAATCTTTCTGACAACATTGGAGAGATCTTCATGCCAGTTTCGCACAACATTCCTTAATCGCAGCTGCAACTCCCTCTTCATCAGCCGGCGCAGCGTCACCACAGTCCTTCAGCGTCTGAGCCAGGATTCTCTGGGCTGCCCGTCGCTTTCCGATCAGGCTGGGATCCGACATGGTGAGGCAAAATCGGTGCCCGGTTGGAATAAAATCCACGGTCTCCTCACGCCCCTCGACTAGGACGACGGAACTGGAATAAAGGGATAGAAGAGGAGTAATAACGGCGTAGAAGAGGAGTTACTCAGTAAGTAAAAGTAATCTATCTTCCGTAGAGTTTAACTACTTAGTTCAGTTTTAGACCAAGGGCCTCGATTTTTATTCTTTGAATACTGGTATGGTTTACTCGGGAAGTAACTCAGTTAGGATGAATGATGGGCATGGGTGAGCTACTGCTCATGATCGATTGATGAAAGATTATGGCATACCCATCCTCTCCCATTTGTCGACACGCATTCAATGATAGTAAAATACCCATCCTCTCCCATTTGTCGACAGGCATCACCGGCAAATTTTACGACTTCACCCTGTGACACCTTCGCTACTGCTGGGATATTCTTGCCTATTCTCGGCTCCTTGAGCAAGGTGTTAGCGACCTCGGATACGTAAACTTGTGAACCTGTTGGATTGTGGTAGGTTTTGTTTCTGACACAACAACAACAACAACAAGGTTCATCAAGTTGTTGAAGAAGTTCTTTAGTATCATGAATTTGAACAAGGATTGGTACCAAATTGAAATATATCGTTGGTGGAGCGTACCTAACTAGAAAAAACAAAAACCGAAAAAAGAAAAGTCAGGAAAGTACTTATCTACTACTAAGTAAGCGCCGGCGCTGTCGTGGTCCTGTCTGTCCCAATTTCAAATATATCCGTAAAAGCAATATCCCTCAGACGAGAAGTATCCATTACCATCCGGTCTGGTCAACTGTATGTCCCACTTCCCGTTGAACTTGCCGAACTTTATTTTCTCCATCCAAGATGCTAAATTTTCCGCAGTGAGGCCTTCTTCGAAGTTGGCTAGCCCTTTGGACTCGGCAAAGTCACAAGCTTGGACTGTGAGACACCGAAAGACGTTTCCATTGCTCCATGTCACAGCTGAAGATAGCTTGGATTGCAACTTGGAAACGGTTGTGCCTTTCCCAGTACCAGAAAGGCCGACTAAGACAAGGACGCAACCTGAAAGAAGTGATGAGGAGGTGAATTTAATAGTAGAATGTAAGTAACTGTTGAAGATAAGGTCAAATAGAGGTGAGGTGAATAATAGAATGTAAGTGTTGATAAGCGCATCAAATACCTGCTGCTATGTATTCTTATTTCGAATGATCAGAATCGTACTAGTAATACATTTCGACTGCCGCAAGCAAAAAATGAAGTAGTTCTTGCATGTAGTCAGTAGTAGAAGTTAATACCTTTCGTTGCCCCTTCTCCCAAATCTTTGATAATGCAGTCCGCCACTTCGTCCGCACTTTTGCCTAACACATTGATTTTCGCATATGGCGCTGGCTCAATCTTAGGCAACACGCCTTTATCCTGTGCAAACGTGATGCCCGCTCTCAAAGCTTGGGCGTCTTGTTCGTCTCTCGAGATTATATCGGTCTGCTCCGCTTCGCTTATCTTGCAGAAATTAGAGTTTTAGGCTTTGGGCCTTCGCTTACTTACCCCGTTTGTTCTGCCTCTCTAGTACCTGAAGAGCGGGCAGAACAAACGGTAACGTGAACGCCTTTAACCGAAGTACCCTTAAAGAAAGTAGCATCCTGCAGAAGCATCTGAATCACTTTGGATGTAGCGACATCGTCCTGTGCGGACAACTGAGACCAAAGAGCAGCACAAGACGACATGGTGTCTCCTGAGGGAATGATGGTAGAGCCAAAATACAAATACTTCTTTTTCTTGTAGTCGTGGCTCGTGGCGCCGGAGAAGGACGAGGAGGTGGGTTCTTCGTTAAGGTTGATTAATTGTTGTACTTCTTGTGGAGGTGCGATGCTTCTTGTAGAAAGAACTTCCTTCTTAATTATTCGAATTTCATCGCGTTGATGATGTTCCAACTCAGGTGCCGAACTAACGTTCTTCTTAATTTTCAATGCTGCTGCAGATGCACCACCAAGACTAGAAACTTCTTTATTTACTTGGACTTTACTAGAAAAAGAGCAAAATTTGATCAATCTATTTAAGCCAGTTCTCTGGCACATCCGATCTAGCGGTGTGCGCAAGGCTAACACCATACCATCCCGTCTTCCCTGTCATCAATGGGTTGATAATTCATTCTAGGAAGAACAAGCTTGTCGTGATATCGTGAAGTTTGTGAGATGTTGTCTGTTCTTGAATGTCAGTTACACGCTTATTGGTCTTGGTTCTTGAACAAGCATATCCATTGCCAAAAGTACGATCCAATGAGCATCCACTGGAAAGAACATAGTCGCCGCTGTGATGCCACAACTGCAGCTAGCAAAGGTGGGGTCCTCAAACAGTTATGTATATTTATTTGATATTGATGTGTGCTCCTCCGTCCCCCCGGTCCAAACCAGTGCTGAGGTGGAAAGGAGGAAGATTTACTGTAACTGGTTGTGGTCAAAGTGACCCTCGAATGAGTTCTTTCGCGGACAGAGTGGCGCATTGGCCATAATGTCCGCATTATCGTCATGTTGAACATGAAAAGTTCTTCATAATATGAACACGCATATTATTCTTCATCTCCGTGGTAGTCTTCATCCTCAAAAGTATTTGGTTGTATAACTTTATTTCACCCCATGCTTACTTGGTGTACGCTTCAACATACCTGCAAAACCGCTCAAGGAATCATAGTGCTCGAACTTTGTTCACTCCCCGCTTGTAACTGATTTAACAACTAGGATACCCTTTCACAACGAAAATCGAACATTTTTGGACACATGTGGATTTTCATTTGACGATGACATGAACAACAACTACTGTTAATATTGGTTTTACGTACGAATGTTGAATAAAAAAACAACTGAGCTCGGACTGTGGTCGTCATAATTTGATTCGGCCTTGAACAAGAAGCTTCATCTTGTTTTGTGAACAGCAATGATCAACATATCGAGGGATGTCAATCTGAGAAAAGATAGATACAATAGAAGATACTAGCTTCTTTTCGAGACGGAGCTGATAACTTTCATAACCAGAGCCTAGTAATCAGGACGATTTCACGCTCCACCGCCACCAGCCTGCTCGACATTACCCCCAGCTGGCTGTGCTCGAGCACCCACCAAGGTCAAATGGTTGTCCGTTACCCGCTCTTGTTCTTAGAGCAGGTTACGGAATTTTTACATTGCTCAGAACTACAAATCTTCCCTGACTTATTCCCACCTACTGAAAAAAAAGTCAGGAAGGATGTATTAAGGTGAAGGATGTAACAAGGTGGGAACCCTTAATGTTCGCATGTTCGGTATAGGATGTCTTCGTAGTCTGCTATCAATTCTCGCATCTTCTCCTGTGCCTCGAAGAACATCTCCAATTCTCCGTTAGCCTCCAAAAATTGCCACACATACGCCTTGTGGTAGAAGAGTTTCAAAAACTTGGAATAAGACCGCATAAACAGTGTTCGGACTGCAGTTGTGTTGGCGAGTAACGCGCCTTGTCGGTCAGACTTGGCCATGAAACCTTGGAGGGATGGCGGTCGTGGAAGGGGCTTTTTGTGTTTCCTTTTGAATCCATGTGAGATTGAGGAATTTCGGTAGTATAATTACCTGCGAAGACGTCTTCTTTGGAAAGAAAAATGTATGTAATAGAGTGGTTGACGAGTACCCTATAATACTGACCTTGACGAGGTCGGAAAGAAAAAGATAACTTCTTCAACTTTTCGAACAGCTCGGTCAACACAGGGAGCATCCAAATCTGATTGTCCTACCTTCCGGCACATGTGGTGGCTCTGCAACAGCACCTATCTTGAAACCGCCGTGCCCTAGCCATGGCAAAAACTTCAAAGGCTCTCTGTGTCCCCCACTCGGATTCATTAACTCGTTGATGGCCCTTGTGCATTCCAGTGGTTGGATTGCTAGGTGGATCTGTTGAGATGATGTGGAGTGGGTATTTTGCATTCTTTCATGTCAACAGATCCACCTAGCAATCCAACATGGGATTCTGTCGTTGAAAATGCAACATTATAAGTAGTACAAACAACATTAAGTAGTTGTGCGCATTCCCTTCTTTCAATGGATAAAAAAACGGAAGAAGCGAAGATATCTAATATTATTATGATTGAAAATAATCTCGTTGTCATTGACCTTAGAATTCAAGAAACAGTTGTTCTCATAAAAATGAAAAAGAGTAGCATCATGATTAAGTGTACATATCCCTCTGCATCCTCTGAGCCGTCTCCAATGACGTCTGTTATGTGGTCCTGCATCAATTGTTCTCTCTTGACTCGTTGGAAACCACGCATCAAGACTGAGCATGCGAGATAACGGTTCTGCTTCAGCCTTCCATGACCGATGTCCGCCAGTAGGTTCTTCTCTTCGAATAAATCGGTAATGATTTCTCTGGTGGTAAAATTCTCGTGCTTGGCGCGAGTAGGGTGTCGGACTGGGGAGGACTTAGAAGAGGTGGACGGAGGAGGGAGGAGTGAGGAGAGTCGTATCGTGAAAAGGTGAACAAAAGTGTTCATTTTCATTTTCAAATCTCTCTTCTTAATCATGAAGAACCAATGGCAATGTACAAGAGGAAGAGACGAGATTGCAAATCCATGACACCACGGACGACAGGAGCACTAGCAATTCGAAAACAACAAAAAGGAATCCGTAAACAAAGACAAGATCGGATAACGGAAGTTGACCTCTGGCACCATGTTGGTCACCACCTCATCGAGAGTCGTGTTCAATCTCTCGATGAGGTGGTGACCAACATGGTGCCAGACGACGGACAGGAGCACTAGTCGTGAACAAAAGTATTTTCACATAATTTTCATCTCTCTTCTTAAAAATCATGAAGAACCAATGGCAATGTAAGAATGTCTTAATCATGAAGAACCAATGTCATGAAGAATCCGTAAACAAAGACAAGATCGGATAACGGAACTTGACCTCTGGCACCATGTTGGTCACCACCTCATCGAGAGTCGCGTTCAACTGAGTCGGAAATCGTAGACTTGTCGTGGCCGCAGATACCATCTGGGCGATTATCCGGTTTAAATGGAGAAAGGTCGGATGTTTCACCTTCAAATTCTCCCTACACATCCTGTAAGCGGCTTGATTGTCGAGAACCATGGCGAGGTCGGGGAGATGAAAGGAGGCCGCTTGTTTTGGGTCTAGGCGTGTTGGTCTAGGCGTGTTCTCCGATTGTTTGTGGAGGTAACTAATGTTGGCAAACTTGATTGCGTAGCGATCCTATCTTTCTGATTAGACATCAAGGTCGTGCTGATGTCAAAGCCAATTATGCCAAAGACAAAGTAGATCTAGATGCTGGTTTCATCATACATATTCTCCCTTGTATATGCCTGCGCAAACAAGCAGTTGTATGGCTCCACCACTGACGATACGTAGTCCTGCGAAGGATACACCAAAGGTTGCATGATCACCTTCTTGGAGAACTGATCTCTCAGGGTGTCCAAAACCTCCACACCCAAGCCCGTTCCGGTTCCTCCACCAAACGAGTGAAACAAGAAGAAACCTTGTAAAGATTGACATTTGTCGACTTCTTTTCGGACGGCATCCATCACAGATTCCTTGATTTTGAACTGGTTGCTGGCGCTCCGACCCTCAAAGAAATTGCTGCGGCAGTCCTGGATGGTGGTATGGGCAAGTTCTTAGGGTCTCAGTCTCAAAGTCCGGTTAAATTCAACTACAATTGTCATCCTCATCCACATTTTCTGCTGCAGCTACGACATTATAATCAAGTAGCATAAAAGCGAGAAATGAAAGACTCCAAGAGTGCTGTCATGTGTGTGCCTCTGATATGACCGTAGTTCTTGATCACCGTATTTTTTTTTTTTGCGTTAGGACTATATGCCGCCACCCATTCAATCAATTATTTACCCCCTTATTTATAAGGTCATCCACCGTAGAGACAAAAGAACAAGAAGTCTATATTACCTGTTTATAAGCCAAGATATTGTCCGAACAAGAACAAGTCTATACCTGTTTATAAGCAAGGATATTGTCCGGATGGAACAATTTTCCGTGTGAAGCGTTCAAGACATCGACTCTCGTGGCCGGATCTGTGTCTACGAAGACACTTCTGGGGACGTGCTGACCAGCCGCTGTCTCTGCGAAGAAGGTCGATAATGGGTCGTCGGGGGCTGCTGGGATTAGAGGGGAGACTGACATGAGTGCTGCTGTTCTTGATGTGCAAGAATGCAAGAATAAGAATAGAGTGAAGTTGTTGTAAACCAATTAAAACTTCTTGTCGTGACGAACCAGCTGCAAAGTGCTGCTTCAAATCCTCCGTTCATCATCACACATCAGTAATCTAGAGATGCGTCATAACTCTCCGTGTATTTCGTCTCGTGTTCCATCTGGCTGGATTCCATGCTCCTCGCACATGAGCTCCCATACTTGCAAACCCACCTGGCAACCAGCTTGCCCAACATGCACGGTAACAACCTCCTTTACGGGCGGCATGGTTTGTTGCTGTAGTTTTTAATCTATTTCAAACGATTTTACATGCGCTAGAGACGTGGAGAAGTTAAAAATGGAGAAAGTGAAAAGAAGTACAAGTAGTAATATCACCTGTAGTTGCACTCAGCTCGCTTCACTCACTTGTGCATCTCAGCGTGCGCTTTTCCTCTGTTCGTAACTGGAACGACCGACTGATTCTGATTTTACTCATGATTGCTCTCACTGTAAACTCTCCTGAACGTTCACGTTCTTCCTGATGGAAAGTATGCTTTCACGTTTCTCCGTGCACGAGCTCTGCGCGGTTGAATCCCGCTGTCTTCCTCATGTTCAGGTGTCGTCACCAGATTGAAACTTCTCAAAAACTAGAGTACTCTCGATTATCATTTTCTCGGTTATCTGTGGAAATGTCATTTGTGAAAACCTTCTGCATCTGTACAGAAACTTTACAACTTTCGTTAGCTGTACAACAACTGCATTCCGATGATGCTTTTACTTTCTAAGAAATTCTGATGCACAAAAAAAAACTTCTATCAGCTAAACTTTGATACGAACAGGTAACCGTAACACTAACGTAGCGTAACCATTCAAAAACAAAAGTCATTAGATTTCTTCACACATTGAAAGAAATAGTATCATTAGATTTCCGTTTCCAACTCCGTAAACCCTAAACCCAAACCCTAAACCCAAATCCCTAGCTCAGACTTGCTGCATCAAGTCCACTCCGGACACTGCGCCACCTTGTCCAGCAGATTGATGTCGAATCTGTACATCTGTTGATCTGCAGCTGCGAAGATGGTGAAATCCTGCACGCCTCTTCGCGTAGCTGCGATTGCAGAGATGTCAGTGATGCTCTTGGGTAGGTCGTACTCTGCTACTAGTCTGGGTAGAGGTAAATTTTGACTTGATGTTCTATGATCTTCCTGCTCGTGCTCGTGGTCGTGCCCTACTTCTGGATGATTTTGATCTAATTCAACATGTATACTAGAACTAGAAGCAGACTTTTTCTCTAGTAGAAATTCTCCTCCTCGTCTATTGCTAGCAGACGAGATCATCCTTCTCCTCCTCGCTTTCCTCAATTCGCGTCGCTTAAACGCCGTTGCTTGTCGCGCATCGCGCCATTCGCGCCAAGCGTCGCTCCTTGCTGGAGCTAGCTTGTGCTGCTGCTTTGCTAGCAGGTCGTTGACACGAGTCGCCGTCGTGTCTAGCTTGTCGGCCATCGCATCAAGGTTGGCGGCCAACATCCCAACCCGATTCCACGCCTTCTCTTTCCTAGCACGAGCTTCGCCTTCCAGCTCTCCGGAATGAAAGGAGGCATTGAAGCATTGGTGGGTTTGGGAGGAGGACTATGAAAAGAAAATCTGTTATCATTATCAAGTTTCTTAAGTAGAAAAGTATGATAATGATAACATATTTTGGCTTTATAAGGACAGGCTGTATTTTATAACTAGACGAGTATCATTCAAGCACAGCCTACTTCAACATAGTAACACAGGAAGTAGAGAAAACGATCTCTAGTTCTGGAGCCTCCCTTCAATAAAACAAGTTATTTGGGAGTTCATAGCGATAAGGGTCATCGCGACTGGAGCTTGTTGTGATTGGACATAGATGACTGAAAATTGAACATCACTTCTGAGCAGGGCAATAAAAAATCCATTCATAAAACAACTGCGTTTGCAGATTCAGCATTCGCGCTTTCTCGCTTGACTCTTGCTCCGATGTTGAAGGCTGCTGCAGGTGCAAGGCTGCTCCCGTGGACACCAGTGTCGAAGATATACTAGATTTTGATGATGCCATAGAAGCACTTGCACTACTACTAGTACTCCTGCTCAACATCACTTTCGTCGCTGTCTGCTGTAGAAACGACAAGGCACGACCTGCTGCGGCACGAGAGGAAGCTGCGAGTACCGAGACGCCAGAGTAGATGCCTGGTCCCGGACCGTCTTCAGCACTACTTTTGTTCTTCGCAGTAGAAGAAGTTGTCTTAGTCTTCGTCTTCGTAGGTGACTTGTTCTTGCCTCCTTTACTGCTAGCCGTCTTCTGACCACCTTGTTTCGCATCCTCCTGCAGCAGTGCTAGCGTATGTTTCGCCAGTGGATCACGGTTGAGTATCCAGACTTCGTTCGGAGGAGTGTCCGGCGGACTCCCTTCTGGCACTGGAGGCTGCACATTCGGAGGCTCAGGAAGGACACAGTTCTTCTTCATGTCCACCATCGTCATTGTCCACACGTAAAGCCGAGGCTTAGAAGATGAGAGATTCGTGTAACGCTACTTTGAACAAGGTTCTGGATAATCAAAAACTAAAAAAAAAACTGGTACTACTGGAACTAGGTTTATTACTTTTAGCCGCCGTGTAATAATTATTACACGACGGCATGAACATGACGTACTTCAATACACAAGAACGAGATTCCACCTTCGAGACTTCATCAACTGCTTGTAATGGCGAACAGTTATACTACATAAGTACGTACGTACCCGATCCTTCATTTTTCCATAAAAGTATCTGCCATTGTGGATTCGCATGAAGTTACTGCATCTGAGGATGTTGCTGAGGCCTCTTGGCTTGTAGCCGAGCTCGCCGCATTTTCCTCATCCATACTAGGAGGCGCAAAAGCTAATTGACTAGAACTAGGATCCATCTTGTTCTTCTTACTCCTCGTGCTCGTGTCGGAGGAGGACTTTTTGGAGGTTGTACCAGACTTGCCGCTTTGCTCGACTAGAACAGTGTTCGTGTTGGTCTTCTTCTTGGCGCTGATGTCGTGCTTCTGCTTGTGCTCTTTCTCCTTCTGTTCTTGATGAGCAGATGAAGCAGTAGAGTGATCATGTTGATGACCATGACGGGAGGCGTCAACTTCGTTCTCATTCTTGGCCGCCTGATGCTTCTGTTGGTCCTGCTCTTCAATACTCTGGTGGATTTGCTCGACAATAGACCTATGATTTTGCTCGTCTATCGCGTCGACGACTTTCCTAGAGAAGGATGACAGTTTCTTGCTCTTTTCTGCTCGATGTTCAGCCTTTTCTGAAGACTCAGCACTCGCATGGCTTATTTCTCCATCATGTTTGTGGTGTTTCTTCCGTTCACGCGATTCGATGTTCCCATCGGTACCAGTCTTGCTCCTACTACCATACTTCCTAGAAGTACTTCTTGACTTCCTGTCTTCCATGTCGCCGTGCGGGTGAGGTGGAGGGAGAAGTTTTTCATGTCCCTTGTGCTGTGTTGACGAGGAAAGAGCGCTCGTTGTACTAGCCCTGGACCCGTCGTGAAGCAAAGTTGCATAGTCATCCTGCTTCTCGGCTGCACCCAGAATCTTATCTGCTGCTTCATTGCTTGAAAGACGAAAGACACTGAGCCTCGTGCGCCAATCCGAGCTCTGAGGGGTAGCCTCGTACTCGGAGGTAACGAAAAGGAGACCTTGAGGTAGATGGTGTTGACAGACGTCAATGAGGAGAATGCAATCGCAAATATAAGTAACCTTTCGGCACGTCTACATTGCTTTACGACCGGGAATTCTAGTAAACTTTTGATCGAAGAAAAAACAACTTACTAAATACCATCAAGATACGAGGTGCCAGTCGGAAACGGAGGGATCAAATCTGGCAAACCTAATCGGTCCCTCGTACTTCTATTTGACTCAAACTCTGACGAAAAATCCTCTTCCCCCGCAGATCCATGCTCACCAAGCGATAATCGGTCTGTCGTTCCTGTTTGCTCGTTAGTTACCATAATATGGCCATCGTTGTCTACAGCAAGCCCTGTAGACCCCGACATTCCGTTGTAGGCAGCAAAATCGTGGGCCTCTGCTGATCCTGGTGTGCTGCGGGTTCCACGGGTGGAAGGAAGCTCTGACCTGAAAATGAATATCAACATGAGTCGAAAATGTTGAATGACCTAATGAAAATGAAATCGAGGAGAAAGAGCGATGTCACTTGAAGAGAAAAGCTCACGATTGAATTTAAATTTCAAAATTTGAGGATAAAATCAGAAAATTTTTGAAATTACTGGATTTCAAACCAAATTTCACCATTGAGAGTCATATTGTCACTAACTTGAAATTTTCTGCGATATTTTGCAGGATTGTTGCAGATATTTGGTATATTCATGCTATCAAACTATTCTTCAAAAACTTTGCTTTTTCATTGGTATATATGAAAATTCTGAGTAACATATTGATTTTACCTGTACTGCATGAAAAGCTTACGATTAGATTCTAAATCGAATTAAAAGTTGTTGAAAACAAAAACATCTGGATATGGTTGAAATTCAATATTTTCGTCAACTGAGACTCAAAATCTCCGTTATCCACTCCTACAATAGACCAATCTATAATATTTTTCGAGTCCTAGAAAATCTAGAAATTCAAATTTTCAAAAATTCATGAATTTCAAAATTCAATAAAAACTTGAATTTTCATGAAAATACGTCAAATCCACTTAGTATTCACATCAAAGCTGTTGAATATCCAAGAATTTTTGATTTTATCTCCTTTTTTCAAAATTCATTTCCTGAGGAAAGATTTAATAAATCCTCGAACCCAAAATAGCTTTGAACTCAAATTACCTCGAAACAATCTTGTGTGCGTTCGTGTCGTACTGCAAAAGCGACCTGCCGTGCTGGGCACTCAGTAGGAGCATATTTGTCCTCTTCTCGGTCGTGGGTCCAGCTTCAGTCTTGGTACCAGACGCAGAGACAGGAACAGCAGTGACCTGGGAAGACGCAGGAGAGGAGCTGAATCTGGGTGACTGGGTGAACTCAACTTTGATGAGGAGGAAGACCCACCTGCTCTCGAAATTTCAATAGTTTTTTTGTAGCACGCATGCACACAGACCATTACCTTGGAAGTGGACTCATGTCACAATAATGGACAAGTAAAATGCCGACCGATGCTGTTTTGAAACCGAAGTCTCCCAGAACCCTGTATACCTTTCCAGCAGCGTCTTGGCGAAGAATGCGCGTGCCATAGGGTGTTAAGAAGCGGTATTGAGTGGTGTCCTCTGCAACTGAGTGATCGAGCAGAGAAAGAGCGGAAGCTGGTGCTGCGGCGACACCAGAAAATTCCTGTGATGGAACGATGGGGTCAGTGTGTTGCAATGGTATACGCAGTTGTGAGCTCAAGGAAACGACCCGTCCAAGGTTCATTCAAAGACAAGCCTGATTAGGATGTTGGCAAAGTGGAGATCATGTAAGAGCTAAGGACCATGATGAAAGCACGATATCGTATTCGTACCGACCATTTATTAAAGACGACAAGTACGTAGCGTTCGCCCATTGGCAACGAGCCGACTGTAGGAGCGACGGCATTGGAGGTGAGCAGACCCCAAGTATTTGCGGTATCAGACAGTGTGGTATCCACACGCTGGATTTGAAGCACACTAGCGCGAGTGGAGTGATGGACTTTCTTGGCGTTGTTTTTCTTCGCATGTTTGTTCCTGTTTTTACTTCGAGGTTCTTGATCCTCTTTCTGTTCTTGGAAATCGATGTCTTCGTCACTAGATGTATGACGACTGGTCTCACTATGATGCTCGTCACTCGATAATTTGGATTCATCGTTAGCTGTCTCGTCCTCCTCCTGCTCGTCCTCTTCTGCATTCAATGGTATGAAGTACAGACCGTCATCATCTCCAGCCACGACAAGCTCATCATCAAGGACAGTGACAGCGTTTGCGGCAGTAGGGAGACGCAATGGAAGCTGAAAGCAAGCACCAGTTTCTGCATCAGAGTCGGCTCTATAATTTGACGTAGCTAGTAAGTTGTGGGTAGTTCTCGTCAGCGCGGATGAAGATTCTAGACGAGCTCGCGTCGATGTAGAAGAAGAATGTGAAGACACTGTGTCGTGTTGAAGGCTGTCTAGCTCAGTTGAGGAGTGTTGATGACTCCTGCTTTTTCCATCGAGCTCGTTCTTCTCATCGTCTGCAGGAGTTCCATCTTGCTCATCTACGTCTAGAATTATGCTGGAGACCACGCCATTATCCTCTTCGTCTTCTTTTAGAGGTAGGTTTTTGGTGTTCGTGCCTTCTCCCGCTTGTTATAGCTGTCCCCACCTAAGGGACAGGGAGAGAGCCATAACAAACGGTAACAAAAGCACCTTTAACCAACCCTTAATTCTTTCTGCGGGAACCGTGCTGCCTTCAACGAAGACGACAAGTCCACGACTTCTTTCGAGCCGCCTGTAGATGGTGAGTAGACTGTCTTCGCTTCAGGGACACCACTACCGCTAGGCGAAGCCTCTTTGTTCTCCAGTAATATTGGCTTCTCCTTCAGGCGCGACTCTGCCGCTTTCCTTGTCGACGCAAGGACTGAAGATGACGTGATTGCAGAGTCATCCGCGGCTAAGGGGTTTTCGCCATCTTGTTCCGGACTTGTTTCGTCTGTGAAGGACGAAGACAGCCGACCAAATGCAGCACTGAAGAGCCCTCGAGATGAGGAGGTGACGCGTCGTGCCTGTGCCGCTTGACGTGCACAGAACACGAAAATTAGCGCGTTTCTCATCCTCGGTATTCTTACAAACATGATCCTCACGTCGGTGGATTCATTCTCAGGCCACGTCGCTCCCGGACCGACATGTTGATGACAGTGTAGCTGCGTAGAAGGCTACACTTGGTTGTTTACTACATATGACGAGACATCAGTGGTCTCGACCCTAAGAAGACGCGACATTTGGGGCACTTTGATCAAATTTGCCACTTTTTTCACGAGACAAGAGCGCTTTTTATGCTCATTTGCTTTCAAAATCAAACTACAAGACAGCGCAGGCACATAGCTTCATTTTGATCACACTGCTTCTGCTCTGCTACACCTGAAGGAGCGGCTGAAACCCACCTGCTGCTCTTTACATCCTCTGGTTTGACAAGAATCTTCTCCAAACCTACTTGTTCAAAAAAAATATGACAAAAAAACTGTTGTACTATAATCTGAAACTGGTCCTTCTATTTGTGGAAGCGTATGAGCATGGATGTCCATATCTGTGCAAACATGAATGCGAACAATAAGGAAAAAGACTTATGGAACTTCTAACATCGAAAATATGCTCTAGTACATTTTTCTGTGTGTCACTAGGTTTGATGTCGCTAAGTGTGCTTATTTTTCAGTCGCTAACTTTGATTGATGTCTGGTTCATCTTCGCTAATTGAATTTGGGTTTAGATGAATACTTGCTGATGAAGAAACTAAAACTGATTGCTGATGCTTTCGCTAAACTTGATCACGATGTTGTTGTTGTTTAATACCACTACCCGAAGATGGTGGTCCTCTCCTACACAAACACAGTGCTATCTGGCGGCTTTCCCGGGTTCCACGGATACGCTGGGCACTCCACGTCTTCCGTCTTCCTCAGATCTAGGTCAAATGCGTAGATTCCTCTGTCCGTCTTCGACACTGCGAAAACCGTAAACTCATGGAGCCCTCGTCTCGTCGCTGCTATACCTGCGATGTCCCGCACTGGTAGAGGGTAAATTGCTACCGGATCGCCATCCGAATTTGTCCTCGGGACGTCAGCATTGGGTTCCGAGACCTTGATTTTTGCTGGGTCGTCGTAAAACGGTGGTGGCGCTTGCAGATAGTCCTGGAGAACTGCGTTGTAGAGCGTGCGACGATGCTGAATGCGCTGTAGCATAACTTTTTCTGCTTGAAGTTGAGCTTCAGACTTCTTCTCTTTCTGGTGTTGTTCGGTTAGCGCAATACGCTTGCGGTCATGGAGGTCATCTTCACGATGCGGCCTACTTCGCCGTGTTCGCGTTTTCCGCCTATTGATTTTGATTATGCTGTCTTGCAGGAGCATCATGCTAGTGCTGGCATTGCTGGTTGCATTCGACGTTGTGTCATTCGACGTTGTGTCATTCGACGTTGTGTTATTCGACGTTGTGTTATTCGACGTTGTGTTATTCGACGTTGTGTTATTCGACGTTGTGTTATTCGACGTTGTGTTCGTGGCAGCCGTGCTGTTCGACGAAGACGATGTAGTTGCCGTTGCGTTCGACGAATTCGCTCCTGCGGGCAGAACCCAGCTTGCGCTCGGATCTTCCGTTGTCGTCGTGCTCGTGGTAGTGATCGTCGTTGTGGTACTCGTTGTGCTGGTAGGTAGGAGGATAGTGCCGCTCAAAGATGGCTGTGCTTTGGGCGAAACGACGTATTTCTTGATCTTCGTCGGGTCAGCCTGAATCTTTGAGCCCATTGCTGTTTTCCTGGCGGTGATGTCGGTGCCGTAGTTGGAGACGGTTGCAAGATGTTAGAAGGAGGTGACAAGAATTCTACTCGACCTGAGAGAAGCATCAAAATCACGATAAAACAGCCATAACCAATCTCAGTTTTCAGCACTGGTTGCTTTTTTTGCTTCTCCTCCATCCCCAAGGTCTTGGCTAAAGGCGCGAACTTCACCTTTTGGATCTGTTCCTTGAAGGCTGGTAGCGGAAAATGCAAAACGTATGTCGAATTGGCGAGAAGGAAATCGGGAGCTTAGAAGAAGATGGATGAAAACGAAATTTTGTTTCTTCAGCAGGCTGTAATGTTTATTCATGATGTCCCCGGGTTGTTATAATCATCAAGTACACGGCGGTATGATCAATGGCCATGCTGCTGAATAAGTAAGCATGAAGGTGAACAAGACTACAGCTTGTTGAGCAGTGTTCCAGTATCAGTGTCCGGGAACGGCAGTAAATGCCTTGTATCCGCTACGTCTTCGACGCCTTGTTCTGACGGACAGCGCCTTGTTCTGACTCAACATTGATTGAAAAATAGTACACCAACGTCGTGGTCCTCTGTATCATAATGTCAATGATTGAAAAATAGTACACCAACGTGGTCCTCTGTATCATAAGGATAAACATCTTCAATGAGGGCCATGACCCGTTCTTTCCGCTGGTCGACGTCGACTTTGTAGACGTGCAATTGCGAGTCATCATTTTTTTTTCGCGGGAGAACGTGGACGAAGAGATAGCCATCTACGTAGGACATTCCAGTGACTGAGGGAGTCTGAGTTGCCTCGCTGTCGAACATGGATAACTTCGACCCTTGGTTGAATACTTGCATGGCCGCTTTGACAGCTGGCGATGGACGTTCTTCTTCCTCTTTTTAGAGCTGTCCGTCATTCATCTTTCAAGTGCATCCTTGAAAAGTGTGGGGGAGTCCTTTTCCCTTAGGTGGATCCTCCTCGTCCATACATTTCATCAAGGATGCAGCGTCCAAAGATACGTTTCGAGGTACAGCCTTAATTTTTGTCTCCGTCATCGTCGTCATCTCCAGTACTTCGTCTTCCCCTACCTCTCTGCTCCTGCAACAAAACCACCTTGCTTATTGCATTATTTACCGTGTCTGACGCCTGCTGCACTGCTTTACTGACCGCTTGGTACGTCGTGTTCAAGACTGGCGTTACTGTGTTTCGAACCACGGGAACCACGACGCCTTCCACGTTGCTCAAAGTCTGTAGCGTGTTGTTGATCGCCGGCGCCACCACGTCCACGACGCCTTGTAGCGTGTTGTTGATCGCCGGCGCCACCACGTTGTTCAAAGTCTCCATCGTCTTGTTGGCTAGAGGCAAAATCACTTGGTTCACCGTGTAGTTGGCTGCCATGGCACTGCCTTCAACTTAGAACTAGTGTTTTTAGTGATTCATTATAATATCCGTTAGTGTTTCATTATCCGTTCTTGCCGAGTTCTTAATCCACCTTGATCTTCAGGATACATAGTGATAGTCCAACATCATGCCGGATAGGCAACGATGTGATAATGATCATGAACACGAGGACTTCCCTTATATTATCCTTCTTTCGTGGATTCGATCTATCATTGACAGTTTGGACTTGTCAGGAATGGACGCTTTGAGCCAGAGACCCACGCAACTTCCTTTTCTTGGCAGCTTGATTTGTCCACCTGTCCTCGGCTACCTTTATGGACAACACCAGGTTCTCCGGGCAAAGATCCTAAGATGTGATACTGATCATGAACACGAGGACTTCCCTTAATCGACAGTGCCTTTAGCAGCTGGTATAACGCCGTCGTTGACGATAGTCGACGCAGCCGCACTAACAGCTTCTGCGGTCGCACTAACAGCTTGTTCCACCGTGATTCCTGGCATGACCTCCTTGGGTTCTTCTTCTGTCACATTTGATGTGTCATTGGTGCCGTTGCTGGCGTTCAAGGCTTCTTGCGCTGCGAACATGGCCGCTAACTCTTCAGGAGTGCGCGGCAATTAGAGATGAAGAAGTAGTGGTGGATGTGAAGATGAGGGCGCATCTTGTCATGTGAGTGTTGAAGTTAATCTTATAATGCTCTTATACTGTTTTAGCCCTCAGTGTTCATCTTGCTGCTCCTATTCTTGTCACAAAAAAACAACTACAACCATCCGACGATCTCCCGTCATAATCAACGCTCCCCTTCCGCAGTGCCAGAGCATCGGGTATCCCCGTCTCGAAGATTTCTCCTGTTTTCTTGGTGTTGTAGTTGATGTCCCGATGCTTGGACCACCTCGAACCCCAAAACTGATTTGGAGGTGACCATTCTCGCACGAAAACTCCTCTAGGTTTCTTGAGGGCCGCGGCAGAGACTGCTTTTGCTGTTGCGTTTAAGGATGCGGTAGAAGATGACGAGGCGATTACTGTGTTGATTAGAGAAAGATGCAGCGAAGAGATCAGGAAGAAGACTGACGTGGTAGTACCAATTTTAACTATTTTATTCCACTGACTTACTATTTCTATGTCCTCGACCTTCTTTTCTTCTACCTACTAGAGCTTCACATGCAAGAACGTCATCCTAGCGCCATAATGATTTTGTGTCCAGCATGTTGATTTCTTTTCCTGCCAACAATCTCCCCTTCGTATACAGCAACGACGCCTCTGCCTCATCGGGGTCTTTCGCCTGCTCTTTAGCCGTAAAACCATATTCACGAACGACACCTATTCTAGCGCCAGCGTAAACACGTTGCCGTGACCCTAGTGCAATGGCCTCTAAGCCGTTTTCCTCGACCCAGCCAATGCCGTTGTGCAGTGTCAGGGATTCGCGGATTTCTCTGGAGTCTATGTCGTAGAGTAGCGTTTTCATTCCATTTTTAGCTGCCAACCAGACACAGCAGTCATAACGCTGGAATTCACCGCGAGCACCAATGTAGTTTCGAATCTTAGGCTCTGCTGCAGCTGGTCGTACAGGTGCAGCTGAAGACGAAGTTCGTGAAGATGCAGCAGAACTTGCTGGAACGATAGCTCCACTTGGTGCGGAGGTAGTAGCAGCGATATTGGCAGAAGCAGTTGCGCTTGTGCCAGCAGCACTGGAAGCAGGTCCGTCCCCGGCACCTGAGGAAGGCGCAGCTGAAGGAGCAGGCGTTGCATCACCAGAAGCTGCAGCAGCGGTTGCGTCACCAGCAGGTGCTGCAGCAACTACAGGGGTGGCAATCCCTGCCCCTGGAGCCGTAGTCGTAGCATTTGTGTCCTGTCCTAACAGCAACAACGCCGCACTTCCACTGCCCCCGTCGCCCCCTATGAAGCCAAAATATGTTATCATTATCATACTTTTCTACTTATAAGAAACTTGATAATGATGACAGATTTTCTTTTCATACCCCCTATTATGCTAGTTCCAGTGTTAAAGAAGTCCACTGCCCGTTCAACTGTGGTATTCGGTACTTGGTCACTAGCATTGGTTCCGCCTGTCAACATTGCTTCCAAGGCAGCTGGTGACCCACCGTAGTCGCCCAATCCTGTTCTGAACTCGACGGTCCCGTACTCCCCACTAGGACTTTCCCCTTTTAGCAGCACCCTAAAGTCCATAGCTCTCACGCCATGAGGTGTTACACTGAGATGTTTTAACGGTAGTGGGATGTCCTCGAACTTGGTGATGGCTTCCTCGCCGCGGCGCATGCCTTGAAGCTGACGGACGATGGCGTCCTTTTTACTCAGACTTGTTGGAGTGGACGGTTCTCGCGAGAATAGCTGCTTGGCTTTGGAGGTGTCAGAGCCAGATGACGAGAAAAACGAGAAAAAAGACGATAGCGCACCTCTACTGCTTTGACTCTCCTTTGCTACATTCTCACCGCCATGCTCGAGAAACAAGAATGACGCATTTGCGTTTGTTGTTGAGTTGTTACCACCATCACCGCTTGTACTAGATGATGCTGGCGCGGTAGTTGTATCCTCTTGTTCAGTTGAAGATGTATCTGGTGCTGCAGTAGTATCTGCTCCACCCCCTCCTAAAGCTGCACCAGCAGTTCCACCACCACCAAGAGCAGGTACAAAAGCGGACGATCTAGTCGGAGGCGCCTCTACCATCGTCCAATTGTGAAATTGACCATGCTCAGCAGCAACGCCACTAAATGCTAGAGGCATACCACTCGCAGACTTGCGCGCTTTCTCGACGAAGGTTGTGTCTTTGCGTACGGTGCCGGCAAAGGGGGATGAAAGGGTAGAGGAGGAAGAGGTAGAGGAGAAGGAGGAGGAAGAGGAGGAAGATAAGGACAAAGTCTGGCTGTTAACATGCTTAGCAATCTTGTGCGAATGACTCAATGGAATGCTTACTCGAAAAACAAAAATAAGCGAGTAGCAGACGAGAATAACCGAGATACTGATGAGAAGGAAGAGTAGCCTTGATGTTAAGCTACCTCCCTTATTTCAGTCAGTGACTCGGCTATTTTGAGTTTTCGAATAACTCCTAAACAAACTCAGCGTCGTCATTCCGTGATCATAAAGGAATAGCCGTCTTTGTCATTCCAGGCATGGGTCCTCTAAACGTCGTCGGCAACTGCACAAACCACAAATCATCGGTGTCGCTGGTCACTACTAGTTGATCTCGAATCACTGCGATGCCACTCAAGTCGCCTACGTTAGACCTTACCTATATTTACGTTAGACCTTATACCTATAAATATTCATCTACTTGAAGAGCAGCATCTTTGGCGTGCTTTTCCCTTGAAAAAGGCCCTTCCTCTTTGTTTTCTGAGGACTCAAAGATGCTAACTTCTTAAGATGCTTAATTCTTAAGATTACTACGGTATTGGTGACAACGGCTAATGAGTTAGTCTTCTTAGGAGTCAAAGATGCTAACTTCTTAAGAAAGGATGCTTCTTAAGCTGAGTTATTACGGTGTGGGTGTGCCATAACAACTGTGCCCATCTTCGTCTTGGTGCCCTCTAAAAAAATGGCTTCGCCGCCCTCGTTTGGTAGCTGAAAGCAATTTTTCAATCCGGATTCTATCTTCTTTTCGATTTTTTGGCTTCGAACAACCTCGGCGAGGTCCTTCAAGGCACGCTGTGCGGCGACGTCGTGGGCGACGGCTGTCGTGATGTTTGTGGGAATGTACTATGATACTAGAGAATGTGATGCGACAGAAGATCGGGCTAGATGAGTGAAGTTCTCCTTTTATAAGATCTTCATAGTCAATGTCAAACCAGCAGTTGCAAACTATCAAGTACGAATGATCCATTTCCTTTCCTCTGCCTTGTGGAGCACCAAACTGGACGCTCCATGCAGGAGGAGGAGGATGAGGTATGATACGAAACCAAGCAAAGCCGTCTTGCGTGTCCATGCCCCAACGATCCCCTGGATCGCACATCTTGTTGATCCGCCCATCATCGTCATCCGACATCTTCCTTGTGGCATCCTGCCCATATTTCTAGCGACTAGTACGGGGCCGCCAGCGTCCGAGGGGGCCCCGGTCTAGGGGCACCATCACAACATGATACTTGTTCGTTAGATTTTTCTGAGATTGATGAATTCTTGGAATTCTATGTAGGGGAGCTGAGAACTTTCTGGCTGTGTTTTTATGTCTCCTTTTGGTCGCAGATGAGACGATGCAGGTGCGTTTTTGGTCGTTTGGGGAAATATTTACTTTTTTAGAGTACTTAAGTAGGTATTGGGTCCGTTTTCGGCGGGTATTCCTCTTCTTTTGTCGGGTGAAGGTAGGCGTGTTGCTTCTTCGGTCAGAACAGTATGCTCAACATCTTTCCTTGCTTTTGCTCTTGTGTAAAATGCTATTTTCAGAACCTTGAAGATTCACTAAGCTTGCATTGTCATTATCTTTCGAGCTCGTGCGTTTTTTGCATTAGGAACTACAAGTGGCGATAGTTCGTTTTGAGAAAAAGACTGATTGATAGTGTAAGATAGCGATAGGCATTGAAAAAAACTGACTTAAAAATCATGGTAAATTGCAGCTATTGAAGAATTGGAGGTAAATACTGAAGATTTGGACAGCGGGTTAGACGTGATTGCGCTTGAGAATCTTGTCCGCTCTGATCTGCTCTGCGTAGGATAGGAAATGAGGTCTTGACCGAGGGCTTTTATAGAAAATCAAAAGTGGAAATGAAAAATGCTGCATCCGTGTTGAGCTCTATGCATCAAACTGGAAAGGGGACGATCACTAGTACGGTGATAACGTGTTGAGTATCTGTTAGTATTATGTATGACAGCAGATTTTGATTTTTAATTTTACACATGCTGCATGTACGAATGACAAAAAGACGCATGATAGCTGTACAGAGAGGGATATGATTGATGGTATTCGTATTACTTCTATTAGCGATATGAAAAATGTATTCTCAAACGGTTTTGATCAACACAAGCTAATTTCTCCGAAAAACTTGCTGCGGCTGGAAGTTGATACAAATCATTATCTGAAATCTGTTCTTCAATGGCAATAAGAATAAGAGTGAAATACGAAACATAAACTGCTTTTGCTACGCTTCCGATTACGAATACTTGCATTTTGAGGTTATAAGGTTTTATGTGTTCATATATTCGAAATCGAAATCTGTGCTACTGTTCTACTGAGTTCTCTTTAGATGTTTTTAGTGATGTGATAATATCCTATCATCCTTCTTAGAAGATGTCCTCTTCTTCTTCTTAGAAGATGTCCTCTTCTTCTTCCTCCTCCACCTCAGGATCCACGGGACAGGACACCTCCAGCGGTTTCCTCAAGTCGATGTCGAATCTCAGCAAGTTGAAACCCGAAACCGCATAAATTGCAAACGTCTTGAGTCCTTTCCGCGTAGCTGCTATTCCAGAAACAGGCTCCGTCAGTTTGAACACCCCGATGGGGTCTCGGCGGAACCCAGTGTTTGGACCGCGAGTTCTAGTTGTACTCCTAGTGGAAGTGGACTTTCTTCTACGGGAAGAAGTGGATTTTTCCCTTTCGAGAAAGGATAAAATGTTGTCACTAGTATCTGCCTCCGCTATGTGCGTAGCTTTCTTCGAAGATGCAGATGGGTACCACGAGAAGCTTTTAGTTCTTCTCGGCATTGTATGTTGACCGCCACTCCAATGCGACGCTTCTTCCGTGTTCTCATCTAGCAATGATGTCCTACTTCTACTAGTTGTACCAGGTCGCTCATGACGCTCATGTCCAAGTCCTTGATGATGGAGGTCCTGAACCTGGGTGGAAGGCATAACCAAATTGAACACCAGTTTTTCCTGATCTTCGAGAGGTTGAGAGGCGATTGAGTCTAGATTCTCCTCTAAGAAAGGCGTAGTGAAAGTGCTAGTCCTCGAAAGATGATCGTTGATTCGTTCGATGTCCTGCAATTGTTCTTGGACCATCTGGTGTTGCATGTTGTAGGTTTGTTGCTCGAGTGGAGTGCTTGCGCCGTTGATGCCGACACTACTAGTTGCTGCGAGTGGTTCATCTTGTTCATCTTCATCCTCCTCCATATCTGCTTTTAGAGGTAGGTTTTTGGTGCTCGCTTACCCCGCTTGTTATGCCTTTCCCCCTTAGGAGAGGCATAAAAAGCGGTAAGAAAAGCACCTTTAACCTACCCTTAATGCTTCGATGCTTCTGCTACTAGCAGATGAAGCACCAGTTCGCAACAAGACTGCCTCATTCATCCCCCTCAACATCCTTTCTTCCCTCCACTTCTTCCGCTTCGCCAACAAGAAAGCAAGATGTGCCGCAGGTGCTCCTGTAGTGGATTCATCTTTTGATGTCGTGCCGTTGCTTCCACATTTTTAGAGGTAAATACTATAGGGAATTCATCCCAGGGATCATCTGGGTCCCCTTTCCTTCTTGTACTCAAAGTTAGTTGTATCCATGATATGCAAATCAATTTACTAGAGTTTCCTTCTAGTACAACCAGATGACTTTCTTGGCGACGAATTCCTTACACCCAACATAACCATTGTTCTTGGACTCGTTGTACTCAATGTCCGTCCTATACCTAGCTCTATCCGTGATCTCTTCGGTCAACTTCTGCACCTGAGCCGAGTGATCGGAAATGTTGAATTCCAAATCAGGGAAGCCCATGCCTTTCGGGTCTTCAAAGGTGGCGGCTGGGCCTTCTGGCAGAATTTGTTCTTCTTCTTCGGGGAAATGAAGGAGGTCCTGGTGGGTGGAGGGAAAGATATGGAATTAAATGATATATGGGGGGCCTCCCTCCCTGGTACATATATGGTAGTTAGAGATGCACTTTAGTTGTGGTTTCAGCTTCGCTAGTGATCATGCAGCCTTGTGGCTGTTGTTTGTAGGAAATAGCAATAAAAATCTGATGAAATAACGATGTCATGAAGATTCCGATTTTTCGGGGAACAACACGTGGAAAAAAAAAATGTTAGCGACATAAACAACTTCCTCCTCGGCATCATATTCCTTCTCCATAAACAACTTCCTCCTCGGCATCTTCTCCATAAACAACTTCCTCCTCTTCCTTCTCCTCTACTTTCCCTGGCGCTTCTGGCGGTTGAAATAGAAATCGCCAGACTTTTTCGTCAATGGAGGTGGCATCTTCAGCGCCGTTGACCTTCCGCAACGGCGGCTTACCCATGAGCAACCCAGACTCAGGGAAAGCCATGAATTCGGGTTTTCTGGTTTCTATAAAGGCTATAGCAGCCTCGAAGCGCCTGTCGACTTCAGGAGCGTACACGTAAATGTAGGAGTTGTTCAAAGGAGACTTGATCGCGACGAAGAGGTAACCTGAGGATTTTTTGATGGTAGTAGAACTGCAAGTACTAGTGCTGGAACGAGTTTGGCTTTGGTTTGACTTTTCATTATTGTTCTGAAAGTGGTAGACAACGACAAGACACTGAGCAGGGTAATATTAACGAAGATGAAGATCGATACAAGTCAAAAGTACCATCCAGATAGGAAATCCCAGAAGGTTGGGCGGTTCTATTGCTCACTGTCATAAACGGCACCATCCAAGCAGGGTAGGCACCATTGCCAGTCGCTTGGGTATCGTTGCCTCCACTGCCGTCAGAAGCGTTGCCTCCACTGCCGTCGGAAGAGCGAGAATTAGAAGACGTCGTTCGTGAGTAGAAAGAGAAAAAGAGTCAGAATGTGCATGGGAATGCCTGTGAATGCGAAAAGATGAAGGCATAAATATGAGGACACAAAATGCGTCACCAATTCAGTCTTTCTTTTCATAAGGTTGGGGTTTAGCTTTAGGTCCAGCGGCGCTCAAAGCACTAAAGTAAAGCAGTCGGAGGTTAGTTTTTACCTCTAGAGACTTAGCCCTTCCAACAATATATGACTCATAACACCTACTGCTCCACCAGATCCCGCACTAGCAGCTCCACCTCCACCTCCGGCAGCACCTGTGCCACTCCCAAATGACCCCATCGCTGGCCCAACTACTGGTGTATTTCCAGTATACTGATCGCCGTCAACGTCGGCTCTCTTGATGGAGAAATTGTCCTCATCATCGTCTTTCATCGCAGCCGCACTACCAGAATGCTGACGTTGAAGTACTTGCATTCCCTCTTGCTCTACTTCAGGAGTACGACTAGACGAGGACTTTGGTCTTCCATCGTCTCCCAAGTTATCATGCCAAGCATTCTTCGTCTCATCTATGTCCTCATCCTCGTCTTCAGGGTACGCTTGATGAGCGTGAGCCGTAGAACTACTTTTACCTCGTTGAAGTACTTGTATGTCCTCCTCTTGTTCAGAAGTACCAGAAGATATATGCAATTGACGCCAAGCATTATTCACCTGCTCATTTAGCTCATCCTCTTCTTCTTCTTCAGCATCCAAGCCCTCATCATAGTCAACATCCTCTCCAAGGGCACCCTCTTGTTGCTCAATGTTCTTGAGCTTGGAATTACTCTCGTCTTCTACTACGTGTCCTCTTCCCACACCAAACTGAAGTTTACGAGCAGCTTTGTGGCTCTTGTTCCCAGCAGCTTTGTGAGGACTCTTATTTTTCGTGGTCGTTACTTGAACTTGTCCTCTACGCTGAAGGATTTGCCTCACCTTCGGTCTTGGTGCTTTCTTTTGGCCACTAGAAGAAGCTGTTTTCTTTTTCTTCCACCAATCTCGAGGAAAATTTTTTTCCGCTTTGTTGAAGTAGCCTTCTTGTTGAGCTGCAGCGACTTGTTTATTCAGATGTGATACTACAGGTGGAGGTACTTCTTGATCTTCACCCGTAGTTGTTTTCGATGCAACCCGTCTCCTCTCGTCTTCGTCTTGTGCCTGTCTCTTCGAATGTACACTCCGAACTTCGTAGCCATTGACTGTTTTCACTGAAGAAGAAGAAGATGTGTCTACTTGACCACGACTCGCATGATTTGGCATGATCTTCGCATCAAAGGTAAGCGTTCTTCGGGCCCCAGTGGAAGCAGAACCACTAACACTCATCTTCAGTGCTTTTGAGGTTCGCTCAGAAGCGGACGAGCCTTCGTTGATGATGGACTTCGCGTTCTTCCGAGCTTTCGACCTGGTCATGTCCTCTTCACCACGTCGGCTTTTCGCTAAAGCTGCTGCTTTTGGGACACTTCTAGACGAGGGTGACGTAACCACGTGTAGCCGCAAGTCTTCACGTGTTCTCTTTGCCTTGTTCGCTTCTTGTTGAAGAAGATGTTTTTGATTTTGTGTGTCGTGGGTCTGACCATGAAGAACTACAGGATCTGGATCATCATCATGTGTTTCCCCACCTCCAAGGTTTACCTGCATCGTTACACCCTTACCGGCTGGATGTAGTTCTAGTCCTAGTTTCGACGCAGTCGACGCCTCTGCTTCGTGTCCTCGGTCGATCGATAGAAGGTGTGGGCCTTCCCGTTCTCCTTCGTTTGTTGCCTCCTCCGACATATTAAGAGCTGTGGGCGTGCCCCTTCCGTCTTCAGCATGGTGATGGTGAATCTGTATCCGCCCTTGCTTGTCGAATGCAACGGGCTGCTCTACTTCACTTCTATCGAGAACAAGAACTGGCGCAGATGTTGCTGAGCCTTGCTCATGTAATTGCTCAGGAGGAGAACCAGATCGCCCAGAATCAGCTACAGCATGTGGCTCTTGTTCTTCAGCATCTCGCTGTGCTTCTGCTACCGGTGGTTGTTGAAGTGATCCAGGAGCCGAGTGGTATCCGATAATTCGGCCTTGCTTATCGAACACGGGCACAGCATCGTCATTCAAGTCAGTGCTTGTTGCACTCACCGCAGATGGCGACAACTGGTAAGAAGTGTTGATAGAATTAGTCTGAGTCTGAGTCTCCTTCCTAGGTGTTCCTAGGTCCACCTGGGCAGAGGCAGAGCCAGCAGCTGCACTAGACGCCGCTGCTCCTGCCTTTGCCGCAGCCTTCTGCCTCCTTCTTCGTCGTCGGTATATCGTCTTGTGGTTCGCTGGCTTTTGCTGTCTTTTTCCTGGCTGCTCATGATGCACCTGCATTGTCGATTGTTGTTTGCTTGCCAGCTGTTGATGCAGTACTTGTTGTACTATCTTCTTCTGTTGTTGACGCCCTATCGACTGTTGATGTGCTGAAGGCCGTTGACGCGTTGTTCTTGTTGCCCCAGGATAATTTGCCGCGTGTACGTGTTGCTGACGTGTCTGTTGTTGAGATGCTGGTTTCCGCTTTTTATGACTCTTCACGTGCCAAGTGTAGGCGTTGCCGTCTTTCCGATGCGTCTCAAGAAGCTCGTATTGATCGCCGTCAACATGTCGTTCTTTTGAGGAGGTAGAGGAGTCGTCGCTTGTTCCACGACTTGTTTGGTGAACCTGAAGAAACACGACACTCGGCACTTGCGACGGCACAAAATCTCCCACACGCACAACATCTGCCGAAGCGCTCGTCAAACCTCCTGTAGCTGAAAAGGTTGATGCCTGTCCTTCAGGTACTATCGTTAGCGGATATCGATCATAGTTGTCAATCGAAGATGGGCTGACTCTGACTCCCAGAGAGCCACCACCACGACCACTTCCTGCCAGATCCAACAGCATCATTGCTGACGATCCCCCAGCAGGTGTAGTGCTATCCGTGTCAGTTGTTAGAGTCTGCTAGATTGCATCTCGGCCCCCTCAACATTTTGACCACTTTACTACCCTCGTATCATTTCATAGGAATAATACAGGAGAACAATAAAAGGGCACCGAGATGCCGAGAAAGATGGACACTAAATGTTGACCTTAAAGTTGCAGAAGAGCTGTTGCTGTTGCTGCTACTATTAGTAGTGCCAAAAGCTAGCTGTTCCCAGAATGGATCCGGCACTTTCCATGCGCCCATTTCCCCTGGTAATTCGTGGCCAGCGACAGGACGATAGGGAATAGGGGTTTTGCCGATCTGCAGGTCCAACTCATAGACCTTGAGACCATTCGGTTTGAATTTTCCGCCATCATCGGCTTTGAAGTTGTCGGCTACTGTGTAGATACGGCCAGCTGAGCCTAAGGCAATGCCGCCCATAGTGGCTACGGGTGAGACCTCGCCGGTGGAAGAGGTCTGCTCTTCGCCGAGGAGGAGGGGAAACCTAAAAAGAAGTTGGTCTTGTTTTGGGGACGACGAGGTGGTCACAAGTAGTATCTTCAGTGAGGGAGATGAAAAGTATCAAAAGTAGAGATCTGATCGAGAACAACGAACTGCATTTCGAACTGCATTTTTCTCCGATTATTTAAAGAGAGAAAATGTAGATCTGACATCAAAAGTAGAGAACAAAAAGTATCGACGAACAGCCACGTCAGCTTACGTCCTCACGGGCAATCGTTGTCTTGCACCTCCTGCTTCCTCTGCCTGTGGATCTACTAGAATTATGGACTTCTTGCCTCCCTTTTTTCCTCGTTCTCCTACTACAAGCCATACCCGTTTCGTGTTGCGAGACGCGCGCAACCAGGTCGTATTCGTCGTGCCATTGGCAAATCGGCTCACCACGTACTCCGTTGTATCCTTGTCTGCCAGCAACCCCTTATGATAGTCGTCGAATGGGGAGTTAGAGGAGAGCCATAATAAACGGTAACAAAAGCACCTTTAACCTACCCTTAATCAGTCTCAGGGTACAAGATCATGTTTTTCGAAGACAAGAATACATAGAGCACCAGCACAGGAGTCTTATTCAACAAAAACAGCAAAACCATAATCATCGCCCCCCTCTTTATTAACTGGAAATAGCGTATGCCTCGAGGTGTTGTTACTAGTTTGTGGACTTCGCCAAATTTTTTCACGAACGACTTGAGATCGTCCTGTTCCGCCTGCTTCGTCTTCAATTTTGATTTTCGTGGAGCATTTGTATTAGAGCTAAAAGAAATCCATCTTCGCGCGCATCCTGGAACCTTTTTTTCCCCCTTCAAAACCTGTGAAGATGGATGCCTGTGAAGCTGGTGGTGGATTTGTTCTTGTAGCCTTAATAGTACTAGAGGATTTCAGTGTTGCTTTCAAGGATCTTGTCTGCTGTGAGGACATCGCCAACAGACTCGAAGCTCCTCCTCCTCCTCCTGTATTTGGTGGTGTTTGAATGTGCCATTAGAGCCCACTATAATCCATCTTTTGCCTGATCTACTGTGTCAACTTTTCTACTTGAAAACAGCTCCTCCCAGAAGATGAGCCCAAAGTCCTAGGTGGATAAAGTGCAAAGTAGATGGATTGACATTGAAGCCCAAAGTAGATGGATTGACATTGAAGCTCAAAACAGCTCCTCACAGAAGATGAGCCCAAAGTAGATGGATTGACATTGAAGCCCAAAGTAGATGGATTCACTCAATTTAGAGGTAGGTTTTTGGTGCTTGCTTACCCCGCTTTTTATGCCTTTCTCCCTTAGGGGAGGCATAAAAAGCGGTAAGAAAAGCGCCTTTAACCTACCCTTAATCAATAAAGTGAGGCCTTAATACAATTGAAAGCGTTTGGCAGAAAAAGTGCCATGATCGGAGGAGATTCCCTGGATGCTGATGGCGGCGTCATCGTCGGGAGAGGCAGAGGACGAATCGACTATTCCTTTCTTGACCTCGTAGAGCGCGTTTGATTCTCTGACTGGAAAAATGCCACTCCTCAAATCCGCGAAAAAAATCGTTTTCACCTCACTGCTGGTCACGGCTAGTTCAGATCCGCTCACTGTGACGCCTGAAAGGAGTACTGGCCTTTTTTCTCGCGTTGAGTAGAATTCCGCGGGGAGAATATGACAACTACTTCTATTTGGAGGAGAAGGTCCCCGAGTTGTGGCATGATTACTAGGCTGGAGTTCAAGGTCGGAAAGGCGAGTGAAAGACGTTTTTCTTTTCCTGGAAGTGAACTGTTCTTCGTAGTTGGCATAGTCGTACGAGGTACTGCTAGTGCTACTGCTAGATGAGCTCTCTAAGATCGAGGATGGGGAAGTGTTTTTTCTCGGAGTTCTTCTACGCTTATGCGCCTTGTTTTGAATAGAGACCTCGTCATGGTTCTGCGTTTTGCTGCGGCCACTACCCTCTAGTACTAGCTCTCGTACTATGTGCTTGTTGTCCTTCTTTATCCGAGGCGGTGGTTCCCCAACATCATCATTCGGGATGCTACTCTTTATATCATCTAGATCTCTACTCGCCAACCGTAGCAGTTCGGAAGTGACGTCGGCAGACGGTGCTGGTAGCGAAGACCCTGCAGCTAGTAGTAGGTGCGAGAGAGCAGATGTCTTCAGACGGCATGAGAATGGAGACATCATTATATGTTGTATGCGGATTTTTCTCGTGTTCACTTTTCTGTACTACCAGAAGGAGGTGCTAAATCAAGCAGGAGGACTTCGTTCCTCGCGGGTTTGCCGATAGAAGACTGTTTTTCAAAATGATTTCACAGTTTCTTTCAACTTATTTCTCTTTTTTTCAGCGCTGCTTGGCGTCTCTCAGCACTCTGCGAATAAGACAAAGACTCCCCTTGTGGTCCCTTCATTCAACGCCAACATTTTTCTGCTTGCTCCATGCTTTTGCCATGAGAGAAGCCTTTGAAGCTGCTCGTCCAGGGGACGAGCTTTAGAGAAGCCCTGTTGTTCCGTTTGACAACACAGCACCAGTGCAAGTACTCGATTTTGATCGTAATCAATCTATAAAATTTTGAAGAATGTATGAGGTCTACGAGGTCATGCAGGTGGCTGGGGGCCACAACATCTAAGTGAATCGTTCATGATCTTTGCGTATTCGTAGTGGATGCGAGCTTTAATTTTCTTCTTTAGGTGTTCTCTTGTCCTCGGTCTGAATTATGTTGTGTTAAGTGAGGAAGAGGATGGCGAAACCATGTTGATAGTAAGACAACTAACTGATGAAGTCTACTATCACTAGACTGATGTAGTTGTCTTATGTTCATCTTTAGCGTTAATTTACATGATCTGATCATCATCAATGATCGTGTACTGTGGAGCAAGATTTACATTGTTCTTGTAGTTCTTGTTCGCGGAAATGAGCAGTCTCTATCTTTACTATACAGGTACAAAGGTAAGACTACAAAGACATGTAGTACTAACTAGATCGTTTTGGTTACTTATAATAGAGTTTGAAGGTTCAATCATGTGCTGCTACTATTTGACAAATGATGCTATTTGTCCTTGTCGAGGAAACTTACGTGATGACAAGCTACTTAATTGAAGCTAGAATGAAGATGCACAACTAGAACCTTCGAAATAAATCTCTACTATCGAAGGTCTACCATTATTGCTATGATCATTTTTTTTGATGTTCAGTGATGTTCCGTGAGCAGGCATCACTAGTTCTATTGTGTTGCTTGTACTAACTTCTAAGTCACTACTTGTTCTCCTAACTATAAAGGTCTTTACCTGCTCGTTCATCTTTTACCGATGAACAACAGTACAACATTGATAAGCGGCGTAGTTTGTAATCGACGAAAAATGATAGATTCTAACGATTGATGTAACGAGCAGAAAACTCTGATTCAGATACTTGATTAGTCGTATTGTTCTTGACAGTGTCGCAAAGATAATTGTAACTGATAGCAAAGAAGATAATTGTGATGTAACTGATAGTGATAGATAGATGATGTATAATAATTAACGTAGCAGAATGATCAAAACTGAATTCTAAACACTAGAGTTAAGCAGAATGATCAAAACTGATTTCAAAACACTAGTTCTAGAAGGTGTTCACGTCGTAGAAGTGGTAGCACTCACGTAATCCACGTTGAGGACTCAACAAGTTTTTAAGTAGTAGAAGATTAAGATATTCTTTTCATCTTGATCATCTTCTGATGTAGTACATGATTTCCTTAAAAGTTCTTCATCCTCATCGAGCACTACTCCTAGTCCTCCTACTGCTGTCACTACTACTAAGCAAACGACCTCTACGATATTCTATAGTTGTTGTCCCACAGAGACTCAAAAGTACTAGGAGAACCAGAACCACGACAGTTTCTTTCTATTAGAGGTAGGTTTTTGGTGCTTGCTTACCCCGCTTTTTATACCTTTCTCCCTTAGGAGAGGCATAAAAAGCGGTAAGAAAAGCACCTTTAACCTACCCTTAATTCTACTTAGCCCTTTGTTCTCTTCGAATCTTGTACTGGTCAGCTAGGATACCTGGGTTGCTGACCACTGTGACTGGATCCCCTGTGAGGTACTGGCTATTGGTCGTGTAGAACTGTCTCTTCTTGTCGACGAAGAGACCTTGGTCGAAACTCACAGCAGACGAATTGTTTTTGCTGTTGTTTTCGATGTTCTTTTTGGGTGGGAGTTAGACTAACTTAATAATTTAATGTCTCTTCGCTTATTACTATTAGTAAACTTACTAATAGTACATGTAGCAGTAAGAATGAAGGAGAACAAGGTGTTTAATTTGAAAATTTGGAGTGAATATCGTAGAACTGAAAACGAAAAGCTTGTTTCTGTTTGTGAATCAAGATGAACAAATAGACCTGTAGATATATTATCATTGAATATTCCTTAGTCGTGGTGATGAAATCCAGAAAGAGTGCTGCTGAGGGTAAAAATAGTAGGAGTAGTAGTAGTAGCAGTAGTGTACTACCCAGTCTAGTACCCAGTCTAGAGGTGTAGAAGAAAGAAGGGGATATCCAGAAAGAGTTAGTGACCACAGGGAAACAGCGAACAACGTGTAAAAACACAATACCGCAACTTCAAATCCGCCTGAGCGTTTCGTGATCGGTAGGCCATAGGGTCATACGGTTCAAGTGGCTTGTTGTCCATTGATGAGTAGCAGTACCTGAAGAAGTACGGAGAAACGTCAGCGTAGCAGCCGTGTGATGAGTTTTGCTCAGAAGTAGATGTTCTCTATCAACACTTAACATCGATCAACAACAACTTGAGTAAGTCTTACTACCTTTTTGGTCCGAATTGAGTGGAGTACTCGCTCTGGCCTGGACTCATGTTTTTTGGCTTAGATGGAACGGCACCAGTCTTGTAAGGTCTGGCTAGAATTATGCCTGCTGTTTGGAAGAACCCTCGAGAAGAGCCGACCTGTGGTGTGGAGGTGGAAGTGGGACATAATAGTATAATATTATATCCGAAGTAGTCGAATGGATTAGATGCTTAATATATGCTTAATATATGTCGAAGAGGAATGCTTAATATATTCGATCCAAAGTAGAATATATCAGATGTGTTGAAGCAAGAGCAGAATTGGAAAAATGCTGCAAAAAGAAATTACCGCACTATTTTTGAAGTATCCGGACCCTGCGTTGGCATATTTCTGCTTTAGCTTGTTGAGCTTCGGGTCTTGACTCAGCGCCCCTGTCGACGCGCTCTTGCCGAGCGTCATTTTCTTTGTGTGGTCGTGAACAACAACTTCTACAAAGTACAAGTGTTTAGAAGACGAGTTGAACTAGAGCACTTTCCGTTTTTCTAATAGTAGATAACTTGTTTTCGTATATTTGGAGAAGTTGAAAATGTACTACTAGATGAAGGCTTGTATTTAATTAAATTCACAAAAAAATTGGAGATTGATAGAAATTCTTAATTTCGATCAACTACATCCATATCGTATTATTATACGGAGACGAACCTAGTTGTTGTACTTATTTCTAGACTGGAGGTATAAGAACTGGTCCATAGAAGTAGACGAAGAGGAAGATGAAACTACAGGGAAGTTGGGAGGCGGGTTTGGAGGTGAGAATCTCGTAAAGTAAAATGCACGACGTCTCTCTCCTCCGAGATCCTCTTCCGACCTACAGTTCTGCTGCAAATACGCCTCTTCTCCCTCTCCCTGATCACGATCAGTATTTTTGTCCGATGTTGAGAGACGATTGACATTCATTCGAATGATGAGAGTTTCATTTCTCCTTCTCCTCGTTCTCGTTTCCAGCGCTTCTCTCGGGAAATACATATTACCTCTTTCATTCGTTTTCCTGTGTAGTTGTTGTTACTCTTACTCTCATCTCATTCTTGTGATATATTACTACTCTAGGACACCTTGTTCGAGAACATAGGTGAAGTTTTTCTCCGCGTGGTCGAACACATAAATTCAAAATTTTCAAAAGCAATGTCTGTCCAAAAACGTAGTTATTCATTTCTGTTCAGAAAAAAAATTTGTAACAAAGACGGTAGTTCTTTAGAAGCGTAAGAAGAGTGCCGAAGCAGTCTGTTGTTCATCTACGTGGCTCTCTTCATGGCGGTCCGTCAGTACTCGACGAGAACATTGAATACTGCTCTATTATTTTCCTGTTGTCTATTGTTGTACCGATAAAACCGATAACAGCTGAGAAAAGGTAGGTCACGAGTTAAGTCAAATCCAAGCGGCGCGAGCTAGGCTTCAAGGGTCCAGAATGTGGCTCCAGTGCTGGAAATGCATTAGATCCCGCCGCGGAAGAGTGTAAAGGCTTTTCATATTAGTGCCTTTACCTTCATGCTGTTACTAAACTACTTCGGCTGGAAATCTCCACGCCCATGCTGATGCTAAAACTCTCGCGACAGAGCGAAACACACTCAACCAAGAGCCCTCACCATGGTCATGCTTTGACCTCTCTCACTCCCAACAGAATCGGAACACACTCAAACAGATTCCACCAGCTGTCATCTACTCCCGTATCATCTTGCTGTAGTGCCGACTATATTTGTTGAACAAATAGAATTTAGAATACAGCGCTTACTTGTTGAGCAAGTAATGACATCGATGCTGGCTTGTGTCTTTGCTCATTCATTCATTCACTTACCTGTCCTGGAGGTATCTTTTGTGACGCATGAGCGACATATACCTTAATTAATGCTTGCACGCTTTCTTCTTCTTGGCACTTTGAAGAACAATTAAACTAAAAACCCACTTATTGTTTGTTGTTTTTCCACCCTCTTGTTATGCTTTTTTTGATTACTCTAAGATTTTTGAACCCCCTGACTCTTACGAAGAAGAGGAAAAGATGAAGAAGAACTGCCTTTGTAATTGTATAGATGGAGGCCCGCGATCTCGATCACGTGTGGAGTAGTAGTTTGTTTGTTGTACGAGTTTTATTTTGAAGCCTCTCTTCATTTTGCCCATTCTTCATATTGGAGCCTTGGATCATCACGATCTTGACCTCGAGAAGGTGCGTCCTTGTTCTGGGCGGAAATTCAGGTAGTTAGTACGCTAGAAGACTCGGAGCGTTGCGCTTCCGAAATCGTTATAGCCATAGTACTCTTGAAATGCTCCTGCAACTTTTTCTCGGCCGCCGCGAGGCGCTCCGTGGCTTCTTTAAACTGAAGCTGAATATTTGCATCCGGCGTCAAGGCATCAGCAGGTGAAGCGGCCCCTTCTGTTAAAGCGCCTACGAATCCCTCCCATGTTTGTGTCATCATGTCCACGAGAAGCTGACACGGCTTCACGAAGGCCTCCTCTATGTATCTCTGTCGGTAAACGTCAAGTCGATGCATCGCTTTTTGGGTTCGCGCTTTGATTTCTGTCACCTTGATGCTTAGCCTTTCATACTCGGCGTTTAGCTGAGATGCGATAACGCCATCTAGGCCCAGAGCCTGAAATTGGCCAACTTTAGTATGAAAGTCCAAAATATCGCTCTTGAGCTCCTCAACTTGTTTACGAATGGGGCGCCGTAGGTCTGCAATTTCTTTCCGCAGCGGAAGAGTTTCCCTCTCTAGACTCGTCTCTTTCTTAGACTTGCGCAAGTCTCTGCTCCCATAAAATGCAGCTAACGCGGCTTCGAAAAGCTCAGTGGATTGCTTCTTCATCTGCGCGTTCTTGGTCTCTAGAATCTGAAACGCCTTGTACATCACTTGCTCCCTGTTCTTGGTCTCCAGAATTACCCGAAAGAACTTTTTCTTACGATCAACGGAAGATACGAATTTATCCCACACTTGGTCGAGATGCCCCTTGAGGAGCTTAAGCTCGTCCTTGCTTGCGAGATCCTCGAACCACGGTAGCTTCTTGGCCAAGTTTCCATCTGAAGCTTAGAAGAAGAGAAAAATAATATCATAAAGGGCAAGGACTTCATATATATAAGTAGTAAAAGTTATTACTTATAACTCAAACTTAAATATAGCAGTGGTAGAGGTAGGCTAGTACGCCAACCCGTTGAACCTGTGTTTTTGTGTCACTGTCAGCTGGTGGAGGTTTGTAAAAAGTGAAAATATCCCATAAATCAGGCGATCCAGCTCTGCCAAACGATCACTCAACGGCCACTGAGCTTGGGCATGGGGCTCCTCTCTCGTAGTAGGATCTTCATTCGCGTTTGTAGCCTCTTGATGGTATTGGTAAGGCTCTCTTGTAGGATCTTCATATGCGTTCTCCTTTGTATCTTTCTCTTGATGAAAAAGGTGAACCTCCTGCTGCACATCCTTAAATGTGATCTTTCGCTTTCGCGCGTGCTCTCTTGGGTATGCTTCTGTCTGCCACAAATTGAACTTGTTTTGTGCCTCTGCTTCGCCTGATTTCTTAAGAATCGAGCGCGGGGGAGGCTGGGGCGCAGGAGCGGTGGCATCTTCTGCCTCTTCACGACTGTCGCCGTCTCCATTTTCGCTTTCAGCCTTACTAGCAGCGCGCGTTGACGGGTCACCAGGAGACCACATATCGGAGCCTTCCTCGGAAGAAGCTGAAGCGCCGGGACTCGTCTCGGAGTCGGCTTCGGAACCGGAGGCAGTCGACGCATCCTCGTCTTGTTTTTTACGGTCATCAAGCTCTTTCAAGAGCTTACCAACGCCACCATCCTCGAGAACGATAGTAAGATCTTTCGTTGTGAAAGAGACGCCATTGACTGCATGAAAATGCTGTCCCCAAAACACCAGATGCATCACCACGGCTCGTCCCATCAGGGTCGTGGTGTTTCTCGACATTAACATCTTCGGAGCAAAGGTTGGCATCTTGATGTTTTCCTACAATGTGTTAGTAATAGTATACAATCAGATGTGAGTCTATTGTTCAAGACGACCTTTACTTTATTCTTGATGAGAATGAGTGTCAATCTAATTTTTATATGTATAAAACTTAAAGTTAGTAGGTGTAGGTGAAGGTGATATGCTGATGAAGTTGAAAATCTTCTTTCCGAGAACTAATGAATGAATATAATGAATATCAAACGCTTCTAACTATAAGGATGCCAGGGAAAATTTCAAAACAAACGGAAGAGGTGGAGTAAAAAGTCAAAACAAGCGAGTAAAATTGTTTCCGAGAGAACACAAGGATTACTTCAGGAGGATCACCAAAAATAAATCAAAAAAAGTGGGCGAACAAGTGAACGGGAGTAAAAGGAGGTCAAAAAATATGTGATTATTGAACGAGGTTGGGAGTGTAAGAGCGAGGTCAAAAAACTACTAGGTCGGAGGTAACAATAATTTTTCTAGATAGAAGTTTTATTGTTGCGTTGTTCTTTTCCGTGTTGTGTTTTTCCTGCAGTTAAAAAATGTAGAATCTCAATCTTGTCACTATTGACGTTCTTGTTCTTGTCATTGAAGGTTCAGTAATAACAATAACTGTGCTTTAGCTTTTCTGATGATCCCATCTCGAAATTTCTGATCCCAGCAATTTCTATTTTGTATAAGCAATTGATCCCTGGACCTTGGAGGTGTTGTTGATCATGATCATCTTCCCTTGTTATCACATATCACGTCAGATTCAGACTCAATGCGTATTATAACATAAGTATCGCGTTGAGTCTCCACCGCAGCCACGCGCCGGAGCACGGGATTGAGTAGAATTAATACGTGTTCATTCATTCATGCACTCACGCGGCCACCAATACGATTGATAGCAACATTCTTTCCTGCGATGGGATGCGTATAACATATTTATGTTGATCCGTAAGCATTCAGATGATCTTTCGCATTCAGATGATCTTTCGCATTCAGATGATCAGTAAGCATCTATGTCACATACAACTAGCTGGAACTCGACAGAACAAGTCTCGGAACAAGTACTGCTTCCACTCGGTTGTATGCTCCTCATGATCATCCAGGTTACACTCGTCATACAACATTGCATGTTACACTCATACAACACGATGCTCCTCATGATCATGGTCATCCAGCACAAGTTCTAGAAGCAGTCCTTTCCATTCCTTTACGATATCTGTTCCACAACATTCATATGAAAACGGTTTTTGCTCCCCCAGACCAACTGCTGAGTTTTCTCGCGATGTAGTTCTACCTTTTTGCTGCTCCTACAGCACAACATTATCATGATAATTATGAGCCCGCACAGCTACAGTTTGATGTGTTCGGTAGATAGAAGTGGATGTCATGGCGCCTCTTGTGTCGCAATTTTTTGTTTTTGGTGTCCTTTGTCTACACACCCGGAAAATGCAATTACCATCTACCTACTCATGAGGCTACGCAGAGAAGTAGTTGTACCTCCTACGGACAACCTAGAAGCAGTAAAGATAAAAATGCTGATTTGTGTCCAGGGCACGACCTAGAGAGAACCAGCTGTGTTCAGTTGAGTAGTTATAGTTCCTATCTTCTTTGAAAATGTCTCAGTCTTCTTGTTGTTTTCATTGAGCGACGGTGTAAATGTAAAATAGTAGTAGTAGTAGTAGTGTGCCCATTCGTGGGGTATTAAAGACAACTTTAATTATTGCTTTTGCATTTCTTCTTCCACTATTGATTCCTCTCTTCTCTTCCCCTTGCATTTTTTCCGATGTAGATCTAAGTAAAAAAAACGCTGACCTCCACATAATGCCAAGAATGAGAATGCCCAGCCCTACCTGTTGTAGTTGTTGGATTCAAGTTCAAGCTCATTGACCTCGAAAAAGAAGTGTGCAAGAAGTGTTGGCGACGATGTGCGCGAATAGAACGTCGGCGATAAAAATAAGATGTTGGTGCGAATCTATTATGTGGAGACAAGATCAAGTTCAAGCTCATTGCCTAGGATTACCCTGTTCGACCGTTAAATGAAATATTCTGTTGAAATAATAGCACACAGGGATAATAAATCAATCTTGAAGTTAGTAGTTATAGGTGTTCACGGCCAGGAGGCTTCTACGAGAGTAGTACAGTAATGTTCACATAATAATAATAGAGCAGTTTATAGGGGTGCCAGATCCGGGATGGGATGGATCGGATGGATCGGATGGAACGGATGGACTTTCCACCATTTCAAGTAGGATCGGAAGAATCAGGGGGGTCCATCCGATCCATCCGATCCATCCAAGTCCATCCTACATCCGTTCTATAAACTACTCTATAATAAATCTAAATTTTCGAGAACATAAAAACCAGACCACTCATCTTCATTCGCATTCCCAGATATATAGAACCTTAATGTAAATCCAACATAAACAGCAAAACGATATTAGTGATAGGACATCCGGAGAAATCACGCAGACCACCTCAGAGGAAAAAAGGGGGACCAAAAACAGGCAGACCAGCTATTTCTTTGTCCATCTTTATCTAATTCTAATTCAATTTGTAGGGGAAGACGAACATAGTTTAGGTTATGAATCTTCCTTCATATCGGGCGCCGCCGATGATGGGGAAGTTCTGATACGAGAAAGTAAAAAAATCATGTTAGAAAAGATTGTCCTTGATGTAATACGGCGAGTACATGATGATCATTTTTTCTTGTCGTGAAATTGTCATTGAATGTGAAAGATGAACTAAGTACCCAGAAGAGTACTTAGTTAATTTGTTTGCTTGAGTGACTAATTCATTTTGCGCTGCCACCTGACAAGCGTTGATGTCATCCTGTTCGTGTTGCACTCTTTAGACTAATTGAGCAGGTTCTAAGTACGTCCAGACTAATTGAGAATGAGTCTTCAAACATTGGTTGGTCTAGTACATTCAGGTAAGTCTTGAAACATTGTCAGTGTACCGAGAATAGTGGTCTAGTTCAATTGTATATGTGTCTAGTACAGTAGAATTTTAACTAGACCAATTGAGGTGCTAAGTACGTCCAGAAGCGTTCCTTGTCGTATTCTTCTTGTCCTTGGGTGACCGAGTTGAGATGATGCCCTTCTTCTACCTGATGAACCTCGCAGCTTCCTGCAGTTTTCGCAACGCAGCCTGAAGATCGCGCTTGAAGTGGACAAGTTCTACACTATCCAAGTGTCGCAGATCTTTTTCCAGCATTTCTTCCACAGTCAGCTCGGATTCCACCTGTTTTCTTTCATCATCACGTGGTGGGAGACCACGATAGGGCTCCGTCCTGATGATTTCCCTGATGTCGGCGATCCTGCTCTGCAAGAGGTGCTGGCGGAGTTTGTTCGTTGCGTCGTCAAGCTTGCCGACGGCTTTGCTATACTCTTGCTGAGCATCGTCCGCTATGACCTCGTCTAGGTTCTCGGGCGGATGATCTTGAAGAAATATCTGCCATACATCTTCGATAAGGTCCGCCAACTTTTGCCACGGTTTTACTAGAGCCTCCTCTAGGCATTCCCTTTGATAACCGTTGACTTCTGTCTTCAGTGCACTCACATTCGCTTTCATGATCTTAGCTTCCTCTTCAAACTCGGCCATATCAAAAGCGTTCATCTTTCGTTCATCCAGGAGAGGTTGTTGATGATTTGCCTGACCACGAGGAACATTTTCACCTTTAGCAAAAGTGGTAAGTTTCTTCTTCAGTTCCGCAAACTCGTTCTTCATCGCTTCCACGGAACTTTTCGCGTGTGCAATGCCCTCGCTGAGACCGTCCTCGAGAGCGTCGAGCTTATCCGAGATTTCGTTCCATTCCTGCTGCCTGTAGGCCTCAAGTACACCCGTTGCTTGACAGAAAGCATTCCAGACAGTCTCGAGATCGTTCCTGACAGTTGGGAGTGCCCTAATTTTGTCGGAAAGCCTCGTAGTCTTGTGTGCCGCTTTCCCAAGTGAAGCTTAGAGGGAAAAAAATGCTCCACTTCTATTTATTGATCCTTACAGTGGAGGTAATTTTGAATTTGATCCTCATCTCAGTTCATATTTCATAGTTGTAGATAGATTGATTTTGACTAAGTCTAACAAGTGACTTATTATAGTCCTTAATGTCGTTCCAAGTCCGACACCAACGCGTTCCCACGATGTAGCAGCCACTGAGCTGGGGCATCGGCATCCGCTGCCTTTTCAGGGTACGCGATTTTCCCTCGAAGTTCAGGAATTTCTTCACGAGATTCCTTATAATAATATCCAGCGGAAGCTCTTCGTCCTCGTTCTTCTACAGCATCTCGATCTCCTCGACGTGGTGATTTTCTTAAAAATAAAATGTCTTGAACTTTTTTTTCATGATGAAACTTGACCCTTTTTTTAGAAGTATCTTCTTCTTCACTAGTATGAGTTCCCGACGCAGAAATATCAGTCGCAAAGAACGGCGCGAGCAGGCGCATGTCGTTCAACTCCGGCTCGTTTGGCGGCCGCGTCGGCTTGGCCAGCTTTAGTACCATCCGAAGCTTTATCTCATCAGTTCCTCCGTAGGAGGTAGTCGACGCACCATCGTCGAACTTGAAGTCCTCGTCTTCAGGAGTCTTCGTCTTGAGCAATAAACTACGACTACCCATCAAATCAACGGCAACACCTCCTTTTTCTTGAAGCCTAGGATCTTCCGGGACGCAATCGGCGACGGCGACGCTACGGCCTTCACCATCAGCACAGGGGATCGGAATCGTGTCAGCGCCCGCGGCTTGTTCGACGAGGGCCGCCGATGCATTTTTATCGCCATCCTCTTTGTTGAGTTCCATCAATGTTTTGCGACCCTGTCCTTTCGCCTTCAAGCGGACACCATTCACTCCATGAAAATGCGGTCCCCAAGACAGCAACTGCACCATCACAAGCCCCATCAGGGTGGTGGTTGCGTTTCTCGACAGTGACATCTTCGAAGCAAAGGTTGAAGAAGACATGATCTACATCTAGTTATTTTGCAGGACAAGTATTAGTAGTAGTGTACCCAATTTTGGGGTATGGAAGACTCTTTAATTAGTTTAGTTCTTTTCGTTCTTTTTTCCCACATCCCTTAATTTTTCTCTTGGCTTAATAAGAGAACAAATGAACGAGTCTTCAATTATTTGAACGCTTATGATCACGATTTCAGTTGTGCTTGTATGTAAAATTATCTTCTTCAATCTCGGTTGCATCTCAATCTCAGTTGTATGTATTGGCGTGACAAGTTGAAAATCTTCTTACTTTGAGAGAACGATTGCCGTGGGTGAGTGTGATGCAAAAAAGTCCTGTAGATGATCATGATGTCAAGTCCCAAAAAAATGGCTAATCAAACTCAAAGGCGGGATTTATCAAGTTCAAGTTCAGGGTATACCCGTCTCTCTATTTATAAGAATAGATGACAAAGAAACAAGTACTCTAAATTATCTCATGTGGCAACAGTAGGGTCAAAGAACGAATGGATGCCAAGTAAAAAATACTCACTGTAGATTCTTGAAGATTGTAAAAGAAGTGTAGATTCTTGGTTGTATAGTCGAGGTGCAGGTGCTTAGCCTTAGGTCAAAACAGAGCTTCTCCCTGAAACTAGTTCTTGTGGTTGCAGATTGTTAGTTTGGTGTTGGGCTGTTGGGCTACCAGGTTCACTAGCAGATATTGTTTTTATCTGAGTGCACCATGCATTACCAGAAGAAGTACAGCACAGAAAGTAAAGAAGATACCACATCAAATTCAAACCTAAACAGAACAAAGATAACAAATAGTATAGGTGGGTTTCGTTTTGTTGTGTTAAAAATACACGACTTTTCTTCTTCTTTTTACTTCTTGTTTTTCCTGCAGCTAAAAATTGTAAAAAAAGTCTTGTCATTGTTAAATTGTTGGCTATTGTTATTCATTTGGTCCTCTGGTGCTTTGTTCGTGCTTTAGCTTTTTTGATCCTGTAATTACAACATTTTTTTTTCTTGATCTCTAGTACTTGTACTGTAACTGTACCAGCTTCAGCTCTTTTTTTTTGTAGTTGATCCCTGTAACTGTAACTTTCTGATCCCAGCAATTCATTTGATAATTGAAGATCCCTGGATCTCGTAGCTGTGGCTCATGATCCGTGTATTCTGTGTCGATCATGATCTACTACTTCCCTTCTTTCTCTTTTTTTGTCCTACGGATGTATCACGCACGAAGATATTGCTCTTGTGTTCGTCCACCTTGAGCCTGGCACTTAAAATAATAGATACCCTGACACTTGTCGTTGTGGACCTTGACACTTAGAATTTATTTATGGTATAAGTATGCTGCAAGAACAACTCTTTCTCTTCAAGAAGTCTATGTTGAAATATCATCAAGCCTCGACACATGGATATAATTCATCATTAGATGAGGACGACTCATTCATTCATGTACTACCCAATCGCGGGGCTTTGCGGGCTTTTGTACAAAGTCCAGATGCAGTTTGTGGTCGCAATTCATCACGTGCGCATGATAGTGTGGTCAAATAATGGAATCCTACGATATTATCGATATGGATAGTGTCCATTAGTGCTTCCTACGGATGGGTAGAACTATGCTGTTCTAGTAGGTCACCTTCTACGTCGCACTGTCTCCTATTGTTCTGATTGATTGATTGCTTGATTGATTGACAGTAAAACCTTCTCTAAAATAACAAGAGACTACACTACTTCTACTACGCAGTAGTAAGTAGCCGGTGATTTCAGTTAAGCCGACCGCAGTCGTGCTGTCAAGAATAAAGCTATTACAATTATAATAGAATTAGGCTTTTCCTGACCCATATCGGGTCGAGTTTCTCGGGTTGCTCGAGTTGCTCGGGTTGCCCATGGGAATTATTTCGCTGCGCCCTGCGGGCGCACCCTTGCCGAGGTCTTGAAGTAGAGATCAAGAACGCTTCACCAGGCTGGTAGGAGGGGCATCCACAACGGGAAGACAACCAAGTGGGGGCAGTCAGCTGATTGCAAAAAACCCGACGCGGGCGCCCTTGGGGGTGTGGCATGTACCACAGCAGCCCGCCCAGCTGCGCACCAGTTTGAAACCAAGCCCACCGCTACCCGCCCCCACATTAGCCTTCGCCGCATTTTCCTCTATGTTGCCGCCGCATCCTTCAGCCGCAAGCCGGCTACAAACCCAACCCGGCAAGAACTCGCCACCCACACCGCAACACAGCGGGGCGAAAACCCGGCCCCGACTCGAAGCGCTGCACCCGCACCACAAGGGGCGGCGAAGCACTTGCGCGGCGCCACCGAGTGGGGAGCTGCGCGCCAATATCATCCCCAAACAGAAGGGGGCAGCGCCTCCCCCGCCTTCTTTTGCGAAGTAGGTCCCGAAGACGGCCCCCAGCATGCCGAGCTAGCACTTCTGCGCCCACACCCGCCCCGCTTCGCCCATTTCGATGGGCCGGGCTTCTTCTGGCAACTCGTTGCAACTCGTTCCAGGGTGGGAAGCCCTTCACCTCAGCAACTCGAGCAACCCGTGGCAACTCGAGCAACCCGAAACCCGTTACTTACCTTACTCTGAATCAGAAGTGAAATATATCAGTTTTAGACCAAGGGTCTCGATTTTTATTCTTATCGGAAAAGGTACTTTGGATCTTATATGAAAATCATGTTGAACACAATCTCAAATTAGTTTTAAACCGAGTACGCTTAACGCGCTAATGCTTCTGGTATCCTGTCTTATCTGCCTGCATAGCTGTTTTTCATTTTGGAACGGTCGCATTTATTCTCCTTTTTTAAAAAAGACACACCAAGGGATGAAAAACAAGAAGAAAGTTTTTAGAGGAACACGCATAGGGGTAATGTGACCAATATGTGTGCATACTCAGCAAAAAGATCATGGATACCTTTTTCGGCAGCCTAGTAAGATCATCCGAGTCACAAGTAAAAACAATTATTCGGAGTCAGATCCTCTTTTTCTAGATTTCGATTTTTTGGCATTTTTTAAAAAATGACCGTGGTCAATTTTGGATCTTACTGCTCCTTTATTTCTATAAAAAATATTAAATAGTAACAAGTAAGCGAAAGGGCTAGAAGCAATGGAAAAGACTGAGAGCTTCACAAAGTAAAAAGTCAGACCATCATAGTAGGGTGCCTTATTTTTATAAATCTGCTTATTTATGCAAAGGGGAAAAAACAAGGGAACAAGAAAACGCATTGTGTTCCAACAGTTCAGAAAGTTCAATAATGCGGCGACTTTCATGACCACCTCCTTGTTCCAAAGATCAAACAGCAAGTAGGTCAGAACTTACAACCAAGGGGAACGATCAAGTAAAAGGGCGAAATGATCCATAAACTCACACTCAAAAGACATCATTTGCATTTTCATTTTTTATATTTATTTTTATTTTTATTTTTTGACATCGTCATGAATGAAGAAGAGTCTCCAGGTGAAGCGAAATGCCTCAAGACGCACCAAGAAAAACCTTAGGACGTTTTTAGCGCATGACACCATTATGCATTATCTATATATATAAATCTTACTTAGAAAAATTGTTTAAAAAATTTGCTTAAAAGAATTTTTGAAAAAACTGCTGCTAAACTCTAAAGTTCCGGTTGCAAATGGGTGCTGTTTAGTTTAATACGTACTAGTCTACCCCTGTCCAGGCCCTTCTTTTGCTGTGGGGTGATGGTAGTACCCTCGGGGATAACCTTCCACTGTTGTTGTGGTTTGGGTCTCAGAGTTATAAATCTTTCATGCAATAATCCTATTTCTAGCCCAAGAAACTCCTTGTCCTCTGAGGTTTCTTTTAGTTTGCACCCAGAGTAGTCAGGGAATATATCAAGAATATTCGGGCGCAGATATGTGATCGAGAAACTGTCATCAACGTATCGCTTGTGTAGTCTAGGTAAAACAGTGCTTCTATTATTAAGTCTCCATCTTCTCTCTTCGCTACAGCCGAAAGAGTTGGCCACTGCGCACATGGTAGGAGATCCCATGGGTCCACCCGACGTCTGTCTATAGATTCCGCCACTAGATCTAATAAAAACATGGCCCAGGTCGTGCTTCAGTATAGCAATTAGTCCCTTGAATGATATCCATGTCCCCCTTGCTGGTTTTGACTTTTGTAGTGTAATCCCTCGCCTCGGTTTCTCTATACCGAAATCAACGACCGTGCTCCACCTAATTATTTGCTTTCTAGTAGTGTCGTGTACCTGTAGACGCTTAAGAAATGACTTCTCATCTTCTATCTTGAAATAGTTGAAGCCTTGTGCTTTATAATGTGACATCCTGCTTTGTATAAATTCCAAGGCTAAGTCTGTGTTACACGCTGTGAAAAAATCTTTAACGTCATGTGTCCTTATTCTTATTGGGGGCACTCTCTTCATGGCCTCAACGAATTCCAAGTTATTCTCTTCCATAATCCTACTAATGTCTTGCAGGTACTGCTCGTTATGCTTGTTAATGCAATGAGTAAAATTCTTTGTAGTGGTGGTAACGCTAGGCTCATAGCTAATTAGGTAGTCTACAACTTGCGCAGCCCGCCTGTATAAACCCTTCCAAGCATGATTAAAATAGCTAGTTAGTGGCCTGTATGGTACCTCTTCAATATTCTCCGGAGGGTCCCCCTTAAATGCACGGTCTTTTATCATTATTTTCACAAAACACCACCTATGTTTCTTTCGCTTATTAATCTTCATGTTAGTCCAGCTCTCGTCTACCCTGAAAAAATTCGGATCATATTCTTGGAGAGATCCCCATCCGTTCATCCTCTCGTAAGTATCTCCGCCCGTGTGTAACCGTATAAGTCGGGATGTTACCTGGTTGCATGTGAAGTAAGTAGATTTCGACTTATCTACGTCGCCGATAGTAAGTAGATTAGAGAGCCACCAAACGTCAGCATTAATGTCAAGCTTCGTAATTTTGTTAAAGCTTCCTTCTTCGATTTCCCTACATATGAGCTCCCTCTGTGGCCTAAAGTCTTTGTCTAGTAGAGATGTGCGGAAAGTGTCTTCGATTGCCCTAATGTTCTTCCACAGGATCTCAGACTGTTCATCAGGAGCAGGGTAGAATTTTCCAGCTCTGTTCCAGAAAGTTCTCCTATCCTTTAAAGCATGGACAGTTCTAAGGTCAGCTACAACATGGCCCTCTACAGTTCTAATCCCAGGGATGCGCTTCTTGATTGCACAGCAGTAGCATGGCTCGCTTCCGGGCTCAACAGTCGACAGTAGTGAGTGGAAGCGTTCCCATGGTGTATTGATGTAGTCACCTAACCCCTTGAGCTTTTTACGCTTAAAGACTACAAAAACTAGACTATCTTTTTCCCTGTAGCCTTTTACTCTCCTCTTTCTCCTATTTGCTGCATATCTTACCTGATCCCCTTTTTTTAAGCTACTAGCAATGATCTGCTCATAAGCTCGCATGTGGTCATTACTCGCAGGCCATAGCTCGATCTTAATCCGTCTGATAGCCTTATGTGGTCCCATAAGGGGTTCCGCGTTCTTCCTAAAAATGTAATATCTAGCCGGTGAGAGTATGTTTTTTGCAGTGTAGTCCGTGCGTGCCTGTTCATGTTTACTCATCTTTACAAAATCACTTTTATCATTAGCAGGGGGAGCTAAGCTTTTTGATAACCTAAGTGCCAGCCTTGTCCTCGTCGCAGTTCTCATGTCAAGATATCTGGATCGGAGGATCTTCTCAATTATTACTGGCGTAGTCTCTTTTGAAGATTGTCGCCCCGCTAGTCTAGTTTTTGCGAAAAAGTTGCGCCTCCTTCTAATTAAAACTGTCTTTACAGTGCCAAACTTTTTAGCACCCTCATCAGAGACTTTTTTCCTTGTGTTAAGGTTGGCGGAGAAGAAGTTTATGGCTATACCTTCAGCCACCTCTAAGTTCACTCTTTCGCTAACCTTAGCCGTAAAAATGCCCAGATAAAGGTAAGAGTGGAAGCTTTTGGCTGAGTGAAGTAGTGCTCCTGGTTGTCCATTTCTAACTTCCTGCAACCTCCCAGACCAGTGCGTCTCCATTCTATCAAGGCGCCCAACTTGTGAGATTCCTACGTATCTGTTCTTTGTGCCCGGCCTGAAAGCTAAATACATCACGTTCTTACTTACAATATCTTCACTGTCCATCGCAGTAACTTCTCTGCATACTTCAATCTTTTTAAGTAGGTTACTCGTGTACTTCGTCCCTTGGGTTTTAAGAAGTGCGAAAGCCAAGTCCTCATTACAGTGGAACATCCTTCTTTTCATGGTGGCAAGAGTATTAGTCCCATTTATAGTCGTGTCCTTTAATCCTCCTCCCTGTAACACCATCCAGGCTAGGTCCTTACTGCAAAACTTGGCTTTTGGTGTCCCACTATCATTCTCATGCCACCAGTTGATATGTCCATACTCATTATTTTCAAAAACAATGTGACAGCAACAGTTGCAAACTTTACAACGGATGCACTTATTAACAAGGAAGGTCTTTTTGTAAATAAAGGCCGAGAGGGAGCTATAGAAATTGTAAGCCTTATTTGCGCTAGTTCTTTTATGTTTGAAGCTTTCTATTCTCACTATTCTCTTACAATCACGGGCAAAAATGTCAACTAGTCCAGCCCATACTTTATAGTCAGTCCATTTAGCAGATATAAAGTAGAGAGAGTCCCAGATGAATGGTCTATCCTGATCGTCATCTATCTCTAGGGCAACCAATGCTAATGAAGTAAACAATACTTCTTCCTCCCTTTGTTGTTGCTGCCGTCTTTAGCCACCGCCGTACTCAAATTCGCCTTCTTCTCATTCCTCGTATGGTGTCTGGCTGATCGCGTCGAGGTTGTAGCTGAGGTTCTTTGCTCCTTTGCTTCGGGTCCTCGACTGGCATTGTTAAGCAGGTCGTCCATCTGCTTCTTGTTCCTGTTGTTGCGCGAAGATGCAGTTGCAGAGGAAGTAGTCGAGTTGCTATTATTGTTGCGCGAAGAAGAAGACGAAGATGCTGCTTGCTTGTTGTTTTTTGAGGATGTAGATGTAGAAGTAGCCTGTTGGATGGTATTTGGCTTACTTGACGCAGAAGCTGTAGGCCAACAGTCACTTAGAAGGTAGTTCTTCTTATTAAGCTTCGCAGCATCCAGTGCGGGGTCATCACTGAAAGCATTTTCCTCGTCCTCATCTGCGTCAAAGTTGAGGAGTTTATTGGTCCCGCTCACTGCTTCGCTCTGGCCTCCAACGGTAGGGCAACCTTTTCTATCATCTTGTTCTTCATTGTCCTCCATACCCATATCTTGATCTTCAGCATCTTGGGAAGGTGTGGAGAGATCCATATATCCCTTGGAGTAGGTGCCTGCTAGAGCTCCCGCTAGATTGTCACGATTTTCGTCTTCTCCATAGGCAGAAGGTGTAGATTGTGACCCAGCCGGTGGCGGAGTAGTAGGCGTCTCACGTCTACGGAGTCTTTTCTTGTTCACACCGCTGCTACTTTTTCCAATATGGGCACCGTCTGCATGTCCACCTCGTTGGTTCCCATCTTTTCCTTCTCCTCCATCGAGATGCACCACATTGTTACGCAGGTTCCGCACGCGTCTCTCCTTGAGTGCTTCTGCTTCTAGCTTTTGCTTCTCTGCCGCGAGCCTTAGCTTTTCAAGTTCAATCGCCTGCTTTTGAATTTGAATTTGCATTTGCATCGCCTCCTGCTCGCGCTTTAGTTTTTCCACTTCCGCACTTGGTTCTGACACTCTAGCGCCACTCCCTGGATCCGCATTGTATCCGGCTCCATTATTGCGATCGACCTCCTCTTTCTTATTTTTAGCTTCTTCCTGGTGGTCTGCTGTGCTTCTCTCCCAATCGATGGAGTCGTACCAAGTGCCACGGGGTAGCTTAATCCTTTTATTCTTCACGTATGTCTCGACCATCTTGAAGAAGTCGTCCTGTTTATCCTTGTCCAGAGTATCAATAGACACAACGACTTTAGCCCACTTTTCTGCGTTCATGCGTTCCACCGGGATTGCAGAAGTAGCCGGCACATCATCCAACTCTCCACCTTCTAGTTGCATCATTCGTTCTTTGACAGCATTAGGTAGGTATATGACGACTCTCTTACAGAGTTCCCCGGTAACATTTACGTAGGGTTCTAGTTGTGCATTCCATGGCGCTGCTTGGTTGCCAGATTGTCCGTTAGAAAAACCGATGCGCTTTGGAGGTTCTGAGCTTCCCCATCCTGCGTTGAAGCCACCTTGCTTTCCCCATCCTTTTCCACCTCCAAAACCACCGCCGTATCCTCCTCCAAATGCTCCACCATTGCCACCATTCTGGTTGGTATTATTGGCCGCGTTCTGGCTATGTAGCGACATTTTTGGGTATACTTGTTAGTAGTATTAGCTATGTGTGTGCCTTGCACTAAGTGTTCTTTATCTATCAGTATGGTAAAAAATTTAGGTAAGTGAAATCTCCTCGTTACTTAGACTAAGCACGGTCTTGATTAACCTAATTAGCCTTATAAAATCAGTTTTAGACCAAGGGTCTCGATTTTTATTCTTATCGGAAAAGGTACTTTGGATCTTATATGAAAATCATGTTGAACACAATCTCAAATTAGTTTTAAACCGAGTACGCTTAACGCGCTAATGCTTCTGGTATCCTGTCTTATCTGCCTGCATAGCTGTTTTTCATTTTGGAACGGTCGCATTTATTCTCCTTTTTTAAAAAAGACACACCAAGGGATGAAAAACAAGAAGAAAGTTTTTAGAGGAACACGCATAGGGGTAATGTGACCAATATGTGTGCATACTCAGCAAAAAGATCATGGATACCTTTTTCGGCAGCCTAGTAAGATCATCCGAGTCACAAGTAAAAACAATTATTCGGAGTCAGATCCTCTTTTTCTAGATTTCGATTTTTTGGCATTTTTTAAAAAATGACCGTGGTCAATTTTGGATCTTACTGCTCCTTTATTTCTATAAAAAATATTAAATAGTAACAAGTAAGCGAAAGGGCTAGAAGCAATGGAAAAGACTGAGAGCTTCACAAAGTAAAAAGTCAGACCATCATAGTAGGGTGCCTTATTTTTATAAATCTATAGGAGGTGAAATAAATTGAAAGATGGAAGTCCATCCTCTTGCTTGAAGAGGAAGACGAGAATGGACTTCCTAATTTCAATTTGAAAGAAGAATGATAAGACAATGAAGTTGATAATGGTAAGTTGTCGTTTTATAAATTCAGTTCTTGAGTGACATCAAATGATGTAAAAAAATTATTCATCCTAATCGTGATGATCGTCATAGTATGCTGTTCAATAATTGAATACATCTTCTGTTGCTTCTACACAGGTTTTTTTTGTAGAAGTGGGAGTAATACCCAAGATAATAAAGTCAGAAAAAGCCTCCAACAAGAATCAGCATTCCTAGATACTTGTTGATCGTGAGGCTTTTACTTCGACGTTCCCTAGTTCTACTTTATTTATTTTCGCAATATATAATAAATAGTTATCAGCTTGTGGTCCTCTGAAGATAATTCCCTCTCCTAGTTGTGCGAGAAAATAAGTAATGATCCTCAACACAATAAGTAGAACTAGCTATACGGAAGAAAAAATAAAATTAGTACTAGAGTTTCAGACCGTTGCAATGGAGGGTAAACGAGGAGGATACTGCTGATTATATTGCTGAACAAGATCATCATATTAGAGTAACATTGTTACTAGATACTAGACCATAACGCCAGCGCAGAGAGCGCCGAACGAGATCCAGAGAGCGCCGAACGGACGATCATACTGAAAAACTTACACACTCCAATATCTAGTATTCATCCACTGTATAAGTGTAGATATTAGATAGATATCAGACTCATACTAGATATTAGATAGAACCCGGTTAAGTCAGCTGTGCAAGTTCTCAAGTGATGTCTCCAAATTTTTAATTTATATTAAAAAAAGTCATCAGAAGCTGAAAATTGTCATTTTTAGGGTCTGAGGCCGCGCTGTTGAATACCGGAAGAACCATGCATCCGCATCCTGGCGAATTAAGTTGTATGCAGTAATTATAAATATTAGTACTCACAACTGTGGGTCGTGGGTGATGTGCCAAAAAACAAGTTGTCCAGATCAGAGATTATACCATAGCCGAGTTGTTTTCCAAGAAATCGTAAAAGGGTACTTCTAGAAACTACTAAAAGTAGAAGGGTATTTCTAGAGTATCATCTCTTTCTGGTTCTCCAGGATCTTCAAGCCACGGTCCCGAACCCGATCTTTCGTAATCAGAGAAGTTTTAGTGCTGTCAACAAGAACGTTGAGAACAACGTGTGGCGTCAACAAGAACGCTGACAACAGTATCTACATCAAGCGGTCGTGTGGTCTTCAACAAGATCTACAAGCTTTGTATCACCGTCATCCTGTGATCCGGAGCCAAGAAATTCTGTGTTCTTTGGTCTGGCTTTGGCACAAAGAAGAAAACCTTCTCCGCTCTCTGCATGTGCGCCAACCATTCACGAATCTCGCTTCTCAGTTGTTTGCGCACTAAGCGGAGATGTCCAAGGATGTGGCCGACGTCGACCAGGTCTAATTTTTGGAGTAGGCCTTCTTTGAGGTCGGTCTTTACAAGGATTTCGTTACCGTCTTCGTCTTTCTCCATAGTCTCGTCCATTAGGAGCTCACGGAAAGCGACCATCTGCTTGTAGTGCCTTGAAGATTCAGAAGCGATCATCATCTTGTTCACACGGGAGACAATATCATTTTTCTCCATCTGCTGAGCAAGAGGATCCTCTGCTAAAAAAGATGCAGCAGTTCCACCTGTAGTACAACTAGAAGTTGTTGTAATTATATCTTCCTCAGGATCTTGCAGAGCGAGAGCATCCTCTGCTAAAGACGCAGATCCAGCTGCACTAGAAGTTGTAGTTATCTCTTCCTCCAGAAGTGTTTCAAGCTTTCTTTGGACAGATTCCACTTCCTCCTCGCCTAAAAATGGCGTGTCTTGCATCGTGGTCCTCCAACGTTGATAAAGTTCCAGTTGTTCGCGTTGCCGTTGGTCATCGACATAGTCCTTTAATAAGGTAACCATGTTCCCGACTTTTTGCTGCTCCAGCTCTTGTGTGGCCAGAATAAGACGATTTTGGGTCAGTTTTATTATCACTTTTAGTTGTTCTACTTGTTGTACTCCGTCGCCGAGTGAGCAAGAGGACGGTGTCGTGATACTGCTAGTTGAGTCATTCATTATGTTTAGCAAGCGTTTCCATGAGTCTCGCACAGCTTCTGAAAGCCAAGTTGTTCTCCAAATGCGGCTGATGTGTTTCCTCAAGTTGGAGATATCTCTTTCAATCGCCTTGAAATTTCTCTCGCGGAGGTCATCGTCCGGTAGTTGTTCTCCCGAGGATGTCGTAGTCCTGCAGCTACTTCCGCCCACCTGTTCCAGCGCCTGAATTCTTTTACGGATGGCATTGGTCTCGGCTGTAAGTATCTCGTCTTTGGCTCGTTGACTCACCTCCTCCACATCGGAGAGAGTGTCCATGATCCCTTCTACTCCCTCTCGCTCCTTCTTTAAAAATAATCTCAATTGCTTACGGTCACCTTCTACTCCATGAAGATCTTGTTCATCTTCTTCTTGTTGAGCTCCTGGAGCTGGTGGTGAACAAGCTGATAGTGATACGGATCGAGCTGCGGCGAGGAAAGCTTTCCAGAAATGCATGATCTCGCGCCCAAGCTCCTCAAAAGGGCGGTGTGCGAAAGGAGCGTCCCGCAACTTCGGCTCCACTCGCGTGTCCAATAGCAGACGCAATGCATCGAGACGGCAAGTCGACCACGAAGCCGCTTGTTCTCCCTGCTCCTCCTCCACACCTGCAGCACCAAGAAAAGAAACTTTTTTCTTTGCACCTGTAGACCGAGAAGAAAGACCATCCTCATGCTCATCGTCTGTAGACAAAGAAGAAAGCTTTCTCGAAGGAAGACCATCCTCATGCTCATCAAAGCGTTCCTGCTCCGTTGTACCATCAACCTTCATCCTTGTGGTTCTTCGAAAACAGCCCGCTGCCTTGGTACAAAGATATGAGAGCAAGCTTGCACTCGTCCCGCATGATTTCATCTTCTTGGAAATAAATGTACAAGCATCCTCTTCTTCAGGATTTTGATGAATCTCACCAACACGACTCGCAGCAGCAGCACTCAAATCTTCTTCAGAAAAGCAGGATTCGCCAGGACACACACTTTTCGCGGAATCATCTTCGTCGCTCCTCTCTCCAGGATCAGCACATGCAGGCTTCGCGGAATCATCTTCGACTTTCCACTCTCCATGATCAGCACATGCAGGCTTCGCGCTCGCGGGTTCATCATCATCTTCGTCGTCCCACTCTCCAGGATCAGCACATGCAGGCTTCGCGCTCGCGGGTTCATCATCATCTTCGTCGTTCCACTCTCCATGATCAGCACATGCAGGCTTCGCGGAATCATCTTCGACTTTCCACTCTCCAGGATCAGCACATGCAGGCTTCGCGCTCGCGGGTTCATCATCATCATCTTCGACGTTCCACTCTCCATGATCAGCACATGCAGGCTTCGCGGGTTCATCGTCTCCTCTCGAAGAACCTCGAGCAACTTCACCTGGTCGTGCTGTATTTCTTCCCGGAGTTCCCGTTGATGATGAGAGATCCTTCTCACCATCTTCAGCACGAGGCAGGTCAGATGGATTGTTTATACAAGATGAACCTTGATGAACCACACGAGGACGAGGAACATGATGTTGAAGACCTACTACATAGTTGTGGTGGATAGATGTTGAACCTTGAAGAGGAGTACGAAGAACACGATGATGATGTCCGACTTTCTCGAGAAGAGTTAGTTGCTTCTTCTCTCCCGGAGAGTTAGTTGCTATCTCCTCACCCAGTGGAAAGCTGACACCACTCACAACTGGGACCGCAGGAGCAAAGTGGTATATCAGGAAAGTTGAGAGGGCCATCTTGACCTTGTTGAGGCTCCTTTCGGTGGTCCTCGATTTCGATAAATGAGGCGTCATCTTGAGGACCCTGTGAAGATCTGCTATCATAATATAACGCTATAGGAGATGCTATCATAGACTGTAGAAGGACTGTTCATGTCCTCCTGTAGTTCAAGAACAACCAAGAAAAAGGTGGTGAACTTACGTGGTGGGGTTAATTGTAATGTTGGTCGGTGTAAGTAGTATCTATATCATAAATGATTTATCTGTAATTTAAAATTTCATGTGGTGTTCCTTGTTTACATCTTAAGTAATAATGGTATTTTCTCCTCGATGCTGAAAATGTATTATTTACTCCTCGGTAGAAGAACTGCATTGAAGCGAAAAGCATTAGGTAGTTGATGGGAAAGAAGAAATAGTAGATGAGTGTCGAACTCGAAACTCGATCAAGTCATAATTTAGTATCCTATTAGTTGATGATGTTGTAGTAAGTATCAATTAGTAAGTTAGTTCTTGTCTTTCTTGTGGCTTTTCAAATACTCTGGTGTTGCTTTTATGAAATAAAAGACACAAAAGGAAAATCCTTTCACAATCACCTTTGTCCTGCAGCTGCGAGTTATGGAAAACGAGAAAAATTTCGGAAGTTTTTGTCTTTTTTCATATCCTTAGGAGCTTGTGGAGTACCTGAGGTTCTTGATCTCGTCTACACTTTTATCTGCGTTCGTGGTCTTGATCTCTGCACTTTGTTCTTGATCGCTGTACTCTGTTCGTGGTGATCACTGTACTTTGCTGTTCATCGCTGTGCCTTGTTGTTGGTGATCTCTGCACTTTGTTGGTGATCGCTGTGCCTTGTTGTTGGTGATCTCTGCACTTTGTTGGTGATCTCTGCACTTTGTTGGTGATCTCTGCACTTTGTTGGTGATCTCTATGCTAGTACATTGGTGATCTCTATTCTGTGTCGAATATCCAAATCCATGTACTATTAGTGAAGACTGAATCCAGCCGTTTTTCAGACTTCAGACGAGAGGCCTCCACCTCCCTGCACATGCACAGAGGCCTCCACCACCCTGCACATGCACTTCATGGTCTGCAGTCGTGGATCTAATTTAGTAGTGGAAACAACCTCGCCTTGAGAAACTTTCGCGAATTGCTGGCGGAACAGAGGCGGGGTCGTGCCGTCCTCTGCTAAAAGGTTAATCGCATAGCTATCCACTAGGATTTTCGTGTCGTCTCGGATCTTCTCTGAAAGCATTTCAATTTTTTGTCGCAAGACTTTTTGCTGGTTTCCTGAAGTCCTTCCGCTTGGTCTCCCCTGACGAGGCTTGACGCGTCGGAACGTCCGTCTGCAGATGAACCAACATGGCCTCCACGTCATCCTCGCTTTGTTCGATTCCCTTCACAGAAGCGTGCAAAGTGTCCACATGCTCTTGTAAATTTATCATGTTCGACGAAAAGACTTCAATTTATCACGTTCGACGATGCACCGGTGCTGATCGCCTTTGGCATGCTGTTGACCTCGAACCGGCTTACATAAAGCCTCAACGCCGCATCCTTCTCCTCACCAGCGATCGGTTCTCGACACCCGGGACCATCGTAGCCGCCCGCGCAAGCAGCTGCTTCTCCTTTGAGGCCACAGCCTTGTCCCTGCGCGCCTGGTAATCACGCACCGGTAGGATCCGCGATCGGTTCTTGGAGTGCCAAAGTTGTGTCCACATGCTCTTGTAAATTTATCACTGTAGTGGCCAGCACTGGTGGTTGTAGTAGCGGTCCGCCGTTCTCCATTCCTCCTGCCAAGTAGCCTGCCTTAGTAATGAAGTCGGTAGAGCGCGACAACTCCTCACTGACGTAAGGTAGGTCTTTGTCAGAGAGGGACGAGTGAAAATATCGGAAGAGATTGTCCAACTTTCGCTCAGGAGCGCTGGAGCCGACGGCACGAAAAGCGTTTAGGGTTTAGGAAGCCCCTTTGCTGACGGAATCAATTATAAGTCATTTTTTCCTGTTTCTTGATGGATTCTTCTTGAAAATTCCTTTTCCTTGATGGATCCCAGCGACTGGAGCGTGGATCTCAATCTTATCAAGGACCTGGCCCGTGGATCTTATCAAGGGCCTAGGCGTGTCGTGGTAAGCGACAGGATCCCACCAGCATGATACTGAAGATGAACTCTTAGACCGGAGGTTCCGGTGATACATGCCGTAAAATCCAACTAGAAAGAAAAGTCTCAAGCACCTTCTCGTTTTTCAACATTAGCTTCTTGTTTTCTGTTTCTCGTTTTTCAGTGAAGAGCAACGGTTATTTGTTTTCAGTAACGAGCAACGGTTATTTGTTCGGGATGATCTTTAAATTACACATAGCATCGCGAATGCGAAGTATGCCTCTCATTTCTCCCGTCCTCCGTATCGACACGAGAATACCAGGACCATTCCATCAACATACTACCCATTTGCTACTTTGTTCCATCCACCTCTCGCAATTGTATCCTCATACACCCATACTCCCCTTTGACTTTGTGTCTCCGTTTTATTTTCTCGCTGTCCGCGGCTGTCCACGTCGTAGTTATCGATACAAGAATATGACTCGATCTTCGCCAAACTTTCCGAAGCCACAGTCGGTTAGTTTTTTCTCATCCTGGCTTAACATGCGACCGCGAAAAAGAAGACACATCTTTTTCTTCACACGAGGATCGGCATCGTGTATGTTAGACAGAGGTATGGGTGTCGATGTTCTCTACTATTACCTAGTCTCTACAACTTAGGAAGTAGAAGTAGAAAAATAATGGTCCTGTTCTCTACTACTGATTATGATTACTTATCCTCTTAGAAAACAAGGCTTAGAGCCAAGTCGTGTAGTGTAGGGTAAATTTCTCTACTAGTCTCTTTGAAATTCATGTGCAGTTCTCCATTCCAGAAACAAAAGGTGCTCTCTCGTATGTTAGAAAAGTTTCCTCTTAACTGAAGGTGCCACGGGCTCAGCTTTTGTAACATCCTCCGCATCGTCGTTCTTCATAAGCGCGCACAAACCAAGAATGCTCTTCTCTTTTGAGTTAGAAGAGGAAGAGTCAACATCTCATTAAGTATATATGGAGCAAAAGCATAAGCAGTTGCAGAACCATCGTCCTACGAAAACTAATACAACTAGTATGCTGTACATCAAAATGAGGTAAAAATAAAGAGTAAATTTAAGTACTTGCTACGAAAAATAAATCAGCCGCCATCAACATTATGCGCCGTAACTTCAGCTCCAATTTCATCGGGCACCACGCACTCGCACAATGCTCGTTTTAGGTCTCCGACACTCGCGTCACTGTCAAACTCAAAGGGAGAATCTAGAAAAGGATGTGGCGACAATTGAGCCACAGCTTTGGATAAGGGTGACGTTGGAGTGATCCAAGCCTTCAACTTACAAGCCTTCAGCTTACTGGGCAAAACGTCTACGGGAGCGGGAGCAGCCGGAACTGGTGGACCTGGAAAACCAAGTGGCCCTAAATTATTAGAGGTAGGGTTTTCGTCTTGGTTTTCTTGTTCATCGTTTGTTGTCCTGTACTTCCCTCTTAGCAGAGTCAAAATAACAAACGGCAAGAGCAGGAACACCTATAAACCTAATAAACCCTAAACCCTAATATTATTAGGTTCATCTGCATCTGCATCTGCTGCTCCACTTGTTGTGTCTACTTTCACGACCGCTGCCCTACTTGTTGTGTCTCCAGCTATTGTAGAAGTACTCGACGAAGGAGTCGGAAGTGTGACGATTTCGTTGAGCTTTACTTTAGAATTAGAAGTGTCTTTAGATCCAGGTGGAACTGTTGTCGCAGATGTTGTCGTGATAAAGCCTGTTGTGTCGGATTTTGAGCTGTTTAGTGGGCTTACACTAGTTGTGCTAGATACATTCGTGGTCTTCGATTTCGCAGTTGCATCACTCCTCGTCGTCGAGGAAGATGAATGTGCTGGTGTTGTACTCTCGGTTGTATCTTCGGTTTTATTTTTGGTAGATGAACTAGATGTTGGCCCTGCGTTTCCTGCTTGTTGAGCAAATCTACGCAGTCGCTGTTCTCGAATTGTATTTCTATCCCCAACAGCACTTCTAGCACTTGAAGTTGTTCCGATAATATGACCATTTTTCCCCGCACCTAGCACTTGAAATCCGATCAAGAGGCACACAAGCAAGACAACGACAGCAAGACTTACTTGGCTACTTGAAGACTGCTGACCAGAAGGAGCCGAAGAGTCCTGTTTTGCTGCTTCATCCGTCCCCTTGATCTTCTGAGCAGCTACTTTTTTACGAAGCTCTGCAATCTTATTAGCTGCTTCGTCTCTGTCGTGGTTTTTCTTCTGCTCATCGTCTTCTTCAACTTCGTCATGGTCAGTTATGGGTGGAATAGAAGGATCTCGTACTGGTTCTAGGTCTTCTTGTGCTAGTTCTTTCTCGACGTCCCCACTTAGAATATCATCTTCTTGTTGGCCATGACCATCGCCAACATCATGATCCAAGTCCAAAAATTCTGTAGAGGCCTCGACAGCTGTTTCTTTCGCGTATTCTTGATTCAGTTGGTCTTGTACGTTATAGGGATTAAGATCTTCCCTGCCTGAGCGGCGCCGCTTCGCCTCCACGATAGCGGTCCACGCAATGATGGACACGACAATGTTGATGGCAAAAGCAGCTTTATTACGAGCGAACATCTTGTTGCTCATAATTTTGATGGTGATCGGGGACTTGATGATTGATGTTGTGAATGAAATCAAGAGATGAAACGATAAGAGAACGAAGGAAATAAACTCTTTAAGCTCTGCGTCGCTTGGAGTTAGAAAGGTACTAGGTCGTGCTAGTTTATTGCAGTTTTTACTTTTTAGTGCTCAAAGTTATAGTGACAAAAACCTCTAAAAAAGCAAAATTTGAAAATTTTGCGAGCGTCCTCTCCTGTTGTAGTTGAGGTTGATCTTTTTTCGGTTTCTAGCTTCCAACGCTAGTGACTTGCCTCGCCAATACAAATTGGAAAATTCCCCACCACCTGCAACTGGGCATCGTAATTTTCAAAATAGACGCTCCTAAATGTAGAGGCATCAGTAGATTTCATTACGATTTTCGTCGTCCTCGTTGATAGTAGACGTCTGTATAATGACAAAAAGAGAAGAGAACACTTCAGAAATTGGAAAATTGGAAATTAGAAAATTGAAAGCTCTTCCATAGGTGTTTTGCGCGGAGTTGGAGGACACGAAAGAATCACAGATCAATAAGACAGAAAATAGAGAGATAAATTTAAAGACTTTCCCGAAACACTTCGAATTTCCGTCTATTTTCTGGAAAATTGAACGTCGCCTCTTGCTGTTTGGAAAATTGATAAATTGTACTACTGAGGCAACGCGTCTGCTTCTCTCTTCAGAATGCCGCATCTCTCGGCAACGTGCTCATTGCTTCTCTCGTCAACCCAGAATTCTCGTTCCTTCTCTCGTCAACAACAGCATGCTTCTATCTTATAGCAGCACCCTGCGCTTTGAATGCCTGGCAAAACAAGTAAGCAACTCGACGCAATTTCTTGAAAATTAGGGGACTCTATTCGGGACACAAGGGTAGCGCACTGGGATGGAAAGCTATTTCGTCCGGCTTGAGAGGGGGAGGGCCACATCTAAAGATAAGAAATAGATCATATGCATCACGTCGTTGGGGAAGGGTCTTGTCCGAGTTGGTTCCTGAGAAGTGTGCCCATGCCAATTGAGTTACAAGCTAGCAATACATAGGCGAAAGGCCTTCAGAAAAACCTCAAACCTTCTTCTTCATGGGACGCGCGCCGCCCTTGTCTTTTATCGTGACGAACTTATTGGCGACACAATTAGCACTATCGTTCTTGTGTAGTGTCTTTTCGGTCCGTGACTGGAAACCGTAACAGACCGGGCACAAGCTCAGCCCCAGCTTCTTGCACTCCTCCTCGTTCTGCGCTTTCCACGTGTATTTCGCGGCACGAGAGTCATAGCCTTCTTCTTTGATTTTTGTGTTGCGTTCAACGAAATCCTTGACATACGCCTCATAGGCAGCGGTCTGCTTCGCATCCACATCCGCCTGCTTCTGCCGTGCAGTCTCAGCACGCCGCTCTTGCACCTCTTGGACAATTCGTCTTCGCTTCGCGTTCTCCTGATCAGCGTCGAGGGAGAGAGCCTCTGGGACTCTTTTATTGCCGCCTGCAACTGCAGCACCGGCGCCAGGATTAGCATGTGGCTTGTAGTCGAGAGTGCTCGCGCGGCATGCGTCCCAGTTAAGCTGCACCCAAGTCGACTTCTTGAGGTGGTCAATCACCTCCTGTTCCTGCTGAAGCGTGAGCCACCCCCTGTGGGTCGATCCAGTGGCTTCCACTATTTCTTCCATGCGCTGGCGCTCTCGGGCCCACCTTAAGACTTCGCGCTCATTCAGCGTCATGATGTTTGCAATTTCACGAGGTGACGCTCCTCCTTGCGCTAGAACTTGCATGCTAAAAAGAATGGCGAAGTTCCAATCTCTCCACCGTTGTCTCGCGAAGCTCGTTAGCTGCGGCAAGGCATATTTCCCGTGAAGTCGTAGCGTACCAGGTGAGCCAAGAGGCAACTCCTCGAAGGCCCGCTTCTTATGCGCTCCACGGCTGAGGCGTACTCTGCGGCTCTCCGATATTTCGAAGCAGGCCCTCATGATCGTAGCATGTCGGGTCTCCTCGTTCAGTCCTTGGTGCCATCTGCTGTGATGGTCATACCGGTTGTGAATGGACTCGAGGTACGTAGTGCGGCCCTCTTTCAAGACGACGGGTAGTTTTTTCGATCCTGCTGGCACCACAGCGGCCCCGAAAGCGTGCTGTCCTATGTCGACAACCTCTCCTGGGTCAGCTGAGACAACGTCGACATCTGGGCAACGGCGCTGCTGCTCGTTTACTTGGCGCCCAGACTCTTCCAAGGTCTCCGCCTCGAAAAATATTCGCTCCTCCGGGCAATTCAGGCACCCATTGTAGACATGAACTCCAATTTTTGTCTCCAGCTCCTTCTTCAGTTGTTCCTTCGCGTCGCGCTCTATTTGGGCAGCCACTGCCGCGTCTTTTCCTTCAGCTTCCGCTGCTGCGTTTTTTGCCAGCTTCCAGACCCGCTTCTCCCAGAATTCTCCAAGCGCTCGACTGAGCCAGCTTTCGTAGTTTAATATTTGCTCTGCTACTGTGATGGGCAACCTTGGCACATGCCTGGAGATTAGTCGCGACGTCAGGTGCTTCATCGCTTCGGCAGCTGTGCCATATTTTTCCATCAGATGATGCACCAGCAACTTCATCCACGACATGTCGAGTGGCCGTATCGCTGCAGATAGCTCCAAAATTAGAAATCGGGAACAGATGAGAAGCGTAGATTATACGTAGAAGATTTAGGATTCTTTGGCACACGCGTAGCGATTAAAAAAAGACGGGGCTGCACCACAAACGAACCGGCAACCCCCCTGGACTGGAGTGACTATGACGAGCGACGAAGTAGACCTAGGAAGACCAAAGCTAAAAGTAAGTATTTACTAGGCCATAATCGCAAAACCGCCCCGCGGACGCCGCCGGCCGAAGCCAGCAGGCCTGCCACTGCGAGAAGAATATGCCAGTCATCTGCGAAGATCTCGGGCTCCACCTCTGACAATGTTGCATAAGCTGCAACGGCTTCTCTCGTAGCGACTGTCTTTCTTGGTGCGCCTGGCGCTCGTCGTTTCCCCGTGCAGCACGCTGTGCCATCTAGCCAGACGCGCCTGATCTTCGGCTTTGGGAGCTTCTGCGCCTCACGCGCTTCGTCGACTTTCTTGAAGTGGTCACGCAGCTAAAATTAGAGAGGCAGCGAACGGGGCCCCCCTCCCAAGTTTTTCGGGGGGCACAGAGAAGAGGCCGCAGAATTCCTCCTTTTGGATAGGTAATTAGACCCTCACCGAGAACGAGCTCTACATACTTAATTCCCTTACTCAGAGTTAACCAAGGAGCAGCATCGGCTAAATTGCACCTACATCCTCCATAATCAGCGAAAGACTTGGTTACACAGCTCGCCACGTCCACAACCTCACCCGTCTGCGACGCTGTCGTATGAATGCACGCGTTCCCAGTAGGCCGAAAATTAGAGCTACGGCAAAATGTGCGTGCGCCAAGGCAATGCCAATAGATACTTACTAAACACCTCAAAGAAGTATGTAAGCCTCTTTTTACCCATCAAGCAACACCAGCAAGGGGCCAAGACTCACACAGCCAGAAGCGTGCGCTACTTGACTACCAATAATGGCGCTTACCTAGGACTTATTAGAGATAGAGGCAGCCCTATCTTAAGAGTATGAAATATTAGCCCAGTCTCCTACGTCATCGGGGATCATCGTTTCGATGTGGAGTTAAAGCGGCTGCTTAAAGTAAGAAAGTTGAGATATGTCCTATAACTAACTAATCTCCCTTCCATAAAAGTGTGGTCGCCACGCAGCGACTCCGCCTCAGAGAGACTGCGAAGGAATGTCAAACTGATGAAATCCTCGACCAGACTGAAGTCATAGACAACGTGGTTGCGGATACATTCCGCAGAAGGCACATGAACGAAATCACGCGGGTCCGAGGTGAGCGAGGTTTCTAATGGCGCGACGGCGTCCCCTCCCTTTCCGAAAAGTCCAAAAAATTCGTCCAGGGCTCTCTCGTTTTTGGACTGCAGTGATGCCAGTGCACGCTGCCCTTCGATCACCTCAACGATCGCAGAGTGCGTTGCCTTTGCTCGGGTTCGCAGCATGGTGTGCTCCCCTGCGAAAGATGCCTCCCGTCTGTTGATAGATTTCGTTAAATCAGCCGCGAACAACATGTTGCCAGCAACACTTCGAACAAATGGCTGCCTCTCACCACCAAGAAGCCGCTCGAGCCTCTGAAAACGTAGCCGCCCAGCGTGCTTGGGACAGTTGTGGACATACCTGGGCATTGCAATGCATTGGATAACAAAGAACAGAGCCAGAGCTCCCCAAAAAAAAACAGTTTTGCGCTTCCTTGCAGATGTTAGTTCCCAAAATTAATAATGAGCAAAGAGGAAAACAATCGAAAACAATACCGGAAGCCGACGTGATACGAGATCCCAGTCGCCTCAATGCACCGCCTCGGGCCCTTTTCCAAGACGCCCTTTCGGGTTACACGCAAACCACATTCCTGGCATCGTAGGTTACAAAGTTCAGGGCATGGGTTGTAAACTGTCACGCGCGTCCTCTCAGCATACGCTTGCTCATATGTATTCTCACCCAAGGCTTTCAACGTGCGGAGCCCTAGCGAATACTGACCAGACGGGACACGCGTCCACATTGAGCGCGAAGCATGAAGAACTTCAGGAACCGGCGAAGAATCATGCGCAAAGCGTTCAAAAAAACCACACGCCACAGCGACAGAGACCCAAGCTGGCGCAGCAGCTTCCGCAGCGAAGGGCATTGTCGGGAAAACCTGAAAGGGGGCGCCGTATTTGTTTCTTTGTGGGTGTGTGATAGATAAGAGAAGGCCAGCCGCTTGCTGGAAGCATGACAACCGGCAGCCACGAAATTAGTGTTCCTGCGTTCATGGTCACGCGAATAATAAATAGCCACGACTCTCATAAGCCCCGAGGCGTCTGCTTTAAATAATGATAGGCCCGACCTACGACACTCAAGAATAGAAGAACAAAAAGCAAACTAGTGGAACCTGCTCAACTTCCGCGGCCTTTTCGGGGCCCAGTCGCGACATGTACTTGGCTCGCTGTTCTAGCCACTTGTCACGCAGTAGCCTTTTGCTCGCTGCAGCGTCCGCAGCCTTGTCGATCTGACCAACCTCATCGACCTCATCCTCGCCACCAGTCGCGAGCGCCGTGGCCCTTTCTGGTTTTCTCCTGCACAACGCTTGGACGCCTATTTGTGCGAGGCGGTTGCTTTGCTTTGCTGTGTAGGAGTGTGACCGGTCAGGGCCATCATGCAAGACGGCGATCAAGTTCCACTCTGGTCCAAGTGCTCCTCTCCCTCCGAATAGCCCAATGAAGTAATCACTTAGGTGAAAGCCAGACGACTCTAGCAAGTCCGGGCCGATGCCTCGAACGGTGACGCACTCTAGGCTGGGTACGTCTTTCAACGTCTTCTCCAGATTCGGCACCGCTGCAAACTCGATCTTTACTGCCGCCAAAGTTAGAGCTAAGGAAGTAGTCTCTTGATGCAAAAACCATTGAAAGCGGAAGGCCGGGGCCAAAGCAGTTACTTAAGAGTCGCAGAAGCGCCCAGACTAATTCTCAGTAGCTGCCTGGCGTCTTATTCTTTCATTACGACTCAATCGTGACTAGATAGTAAAGAAACAAAACAAAAAAGACACTCCGCGAGGGCAAGGGCCGACTCGTGGCACTTAGATTGAGGGCACGACTTACGAGTGCGGTGCTCGCTTCCTTGCCTATATTTATTCACTACAACACAAGCCAGCACCTGACTACACCAAAGCCTTAAAACATGCAGCTCCCTTTCATCCCGGCCGCTGCCGGCATCTGGGTACTGTAGCTCATGCACTTGAAAAAGGAAAGCCTCCTCGCGGTAGTTCATTTCCACCAGTCCCATGCGCGACATGCTGCGAACTGGCTGGTCCAGCGCCTGAAGCATGTCCAGAGGCGCATGCTCCGCCGTCGTTTCCTCATCAGAGGTCAGACCTGCCAACAGAAACCCGCCAGCGCTGTCCGTCTCAGTGGCCTCAGCGTCACCACTGCCGAAAGGTTCATGCTGTCGGAGATGCGGCTCGATCTCCTCCTCCTCATCCTCGAAGATGCACAGTCCCAGCTGTGCGTCGTGCTGTAGTTCGTGCTCTGCGTCAGCGCTTGGTCCTGCGAGCGTCTTTGAAGATGTTGAAGAAAATGCAGGAGAAGACGTTGAAGAAGATGGCGACGAAGGAGATGCTGCAGGCGATTCTTTGCTACCAATAGATGCGGCGGGTGCCGTGTAAGATTCTTTGCTACTACTAGATGCTGCGGGAGCGGGTGCCGAAGAAGATGCTTCGCTACTACTAGATGCTGCGGGAGCCGGTGCCGAAGGAGGTGCTTCGCTACTACTAGATGCTGCGGGAGCGGGTGCCGAAGGAGGTGCTTCGCTACTACTAGATGCTGCGGGAGCGGGTGCCGAAGAAGATTCTCCATCGCCACTACTAGATGCTGCGGGAGCGGGTGCCGAAGAAGATGCTTTGCTACTACTACTACTAGATGCTGCGGGTGCCGGTAGTGATGCGCCTTTGGCCACTGCAGCCGAGCTCATTTCTGCGGCGCGCTCCTGCGCGCTTACTGCCGAAGAAGTTATATTAAAACTAGAGAAGCTTGCTCACAGACCTTAATGTTGGGCGCGCGTCTGTGCCCGACGTTTGATTTTGATATAGCCTACCGATGAAAAGACAGAGGGCGCACAACTACAGCGTAGGCAAGCTTCCTAATGATTTCCATAAGTTGCCCACTCCCCGGAGAGGCGGCGCACGCAGGCAAGACTAGATCTCCTTCTTCGCCACTACCCTCATCAAGAAGGGCGCCAGCGCTGCGTCTTTCAGATTCAGCGCCTTGGTAGAGGTGGCGAGAGCGCGCAGCTCCGCCTAATGTGTCCACCAAATCCCTGCTGCTGCTGCTGCTGCTGCATATTGCACTCTCGCGGCCCATGGGATCGAGCGTCTCCGCGTTTCCCTTTTGTGTTTCCGCGTCGCGCTCGTTTCCGGCCGTGCTACTCTTAGACACAGGAGCGACGAGCGCCGGGCACTTCTTTATTAAGAGACTCACCGCCTCGGCCGCGGTGGTTTTTGTCGGCTTCCTTTGTTCCCGATGAACCGGATCAGGGTTCGCCATTTTCCCAATGTTCTCACGCTTTGAAGGGATTGAGACTTGAATCCCCCGCTTCGTCGACAAGCCATCCCATTTGAGAGTTGCCTTTTTCCCACGGAGTTCGGGCCTCGAGTCCCACGTCTGCCGAACAGCGGCTCTAAAATTATGGTCGTCCATTTTTTCCTACGCACGAAGGAAGAGAGAAGAAACAACATCAATAAGAAGCACGCGCCAAGAACGAACCATGTCTATAAAAATCGCGGAAGAAGTTTTTCAAGCTGAACGATCGAGAAAGGAGCAGTTCTATAAACTTAAAAAGCTCACACTCTAGTCCTGTTTGCGCTTGTATGTGAATGATGGGCCTAGTGAGTAACCAAGACGAAAAGCATCGGAGAGCGGCTAACCAATCAATAAGGTCGAAGCCTCTCAGAACTTCAGCCATCGCTAAAAACCCAGAAGCGTGCGCCATCAAACAAAATCAGACGACCACGCCACCAGCTGACCCCGCGCATCCATGCGTTGCGCGATGCAGTCACATCATCAGGGGAAAGTTTGCAAAGAAAGGGTGGGGGTGACAATGTGGAGGGGCTTGCGTGCAATCTCAGAGAGTTTTACTCTCGTCAGGTTATACATCGACACGAGCCACCTTCTCGCGTCGAGCGATTTGCAATTAAAGCTCTGACTTCGCAAAGCTCTAAGGCCATCTTCTCAGAAAACTTCGCCCACGCTGCTGCTCGCAGCCGCCTGCGCCGTGACTCCATATTTCTGAAAAGCTTCGACAGTGGTGGCGCAGATAGTCCAGTCCCACTCTGGTCCGATTTTCCACTTCATGAGCGCGAAGCGCGGGTCTAAGAGCCACACCGTTCGCGCCTCTCCTGATCCTCGGTACGCCCGCCCAACGAATTGACGCGTCGACCTTATCATCGTGGCCTCGGATTGCTCGCCGTCCCAAGGTCGTTGCCCAGATGGCGGCGGATACGGACAGCCAGCCATCACGAAATGCTCCGCCGACGCTAATCTGTTGCTCCCCTCCAGAAGTTAGAGTGAGTGTCTTATAAAAGTTTAACATCAAAACACCACGAAGGCCGGGCTTTCGACCTCCTTGAGGCCATTGCCGGCTCCCATGGAGAAAAGCGCTCAGCAAACGTTTGGCTTTTTTTTTTGAGTACTTCGGGGAGGGTAGGCAAAATCCTCATAATTTGCATACCCTCCCCGAAATACTCAAAAAAAAAATCAACTTCCTCTGGAAGCATTTCTTGGAACTTGAGACGGTCGGGGGCAAGCTTATTTATTTTTATCGACAGCTCAATAAAAGAGCTTGTCCCCGATAGTCTTGATTCCCAGGGAGTGTTGGCCTCGAGCAAAAAGGTGAAGACCAGCCGTTTTTCATGAAAGACGACCGGTCATTTTTTTGTAAAATGCCAGTAAGAATTGACCGAAATGAAGTGCAATTTTGTTGGATTCTAGTCGCAGGATTGCAAATGGGCACCCATTTGCAATCCTGCGACTAGAATCCAACAAAGTTGCACTTCATTTCGGTCAATTCTTACTCGCATTTGGCAAAAAAATGAGCGGCCATTTTCTACAAAAAAATGACCCGCCACTTTTCATAAGAAAAGAGACGGCAGGCCATCGTTTTGAATGCTCGAGTTCAGCACTCTCTGGAAATCATAATCAAGACGATCGTGAGTAAGCTTTTGCGTCGAGCGCTTGCCAAAAAAGCTCACCCCCGAAAGTCTCAACTTCCTAGAAGTGTTTCGCTGGCATGCGAAGCAAACACTTCTTGGAAATTGGGACTATCAGAGGCAAAGAAGCTTTTCCATCGAGCGCTCGACGAAAAAGTCTACCATCGATAGTCTCAATTTCCAGGAGGTGTTTGTCTGGCATCCGAAGCAAACTCTGAGACAATCAGAGGTAAGCTTTTTCGTCGAGCGCCCGACGAAAAAGCTTACCCCCGACAGTCTCAATTTCCAAGAAGTGTTTGGCTGATCCCTCGGAGCTTAGTGGTGGCCACTTTTCTCCTAGGTCCAAACGCTCGTGGTGGCCATTTTTGTGCACTCGTAGAGTAGTCGTGGCCATTTTTGAGAAATCTTATACGAAACAGATTTTTAAAACTTGCAAAGTTACCAGAAAAAGAACCAAAGAGAAAAGGAGTCGGAAGAGAGTAAAAGCGAAGCCTGCGCTCTTAAGTGAACTTCCCATTGTGCACGACGAAGAACAACCCAGAAACAGGGGTGCTCGGCTGTTGATCTCCTTGGCCTTCGACCAGAACGTCGGGAAGCTGGTCTTCCGCTTGTTGCGCGAACTCCTTTGCCGACGCATACGAGACGCAAGCAACGACGACCAGTCCAGTGCGCTGCGTTTTCTTCCAAAGATGGACACAAAAGCGGACCACTTCAGCCACGTATATCCGGTGTTCACTGAGGACGAACTTCGGGTCGAATGTACTGCGGCGGAGGAGGCTTACGGCACCTACCTGCGACAGACTCGAGACCGCGTTGCAGACCACCATGACTCGCGCAGGCCCATCTTTGAGTTTAAAAACTCGAACACCCTTCACATCTGAACCGAGGACCGCCTCAGCCTGGGCCATCGGCGGGGTCAACGCATCAGGGAACATCGTTCCAGACATGAGCACTAGCGTGGCTGCCTTTGCGATCTCTCCGAAGATGGCGGACCTGGATGCGCCACTCACTGCCGTCAGCTTATCCGATGACCACTGTGCTGGGCTCACCGAGCTAGATGAACTAGAAGTAGAGCTACTGCCGCCACTACTGCTTCCGGACGTCACTGCAGACGGCGCGCCGGTGCTGGCCGGCGTTTTTAGAAGTAATTGTAAAGAAAAGAAGATCGACGAAGCAAGCTAGCCAAGAAACCCCGCAGAAGTAGAACCACGGGCGCAAGCAGCAAAGAGCCCTTGCTACCTAGTCAAACTAACGAGATTGGTGGCCCCCCTCTATATCGAGGCCATACAAACTACACGAGTCGAAGCGACGCACTAGCCTTTCAATGAATCAAATAAACAAAGCCCTACAGGATAGCCTGTCATAACATGAGATAAACCTTTGCGCCTGGGGCTTTGAGCGTTTGGCGAAAAGCATGCGGAGCCGAACTGTCTGCCTCGAGGTTTTTCAGCTCTTCAACGACCTGCAGAGTTATGGTTTGGGAAGTCATGCCCGCACTGTATTCACAAACAACAGGTGCACACTCTGACTTAGCGAAGCCACTAGTACTTCTAACGACTCCGAGCATGCCATGTGTTTGCTGTAGCCAGAGAACGACGCTAAAAAATTTGACGAAAGCTAATGATGTAAGTACGTACCGCGCTGGGAAGCTCCACCGGCCACCGGCGGTCGCGGTGTCGTGCTTTTTCTATCTCCAAGAGCGGCACGTAGCGAGGATGAGGCGCGAAAGCGGTTTCAGCAGCAGTTACAACGCCCGGCATTATATTAGAAAACGAAATCGGCGCCCACGATGGAGCAGCTACTGTTACAGCCTAGCGCTTTCACTTATATATCGACGCGGAAAGGAGATAACTTAACTCAATGTGAATACTTAGCCAGCATCTGCCTCTTCTGGGAAGTGAGAAGCGCAGCGCTTAGCAGCATCAGCTTCAACACGTCAGTTTCAGTATCAGCGTAACGTTATGGGCCTCGTCGAAGATGACCAGCTTCGTCCCGCTCAAGAGCTCACGCCGTGCACTTTCTAAACCCGGCTGCAACCAATACGGGAACGTGGTGACCAGCACGCTATATCGCTGTAAAGTAAGAGATTGGATGGCCAAGTCGTGACGGGTTACGAAACAAACAGAAAGATGGAATCAAGGTGAGTTCTTTGGTCGAAAAGCTGAAGAAGATAGAACGGACGTCAGCAGTGTATCGCCCTACAAGGGGACCCCGCTCATCAGCATGCTATCAATGAAATCAACTTGGCAAAGTAAGTTTCTATATATGTAACGAGTACCTTTGTGAGCCGCTTATGGGCATAATACGGACACGATGCTCGCCGCTGTCCTTCCTCCCGGAAACGAGTGACGCCGAGGGTGATGTCCTCGATGTCGGCCCAGTCAAGGTTCTTGTGGAAGCTGCACCCGCCAAGCCCGGCGGTCTTGTTGCTGCACGCTAGGTTGGGGTCCTCGTTTGCCGCAACCTCCGGAACGAGGCAAAGTTCGCGCCGACCTGTGCGGACCATCGCGCGGACGCCCATCTTCTTGGCCTCAGCTAAAATATTGCGCCCCTGCTCATGCGTCCGCGTCACAATCGCAGCGCGACCAGACACATCACAGCGCACGCTGCGGCTTAGTGCGAGGCCGATCGCGGTCTTTCCCATGCCCGTTGGCAACTGCGCCACGACGTGGAACCCTTCGTCGATTGCGCGCGCCATCTTCGTGGCAGCATCCAGTTGCTGCGGGCGTGGCTTCAAAGGTGCGAACGCCGCGAGGAGCGGGTTTGCAGGCTGCTGCGCAGCAATCTGCTCCGGCGCGTCGTTGTTCGCGCGACGCTTCTTCAAGCCGGACGGGCTCACCAGCATTTTATCTCAATGACTTATAATATTGGCGGAGCCACCTTACTGGGGATAGACTTCGTTGAAAATAGAACACCGTTACGCTCTTACTAGAGATAGACCGCGTTGAAAATAAAACACCAAACAGATTTAGACACTACGCAGTACTAGCTTCAGCATCAGACTAGTAAGGCATTACTTTAGTCCTGAGCTATCCCACCAAACAGATGTCGACCGATCATGAGCTAGTATTATGGTCCGCACTGGCTGGAGGGATAAACATTGCTAGGGGCTGAATCAAGCGCAAAAAGAGACAGCGAACAGATATACAAATAATTAACTGCGAAAAGCACCAAAGTACGACGAGGCTCCTGCGTCGTGTGGGTATTGAGATTGACTTAGTCGACGGCGGAATCGTCGAGCCATAAGATAAGCCATACCTAAGCCCCACCAAGCGCGCGGCTGAGTAGGGGCCATACATCATCACCATCATCATCGATCACTACCAACGCGCCGCAACTTCTGGCGATGAAAAGGGGATCATCATCATTATCATCATCGTCGAGCTATCACTACCAACGCGCCGAAATTTCTGGCGATGAAAAGGGGATCGCCATCATTATCATCACCGTCGATAACTACCAAGACGCCGAAATTTCTGGCGATAGATCTTCTCACGCTGCATTTACTTCTTTGTAGTGCCTTGGTAAGGAGATGGACAAGGAGCTTCTAAGGATGAGCGACCTGTTTGCATTCTATTCTAGAGCTGGGCTGTCGCCTTCGTGTCTCTATTTTGAGTTCGTTTTCTGTTTGGTTTTAGTGTGAAAGATCCTCAGTGAGGTTTTGGACTTCCCGAGTCATTTCTGAACCTTCGATGCGTCTTCAATGAATAGATACGCCTGTGGTCCTTCGATGCGAAGAAAAAGATGAGAGGGAAGACGGCCGAAAAATGTCTACTCAAAAAAGCAGCGGGGGAACAGGCGGCCTTATCAAAAAGCAGTGCGGTTTTTTGGAGTGGAGGTCTCTCTCTCTCCCGCACCAGTGACGTTCTGGCCCACAGTTCTCTTTCACACAACCGAGAGCAGAAGTACCAAGCTGCCAGAGACCGACTAAAAAACCGAGCAGCGCAATTTTCTGTAGCTTCGTCGGCTTTCATCAGATGTTTCTTAGGGGGTACACCTTGCTTCAGCGTCTCTCTCTCTCTCGCGCTTGCGCGTCCTTGCTTAGTGATAGATAGACGCGTCTATTTTCTGGAAAATTGACCGATTTTTCAATTTTCGGAAAATTGAAGGGTTGATAGAGCGTGTTCTAGAATTCCTAAACTTCGTCTGCGTCAAGATGAAGGGCGAACACTTCTGAGTTCCGAACACTACGTATCACAACACGATAGATTGCAGAAGTAGTTTTGGTAGCAGAACTAGTTTTGGTAGAGTTTTTAGGTCTATTGCTTTGTGGTTGTAGCAACTATTCTGTATGATAATGTGGGTCGTGGGCGTGGGGGAAAGTCTGTGTAGTGATATCAACATTCCATATCAGAAGTAGATATCAGCATTTTCATTGATATTGTTCATCTCCTTACGACTCTTTTGTTTATTTTTCATGGGGAGTGAGTCTGAGTTGTACTAAGAGAGCGTCAACATCTCACCCACAACGCCAATCCATCCCTGTATACTCCTCATCACTGGTAGAGGAAGAGGATTCGTCCTCATCTTCTTCTTCTTCTTCTTCATCCTTATCCTTATCCTTTTGGGGTTGTACTCCGTTTGCGAAAGTAGCTGCATTTGAAGTTGACGTAGCTGCATTTGAAGTACCAACCACTTTGATCTGAATCGCTACAGGTTCATCTTCCTCTACTGTTTCCAGTAAGGCACCGGCATCAACAGCATCAGCACCTTGACCTTCAGCGTTCTCGTCTCTACAACTAGTACTATCTGTAATATCCTTCGACGTCTCGTTTTTCCGAGCTTTTTGCCTCTTATCCAGTTTCGTTCGCAGTTCTTTGAGTTCTAAAGACCGCTCTTGACGTCGTTCTTTTTCCTCTGCTTGCTGTTTCAGGAACCTCTCTTTTGCCCAAGCGGCCTTTATGCTTAGAGGAGGAAGGTGAGGCAAAAAGGACGACAGACAATCCAGCATTTCAGTACGAACGAGCGATCTCGATGAAGCAACGGAAGTATAGATACGTATCTCTACGTTCACATCTCAGAAAAGTGAAAATGACAGTCAGACTACACCGAAGGTGTAAATGAATAACTCACCAACTACGACACGAAAACAAGAAACATCAAGTCCATAACATTTCCAAATTCTCGCGATACTCCTTATCTGTAACGATGTCCATCCGCCTCAAGTCCCTCTCGAATTCCATCTCCCTTTTTTTTGAGGGTTTCGTAACTCCTAAAGCCTCAGCTTCCTGCTCTTCATCGTCGAAAAAACCCAGTGATTAGAGGAAAGATAGGAAAAATGGAAGAGGTATAATATTACAAAGACCACTACTTCTTATAGTATCGGTGGAGCACACCTAACTAGAAAACATAAAAACCAAAAAAGTCAGGTATTCCAAATATCTAAAAAATTTTTAGTGGCCACGTTTATATTAGGATCCGTTTATTTTAGGCGCCGCGCGTTCGTCCTTTTGCCCTGGAGGTCTTCTCATCTATGGCGGCCGAAGCCAGTGCATGCCTCAGAGAAGTGCTCGGTTCTCGCGCTATGTGCACCCACTAGTTCGCTCCAGGGTACCGGTTCACCAAACTAGTGCACAGCGCGAGAAGTAGGCCTTCATATAGTCTTAGCTCAACAACCACTACTTCTTATAGTCTTAGCTCAACAACATTCTCAGATCGGCGGGGTACTACCGTAGTTTTCAAAGCCATAATTGGGAAGATTCGTGTTCATTTGTGGCTCCTCCTCTACGGGTTCGTCTATCAAAAGCTGGAACTCCTCTAAAGTTATATCGTCCAAGTCGAAATCTGCTAAAGGTGCCGGTCCCGCACTAGTCTTATTCACACTTGTGCTCGATGCTGATAGACCAAAGGCGGGTGCACTTGATGTACCTGCACCAGCTGTTGTTGCTGAACCCTTATTATCACCTTGTTCAAGCCTGTCCAGGAGTGGGATATTCTGGTTGCCGGATGAACTAGAAGAAGAGCCTTCTCCACCTGCAGCATTCATTTTACTCGCCCTCTCCTTTTGAAGTTGTTCGTCTCGTAGTCGTTCAATGACTCGCTGCTTAATCTGCTCAGCCTTGTCCTCTTGTTCTGCCTTGTTTGCTGTTGTTGCTCCGGAAGTACTAGGTACGGCACTAGTTACTGCGGGTGGGCTTGAAGCTGGTGCTGCTGGTGCTGTAGCTCCAGTCGAGATCGCGCCACCTGCTGATGTTGTTCCTGAACTCTGCTCTCCTCCTGGCGGCCCATCGGTTCGTTGTTTCTTAGCACTGGTCGTCGGTGGAGGAGGTTTTTTGTCCTCGTCGGAGTCGTCGTCGTCAGATGAAGAGTATCCATCTGCTACGCCTCCCGCAGCTGGCCTTTTTACAGCTCCATTACCAGTGGCCTTTGTTGTTGAAGATGTTGGAGGTAGTTTTGGGTCTTCAACTTGTGCTCTAGTAGTAGTATTCTCTTTTCCAACCTCCTCAGTTACAGAAGAAAATTGAATACTAGTTGTCGGCTGCTCTGTTGTACTAGCAGTCGTGCCTGCCGTAGTCGTGTTACTTCCCGTCTCCGTTATTTTCGCGTTCGCCTGTGCCTCTTCTTCTTGTTTCGCCTTAATACTTGTTCTTTCTTTCGCCAGCAAAGCCTTCTTTTGCCACTCCAACATAGCTTTCTGATGCTGCGCCGATTTCAAGTGCTGAGCCCAGAGACTTTCGTGCCTCACGTGGGCGTTGCAGATGATACACTGTAGCTCGCCATTCGGCAGCCATCGAGCAAACTTGGGTGGGGGTTTCGTTTGGGCCTTCTTCTCCCTGGCCTGCTGCATCAACTTACGGAGTTCCGCCATTTTGCTGTTCTAGGAACAAAATAAAAATAATAGATGTTGAATTTGCCTATACACAGGACTTCTTCTTCATATGGTCCTAGCACACTAAGAGAAACTACGGTGAAATAGGATCTTCATCATGCTAAAACAATATGACAAAAGCACAAAATGAAGATTCCAATCAAAACATCCTACGAGTATTCCTTGGCACTAAGCATGGGCGAAATTTCATCTAATGTTTCACAAACAGAGTCGTCCTCCTTCTGTAACGGTGGCTGATAATAACAACATGTGAATGCTGGTGGCTACAGATGATTCTTCTTCGTTCTTATGATCGTTCAATTTGTGTCTTCAGTATATGGAAATGGAGAAGGCTAGTCTGCTTTTTTCATCTTCAAATTCAAGTTCTAGATTTAGATTTGGAGATTTCAGAAATTGTTTCTGGCCACCTATAGGGGCGCAGCAGTTACTATTTCATTCGGTGATCGGCTAGTCGTAGTCCATGGTCATCAGCCTGTATCTTCTGAAAAAAAGCTATCGCAGAACGAGATGAACACCAAATGCGCATCCGTCATCGAACAAGCCAGCCATGCAAGAAGAACGTGTTCCCGAAGAATATCGATTGGATTTCATTTTTCAGTTAAACTGTTTCCTTACTGGCGTTTTCATTCCGCGTCGTGGTTTCTGTAGTCACCATTCAACAGCTTTATAATCTCCTTTGTTTTCGGAAGTAGAACTAGAAGATGGTGAAGATAAGAGGTTGAAAGAAAGATCTGAGAAGTGAAGTGAAGATTATGATGATGTAGTTGTGAGTACTTCTATTATTCAATAAAGGAGGTTAAGTCAATACTATTTGAAATAGAAAAATCTGGATCGCGAAGTAGTTCACGAATTTCGATTTCAACATGGGATATAATTTTGCAATTAGAATGTTGACTTTGATGACATAGAAGAGGACATGTTTAGATTGTGATTGGATAAGAATAAGAAGACAGACTCAATGAGTGACTTGTGGAGTGAGGAGCACTCTTTATGACAAAAAATGTTAGCGAAAGCTGCATCATGCGAGATTATTTTCACTTACTTCCACTAGATGAATGTTGAGTCACACTGGGATCTCGATCATCATGTGTCAATTTGGGGCAGCGGAGGACCACTCAGTTCTGAGCCGCGGACCACTTAATTCTTCTCCCTGTACTGTCCGAGATTCTTCTATGACAAATGTGTGTACTAAAAGTCCACCATCATGAAAAATCGAAGTGCGAGTCCACCATCATGAAAAATCGAAGTGCGTCCTGCATCCAGATTCGCCGAAACCTTGGATATTAGAGAATGTGCCCCGATGTCGATCACAATTATGATGTCGCGTGAAGATGAAATAGAAGAACTCGAACTATAAAAATACGAGAACGTCGACTGAGCAGTAGGTAGAGATGATGAAACAGAAGTGGAAATTCAATATTGATACTCGTCCATTAACTACGTGTGTGTGTGTGACTGTGAGTAACATGTCTAACTTTTTTTTCTTCCCATAACTTCGATCTCCTTCGAAAACACCTCGTCCTCGACGTCTCTGGAAAACCAGGTATCTAAAATGCGCTGTGTTTTCCGATCCATGTCATTCGGCATCTTGCTGTTTGAAAACCTGTCTCCTACATTACGCAGCGTTTGTTCTAACCCAGTTTCCTCAGCTAAGAGGACGTACGGATTCGAATAGCTGCTAGAAGTTGTAGGACTACCACTATGTTGCATCGAAGATAGACATGCTGCACGTCCGCGGATAGCATGAGCCATGTGCTTCTGAGCAGGGTCTAGGACATCGTGGACCGCCATTGCTTTTGCTCCAGATCCAGTTCTTGCACTACTACTATTAGAGGTAGGCTTTTGGTGTTCGTTTATCCCGTTTGTTATGGCCGTCCCGCTTAGGAGAGCCATAACAAACGGTAACAAAAGCACCTTTAACCTACCCTTAATACTAGTCGTAAATAAACCTCCATCTGCTGCACCACCACCACCACCTACTAATCCAGTACGCCGATTGTTCGGACGAAAAGAACTTCTTTCGAATAAATGATCTCCCTCATTACTCCGCATACTCAAGTCGGATCTGCCACTATCGAATCCGCGGTGTGCAAGCGTGCTCGTGTTGATAGCCCAGGAATCTTAGCAGAAGTGTGTAAGTAATGTGAATGACAAGCTCACTACAAAAACCGGAATCATTGTGGTCATTCTCTGAGTATCTTCCCTGTATCAACAAATCATAAGCATAACTTTTCTCCCCAACACCATTCCTGGCCACTGCTCCACCTTTCTCCTCTATTCCATTGTCCTGTGAATCTACCATGTATGGGTCTTGTGATCCGAATCCCCTTGTGATTTCCGGAGAAGCGAAATTCCTATCATTTTCTGCACTAGTGGTCGCGTTGTCGAGTTGATGCATCAAGGCGTTCTCATCTAAGGGGACGCCGAGTTGCATCCCTTGAGGTGTTAGAAAGGTCATACAACTCAACTCAGAAGACCTGAAAAAGTTCAAAAGTGAAAAAACAAGCGAGAGAGACCTAACACGTGTCACATCTCCTAGTCCTAGAATACTATTCACCTCTATTACTTATTTGAGCCATAACAACCCTCCCGCCCTCGTCTGCCCTGCTTCCTCCCCTGCCACTCCACTCCTCCCTTTATGGATCAAGCACGGGCTCGATGTCGGCGCTTGACAGCCTGATGGCAAATCTACGAAAGTAGAAGGACATTGTCGCTCACCTGCTTCGAAAATTAACACTAAATTGTCCAGTAAGAGACAGTTAAGCGAGACGTCATCGGTACCCCCTGACTCCAACCAGTCTCGGACGATGACGAAAAAGCCCTTCTCTTTGACAAAGTAGTCTATGGTTTGCCGGACTGTCCAAGTAGATGAAGAGGATGGAGTGCAAGTGGAAGAGGAGGAAGTGCCACGGCCAGTTGTACCTACGATCGTCATGTTGTTGAAATCAACTCCATTCATCTCCCTAGCTTTCTCTACTTCAACAGCGTGAGGAAGTAAAACTTTGAGGGCATTAGCAAACGCAGTGACGCACTCTTTGGCTAGCACGTTAGAGCGTCTTTCCTGCACAGCTTCAGCGAGAAGGTCGAAAAAATCGATGCCTCGCTGATTGTTCACGACGTCTTGTTCAAGATGTAGTAGTGGCTGTGCAATATCATCTTCGATGTCCTCTAGTTGTAGACCTTCATGATCTCCACCAAGAAGCATTGCCATTGGTCCACCACCTAAACTACTACCACCTATTGTCCTTCCTCGCCCAGCACCAACATTCACATTGTTCATCGTAGTTCTACCTCGTCCTCGTTCTAACGGCTCACAGAGTGCCAAACACTGTTCCGGTGTCCCATGTGCGAGGACGCCGACCATTTTTGCGATGTCGCGTTTCTTCCTCGTTGACTCTCCAGTAATCAACCACACAGTGCCGAGAGCATGCGTCAGGCCACTGGAGACGCAAGCGTCAAGAAAGCCGACGTCTGGTGGAGCGTTTCTCACTAGTGTGCCCAACAGGAGCAAGACAAGGCTACGAAGTTGAGCTGAGATTGATTGTTGTTGCGGAGGGTTATTGTCCGCTGCAAGTGCTGGCGTGCTAGAAGGGTTTGCTATAGTTAAAGCTCAGCATTCATTGGTCACCGACTCAGAACGGAAGAGACCCCCTTCAAAGCTCTCCCCTTTCGTCCCTTCGTTTCTTTCCCCTGTTGGTTCTCTCGAGAAGGGGTCGCCTCTTCGATCTCAGTGACCAACCCCAATGACCATTGAAAGTTGAGCCTTAATATAGACCCATAGTTGTTGTCTCCTCCGTTTTGATACTGCTGTAAGAGCTGTTCTCGGTTCGGTCCTTGGTCGTAAGGCATCAACACTAGGCCAACAGCTGACGCCGCTTGCTCCATGTTGTCCTCCACCACAGGAATAATTTCTATCTGATGATCCTGTCGTGTAGTACAACTAGTTGTACCAGCTGGTTGATGTTGAACCCGAGCACCAACACCACAACCTCCGCCACCACCACCTGCATAGTCCTGGTGGAACGAGGAGTCAACTTCACTTGCACTGCTGTTGATGTTACCGGTCAGGCAGCTTTGAAAGAGACTACTGCAGTCAGCGGGGCCATTTGCAAGGCCACCTGCGCCATTGAGGCTCGACGTCGATTGCCGTCTACTATTAGCGTTACTCCGTCTTCTAGTCCCATGGTAAAAGCTATTCTTATGATCTGCATCTTCAGGGTCGTTTCCGACATGTTGCGGTTGAGAGTGAGACTCCTGCCTCCTTCCGAGGACTTCCTCATCACCGACCAGCACGTCTTGGCTCATGGATGCAACAGGTCTCGTGGGCGCAGGAGGCGTTATCGTCCGGGAATTCGATACTGACAGTGGAAGTTCATACAAACCTCCTGCTCCACCAGAACCTAGTAGGGAAGAAGGCAGTACTAGTTGTTGATGGTCCACACTCATCATCCCGATCCCGCCTAATATTGAGTTACTAATATTAGTATTTATAGGGTTAGAGTTCATTTGTGGATGAATCACTCCGATGTTTGCTATCCCTTCATTCTCTTTGTTCAACACAGTCGCTGCGTGGTTTTTCCGTTTACGACCAAGCAATCGACCTCCACCTCTGTGATCACGTGAAGACGAGATGATCATCGTGCTGTTGAAGTCGACATTGTCGCAGCATACTAAGGGGCCTAAAAGGGGTATACTAGATCCGGCGCCGTCTGTTGGCGTGTCCGGATTCAATTTGGCACGTAGTGATGACTTCGAAGGTGGCGTCGAGAGAATGCCTGTGCTACTTCTACCAGCTGTGGGAGGAGGCGGAGCACCTCCACCTGCTGCTGCACCTGGTTTATGATTGATCCCAGTAGAGGACGTACAACTAGGGACGATATTTCTAGCACCAGGACCTCCAGTCGTGTTGTTCATCACGTTCATGGTACTATTGTCTATTGCTGCCAAAACGAAAGCTGAAGAATCTACTAGAGGTCCTCCACCCATCGAAGATGCTGCTCTTTGTGCCTGATTCACCTTGAGCATTTGATCTGGGCTGTTGTGTAACGCGCTGCCTGGTGTAGAGGAGAATGGCAACGAGGAACAGGACGCCCATCCTCCGCGCCTACCTAAGGACGAACCGAAGGACCTCTGACTCTTCCTAGCGAAGATGATTGGGGAGATGGGGGAAGAATGCAGAGACAAGTTCCCTTTGGAGATGATTGGGGGACCACCTCCACCGCTATTATGGCTACAACCACTGTTGCGACTACTGACGCTTAGAAATAGTCTGCTGTCTATGTTGGAAGATGCTCCAGGTGGCACTCCTGAAGAACCGCCGACATGAGGATTCTGTGCCGTAGAGCTGCTACTACCTCCGATCTGAAATCGAATGTTGAAGCTGCCTCCAACATCAGGCTGTGGCTGTGCGAGGAGGTTCTGTTCTACTCCAGGAATTCCTTCACCACCAGGAGTCGGCGCCTGCTGTCCCTGACCCTGACTAGAAGACATCATCTGATCATCCTGCGAAGTAGCACACATCATCTCCTGAGACCACTGTATCTCTCCTCCAGGGTTTCGGGTTGTTCTAACGCCCACTAGTCCTCCAGGTGGAGCTAGTAAAGTAGATTCATCTACTAAAGGCCTTCCAGCGGCTCTTGAACTTCCACCAGGAAGTAAAGAAGTCGTCGAATTTGGGATGCCAGACACCAACAGATCGCATAAGGTCTTCACGAAGGGGTTACAAACTGATGTTCTGCTTCTACTAGGTTTGCTTTTACTCCTGATGTCATCTGCATCTCCTCGATCTTGACCTTCATCCATGTGGTCTTCCTCGTGCCCTGAGCTTGTTGAAACCTCCATCAAAAGCCGATATCTTCTACGTGCATCGGATTCCGCCTGTGGATGTGTTGGTCCTGCTTGTAGCATTTTCTTAGGATTGGAAGCGCTGAAAAACGAGTTCAAACCCATGACCGCGTCTTCGGTGATTTCTAGGTCTAAATTTCGGACTATGGCTTCGACAAAGACGGAGAGGGAGGCCTCGACCTGAGGGTGGTGATTTTTGCATTTGTCATAGCAGCTATGCTATGATTGCTATAATTGCTTCTCCGTGTAAGTAGTTAAATACTTAGAAGGTTTTGCAAAATTATTTCAGAAGAAAGAAGAACCAGTTGTGGCAAAAACTGGTGAGTACCTTCTCCAATGCTGGCGCTGGCTTTCCTCTACACAGCACTTGTAATGCCCAAAAAGCTGTTCGATAGACTTAGACCTCGTGTCCTAGTTCATCCCTGTGGAAATCTCAAATCCCTCAAGCGTAAATGAGTGAGTATTCCCCTTGTAATGGGGCGCATACGGTTGAGGGATGCCTATGGAGATGGATTAGCAGTAGCCTTAATAGACCTTCGTCTTCCCTGTATTTGACCAATGCGACATTTGACTTGTTGCGTTGCAGACTTTCCCCAACAATTCCACAACCTGCATATTCAACAAGCCATCCCTAAACGCAATAGACGATGCCTCACCCGCAATATTCGCCAATGACCAAACTGCCTGTTCACAAATACACACCGAGAGTGCGGCTTCGGAGTGCAAAAGTTGGAGAAAGCCTTCGTGGGCGCCATGACGGCACAGAGTCGTGAGGTAGGAAGCGGAGTTTCGGCTCTGGTCACTGGCGACGTTGCAGAGAATCCAACAGGCTTCAAATTGGGCCTTGAGGTCGTTTGCGTTGGTCATGATGTGCACTAGCAGTGGAACCGTTGCGGAAGCAGCTACTATGTTGCCATCCATGCTAGCACTAGTTGTTGCACTAGACGTAGTGGGAGTTGTGTCAGTGGTTGACGGTTGTAAATCGACTTGCTCTTCCTCAATGGGTTGAGCACCACCAACACCCACCAAGAAGTATCCAGCACTAGAAGACCCATTCATTCCCACAGCACCATGACCACCAGCATCTTTGATGTTACAACCATTAGAACTATTCTGCAGCAACAACATACTCGACGCTGGTGCCGTAATCGCTCCAGAAGACGCGCCGAAGACTATAGCTGCCGTAGCCGCAGCCGTACTACTGGCAGCCGCACTACCCCCTTTCTCATCCGGGGTTAGTCTTGACCTGAGCTCGCGGAGAACGCGCAAAACTGTTGAGTATTGTTGCCACTGGCGGAGAAGGGGACCTGGTCTGGCAGACGATGGTCCACCTGTTGCTCTAGATCTCGAAGTTGGAGAGGACGATGACTGATGCATGTCATGAGCAGCTACAGCGCTAGCGGAAGCCGCGGATGAAGGGAATAACACTGCTCCAGTTGCTTGTCCACCAAAATGGTTACTTCCACGACCCGTAGAAGTTGGAATTGGACCAGTGCAGCAAGTGTTAGTGAAGTTCGTCATCTCCTTATGTAGAACTTCGTACTGGGACTCTGCTAGGACAGCGACATGGTCAAAGATGTCAGAAACGTATGCCAGGGCTGTCAGGGATGAAGCGGAGGCGTGACCGGAAACGGCGCAGGTGATCTGGTGATATTATTTATTACATTTAGATTTTTAATGATTAGCCGAGTGGAAAAAGGCCACGATGAAGCTTTAACGCAAACGCCACTTGATGTTACGAGTACCAGCTACCTTAACTTGTAACAATCTATTGATCTAACTATCGGTGAAACAGATATTGCACGCGCACTCATCTAACTATCGGCTAAACAGATATTGCACGCGCACTCAAGTGCTAGTAGTACCTCTTCCTTCAAGTAATTTTCCTTCGGCACCAAAGAGAGCACATCCCGCTCTTCTTCGCCATTCCTAAACACGATGCATTTGTTCAACGCATCACATAGCTCCAAACAGCTTGCCTGCTTCAACTGCTCTTCCGTGCAGTCGCGTTGGTTCATCAAACTGTTCCTCAGGATCCCTCTAAACTGAAATAAGTTCGCTTCGTGTTCCCGAACTCTCCGCTCGGACGTGCTCAACACGTCTCGCATCTGCGGTGTCATGATGACGTTATCTAGAGGACTCACGTCGGAGCGGCGACAAGAGTGCTGCGAGTGCTGAGAGAGTGGAGCATTGTTGTTGTTCCCAGTGTTAGAAGAGGTGTCGGGATGAATTCATCTCAGGGATCGTCGGGATGAATTCATCGCAGGGATCATCTGGTGGGTCCCTTTTTCCCGATCACTTTGGAGATGATGATGAATTCCCTAGTACCTGAAGGCATAACAGTGAGATCAACAGAGCCGTTAAACCTGGCTGAGCTACGTCTTCTGGCATTGCGACTGGACTCTGTGTGCAAAGGCGGTGTTTGGTGTGAGTTCATATGTTGAAATGGTTGGTGCTGACTGTTCGGGTGATGTTGAAAGTAGGTGGAGGAAGAGGAGGTTCCAGTTGGAGGAATCATGGATAATGAGGCTGATACTCCTCCACACCTGTCTTAGAGCTGTCCGCCATTCATCTTCCAAGTGCTGCATCCTTGAAAAGTATGGCGGAGTCCTTTTCCCTTAGGTGGATACTCCTCCATACGTTTCAAGGATCATGCGTCCAAAGATGTATTAGGTACAACAGCCTTAACTGTCGCATGCATCGCCTCTTCTACTCTCCAACCCTGGTAATTGCAGCGACGACGTAGATGACGACCCAATTCTTGTACCAGCAATAGCACTTCTACCTGTGGTACTTCCCGGCACCAGTGCTGAACTAGGACTACACTGTGGTATTCCTTTCTTCGCTGCACCTTTCCTAACTCGGACATCAGGTGAACAGGTACAGGGATTGTTCTGGAAGGAGGAGGATGATGAGGAAGATATCCACGCTCCAACTCCAGGGTCTCGAGATGACCCTTCTCCCTCTCGAAACGTCCCGGTCTCCAGTTTTCTTCTTTTTAACGCTATCATTTCTCGCTTTTCCTCCTTTCGTAAGCGAAATTCATCTTCGTCGCGCTTATCCCTGACCGCCTCATTCTCCAAGGCCGCCGTGTCCTTGAAGGCTCGACGACGGTCTTGGAAATTTAAACGGTCTTCAGAGGAGGTGGCGTGGGAAGGGACGTTCATTTTGGCGAATGCGTATGTGGAGTGGATGGTGGATTTTTGTCGTACTAGAAGTACGTACTAGGTCTCTTGTTTCAGAAGATAGGAGGTCGTTAACGGAAATAGCAGGGGCGCGCGGAAGTAAGTTACTTAGTAGGAGTGGGCTTAGAGTTTAGGGTTGATAGACATTGCTCCGTACAGGTAATGATACTCGTTCCAAATGATGCAATCATGGAAATCTGAAATTGATAAGCTAGAAACTACTGAAAGAAGAGGAATGTAGTCAAGACTCTTTTATTTCAGTCAGTAACTCGCTTATTTTGACTTTTCGAATATCTTTTGTTTAGTTGAGTTGACAGAAAAGTATATTGATGGGAAGCGGAAGAGCAAGCTGTTACTTAGTGAATAAAAATATCCAACCAGTACGACCAGCAGGAGGAAGCTAACGCGAAGTATTGAGAATGCTAGCCGATATAACCGATCCATCTACGAGTACAACATTGACGACTCGCGACAGAATGAGCTTCTTCTTGTGGGGCACGACAAGATACACGAATCTTTGATTGATGTTGAGGGATCCTCGTGTTGCTCTTTTATTCAACATCAACATCAAGGGCAGTCGAACTCGAAGTACAACAACTTTCAAGAAAGCTCGACAACCGAAGACAGCACCGATTGTCCGAATTTTTCTCTTCATCTTAGAAAGCATAGAAATCAAGGCCAGCTTCAGAAAGGACATGCATCTTCAGGAATTGATCATCACCTTGCACACAATGTCGAGAAGAAGGAAATGAACACCCGATGTCGAGGAGCGGGTACTAAGTAGCATTCCCAAGTAGTTTTTGGGCTAGTTGTTTTGCTATGTTTTTGGGCTTTTTGCCCTGTCGAAGAATCTCACGAGTTGCGTGTGCAAAAAAATTGAGAACTTTGGTTTTTCTGCAACAAGCGGCTTCATCTTCGTTCAGGTGGGAAAGAAAAAATGTTGTTGTATAAGATGTAGGAGTTGTAGCTTCGTTTTTCGATTCAATTTCTTGTCAAGAACATCCGTCATTGAGTGTGCGTGTCTCAATCATGCCTTGTTGTCGTTGATGTAGTAGTATCCGCGAAAACTAAGGTGGCACTTTACCCCGAACAAGAACATACAACTTAAATTGTCACGACGTATCATCAGTCGCTATCCTCCGCTGCTGCAGCCAGCAGTGCTGCTGCACTCTTTGCTCCTGCCTTTGGTGACGTTTCGGGCGAGCCACCATTTGACGCTGCCTTACCATTGCTTCTAGCTGGCGACTTTGATGCGGCATTCTCCTTCGACTCGGCAGCTTTACCTTCCTTCTTTTCCTCTCCCTCTTTGTTGCTCTCGTCCGCAGAACCTTCCTCCTTCGAGTCTTTGCTGTCTACTTTTCTTCGCTTACCTGCTGGCTCAGAGCCTGCATCCTGGTCCCGTGTTGGATCGTATTTGGCGATAATCGCCATAATATCGTCAGGATACTTGTTGCGGAGGTACCTTGTTTGTTGTTGGAAAGGGTTTAGGGTTTAGGGTACTTGATTTTTTTTCCAAAATATCGAAAAGTTCTAGTTGTAACCACTAAGGCGTTTGCTTCTAGAATGGCATCAAAATATAAACAAAAAGATAGTACTTGACATTCGAGAAGCAATGCGAGAGGACCTCGATTTTTTCATCTGTAATGATGTGTCCTTCTGCTTTCAGCAGTGCGTGAATGAATTTGAGTCGGGCGTTGTAGTGACTCTTCGGTTCATCGTTTCTTCTACGGGCGTAAGATTTCTGAAAATCGAATTCTCCAGCAGCCTTCTTGCCATCTTCGAGCTCGGCCGCAGGTTTGTCCTTGTCGGTCATTTTTTTGTGCTAGTTGGAGGAGGTGCTACTTCTACTAACCTGTTCTATCTAGTAGGAGAAGAAAAGTTAACTCAAACTTTACTTATTTTCCTGAACCAAGAACTAGATGATTGACGGACAGAGAATGGAAAAGAAGGAGTTCAAATCCCCAAGAAGAGGCTGTTTTCCCAAAGATCGACTAATCGAAAATTTCTCACTGGGCCTTGGGGTTAGAGGATCTTCATTCATTCATGTTGTGTACACGAAGGCCTAGGACCGACAGAGAGAAAGAGCGATCACACTGGTGCTGGTGGAGCAGAGTATTCTTCTAATTGGTTTTCTTCTTACAGCGACAGCAGCAGGAAACAAGATGAAGTCCCGACAACAAGCAAAGATCTTGCATTTCCTCGTGTCTTTTTTTCATCATTTGGATCTAGGAATGACATTTACGACTCATTCTCATCATCATCAATCGTGTACTTCACGTTGTGACCTTGTTGTGACCTTGTGGGAGTTCTACTTACTTTACTGTTGCACTTTTTTTCTCAGATGCACAGCACCGATATGCAGCACGAGGAGACTTGACTGAGTATGATTTAAAGATTATTCTTGGTCGGGCGTAATTATGGTATTGACATGGAAAAAGAAAACAAGTGGACGGTAGTCTTGTTGTAGTACGTAGCTTAGTGTCTTGTAGTCTTCAGGAAACACGACTATGCAAAATCTGTTCAAAGAGACTGACTAAAAACTATTGTAGCTCTACCAGGTGGTTGAAACGCGAAACATGAACCATCGTGGAATGGGATGAAAAAAGGTGAAAAATGCGAATGGAGCATAAATACTAGGAATAGAATGAGGATAGACAAGAAAAATGAAGATCATGTTTGCTGACGTTGATATATTGGAAGGATAACTCAGTTCACTTCAAGTACCTTATACCATAGCAATTTTTGCGAGCGACGGGTGGTAGAACGTTCCTGCTGTTGTTTTTGCTTTACTACATGCTGGTATTTGTGTGTTGAAGATGTTTCTCATCTATTTCATCCCGATATCATTCTCGTACTTGTCACAAAGTTTCGCATTTTCTCGTTATCTCTATGATGGTGGTGAATCAATCGATTTTCCGAAGCAGATGCAGAATGCTTGTTATTGAAGACTTAAAAATCTTTGTCCGGACTTCGACTAGAAGCCAGCAAAGCTTCCGTAGACACAAAGTTGTCCCGTATGAAATCCTCTGTCGAACCCATGAAGGATTTCTTGTTTGCTTCCTGCCTTTCCGTAGAAGTTAACAGTGAATCCCTCAATGCCTGCCGCCGAGCTCCTAGTAGATTGATGCGTACTTGCTTTTTAACGTTAGTAGTGCTGGCAGAATAGTCTTGAGACGTGTCCAGTAGCGATGTTCCCACGGCATTGATGTCTAGGTCTGATTGCGCGTCAAATGGATGTTGATGCTGGCCTCCTCCTATGTTGAAGCCCCCTGTGCTAATATCAGTCAGAAGATGACCAAATAAAGCGGATTCTGTGTTTGTCGCGACTGACGATGCATTGGATGCGGTTGACCCTCTGCGGACGACCACTGGCGGAGCCACTGTTGCACTAGTAGTGTTGTTGTTTTGGAGCTCTTGAAGTGGATTCTCATCGCTGTAAGACAAGTGTCGACCCTGTAACTCATTACGCTGGTTCGAAGAACAAAGAAACCGGCTGGCGTCAACGCCAGATTGAAGATGATGCTGTGCTTCGTCTTGCTCTTGTCCGGCAGAGATACGACCGTCTTGCTCTTGGCCGGCTGTTTTCTGAGAAGAAAATGGCGGCGATCGTTGCGTCAAGTGAGATGCTTTGATTTTCACTTGCTGTTGAGTATACTCTGTCGTGCCACCAGTGCGGGGACCACGAGCAGACATCAGGGGTGCGCCGGATGACAGCGCGGCAGACTGCGAACCGCTAGAAGCTGTTGCAGTGGATGGAGATGGGAGGCTGCTCGGTCTTTGAACGCTGTTGGCGGCTGTCTGGCTTTGCTCTCCACTATGAACGAACATCCACCCAAAAGCGGAGTCTTCAAGATTCAGCTAAATCCATCAACAGAACCCGCTAACTCGGCTAAAAGAGCCCGAAAATGGCCAACAGAGCCAGCTAATTCGGGTTCTGCTGATGGATTTAGCTGGATCCAGAAGGTTCCTCTTTTGGGAGAATGTTCGCTCTTACTCTCCACCAGCACTACTTGTCACAACAACCGCTCGTGGCGTAATCTTCACTGCTCCCGGCGCTCCCATGATCTGATGGGTATGACTAGCCGGCCCAAGTGCCGCTAACAGCCTCGAAGCCACATGACCTTCGCCACGCTTGAGGATTTTTCTCACCCGTGCGGTATTAGTTGAAGTACCCCCTGTGATCGAGGATGAAGAAGAAGACGAACTACAAGAGTTGTCTGCAGCGTTGTTGTTCGGTGAATGGACCTGATGTTGAGCCAGATGTTCTTGTCGAACATGTCGAGCCAGATGTTCTTGTCGTTGTGTACTCGTTGTTGGTGAGCTTTTTCTGGCAGCTGTGCTACTTGCTCCTGTGCTGCGAGTACGCAAGCTGCCAGGAGACTCAGCGGAATGGTAACTCTTCTCCCTTCTAGAAGTAGAAGAAGCAGTACCAGCAGCACCTCCAAAAGTGCCCACAAGACTTAAGTCCTGTAGTTCGTTCTGATCTCTACTGTAGACCAACTCATCCTGAACAGGATTCTCCCTACAAAGACCATCATGGTCCTTGCTCGGCTTAGCCAAGAGCAACACAGCTTCGGGAGGTCTGTAGAACTCCACATCCTCTTGGTTCACGTGATACAGGTTCTCCTGCGGCAGCAAGTCAACGTCTTCTACTTCTAGATCTGAATCTTGAACGTCATTATTCTTGTTGTCGACAACGTAACCGTCACAGTCCACCTCTTCTACACTAGTGCCGTATGGTACGTGTGCAGAAACTTCTTCTAGTGGGTTCGCCATCGCCGCTACAGAAGCCACCTGTTCAGCATCTTCAACACTTTCTTGTGCTTCCATCAAGCTTGCACCATACGCCACGTGTTGCTCAAGAGCACCGTCATCTGCGATTGATTGTTCGCCATACAGAAGCGCGTCACCGCAAATACGCTGAGGCTGTGGCTCTCCGAGAAGGTGTGCAGGATGTAGCTGCCCATGTCCTGCCGTGTTACTACTATGCGCCATCAAATGTTCGACCGCCGTTGCTTCAGACGATGCTGTTACGGACAACGAAGACTTGCTGTTGGTTTTGCTACTCCTCGTTTCCGGTCTTAATGCTGACAGATCCACTACGCTTCCAACTCCACCAGGGTGATCTTTGTCGTACTGATATTTTGAGGTTGCCGAATTGCATTCTTCAGAACATCCTTGACCTATTTTCCCCTCGAAGAGGAGCCAAGGATGGTAGTGAGGGATGCAATTCGGAAACCCTTAAGATATTGCTCGGTGTGATGTTCTTGTTGTTCAAGATCACCCATACAGCTTGCAAATAGCTCACCCGTAGTTCCTTCCAGGTTCTGATCGTTGTAGTAGGACCAAGGCTGCGCCGGCGCTTGATGTGCCTCTCCTGCTAGCCCTTCCTGCGTGCTTTTATGCTGTTGATGGTGGTTCGACTCAGCAGTAGTCGTTTGTTGAAAATCAAACTTGTTCAGCGCGTCACCACTCATTTTCATGTGGTTGTGCTTCTGCTCGTGGTTCGTGTTTTTGTTCTGATGAACGGAATCATGTTGATCCACAACACTGGCAAAGGAAACAGACTTTTCTTCATTAAGCGTATTTCTGTTGTCCAGGTCATCACGTGCGGTGCCGTAGGCACTACTGGCGTCCAATTGTTGATGGTGGAAGTCAAGCTGTTGTTGGTGCTCACTTGTTATGTCCATGTTCATCTCTTGGTTGAAGTGAAGCTGTTGTTGGTGCTTACTTGTTATGTCCATGTTCATCTCTTGGTTGAAGTGAAGCTGTTGTTGGTGCTTACTTGTTATGATTTCCATTTCCTCGCTTTGATTTCCATTTCCATTTCGTTGACCAAAGATATTCGCCTGCTGCTCTCGCGCCAATTTACTTTTCGCTTTCCGAGAATATGGACTCGAAAACGGGCTGTCGCGCACTGCATGAGTAGCAGCAGGTCTATTGCCTTTCCCAACGCGTCCTGGTGAATCATCCAGAAGCTCAGGGTGTGGATGTTCATGCTGCAACTGGACTGGAGCATACGAAGCTGCTCCTGTTCTTGCAGCCCCCAACTGTTCAGCCACCTCATTATTTATTGCTGCCTTAATAGTTGAAGTTGTTTTGACCAGATTCATGTGTAAATGTAGTCCGTGAATGCCACCAGGACCATCTTCTCCGCCTTCCTGTTCTTGTAATTGTAGTTCCTGCATGACTTGTTTTCTCGCGCGGTCAATCATCGGCGTGATGCCATGAATGTTCAGCGACAGGTCCTTGCTAATGGGTACATCAACAGAGAGAGCTCTTGTAGGACTGGCGAAGAGGTCTTCGGGATTGCCAGTTCGACCGGGAGGTTGTAGCCGCACATCGAAATGACCAACGACTTCGCGCTTGGTGGTGACCACCTGGTGAATAGTTTCATGATGAGTATGAGTAGATAAACTTAAACGTACTACTTATTCGATTTCGAGTCGTCTCGTCCGTTTATTAATCATACCACCTGCTGATCCTGCTATTCACAAGTCCTAGAGGTGGAAGTACAAGCAGAACGTTAGAAACAGAACTCAACAACAGCTCTAACTAGTACCTGCTCCCCCTGTCCAGCACCTCTCCCTCGCCTCAGTGGACTCGGACTCAATTCCGGAGCCCTTGTCACTCCATTTCCAAAGATTCCGCCTCCTTCACCTGCACCACTACGGCCAAAACCCATAAAGGGAGAAATAGGTGAAATGGAGGATTCTGAGCCTCCTTTTCCAGTAGAATCTTGCAGATGCCGTCCAGAGGGCGGTTGTGGTGAGAAGTGAAGAGGGGGTGGCGCACTGGCTTGTGGGAAAAGGAGAGGAGCATGTTGTTGAGGAGCATGCTGTTGTTCTTGAGATTTTTCAGCTGAGTGCAAAGGAGCTGCAGACGATGATGCTGGCTCTGTTGCTTTATGTGCAGAAGTAGTTGCTCTAGTATTCTTCTGTAAAAACGCACTAGCTGTCGAAACTTGTTGGTAATGATTGTGAGCCTGTGCTGGTGCAGCTGTCAATTCATCATGTTCGTCTGGTACTCCTTCATGCTCATGTATTTGACCTTGTTGAATTTGAGCTTGTTGCTCATGACCTTCTCCAGCTTGTTGCTCACCCATACCCAAGTCAAAGGTGAACAAATCCTCTCCTGTGACACTGTCTTTGAAAGCATTAGCCATCATGCGTCGCACGTCGTAGCCTGTTGCATCATGCGTCGCCACTGCCACTCCAACTGGAACTGCAATTCCTGCCTCTCTGGACTTGCTCAGTTGTAGCTCATCATGATCCTCAAACGCTGTAGCTGTTCCAACAGCCGAGAAGGAGAAGTTCTCGACAACTGAAAAGTTTTCCGCAATCTGTGGAACGACAGATGAAGCTGGAAAGCCTGCTGGATGTTGTGCGGTTGCTTGAGATGTGCTGGCTGATGACTTCGACTTTTCAGGAGAAAGATTTTGATGCTGTTCAATTGCCTCCTTGGTCTGAACAAGTTGTTCCGCGTTTAGAAGTTTACGACGAGCGGTCCCTAGCGGAGAAAATTCAGAGGGTATCGATTTCGAGAAATTATGTCCAACAGACACCTCATGCATCGAAGGAGAACCCTTGAACGATGGTGGAGAAAGGGTATCTTGGGGTGGATGGACATCCGGTGTACTGCTGTTGTGGATCCTGTGGGACACATGATCATGTTGGGATGAAGCATGATGTTGTTCTTTAACCCTTTCGTTACCATGATGAGTGGTCGCAACGTGATGGTGCTCTGGAGCTGCGTGAGCATGTTCTTGGGCTGCACCTGTTGTGGCTGTAGAGTGCAGCTTCAACTTTGTTGTACTAGTCGTTGTAGTATGTACTGGATGTCGTGCAGTCGTATGATGTGCATTTCCGTGCGATGCTGACGTTCCTGGATGATGGGCATGACCTCCAGGCTCAACTGCGTGGCCATGTGCCGAATGCGTTGTTGTAGTGCTGTGATGAGCAGTAATATTAACAGGATCATGTTGTTGTGCTACAACAACATGTGGAGGACTAGAAGTCATAGTTGTACTCCCAAGATGACGTTTTGCGGCACTGCTTGCTGTTGCCGTGTGATGGAGGTGATGCAGGTGTGCACTGTGACTGTGTGGGCTTGCTGTTGCCGTGTGATGAAGGTGACTGTGACTGGGTGGATCCACCCCAGGAAATATCTTGCTATTGTGCACCCAATCATGTTCTGGCGCCAATGACGTCGTTGCGAGGAGATGCTCGGCGAGACTAGTGTCAGATACATCTAGCTTTTTAGTGTGTTGATTGAGGGGCATGCTGGCGGCAGCTGCATGGCGGGAGTGCTGTGAGGGGTGAAGATGGGCATGGGTCGCTGGAGCATGGGTTCCTGTACCACCGTGAGATGAAGGATGTGCAAGACCTGGTGGTGCAGCGTGATGGGCAAGTGCAAGACCTGGCGATGGAGCATGTGACGAATGTGCACTTAGAAGATGTTCTGCCGAATGATGTGCCGCTGCAATCAACGAAGTCGTATGCTGTTGAGCACCAGAACGCCATACAGACTGATGTGGTGATGTACTTGCTGCAGTGCTATGAGGTTGTGTTGGACCGTGATATTGCGATCCAACATGATGTTCATTCTGAGCTGGTGGTTGCAATCCTGGTGGTGCAGGATGATGATCTACTGACGAGTTGGGTTCCTCGTGTTCAGATGTAGAAGCAGCACCTTTTCTTGCAAATCCTGGAGGGCCAGGAGAGCTCGCGACACTCTCTGCTGGTGGACCGTGTTCAGACACAGCAGAAGCGGCCAAGGGCTTCACTACTTGATCCAATCCTGGTGCTGGTCCTGCGTTGAGGTTGACTGCATTACCATTATTGATGTTCACCGGAGATGTAGTCGTTGGAGATACATCTACCTCTTCTCCCGGTCTCTTCATCAATTCTCGTATCTTATGGGCGGCCTGCTGTACAAATCCCATGATCTCTGGTAAGTTCACCCTATTCTCTCCATCCTGAGCGGCCGACAGAGGACTAACACCTTGTCGAACCTCAATCCTAGCGGGTCTTGCACTCATTGGGGGCTGTGCGGCAGTGGATGTAGTCGTCGTGAATGGTGCTCCAGCTCCTCCAGGTCCACGACCTCTACAACCACCTACACCTCCTAGAGTATTTGAATTTCTATTGTTCGTAGAAGATCTTCGAATCACTGGAGCCGGTGGCGTTATAGATCGAACACGAGGGGCACCAGAAACGTTGTCTCCCAGTCCCATATTAAATAACATGTTCTTGTTAGATGATTCGGCTACAACTATGTTGTTAGATGATCCAGCTTCAGGTGACAAAGAGATGACGCCACCAACGACACTTGGATTTGCGAAGATCGCTTGTTGTTCATTATATGTTGACCTGTTCTTCGCTGCCGGTAAGAAAATGGATGAGGACAAGACCCGGGGTTCAAAACCAGCGAAGGAAGAAGCCCGTTCATTACTAGTACTACTAGGTCCTGTACTCCTTGTTCTGCTCGCTGCAGAAGTTCGACCTCTTGTAGTTTTTATAGAAGTTGCACCTACTACTTGCTGCTGTTCGTCTGTGATATCCTCAATTTCTATTTCATCGTCCTCTCCGGTATCGGTGTCCTCGTCAGGCACAGCATGCTCATCTTCACCTGCTTTTGCTTTTTCGCCATGCTTCGTGGATTCTCCCTCTCCTGGCTGTGGCTTAGCCTTATTTGGAAGGTTACTCCTAGGTTTTTTCGCAGTTTGTGGAACTACGCTGCCACCCCCCAAAGATAAGCGACCTGGTGGAAACAAGCGCGTGCCTGCTCCAGATAACATGCGCGCTACACCAATAGACGCAGAGGCAGATGATGTTGACGAAACTGCTGGTACGTGACTGCTAGCACTGGGCATCTTCAAAAGTCCCGTAGTTTTTTTCGGACTCAGGCTTCTCGAAGTAAAAATGCTGTCTGAAGTCCTAGCAGAAGTGCCCGCTGCATTGTGTATTTGTTGCATCGTCTTATGTTTCTGAGCTGTTATCTTCATCTGCCACATGGCGTGCTCGTGTTGCTCCAAAGTAGCGAAAAAGGGAAACTTGTTTGGAGCTCCTGCAGTTGAATCTTTTGATTGCTTTTCTGCATCTACTATGAAGCGAAAAAGTGCACTCACACTCAAGAAATTGGCTAGGATTTAAGTAGGAAAATAGCCACTTTTTCTGAGTGTGAGTGCACTTTTTTCTTTCATATCTACCACGACAGGAAGATCTAAATTGTTCTGACCAATAGAAGCTGTTTCGTGAACAGTATTCGAGGTCGAAGACGAACCGCCAACAGTCAGCTTTTGCTCTGTCTTCTGTTTCTCCGGAAACATCTCTACATGAGCAGCGTAACTAGGATGATGCACCGGATGTGCGGCCGGTGAGTGATGCGGCTGATGCGCGGCTGCCGGTGAAAAGTGCGGCTGATGGTTGTGCACGACAGCTGCATGATGGTGTAGTTGTTGAGCCCCAGCAGTCGCACGAGGAACAACATCCCCTGTAGCAGCAGGCGGCGTAGTCGACGAAGGATGAGAAATGTGCTGCTGTGGATTGTGTGGATGTTGTCGCTGACCTTGAGGATGCAATATCCGAGGACCTGCCGCAGGAGAAGTTCGCGATAATGTAGGCATGGCCGAAGTCAACGGAGCATGATGCTGCGGAGCATAATGAGCAGGGTGGTGTTGCGCGCCAAGAGTAACACCATGAGGATGTTCACCGACATGAGGGTGAGCCACGTGACTATGAGCTGCATGAGGGTGAGCCACGTGAGGATGAGCTGCATGAGGGTGAGCCACGTGAGGATGAGCTGCATGAGGGTGAGCCACAACGTGAGGATGAGCTGCATGAGGGTGAGCCACAACGTGAGGATGCGCTACATGCTGCGGGTGATGCACTGCTACTCCTGTCGCTGCTGCTTGTGTGCCATGTGGTTGATGATGATGTCCGAGAACCGGATGATGCTGTACTGCCTCATTTGGTGGATATAACTGTTGCTGCGCAGCCCCCACATGACCTAAACCACCCAGCACACTGGTCTGTTGTTCCTGGTGACTAGGAACTAGTGGAACCCCAGTCGGTGTTTCTGCTTGAAGTCGTTGCACGTGAGTGGAAATCTCGCTTGTTTTGTGCTTCAATACGTCCTCCAACGAAGCGAGCTCTACTTCGAGACGCTCCATCTCTGCTACCTGCTCAGGGTCTGGCTGGAACATGTTGACATCTTGTTGTCCGTCGACTTGTTCTTGTTGAGGATGATTTAACACAGCTGGTAGGGGTTGTGCAGGAGCATTGTGCTGCTCACTGTGACCAAGTCCACCAGAATGTTGCGTCAACTGTGCTTCACGAAGCTGATCAGACTGGAACACATTGTGATTTAGAGGTAGGCTTATGGTGGTCGTTTATCCCGCTTGTTATGGCTGTCCCCACCTAAGGGAGAGAGCCATAACAAACGGTAACAAAAGCACCTTTAACCTACCCTTATTTGATGCTGGGCAGGCACAGCAACACTCAAGCCTGTCGCGTGGTTGCTCTCCTCTTGATTCGGTGTCCTTATCGGAACTGGAAAGGTCGGTCGATGCTCCTCTGCAGCACTGTTATTCTCATCTTGGGGGGAAACTAATTGCTCTATTTTTTTTACTCCTGGTTTCGCAGGTGAAGATGACAGAACTACGACAATCTCTGATGCTGCATCTTCTTCGATCTCCCCATCGTGACTGATTTTTCTCACCGTTTTTGTGGTAGAAAAGTTGACGCCAGCACCCTGCTTCTTTGATGTCGTTGCTCCTGTGGTTCGAAAGGCTCCGGAGCGTGCTCCTGCTCGTGCGTCAGCAGAAGCTGCAGGACCCCCTTGAGTACTAGGCATGGTGTTTTTAGATGCTGTTGAGGATGTTGAGGGACTTGGAATGCCACTCGGTCCGTTGCTAGCTGTCGCAACGAAACTGCGCGCAATAGCATCTGGGAGACCAGCGCGGCTGTCACGTGCTGTCGTTCCGAAGGTTCCTTTGCGAATTAGGGGTAGAGCTGAACAACTTCAGAAGTTCAAGTTTAGGTGGTTCTCTAACAAATTGAAATTCTTCGATTGACGAGGACAGTAGTCCTACTACTGAGACACGACGAATGGCCATAACTTCACTCCACCAGCGGGTGGCTTCTTTCGTGTTCCTACTGCCTTGACCCGAGCTTGACCCTCTCCATTCGACACAACGGATGAAGCAGCACTAGTATTCAATGATGACGACGCTGCGGGACTCAATCTACTTGTGTTGGCGGCTGTTGTAGCTCGCGGTCTAGACAAATCTTGTGCTCCTGGAGCAGGCGGTCGTTGGTGCGCGGACAGGGAACGAGCACGAGCTGTTGTGCCTGATGCTGGTGGTCTATAATTCAGCCTGCTTGTACTGCTACTACCAGACCACGATGCAGTGCCAGTGGGTCCTGTAGGTGGAGCACGACCAGATGCAGATGCAGGTGTGCCACCCCTTGCGGAAAGGGGTGCTCCTTTTCCTGTTGTAGTTTTTGTACGACCAGCAGTCGTGTTTTTCATCTGTACTCCAGTGGCAGCAGTATGCTGGTGTCCCTGTCCTCCGGTCGCTGGAAGTCCTCGACCTGTGGTCCTCTCCTCGGTCTCCGTAAACAGAAAACTACTCGTACTCCCTCCTTGCGCAAAGGCATCAGACCTTCCTGCTCTAGGCTTCTCCTGACTTGCCTTTCGAGATGAAGAAGCCGATGCGGATGCTGACGCTGAACGACTCCCAGCGAACTTGAGCAGCTCCTGCACACTGCGTTCGGCATGCGCAGGAAGCTGGTTGCCTCCTAAAAACGAAGTCTCTGGCGAAGCCCTGCGTTGGGGCGCCCGCCGCTGGCGAGGAGGACCGAACATATTTATTCGAATTTTTCTTTGTTCAGTTGCAGTTCTTCTAACTCTTTTTTGCCCTAGAATAAGTTTACCATCTTCAGGGCGACGAGCAGGCAGGTTTGATAGCGATGGACAGTTCTCTAGTGCTTCATCTACTTAGATTCATTGTTTCCTCTCTTTTCAAATTCAATGTCATTTTTTCGAGAACGTCAAAAGTTTTCTCGGATGCAGCTCAACTGATCCAGAAAAAAAATCCTGTTTGTCCGAATTTCTTACTCGAAAAGCGATATCAGAAGTGCCATCCCTCCGAAGCCTCTTCCTGTAACTCTCTTATCATGCCCAACTTACTCGCGGGTATTCTGGACACAAAGTAGCCACCGCGTCAAAGCGATGACTGAGTAGGCGCCCGCGCGCTACGTGTAAATTTTCGGCATACAACCAAACTGAATGCCAAGAAGGACAAACTCTATCCAGTACATCTGCCGTGGCGCAATTGCAGTTATCAATATTTGAAGCTCGAGCTGCAAGACTGTCTTCGCCTCCTACCAATTGTGCACTTGCGATTCCCAATATATCCTCTTTTCTGCTGTAGGATTCGAGGCACTCGCCATGTGCATCATGTTCATCAATACGCCGTCCATTTGGCCTAGTCCAGCTTCTATCGATTCATCATAGATCTCGCGCTCGAGATTAGTCGCCTTCAAAAAATACGGCACCTGTGGGTCGTATTGCCTCCTTTCCATGCTCAACTCGACTCCGAAATAAGCGTGCCAAAAATACATATGTAACTGACAGGGGGTTCGTCCACGGACGTCGATGTTGCGGACATACCTTTTGCTAGGGAACAGGTCTAAGTAGGAATCCTCCGAACGCAAATGCTCAAAAGCGTGCTCGTAGAAGCTTTTCGGGCGTAGTTTGATGCGGTCTCGCGAAACTACGAATTGCACACAGCAATACGCATTCACTTCATTGTTGACTGGTGAAGGTGCGACGGAGCTTTGGAAAACGTTTTTCCACAAGCGAGGCCATTCGTAGTCGTCAGCCCAGATTAGACAGAAAGTATTGTAACTCCACTCAGTCCTCTGATGAACCAACGTAGACACCATACACTAGTACGTAGTGGGTGGACTCAGTAGTCCTGTCATGAACTCCAACGTAGACACGACCATACACTAGTTCTAGTAGAGTCAAAAACAAAGACAAGCAACAAATTTCTTGTCCATAAAATCACGTCGCTATTCGGACCGGTTTCTTTGCGACAAAACCTGCTGAATATACTCATCTCTTGAATCTTCTGCGAACCGAGTTCAGAGCTCGAGAGATACTCCTTCTTCTCCTTTTTCCTTCTCGAGCTCGAAGACTCGATATTTCCGCTAGAAGAGGTCTGTCTTTCTGCTGGTGGATACACTCGTGGAATCCGGCTACTATCTACGCCCCTGAGTACTGATGGACTGGCAGTGGCTTTTCTCTTGCTCCTCTTCGCGTTTCTCTGAGTCATGGGTTTTTCATGCATCTCAACAGACCTCCGCCTTTGAAACCTCCTTGGTCTGATCCTACGTGGCGCTACAGCGGTTTTGCCTCCAGAACCCACCTGTGACGAAGGTGTGCCTGCCATGTATGATCCCTCAAAGAATGCTGATTCATCATCAGGAAATGATCCTCCAGAGGCAATAGTTCTAGTTGAGCTCGCAGCTGCACTTTTCGTCGACACCCCACCACTTGGCGCCAACTGGTGTTCCACCTCCTGCGCTTGTTTCTCTTGGCATTGCTTCTTCATCTCTTGCGCCCCTTCGCCTAATTTCACGTAGTTGTGTGCCAAATGCGCGAAATGCAGGTTGTTCGTGAAGCCTTGACTTGCAGCAAGCATTAGATCCGTGACCATGTTCAAATGAGGAATGTGTTCCCCAACATCCGCATGCAGAAATATTGTGTGCTTCGGCAAACGGTCGTAGTAGAGCAAAATATACCCCAAATAAGCGCTGCAGTCGTCTGCTCGTAAGTAGTCAGTGATGAAGTCGACAGTGAATTCACGGAAATAGCCCTGCCATCGGTTGACGAGTCTTGCCCGTTCCTGGTCCTCGCCATATTGTGGACACTTGTGCAAAATCCGCAAATTCACGAAATTTTTCACGATGTCCGAGTGATCGTCTTCGGGACTAAAGGGTAATTTCCAAAACACCGACAGCCAGTCCAAATCCTCCTGGCAGTAGCAAACCACCACGTCTAGAGCGTCAGGCAAAACGCGTTGCGTGTACCTCAAATCCATCACACGCTTTAAACCGACTCGCAATGGCCAACCATTGTTGTAGTGGGATTGCTCAATTCGACCCAATGCGACTGCTTTCATGAACTGTTCCGTATAGACGCGGTAGGCATCTTCGAACTTGCCGTCCGTGCGAAAATGGATGAGCTCCATTTTGAGGAGGAGAGCTTGTATGGCAGCGGGAGCACAGACCTTGGCGACGTGCTGAAAACTACCCATAATATATGTCTGCGTCTGTAACATTAGAGCTGTCCTCCGTACTTTATCTTTCAAGTGCTGCATCCTTGAAAAGTATGAGGGAGTAAGTATTCCCTCAGGATAGATACTCGTCCTCCACACGTTTCAAGGTCAAGGATACGTCCAAAGATGTACTTATTAGGTACAGCCTTAATAACAATGTCCAATGCGTTTGGTTCCTGTTGTAGTAGTTGCTAGCTTCAAATTTGAACTGCTGATACATCGTACTCGCACACGCCAACGAGAGTTCTTCCTCTAGCTTTTTCTCCCCTACTTCCCTTTGATGATGCACCGACAAAGCATCACGGTCGCGTTGACTCAAGTTCTTGTACCCGCCACGAGTGATGTTGAGTAGTTTCAGTCGTTGGCGCTCTGATAGTTCATGCGGAGTGGCGGGGAGGTCGTCCATATTTAGCCTCAGCTTTAATCCATCTTGGTCCCCCTCATCTTGGGGTCCCTTTTACCTCGCATTTCATGAGAGTACAAGGCAAAAGGGGACAAAGATGCCGAGAAAGATAGAAAAAAAGCTGACCATAACATATCCTCCATGAAGGTGTTGCAACAGCGGTTGTAGTTAAACAACCCATCCCAACAAGCGCGGTTGCCATTTGGGCCACCTTGTAGGCAGCAGAAGTTGTAGCTCAATCGTCGATGGCCCATCCAACAATTGGGGTCATTCCCGGAGACTTGCTGCACAGAAGCTAGGAGTACTAGTGCATGTTGTAGAAAGTAGAATGCGCCGGAAACAGTCTGGTACAACGCAAGTTGCGGTCGTTGTGATGGAGCACTTCTGGTTTTTGACGACATTCTTGCGCCTATTCGGAGTTTCTTCTTCCAAAGACTCATCCACCTTTTCGCCTCCGACAGGACGGTCTTGAACGCCTCCTCCATCGCGGCGCTCCTTGGTCTTTGCAAGCACTGTTTCTTTCTACTCAGGTCATTATGGCCATTTTTCTTGTCACTGTTGTATTTTCCCTCGCAGTATCAGCGGAGGGACCTCGTCCGCACCTCATTCTTGGCGTGCGTCACTGTTTTATCATCTTGTTTTTTCCTTCCGATTGAAAATCATCTTTGCCGCTCGTCTCTCACAATCTCGCGTGCTTCTCTTGATGTCACGTCTCTCAGAGTTGGCTAACAGTCAGTCCTCTTGTGCAGTCCTCGCGATTGTATTAAAGGAACACCGTAGTTGTCAGTCACGTAAAAAACTACCCCTACAAATGGAAATGGGACGCCAGGGAATTGGCTAATGAATATGCCTTGTCTTTCATCTTGGTGCCGAGAAGGGAAAGACTGACAAGTCATTGTGACAAGTCAAAGTCTCAAAATCTCCACATTAGCTCCCAGCCACCGCCATGTCTTGCCCGAATTCTTTTTTCAGATAATCCTTCTTCCACATCCAGAAGTTTTGTCTTATCGGATCCGCTTTCCGCAATTCTTCAAAATGCTCCGACGCCCTAGCTAACCCTTTCGTCAACCTCGATTCTAGTTCTTGTTTTCGTGCTTTTGCTACTCTGCTCAGCGTCACGTACAAAAACGCTTCGAATTTGATTGCATGCTTGTTCTCCTTGTCCTTCTGGCGGAAGCAGTCGACTATATCCTTGGCCAAGAACTTTCCGACTACTGGGTCCCTACTTTTAGCTGACGTCTCGGCTCCTCCATCATAGAACGGCTCTAGCAACCACTTATAATCCACTTCGGTAAGGGCTAGAATTAGAGCTGTCCTCCGTAATTATCATCTTTCAAGTGCTGCATCCTTGAAAAGTACTATGGGGGAGTATTATTCCCTTAGGTCGTGGATACTCCTCGTCCATACATTTCATCAAGGATGTGATGTCCAAAGATGTATTAGGTACAGCCGTAATAGAAGGTAGTTCCAAGCAGCTTCGTTGTCGTCGGCTTCGAGTAACCGATCTTTGACGAAGAGAAGCTCTATGATGGCATGTTCTTCGGCTGTGTCTAAAGCTTTGCGCTCTTGGCTTTGAAGATCGATGCCAAGGAGTTGACGGAGCTGTGGTGAAATATGTGGGATTATAGAGAAATATTATATCTTTGAATTGATGCATCCATTCATTGTGTTGTTGATCAGGAAAACTTAGAAGCTTCTTGACTACGAGGACATCAAGCTATCAAGGTAGATGATGACGAAGATACTATTTTAGTGAAGAAGCACATCCAGCACATTGTGGACGATCAACATCAATCTTAAACCTAGAAAAAATCAGAATCAGTCATCAACATCTTAACATCTTAAACCTAGAAAAAAGCAGTACCATCCCTTGTATCGTGTATCTGTGATTCCACGCTGAATTGTTGTAGACGTCTCTTCTCAGCATCTCCGTTGTGTACCCCAATTCCCCTACCAGCTTCTCCTTGCTTTTGCTGCAAAAGGTTTTCACCAGAAACAGCCTATGACTCCACACATTGTAGATTTTATGGTCGTCGTCGGCTAGTAAATCGCTCATCAATTGGAGCTCTCCTCTCGGCAAGACATTCAGCTGTTCAATCAGCCACTTCCTGTGGTACCAGACTTGGTAGTTCTTACTACTCCGCGCTAGCCACTCTTTGCAGAAACCATCGAGCTCTTCCTGCAGGACTTCTTCGTGGTACTTGCGGTTGGGGAGATTAGACCTTATAAGGTAAAAATTCGTCGTTTCTTATAAGTAACGACAAAATAATCAGGAGCAAGAATGATGGTAATCAACAAAACTGCGGTCGAGACCAAGTGAAGAACAGCTAAGCGAAATGATCGATATCACGATGTATGGAGCACCTCTTTTAGAGGTAGGTTTTTGCTGCTCGCTTACCCCGCTTGTTATGCCTTTCTCCCTTAGGAGAGGCATAAAAAGCGGTAAGAAAAGCACCATTAACCTACCCTTAATTCTTCATGGTACTTGCGGAGTCTCTAGACGAGCCTTCCATAAGAAAAGCTTCCTGCAAGCACTTCCTTCGGAACCACCAGGCAGTGTAATTCGCCGGATTGCACTCGATAACCTCCGTTGTCAGATCGAAAGCGCGTTCGGAGTATTCTTCGTTGAGATAGAAGGTTCGAAAATAGCTATGAATCTCTGCGAACAGAGGCTCGTAATCGATTGCCACCAAAGACGTTTTCGGATCGTCTTGAGGGGTAGGGACGACGTCTCGAAGCGACTCCCGCTCGGACGGAGGGATATAGTCGCTTTTGGTGGGAGATTTCTTCATTTTGAATGGTGGAGATCAGATGCTTAATATAATTGAGAAAAGTATGGATGCGGAAAATTGATTGAACTACTTTGTACTTTTGGTTTTAGGCTAGTCGTACATAAATGATACTGAAATCGAAATCGACCTGCTGCAGCTTTGCCGACGTGATCAATAGATACTGAGTGGGCGGTTTTGACTTTCAAGCATCATCCCGATCTGGTAAAAGTAGTTGCTGGTAACATAGAGATCAATAAAATTTCCGAGTAGGTCGAGTGTTTGATCATTTTTTGGCGTACAACTTTCTTGCTTCCAAGGGCTGTTTCAGAGAAAACGAACATGGTGAAGACGCCAGCTCCATAGTGTGATGCTGGGCGGGTGCTGTTGTTTTCGTGCCATCGTTGTAACTTTCTTGATTCATTAACAGTGTCACATTTGCCAGGGTTCACAGCGATAGAATTCGCTTCGCGTTATTTCTCTATTTTGACTTTTCGCGATTCATTACGCTGTGCTGGAAGTAAATTGAATTTTTTTTGGTTTTCGTATCATGACGACTTAGAGGCAATTTTTGTCAGGTCGACAAGACCTTCACAATTTGATGTCACAAAGAACAATGTATAAATGTTGGGTACTTGTTATTGAATATGAATTCTGCGCGTGCATTACCCCACACTGCAACACCTCCTGAAAGTTTTAATGTTTTTGATGCAGTGCTGCACCACTCCGATCTTGGCATCGATTGCGCGGATCTCCCCTTCCAATGCCGCTTTACGTGTTTCCGCCTCGGCTCTAGAGTCCTCATCCAGCACAATCTCATGCATATCCGCCTCTAGGCGCCGGAGCATCGGGAGTTGGTAGAAACTCACAGCGAAGAGTTCGAGTTCGTCCGCTATGAAAGAACGGACAAAAGCGAACGTCGTAACGAGGATGCCGGTTACTTTTTCGACGACGTCAGAACCGGCCAAGTTGTTGTCCTGTGGACGTGAGGAAGGACAACTAAATCTAAAAAAAGAATATCAGAATATGAAATATTAAGTACTAGACCCAAAATAAGCAGTAGTACCGGTATACTCGCAATAAGCCGCTTCAGATACATATCTAGCTTCCCCCTATCTGAAAACTCCCGATGTATTCTTTGTATTGTGTCGCTTTTGGTCGGCAGCAAAAGCGTGTCCAATTCTTCGTTCCTGGAGATACTAGGCATGGAGCTTCCCTTCAACAAGGCTGAGGGCTTCTGCAGCATGGAGTCAATGGTGCGGTTGACCAGAGAGTGAAACACTTGCTGATGGCGTTCAACAACGGAGTCGAAGCGGTCAAAGATCAGCTTCTTGATCGTCTGGTTTTCTTTCATCAAGAGAGCGAGGGTTAGAGGGGAGGCCGCAGGTGGAGGTGGAGTCAGGAGGTAGATGCTATGATATGAAGGTACAGATGATATGATGTGTGTTCTCGAATAGCGATATTTAGCTGCAGGTACTTTGGGGAGGTATCGCTAATTGGAACGTCGTCACATACAGTTACAGAGGATGAGGAAAAGTATGAACGATGGTATTAACAAGAAAGCACAGTCCTTCAAAGCACCCTCCTTTTCTAAAATAAATCACCACTGCCCTATTTTCTCATACAGCAACCGCGAATACAGATGGCTGTCGCACGTTCCTCGCACCTCCAGCATGAATTGCAGGATGCTTTCCTTTTGCGTAGTGAAAAACCATTTCAGCCTTTCAGATACGTAGTCCACTGCTCGTCTCGTCTTCGTGGGTCCGTGCAAGCGAATTAGCTTGACAATACTATCAATCCAAGCTACTTCCGTGGTTCCTACACCTCTACTCTGGATGATTTCGCGCTCAGTGACATTGTGCTGGATGTCCAAAAAGCGGAAATAGACTTCGATCTCGTAGAGAAGGCGGAGAAACTGTGCGCCGCCATTGATTTCTGAGGAAAAACCAGGACAACGACCGGTGCCGCCTAGGTAGTCGATGTACTCGTTCAAGTCGCGGAAATCCTCAGAGGGCACGACGTCGTAGCGGTCGGGGGTTAGGCCTGGTGGGGATCGTGGGAAAACTGAAATGCAAACGACCTAGAGCAGCTAGAAGCGTGCAGAACCAGAAAAATTATTCGTGTCCGCGAAGAGTCACAAGAACAGAGGTGTTTCTTCAAACTTTATCATGATAAGCATCGACGTCAGAGTCAGTACCTTTTATCTTCGAATAATGTTCAAAGTCCATCAGCTCATCCGCTAGAGTTGTGCGGCCTACGTGAGAATGCAAACTGCCATGCATTATGTCGCACAAGGCTCTCGCGTACGTTCCACCTGTTCCACGAATCGTCTTCAGGAAATCCGCTGGAAATTATAGAGGGTCTAGGAGAAGTATGTCCTCAGTGGACACTATTCTAGAGCGTCTAGGAGTTGCAATGGTCTCCAGTGGGAACTCTAAAGGGTCTGAGGATGAATACCAGGTTTGCCTTCATCAACGCTAACTGCATTCATCTATCATCTTCTATGATAGTACAACTCTACAACTTCGTGGACTCGACTAGTATAAAAATCCTCCATCTCATACATCTCCTGTCGACGCCAGCTCCCTTTGAAAGTCTGCCCTTTTGTCCGTATAGGCTTTTTCCCTCGCTTCCAACAGGTCTAAAATGTCCTTGACTTCAGATGCAAAACGTCGCTCGATGATCCTCTCCAAGCTGTGGGCCATGTTCTCGTATCCGCAGTACCGATGCAATTCCGGTTTGAGACCCAGCTCGGTGACGCAGGTGGAGAGGTCTGGAGTTGATTTGGGGTCCTTGTGGGCTGCAATGAATGTAGTAGTTACCGATCATGTTCCACTAGTACCTACAGGAAGATGATGATCCTTTTTCTGAGGTAGCAGCTTCATAAGGTGAAGAATTTGATGTATAATGTTGGAGTATATTACATAGTGGAAAAATGGTCATAGTCATGAAGATGTTGAGCGTGACTATGGCAGAAGTGAATAGTACCTCGTTCAACCGCAGCCTCCCTCAGTTTCAAAAATGGCGGTCTATCGCTTTCCGCAGTGTCCTCCCGCCAAAAAGGCAGCGATAGCGCAAATTTCGGCATCACTTTTGGCAAATCTCCAAACCCTTCGAACCACGAATTGATGTTCATGGGTGATAAGTCGGTGTAGTACTTGTCCAGCTTGGTACGAATGAGGATAGTGCGTTCGAAGTTGGGATCGAGCTTTTTGCAACGACCGAGTGTTTTGAGATTAGCTGCGTCTCCACTGGGCTCAACGCAGAGCATAATGTTGCGCGGATTCCGCATGAAGCCAGTGACTAAAGTGTCAATTTTGTCTGCGAGGCTGTTTTCAGTTTTGTTTGGAGATTTCATTCAACTACGAGAAAGATTACTCAGAAAGTCTAGAGAGAAAGACAAAAACAATGAAGATTAATGATGCATTTCTAGACGACAGTGTATTAATCAGCCTTCAATTTAACTTCCTACACTTAACAAGAGACATTTTTTACTCTCGATCGCGTCCTATGTTTTGATTGAGTCAATATGTCGTCGACGGAGAGAATCGTAAGCGGATAATTGATCCGTACTAAGACCGTCATGGCAGAAGTAGTAGCAGTACACTTGTTTATCCGGATTATCCGAGAAATCTCTGAATCCCGGTAAATCGACAACCTGCATATCGACGCAGTGACTGCTCTCCAACCGCACGTATATGGGATCTGCAGACACGCTATTGCCTAGCTCTTCATGAGCACGTGAAACCCTAGCTTGCAATTCTGCTAGGGGTAGTCTTTGCCAATCTGCGGAACGTGAGTTGGCAGTGGGGGAACCGGAGTCGCTGGAAGTGCTAGGACGTTGGGCTGCGGATGTTGAGGGATTAGAGACGACCAGAAGCAAATTTTTCACTAGTGGAGGTCTAGCCGTAGTCGTTCTACTAAAATAGAATTTATAAGATGATGACCAGGAGCAGATGATTGATGGTGGAAGAATAAAGAATGAGGGAGTTCTGTGCTGCGATATGATGCCTGTAGGAGCTTTTTCTTTTCTACTTCTAGTCGTGCTACCAAGAATAGAGAACAAGAATGTGATCATGTTCACATAACTGTGGTCCTTGGTTCGGGCTCAAAGGGATTCTTGCTCTGCTTCAACAAGTACCATCTCGGTTCTGTGAGGGTTTTGTCTGATCGAAACTCTACAACCGTTGGCCTCCGCGAACCTAGAGTCCCAGACACGAAATTGAACGTCGCACCAGCTAAAGTCTCCACTAGTCTACTCTTCCCCGCTGATTGGCCGCCACAGATGACGAACTGCGTCAGGGGTAATTGCTCTCCGCTGAAGTCTTCTAACTGGGAAAGTTTGAGTTTGATATCCCCGATCAGGTTGAGGAGTCTGCTGCGCACACTGTTCGAGCCGGCACTTGCTGGACTGGCACTGGGTCTCCTAGTTGCCGCAGTTCCTGATGTGGAAGAAGAAGATTTGGAGCTGCCGGTTAGGACGCCATCGGGGCGAACTGTAGTAGTAGATGTCGTTGGAGGTTCTTCACCAACAGGTGTCTCCGCACTAACGCTAGATGGATTGATGTCCTCCTTTGGCTTTCCTCCAGTATTAGGAAGCTCATCAGGCATCACCTGTCGATTCGGTGAGACCACGACATCAGAGTCCAGCGAGGGACGGGCTTGGCCGGGTGGCCGGCTGGAAGAGGAGGACATGACTTTGTATTTTCAAACAAGAACAAAGAGCTCGTCTAATTTTTTGTAAATACCCAATAATAAGAAGATTCTTCAAATAAAATATAATTCAGGCTCTGAATTATATCTTATTTGCATGTAGGGTGGACAAGGACATTCACATTTCAAGAGACACTTATACCTAATCAAATTCTACTTACGCTCACGCAATAACTGGCCCCACAACTACTCTATAATCTTCTTGTCCTCATTCCGCTCCCTTACTCTCCTGCTCGTGCTTCCATCTCGAATTGTCAGCAACCATCGTGTGACAAATTTCACTTGGAACACCAGCAACACGTAAGGCTAGCTGCTATAATATAGTAGAGCCTAGCTACCAGGTGCTGCCAGTTGTGGCTTCTGACTTTTGGCTTTTGTTATGGAGTACACTTGGTCGTTTGGAAAAGGGCGCACGCCTTTGAATTTGAGAAAGTGTGTGTGTTCACAACCAATGCCAATCAGTGAGCTCTAAGTGACAATGTATGTGTGTTCACAACGAGTTGGTGTGGTTCAATACGGAGACGAGCGAGAGTGTCTCATTCGATATCTTCAGCTTCAGCATTATCTTCAACAGAAATTGCTTTCTTTCGTTCCTTCAACTTTCGTTTCCGCTCCTCCGCACGAGTTGGTTTTTTCCCCACAACAACTTGCTCCTTCTGCTTTGATTTCGCTGGCTCCTCATCCTTGGAGTCATGATTGCGATTGGTCTCTTTGCCATCGCGGCTTCTCCTTCGAGAGCCTTTTTCCGGCTTCTTCTCTAGAGGATCAGAGTCATTCTCAGCTGCACTATTTCTAGTGGCGCCTTCATCTCGTTGTTCTTCTTTCGTCCTCCTCCTTTCACGATCACCACGTCGCTTTCTCCTCTCATCCTTCGCCTTACGATCCTCATCCCGTTCGGAACCTGAAGCAGATGAAGTGTGTTTTCTTCTCCTCTCATCCTTCGCCTTACCGCCTTCAGCTTCGCTTCCTTTAGTGCCCCTTTTCCTTCCGTTACTCTCCTCCTCATCGTCCTCCCCATCTTCGCCAGCACAACCTCCAAACTCGCCACTTTTCCTCTTCATGTCCAAGAATTTGTACAGGTCTGTATCTTCGATTTTTGTCACGTTATATCCGACCCCGAATCGTGCACCCTTAGGTGGTGGAGGGGGGCGACGAGAGTCACGTCGTCTACGCCGTCTTCTGGTAGTTCTGGATGAGGATCTACGACCACGGTCTCTAGATCTAGAGCGTGAACGTTTTCTGCTTCGACTCCTGCTTCTGCTTCGACTCCTGCTTTTACTTCCACGACCACGTCCTCTACCACGCCTGGTAGCATTATTGGGGCTTCTACTTCTACTGCGAGATCGGGATCTACTACCTCTTGGAGACCTTCTAGAATTCCTCAGCTTGTCCAATTCCCGCAAACTAGACTTCTCCCATTTCGCCGGTGAAGGTGAACGTCGACGATTAGGATTGGAGGTATCGTTTTTTCGCTTCGAGGAAACTGGGGATCTGGACCGCCCACGACGGCTAAAAACATCTGGTCGACGCTCGTTTTTATGGGTCGCTGGCGAACGGCTTCTACGAGGAGCAGAACGAGGTCGAGGTGAAGGGGAACGTTTTCTGGGAAGATCATCTTCTTTCTTATTATTTTTCCGGGCTCTGCTGGAGGAGGAACGTCGCTTGTTCTTTCGGTCTCTGCTAGCAGACCTAGTAGATCTGCCGTTGGTCTTTCGCTCTGTTGCTCCAGGGCGCTCAATAGGGGATCTTGATCGTCGTTTAGGAGAGATGATAGACCTTCTTCGTGGCTTCGTTTTACTACGAGAGCGAGATCTAGACAATGATCTCTGCCTTCCACCAGAGGATGCAGACCTACTACGACCACCTGCTCTGGATCCACTCTGTTCTCGCTGTTGCACGTCTAAAGAAGGCTCACTTAAAACGACGCTCTCTTCGTCGGCTTCGTCGCGAGCCCTCTTACGTTCTCCTGCCGCGTTGAGGTTGCGGAGTCGCTCATCTACGAGACGATCGAGGTGGTCGTCATCTTCATGGCGATTATCGTGGAGGTCGTCGTTCTCTTGATTTACAACCTTGTTCCCGGTCGTGTTCAACATCCTCAAGTCTTTATCCTTCCTGCTCCTTCCTTCTCGATCTCGGAAACCAACACTGTAGCTCGTCAGTAAACGTTCTCGATCTAGTATTTGTCTCTCAATGGGGTTGAGATCAGAAGTAGTAGTAGTAGTAGTTTTCGTTTTCCTGCCACCTGTTGTTGTAGGCGATCTTCCAACTGGTAGGAGTGGGAGGTCATCAGTTACTGGAGCATCGTGATTTACTTTATTGGTCGTAGCAGCTCGACCTCCTCTTTTACAAGGATTGTAGCCTGCAGCAGCAGTTGTTGTACTTGTACTAGATGCAGGAGCCACTTTAGTAGAAAACTCCTGCTCTTTGTTCTTTGGGGGCCCGAGTCCTGTGTTTAAAGGGACACGAACTGCAACAAGGCCATTTTTTCCCAGCTTCTTCTCCTTCTTTTTCCGTCTTTTCTCGGCAAGAGCTTGCTGCTCGAGCGCTTGAAGAATGCCGTCCTCGTCCATCTTTTGGGACGACTTCACGTGGGGGTAACTACGATTACAGTATTAAGAAGAACATAAATTTACTCAACAAGAATGGAACATAGTTGGTCCTAAATGAGATCACAGCCACTGGTGCCAAGTTGAATTGATGCATTTAGAGAGGAGAGTCTCGACGTCACTGTGCCTGCTCTGTCTAATTAGCATTCTTGAGTAAAAATAGCGGGTGTGACGCTGTTATTGAAAACAAATCTTCAGAAACCCTTGGCATTATGTGAGCATGTTACGTGGCTGTGGCAGAGTGTACAAGTCAAGTGGATCATGATATTTAGTCGGATTGAGACATTACAGACCGATACTGGACCAACAGTACCTACTTCTAAGGTGGGCAATATTAATCTCGAGAGCCTTAGAATTCAAGAGACGATCTTTCTAAATATAAAGAAACGAAGTACAAGTAGTACAAACATGTTGATCGGATCTTGATCTTCGAAATCGCGGCATCCTCCTTGTTGAAAGAGTTCTTGCTCCTCTTTTCAAACACATGGACTGACTGCTGATGAAGACGTCGTAGACGAGGTGTCTGTTATAATTCATTCTTAGGCTGCATAAATTGTGAATCTTGTGATAAGGCCTAGGCCATTCTCCTTGTATCTGGCATCTATTTGCCCGACTTCCTTCAAAAATGAAGGAATAGCGAACTACCTTTTCTTTCCTGTTCCAGCAACGCAGACAAGAAAACAAGGCAGTCGTGGCTGGCAAAAGCAAAGCGGCCGTGGCCAGATACAGATTCATTATTTTCAATATAAAAATAGCACCTGCGTGAATGCTCTTCTTCTACCCAGAACCAGAGCAATAACGGTCTCAATTAGTGCATAGTCGTAGTACTCCCGTAGACGTCCTTGACCACATCATTAGCAACTGTGCGTTTCACCCCACCCGCCAATGTAGTCGGAGTAATCAATCTTCGGCTGTCGAAAAAATTTCTGCTCCCCAAAGACCTTATTTTTAGAAAGAAGTAGTTGTAGTACCGCTTAGCAGATGAAAAGTGATTTTTCATCGTTCCCTCAATTATGAGTCAGAGGTTTAAAAAATTCCCTTCTTTCGTTCGTTTTGATTTCCTTTAAAAAAATGAAGGCTCTCTATTACTTAAACTTAATAATAATATTTATTGTAATTGTAGTTCATCTTAACTTTTACATGATTATCTCCATCAACGACGTCCTGTGTCAAGAAGTAGCGCTCAGCGACAAAGGGAAAGTGCTGAATGACAGTAGCCTTCTGGTACTCCTTCGGCACGCCCCGATAGCGGGATAGCCAAGAAGGCATGTCCGTCGTGCTCGTGATCACGTACGAGACGTTGCGTTTGAAAATGACGGTAATGGAAACTTGTTCCACACTTTTGAAGGTGACAGAAAATTTCTCAGTTTGTAACCGCAGTGTATATTTCCTCTCGTGGCCTAGTCGTCGTCCAAAACCTCCTGTCCAACGATCATGGTCCTCGTCGAAGAGCCCCAAATGCCGCACTTGTAAGCGCTCTGCATTCTCTAGCTCTTCCGCAGTGATGATTCCCGCAGCCTGCGCCTTCTCCAAAATCTTTGTCTCATTAGACTAGTTCTAGTGCACTCCGCAAATCGCCCATGATCTATGCTATTTATGACATGTAAGTAGTATCTTGGAACAACTACCCGAAACAAGGAAACTTTCCTTTTCCTTTATTTCCCCCTTCAAATGAGTAAACGGTCCTCTCAGGATTGTTCTTACAAAATTGACATTGATTTTGATGTCATGCTCATGTCATGGCACCACCTCTTTTGTACTACCTATTATGTTGAACAAACAGTTATTTATGGTCGAAAAAAGATGTTCCCCCATCTGTGGAGACACTGAAGAAAGATGATGCAGATGCTTTATGTTGAACAAACCTCTTTTGTACCTATTATGTTGAACAATTATTAATTTATGGTTGTGGATAACAAGCCTTAATCTCATTGCTAAGCACCTGCTTCAGTACAGCACTTGGTGCACCGGTGCCCTCTGCGTAGGAAATCTCCATGTCCTCGAAACGCACAGTGGACGTCGAGTCCTCCAAATCAAAAGTAAATCTTGCATCTCGTCCTTCTTAGCGGTAGTAGTAGTGGCAATAGTAGTAGTGGTAGCAATAGCAGTAATAGCAGTAGGCACCCACAGGAGTGAGGTTTTTTGAAGCGTAGCCTAGTCGTGTTAAGGTCCTAAAAAAAAGCACCAAAATCCACAGCAACAATCTGGAGAGAGGACTAGGATCCAGCAAAAAAGGAGGCCAGAAAGGACATCTAGTAGTAGTAGTAGCAGTAGTGGTAGTAGTTAACCCATTCAGACTACTAACAGTAGAAGTAGAAGTAGAAGTAGTAGTAGTAGAAGTAGTAGTAGTTAGACCATTCAGAGGGTACAATTCTTCAGATCATCTTCCTTGACTTCTTTCCTATTGTCTAGACGTAGAAGACTCATCAAGAAGTACTCCCATGATGTAGTCTTTGATATAAATATGAGATACTTAGTTAGAAAAAGCCAAGAATAGTCCTCGTCGCGAAGGATGCAATTTGATAAGCGCTCTTAATGTTTGTTCAGCGGATAACCCCATCCTGTCAGCTCGGGATCGATGTCTTGAGCATCAAAGTGGACGTCAGGGTCCTCAATCAGAGGCGGAAAGTTGGAGAAGACAAACTCGCGAGGAACCACATCAAACTCGAGTAGTGAAGAAAACTCTTCCCGCAGTCGATGGAAGAAAGCAGGAAGGTGGCCAGCAGTAGGATGCCAGTCTCTAAAATGGTGCTGCGTTTCTGGCAAGTCCAAGATTCGGACCACGTCGCCAAAAGGGGTCGGACCGACGCTTCTCTGCATAGATCCGCCTGCGACGAATTTCGATTTATTTTCGTTAGACCAAACCTAAACAAATTCAATACAAGAGGAGTAGACCACCTCTCAACAGTATGCCTCAAGAATATTCTCCTTGTATTGGAGTTCTTGAAGGAAGATCCCTACACATAGAATTCAAAGAGATGGATTAGGGGACGCCTTAACTTTGATTTGCCGCCATCCTGCGACATAATCAAGGTATCTCTCGTACCCACGTCGAAGTAAATGTATGCCTTTCTTGCCATCCTCCTCTTCCTTCAAGAGGGTGTCCATCATGTTGATCAACGTAATATTAGACTCTATGAGAGGAACCGAGTATGTCGAGGAACCGCCGGTTGCATTTGACGAGTAGTTATTGCAGTCTTTTTCTCCTCACTTCATGTTAACATTAGTAGTAAAAAACTATAACATGTATACACTAATAAAGTGAGGTATTTACTTCATGTTAACAGTAGTAAAAACTATGTAAATGTATACAACAACAAAGAACCCGTAATAAGAGTTCTGGGCGCATGTCCGACAAGGGCAAAAAAAACGGCAAATCCGTAGGGCGAGACGTTGATCAGGGCCTTTCCGAATGCGGGAGGAGCGATTTTGACCACTTGTACTTCCGCTGCAGCTCGAGTCGATGAACAAGTTTTTTCGAAAAAGTCTTCTCGTGTAAGCAGCGCGCTTTCTCCAAGGTGCATGCTGCAGCGTTCTGGTGCAAGTTTCATGTGTTGATTAGAACTAGCAGAAATCCATCTTGGAGTGCATCTTGGTGCCCGTTTGCCCCTAAGAAACGGGACCAGGATGCTGGGAAAGATGGATTTCCTCAAGCCTTAAGTTCTGACTCATGCGATCCGGCATTATCATACACTGGCATCCAACATAAACCACGCGGGAAAGGGCTTTCTTCATGGACAACTGAGGATCTTGTAGTACTTGAAGACGGCGTGGAGGGGGACGCGAAGGGCGCCACACGTAGCATGTGAGAAGGGTACAGAGGCTTCGCATGAGGCTTTCCTCCTCCGATGGCTTTCTTTAGATATAGATCATGAGGTCAAAATAATTCATTTCTGTCATAGTATACAACAGTGAATCTTTAATATTTATTCAATTTCTCAAAAATATCCCTACCGTTACAGGATATTTTATACATAGGAAACATCAAACTCAAAGAAAAAGAAATGACCCTTGATAGTATCGGTGGAGCACACCTAACTAGGAAACAAAAAACAAAAAAGTCAAGTAATCCAATTGTTTAAAAAAGAACTATAGTGTTAGTGGCCACGTGCACGTTTATATTATAGGATCCGTTTATTTTAGGCGCCGCGAGTTCGTCCATCTGCCTTGATAATGAATTATTTATCTGCAACTTCATTTCTTTTGACTTGAAGCCTTAATTTCAGTTCCATACGAATCGAGAATGTACATGAGGATCCTTGTTCTTCACCATCGATCTCGCAGGTGGACTTTTGTTCTTTCCCACCTCCTTGTTCGAAGATCATCTCATCTTCTTCTTCTTCTTCTGCAGCTTTTTGATTTTGTTCAGCAGAGAGGAGCGTACTACTTCCGGCGTCGGCCACTTCTTTACTACGGAGGTGGTCGTCCCCAGAGGTGCTGCTCGTCAAAGGCGGTCGTTGCCGCAGCTTTTTGGTCGCCAGTGGAGACTCCGTTCCAGGCGGTGGCAGCTCGTCGATTTTGTCCGCACCCTGAGGACTTTCCTGGTCAGCACGTTCACGCTTTTTTCCACCTTCAAAAATTCCAGCTGCGGAAGCCAATATTAGAACCAAGGGAGATCCATCTTGAGACGCATCCGAGGACCTTTCTCCCCTTGAAAACGATCGCAGGATGCCTGTGAAGATGGATTTCTTCTAGCCTTAACAATACCGGCATCATCATCAAGTAAAAAAAAATCCTCATCTTCATCATCTTCCTTGAGTGGATAATTCTTGTGGAAGAGGAAGAAATAATATTTATCAATCTTAGAAGTATTACTGTTAGTTGGTGAATAATAATTTGTTGATCATCTGGGACAAGTCTTGTAGAAGAAGTACGTTGACGTTGTAGTTCTCCTTGTTTCTGTTTAATAATGCTCTATTTCCGATTTTTAATCATCTTGTTGCAAAAGCAAAGTTATTTCATTCACTTCTGATAAAGTACACAAGGTTCCGATGAATGAGAGTAAGATGCGCTTGCTGTTGTTCCTGCCATTTTGATACTTATCTATCATCACAATCATGAACTTTCAGTTTGAGAGGTGGAACTACGGGGATAGGATTGGGATGCTTAACGTACTATACATCAGCATCAAGAATGCAACTAGTAGCATCAGTTGAGAAAGTACAGATAGGCCAGGACCATCTTCCGATCAGCAGGTTCGGCAACATTATGTACAACAACAATCCTCCTGCTCTTAGACCAGCACATGCTCAAGCAGGTCAATACAATCCAGTACAATGCAATACAATACAATTACTTACTATCGCACAGAATTCGGTGCGGACTGCCGCACGGCATTTTTTTTTCCAGACAGTTCAACCTGCTGGATGATCACGAGCGAGACTACGCTGCCCTTGAAGATTTTCGTCTGAAGCAACAACAAGACACCAGCCAAAAGGATGAACAGCAACTTCTTCAACCTGAAGATCCTGAAGCAGGCGCAGCGGAACTACTGGCTGCTTACTTAAGTAGCTTTTTGCTTTTTCATGTGACAACCCTTTACTTTTCGCAGACATACAGATTGCAAATAAATTTCCACATTCCAACTGTTACAACTATGTTGATGCAACAATGGATGCGCAAGGTGTTTGCGAACATGTGCGTACAGTTCGCTACTACTGCGACTGAAAATTGCTTCTAAGGATTCTGCCCAGATAAGCAAGAAAATGTCATGGCTGTCTTGTATAAGAACCCGGGAACTTGAGGCTATAGGGAGTGTACTTTTACTTGTGGCATGCTTGTTGTTGTTCTCAAGGCTGTTCACAAAGTCATCCCCTGAGGAAAGAATGGTCTCAGAAGAGTATATCCCGAAGTTGTGTGAAATGCAACTTAGAACTTGGTGAAATCGACGCTGCAGCTGAAGTTGTAAAGATGTGATCTTGACTTGTTGAACAAGGTCGTCTTGTGCTACTTGTGCTCTAGGATGTTAGTTAATAATATCGAAACGGAAAACAGATTTTTGTTATTTCGAGGGTGGTTTTACTAGCGTAACCGCGACGTGCGTCTATTGCCTCCTTATCCTGCTGCGAATTTTCATCTGTAGTTTCCCTTTCTGCACGAAGAAAAGCAGCGAAATCGGGATGCGCTTCCGACATATAATGGCCTACTATGATGTGTGATCCTTCTAGTACACCGTTCGCTTGCAGAATTTCGTCTTTAGAACAGTTCGGGGGATGGAGAGGAACGCCCCTATATCATACCGAGAAAAATAGCCGCATATCATACTCAGAAAATTTCTTCAAGTAGAAAACGAACAAACTGGCCATATATTTTCTTATTGTGGATGTCAATTCATCGTGCAAACAGAGTGCAAGTGAGATTATTCAAGGGAAACCGCTGTCAGTTGACGACACGGCTCGAACTTCGACGATTCATCAACCTTCCACCCAAACTACATTCTTAGGTTTTAGGTTTGAGATTCCAACATAGTCTTTCACAAGAACTGAGTGTGGGTAGAAAAAAAAAATCGGCAGCGAATTCTAGAAGTGACCCCTAGTTGGTAACATGATCAGGGTCGGTTTCAGTAGCCAACGCTAGTCAGGTGATCAAGTTTGTCAGAGGACTTTCCAATAGGTTTAAGCACCTTGTTCAACTTCAAGGTGTCCTGTCCATCGTAACGTCAATTTTTCTTGTACTAGACTACCACGTCCACGTCCAGCGCTCCTATTCGAATGTGTAGTTCTACTTCTGCAATCCCCCAAGATGTCCTGTCGAATTTGGCGCATGTGGGGAAGTTTTCTACTCTTGCACACGCGGAGGTAGTAGAAGAAGACGAAGACCTTTTCATGCTACTGGTTCCCGATTTAGAAGAAGGTCCACCACGACCACTCAGAGATGATGATGATGAAGACAGATTACTAGATTACTAGTACAGTTACTAGATCATTACCTGTCCTTGAACCTGCCGCAAGAGAACGCATTCCTGTTCTGCTCCTGCTTCTTCCACCTCCAATGGAGAACTCCAGAGACGGTGGAAGGTGGGGAAGCCGTCTCCCACGGGCAGCCCAGTCTTTTGCCTTCGTCCTTCCCACCCAGTCTTTTGCCATGGGCTTCAGACTCGGCCCTTGTGGTCTGAGTCCTGTAAGGATTTCGGTTCGATATGTACTTAGTTCTGCTCCTGCTTCTTCCACCTCCAATATCAGGTGCACTAGATGCATTAGATGGGTTAAAGCTATTAAAGGATCGCGAATATCATGATCGAAGTCATCTTCTGCATCTGCTGTTGCTGCGGCTTCATAGTTGTCGGCTTGATCGTCGTTCTCGTCTTCTTGTTGGTCCCTTCTGCACTAGACTTGGAGACGACCGTGAAAAGCCTCCTCTGCCAAGTCCCTTGTCCACAGCTAAAGCGCCAGCAAGTCCTCGTACAGAAGACGAACCCGACAATCCGCGATGCTTGGGCGTGGCTCGTTCCGTTTAGAAGCTATAATGATATCGACTCCAATGCCCCAGGAAAATGCGTTCTCGGAAAAAATACATTATCCGCCAGGACGAATGCGACGCGAGCCGCGAAGGTAAGCACCACGACTCCCGGGACTAGAGAAGTCTTCATCTTTTTATTCTCGTCCTTAAATTGCGATCACCATCGTCCACAATAGTACCGAGTAGTTTCTTGTTGGTGTCAGTCCTGCTCTTTGTCCTCTCACTCTCAATGCTTCTGCTTCTGCTTTCACTACAAGAGAACAAGAGTAATGATAGAAAGAGCACCTTTAGCGTTTCTTTAGAAGAGCCACTTACTTACTTTCGCTTAGGACAACCCGACAGCTTAGTTGGCTGCCAACACCTATCTGACCCCCCCCAAAAACAGACCCCCAGCACCCTGTTTGTTTGAAGTTTTTTGGTGTCAGTCCTGCTCTTTGTCCTCTCACTAATCTACTTATTCTTATGATCCTGGACGACGTGTCTTTTATATACATGAAGTTTGGCAACGGTACTTAGTCCATTGAAAATAGGATTTTCGCTCTTCTGCGAGATAGTCCCAGGTTTTTTGCGTCGGTGGATCAAAGCAACCCCACCCATTTGACTGCATAAACTCAAGCTGCCTCAAGACCTTTACCTTGTCGCTTGGGTTGTCGTACTGGTGAAACGTATCCCACCCTTTTGGTTCGGTTATTCCTTGTTCACGCATAGAAATAGATACAGAAGCAGATGCTGCAGGAGTTCCACTACGAGGCAGAGCAGCACCACTAGCAGAAGCAGCACCACTAGCAGAAGCAGCACCACTTGCAGAAGCAGCACCACTTGCAGAAGTCGAAGTGGAAGTAGTAGTTCTTTGAACTTGAAGCTGCTCTTGTGTACTAGTTGTTCGCGAATCGACATCGACTCCTTCGTCTTCCTTCACTTGCATATCCAGAGAAATTTTCGCTGTAGGGTCGTTGAAGTAGAACGCACAGGGCAGCATGGCCATCTGAGCTATCATAGGAGGATCGCCTTGCTGGGGACCTGAGGAGGAGATAGATCAGCGAGACTAGATGCTTCTAGATTGGTCTAAATGCTCATGACTTTTGAAGACAACACTTACACTCACGGGAATCTAGAAGTTTCTACCTCCTTCTCCACCCGCCCCGTCTCCACCTCTAGTGGACGCAGCATCTGCGTCTGCGGCGTCCTCTGCCGCATTGTTTCTATTGGCATCCCAGTAGCTACTCTTTTCGAACCACAGATCCTCTGTCAATTTAGGCTGAAGCATGTGCTCACTATCCTGAGCAAAACGAGTTTCGTATTCCTGATGTGAATTGGTCGGTTGCTCGTTTGATGAGGTTTGATAGCTAGATGTTGATGATGTTAGTTTCATTTGCGGTAGGCATCACCTGCTCGTCAAGTAAAACAAGTAGAAGAAGTTCAAAATGATACCTCCAACCAGCCAGAGCCACAACGAAAATTAACCTTGCATTGTTCTCAGAACCTAAGGGAAAAGAGGAAGATAATCCTTGTGATCAAATTCAGGTTACCAAATGCCAGAGCCATACAAACCTCCGTGATGTATCATCATGTCCCCTCCGTGTATCAACATCATGTCCATCTAAGTCAAACTAAGTCTATGTACCTCATGTCCATCTAAGTCAAACTAAGTCTATGTACCTCATCATCATGATGCTGTCCAAGAACTACATCTAAGTCAAAGATAAAAAATCTAAATATTTATACCTCCGTAAACCCTCTTTCCTTGCCGTCTGCATCCAGCTTGACATAGTGCCGTCTGGGATATTTGATCTCTGAATAGCTCGTCCCTTTGGATCCTACTCTGGTCGTCATAGTTATCGCTTTACCGAAGAGCGATCGACGAGGAATCTCAAATGTTATTACCACTGTAGGTCGTAAGCCGAAAGTAGCCTTTGTAATTGTATGATCTCCTGGTCCACCAGCTAGAACTTCACCAGTTGTCCCATTCCCATTACTATTAGAGGTTACGGAATTTTTACATTCTTCAAAGATGCGTCCTTGACCCTTTTTGTCCTACTCGAAAACGAGCGAAGGATGGTAGTGAAGAATGCAAAAATGTCAGACGACTCTTAATGCTACTGCTCTGAGAGGACTTTTGTAGGAACTCTGGCGCCTTCTTTTCAGCTGACAGAACAGGTGCTCCTCTTCCAATGGTAATCTTCGATTCCTTCACTGGTTTGCAATCGAAATTCAGAATGTTGAGGCTCAGAGTGTGTGTTGCTCTCGAGGGAGACGAAGAACCCGAGCCCCCAGCCGCTTCCCCTCTTGCAGTTGCGGGAGTTGCAGTTGCGGCTGCAAAATGGCTAGGAGCCGAAGATGCCGACATCGACATGATGCTGATATTCTGACCATATATCAGAAAGGTAAAGAGGGCGAACAATGTAGTTTTTCGAGTTATTGACGTGATAAAAAAAGGAACAGGAAAAATCTTGAAGCACATACCTGTTGTTGTTGGTACTGCAGACACCATGCTCAACTTGAGGTAATGATAGATCAGCTCTAAGACAAGCCTAATCTCCAACAACTCAAGAGGAGGCAACGATGATTCTGATTGAAGGAAAGACGATTATCCTCGTTAGAGAAAAATACAGGACAGCGACAACGACCTACACATTTAAGGAACCTGCACAGCTTAGACTCACACAGTCACGCGATCTACTGCACAGAAATTTGAAAACGTGCTGCGTGGTCGTCTAGTTCTTGGGCTTTCTCCATTCATTCATTCACTCATTCGCCCATTCATGTGCGGCCTTTTTTTTTCGTTACCTGGGTCCACTTTTCTCGCTATAATTCCTTCCAATTACCCCAGCGAGAAGCCTGAAGCACGACGGCCAGCGACTAAAAATACGCAAACGATCAAGCACGGCCGCAGCCGCTGCAGAAAAGCTGGAGCCCAAGCCCCACGGGCAGACCAGTCGACGGCCCAAAAGTAAAACAATGATGGAGCATATCTGACGAACCCCGAGCGACAAAGAGCTGAGCCCTCATGGAACGAACACGGAAAGAGCTAGAGCTTTGATCTGGCCATTTGCTCGTTAGGGCCTGACGCTACAAGCTGTGGGCGCACGGTGTGAAGAGAGGCGCCACTAAGATCAAACGAATCTAGGGTGAGTCGGCCCACGTAGAATCCCTAAAATTTCTCCGGCTGTATGATCATATTGGTAACGCTACACTAAACTACGGCCTTCATGCTCCTGCGGGTTTCTTGGGGTCGCGCGACATTTTGGATAGCCTTCAGTTTCTCCAACTCATACCTATAGTATACTATATCAAGTGAAAGCTCGCTAGGGTAGTTCTTGCCGGGTGAAACCAGAGCACTCCCCCCTGCTGTTGTTGAGTATGGGAATGGAAATGAGTCGTGTTTGTTATCGGGGAAGTTTTAGCTCATCTTGTTCGAGTAGGTACTGCTACCACTTGTGAGTACTCGAAGCATGAACAGTTTCGTAGTCACTACCCATGATATCCACCACTTCGCAGCGGCAGCGCGGCGGTGTCGGAACCATCTAGTAGTCCAAGGAGAGACCCACAGGAGGTCTCGAAGCTATCCTCGATGTTGGCTCGAAAAATAGCCTGTATGAAGAAGTTCCTATGAGGAGCTGCGCTGCTGCTTCTGATGTGCGCTGAATCGTCCCAAGATTTGAGGGGAATAAAAGGACCACATCTCTTCCAATGCTGTAAGAAGCAAAGGTACTATCAAATAAGAAACCCAAATTCGTTTTGCAAGAATTTTTGCAAGTCTTGCTGATTTGATACTTCTACAAGACGAACGGAGACATCTTCTTGCTGTCCCGCATCTTTGGCAGCTAAATTCTCCTCTACAACTCGCCCATCACCACCGCTCCGCTCCTCCGGTGGCATCAACACAGTAGCACAGCGCTCGCGACAGGCTTTGCCATGCTTATCTTCATCCATAAAGTCCTCTCGCAAGCCTTTGAGGAAGTTGCGGACATTGGTTACAGAAGTACTACCATTTGCTTTTGGACGAGTACTTAAAGAGATAACCACAACATAGACATCTCGGAGGCGAGCAGAGGACGTCCACGTGCACGTTGACGTGCTTCCAGCGACAACTACTGTAAGTCTGCACTGTGAACCTTTTGCAAGCGATTCCAAAGCAGTGAAATACTTTTTCGAATTGTTCATGTGATCGATATGAACCAGGGCTGAAGCAAATGCTGAACTTGAGCTTGTTGCAATTTCGTTTATTCTGTCGGTGGCCAGCTCTTTAACTATGTCAACATCTTCCGGATACGGGTACTGGCAACCATTTCCAACTTCATCTTCTCCTCTTCTCCCTGTCCCATCTATTCCCGAACATGATGATCCTACTGCGTCACCAATTTCTTCGGAAAATATCGCCTCCGACACCGCAATCACCCAAGGTATGACCAAACTCGTTTCTCGATCCTCAGGGCTTTTCAAGTTGTCAATTCTTGTTTCGAATGTTGTCGAGGTTTTCATAGAGCCATAGTTTTCGACTAAGCCTAAATCTTCTCTAAGCTTGCTGAACAATTTGGCCAGCGCACTTGCTGACGCTGTATCTTCTGAGGACACCGAAGCGCAAGATGAAGTTGTTGCAGCAAAAGGCATTTTGACCGTCACTTTGATCACGAAATCCATCTCAGTCATTTCGTCGACAACACCATCTTCGCCTGCGCCAGCAGCAGCGCCCTCTCGTACTCTTAAGGCACTAAAATCTCCTTCTTGTTCGGCGCTGGAAGCTTTTCCGGAAGGCGCAGCATTTCCTTTCTCGAAAGTAGTCCATTCGAAAGTTACTTGCCTTGTCCCGTATACTCCTCGTCCACGTGAGACCCGAAAAACATTTTCTGAAAATTCCAGTTCCTCCAGGCTGTACATAGACATCAAAACTTCGCGGAGTTCTTCGACCGTCGCGGAGTCCATTCTTTTCTTTCAAAATGGAGGTCCTCCTGTTGTTCCTGTTCCCTTCTTCCTCTCTTTTCTTTCCTTTGATATCAATCACCTATCGACGAGTGTAAATACAGGCCCAACTACATGATCGAGATGCCCCTAGAGTCAATCTCCACAAAACAGTTGACAACTGTTTTGTGGAGATCGACTACCAGTAGATCTCATACAACTGTCAGTTGTATGAGATCGACCATACTCTATTTAAAGCGCCTTTAATGTGAACACTAAAGGACCCCTAAGGCGCCTTTAATGTAAACACTAAAGGACACTTAAGGCGCCTTTAAAGTAAACAGCAAGGACAACAACAGCAAGAACAGCAAGAACAACAACAGCAAGAACAACAACAGCAAGAACAACAACAGCAAGAACAACAAGAGCAACAACGACAGCAACAACAGCGACAACAACAACAACCAACAACAACAACGACAACATGCCCCTATAGTCAATCTCCACAAAACAGTTGTATGAGATCGACTATTCATCTCCCTGACCGGTACAACAGGAGAGTCTTCTATCACCGCTGTTGATCAGCATTGGACTATCTTCAGTTTCAACATTTTCAAAATGGACTTGGTGTTACACAATACAATACAATGCGATTGATCTCGCACAGTTTTCAGTGCAGACTGCCGTGCGGCACCCCTCTTTCCTCTTTTTCGGGCTGCCAACCTCGACCTAGTCGTGCTTTATTAGGTTGTCGTGCTCTTGTTCATATCTATGGACAATCAAGGACCGATCTTGATATTGTGGTCGATGAGGTAGCTTTTTGGAGAACAATCCATAATCAGTTCCACGTCGGCAAGGCGAAGAACCACAGTTTTGTGTGGTCTAAGTAATAAAAGCGAAAAAGAGTCAGGGACTCTCGTACAACATGAGCATATGATCTTGACAGCACATAGTACTTACCACAACAGAAGTCATCTTCTTCTTTATCTTGACACATAGTACCACAACAGAAGTCATCTTCTTCTTCCCCCGCATGTAAATGTATGTTCCTATAATGATGTGGCTAGGCCATAAAACTCAAACATTTCTCTCAAAAGAGCGTCCAAACCAGTGGACCGCTTTGTTCCCCGTATCCGCAGAAGGATATCATAAGGGGCATACGCATAGGCACCATTGTCACCACGACCACCCCTACTTTCGTCCCCGTAGCAGTACATCTCTAAAATCTCAATAGTAGAGTCCTCAATCTGCGACTCAATGTGGTCTAAGTCCCTACACAAAGCAGCATGCAAATTATCGGTCGTTGATCTTGTAGGTGAAGGTGAGTTGCTCTTGTAGTGAAGTTTCGTTTCTCGACAGGATTAGAGATAGATGAAGAGGTCTTTCTTGAATTTCATATTCATCCAGCAGTGCTGTAGCGACAATAGGTCATGTAAAAAATAGTAGGATATTACCAGCGAAACAAATGTAAGCCAATGCAGTAAGAACAAAAAGAATAATTGCCAGCACTTTTACTAGAAGTAAGAGGACCAGCGAAATGTAAGCCGCAGCTGCAGTACTTTACCGGAAAGAACAAAAAGAATTACCAGCAGTTTTACTAGAAGTAAGAGGTAAAGAGGACCCCTTTCCTTAACAAAAGAATCCCGCACCCTCGCAAGTGATGGCTCTCGAGGACGTTTCCTCCTTCTTGCATTCGAATTTACAAGGCAGAAGAGCCTCGCAGACGCTTGGATTAGAATGTAGGTTGATGTCAGGTAGGCTTCTAAGGAGATGGATGTCAGGAAGAAGTATTGAAAAAAATAGGACGAGTTCTTTAATCAACATCGTCTCAATTTCTACATCATAAGCATTGCACACGATGTGTGTTCCGTCAGAAAGCCAGTCTCAAGAGTCGTCTTGCCCGTTGCGAGAGCCATCGGGAGGATCAGCTGGTCCTGCATGTATTCATCTACAACACTAGAGAACGCGTGCTCTTTGACGTTCTCAGCCAGATTGGCAGTCGCGGAAGCAAACACGCCATCAAGGAGTCCGCTGGAAGAGGGTTCGTTCTTTTTCATGCGCTTGGGGCGTTAGAGGGAAAAGATGATACTTACAGTACCGATTCTTCGCTTCTTCACAAATATTTGAGGCTTCGGACACGTAGGGTAAGATTTCCTTTCCCTCCTCAAAAACGTCCCATACCCCATCGGTTGCGACAATAACCTTCTCTCCCTTCTTCGCGTCGAGGAGACGCACCTGGGGTATATTATATTATTCAAAATTAAGAATCGGTACTGTAAGTATCATCTTTCCCTTAGCAGGAAACCTAGCAGGGAAAGATGATACTTACAGTACCGATTCTTAACGTACCTGCACCTGCTGTATGTGAGTGTAAACAGAATTATTTATAATATGCACCAGTGCGTGTGAATTCTGCTTTGGAAAGCGAAAGTTTTGAAAACTAAAGATTTTTAAGATCCTTTGTAAGAAACCACAAAACAATCACAATCACCATAAGAATTGTTTCCTTTACTCGAGCCCTTTCCACCACCCTTGTTTTTTTCCGTCGTTGCTGCACCGTAGAATAATGTGCCTGCTTTTGTGCGGCACAGGATATTCACTCCAAACTGTATGAAGCCTGCGTTTCTGCTGGACACATTAGCCACACCAGCTCCATCCGTTTTACAAGTGTATAGCACCTTCTGTTCGTCGATGTTCATTTTGACTCCTGAAAGAGCTTTTCGCAAACTAGACGGTAAAGACGAATCAGGCCCGGGAGAGTAGAAAGCAGACTCCTCCACTTCATTCCTCGGATAATCACCAAAAATTGAAACCTTGACTTCAGCTACCGTCCAATAATCGGTGAGTTTTTTGTTCATCGCATCAACCCCTTCCTCTTCACATCCTCTCCGAGTCCATGTAAATGAAGGTAAACGAAATTCACCGTCTCCTGCTAGTCTTTCATTTTCATCTTTGTCTTCCGAGGACGTCCCCTCATCTTTGCTAGAAGAAGTACAGCATGCTTCAATCTCTGCTCGCCCGCCACCCCTAGTTAGAGGTGGACCTCTCGTCCCCTAGTATTCTTATTCATCCCTTCCCTGCTGTGTAAAAAATCCCCCAAGCATAAAAAATATGCGTCAAGAGAATTTTCTTCCTTGTATTGGAGTGCATATGCTGCCTTGAGGGATCTTCTGAGGAGTCTGCTTTCTACTCTTAAGTGAGGATAGGGATGAAGATCCCTCAAGTCGTCTCTAGTTTTTATTTTTGACGCTACTTAGGTATAATGAAAAACTACCTGGACTAGAATTTATTATCTAGAGATTCAATCTCTTATGCTGGTCTATAGGGGTAAGTAGCCTTAACCTAGGGTGGAATCCGCGTCTACGGATGTCCAACAGGCCTTGACGTTTCGGGCTCGGGTGATCTCCATCTTGTTCTGAAGACATCGACATTCGAAACAGTGTGGGCCCAAACAATTTCGCAACTATAGGTTCGAAAATATCAGTGACATACCCACAGGGCGGCGAAAAGGCCACATCTGTGCCACCAGTGAAATTAACCTTCGTTGCTCTACTTGCTACTGCACTTGCACGACCTGCAGTCGTGGTTCTTCCAGAGAAGTTGCTCTGTCCGTGTCCAAGCAATACTCGCAGTGGTATAAAAGAAGCCTGTAGCATCAAAGATATGGATCCAGCAGTTCCGCAATCTGCGTCTATGATTTGAGGCCGTCGTCGTTTGCCGCTGGCGTTTCTCGCTTTCTTCGGGACATACTCCAGCTCACAGCTGCCCACGAACGCACCCTTCAAGCCTAAACGAGATGCGTCGTGGTCGTCTCCATCATCTCCAGGTAGCTGTAGTACAACAGCTTCTGGTTCTGAGCCGTTTTTAATATTCCCAGTTATCATCGCTTCGTTAGCTTTCGCAACGATGCGTGCGACCAATTTGACGGCTGCAAGATGTTGGGCTTGGAGGCCAGGTTTGGGTCTGCAGTGTCGTATACTTACTATCCTCACAGGCCTGCAGGTGACCGCCGCGATGGCGACTGCATTACGAAGAATCTGGCCGCCACCGATGTAGCCGTCTATTTCTATCATGATGATCTTATTTTCTTCGGTGTTGTAGGGGTCATAATTTTTTCCTTTAAACTGCTCAACCTATGATCTAGTTCTAGGAATCTACTCCATGATGAGTCAACGTATTTTTGATATTGTTTAGTCTTGTTGTAAGTACTAGCATCGTCGTCCTCGTCCTCCTGTGAAAGTATGGACGTAAAGGTCAAGCATTGTCGAACAACACGTCGTTGTATTCCAAATGAGTGCCACCTGCTTCCCCTTTCAGAAGGATCATGTCAGAAGCAGAACGAAGTGACAGTAGTTTAGGATTCATCTCCAAGAAGACACAGACACGTGGGGGAGTCTACACAGATAGGATAGGATAGGAGAATGCTCACTTATGACAGGGTGAGCGTATAGGCTGGATATGCCATCAAATGGACCGCGAGGACTTAATGAATGAGTATGAGCGCTACGACCTTTAGTACTAACAGTATGAATGAGCGCGGCTACAACCTAGTTGTACTAACAGTATGAAATATATTACATGACTTTGGGAAATGCATGCATTTTCAGCGGAAAACCTTCAGTAAGGGATACTGAGGCAGATGGGCTAACTACAGCTGTAGACGCAGAGCACCGCAACCCCGCGGCCCAGAGGGCCATCAAGCTAGGCGGGCCCCCCTTAGTTTCAAAACGATAAACCTCCGAGCTTGGACCCGTTACCCCTCTCGCAGTCAGGACAAAATTCGCGCTGCCCTGACCACGCACAGACACCAGACAGTCCGGCCGCCCAGGCAAACAACGACAAGCCCCATCAGCGCACCAACCGTGACTCCAACGAGAAGGCACGGCCAGACACCCCGGAGAGCAAGAGGCCGAAGAGCTGCCACGCGAGCCTGCCAGGTGAACTCCACCCCCAGAGTCAAAAGCACGGCTGCAGGGCCCGCCGGCCGATGCGTCCAACTACGGACCTGTAGACGAAGCTACAGGTAGCGCCACGACAGGCGCCGCAGTGCGTAGTCGCAGTTTCATCGTGCCCCCGAGAGCTTAGCTGTGCGGCAAGCGCTCGGACTTTCGCGCCACGCCTCACAACTTCGTTCTGAGACTTGGCAAAGGTCTGGCGTCTGCGTCAGACGCCAGGTGTTTTACGGGTACGGGCACCGGCCCAGTGGTCTCAGAAATTCTTAGGCGCTCGAGAATCCTGGCGTCTGACGCAGACGCCAGCCTTTTCCGGGTCCTGAGACTGGCAAATGCCTGAGGCCCTCTGCAGCTCCAACCACTCTCCTGCCCCACAAGCAGGAAAAGCGCATGCGCGAGGGCGCTCGCAATGGCATAACAATTGCCACACCCATCGCATCAGCCAAGGAATCCAGGCCTGGGCGCCCCAGCGCGACTCGCTTTCTCTCCGAGGACCTAGCTCCGGGAGCAGCGCCTGAACCTGAGCGCCCAAGGGAGACGCGAGAAACTGGAGAGGGCCAGCGACACGCCTCTGGCCGCAACGGAGGTCGCCGACGCTACAAACACACACACACCACGCGCAAGGTGCTCCGGTGCTATGCGGCACATCCTCGCGCCAGGAATCACGTGGAAGGGCAGAGGCGCTGCGGCATCCACCACCATGGGCGCAAGCCCCTTCAGCGGTGCGATCCATATGGGCACGATTCTCCCAGTGCATCCTACTGAAGATTTTCCGCTGAGAGTCTATACTAGAAACGCAAGTCATGATATATTAATTATATGTCCTGCTGCTGGGCAAAGGAAAGAAGAAACAAACTGTCAGGGTGCTGTAGATCTTCGTTGTCAAAGAATTATTGTGTCCTACCAACATAATTCTCTAAGAATGATCGACGCCGTCCGTAACTTCGAAAGAAAATTTTTCATTGTAGCGATATTGGATCTTTTGTGTCTAGTTATTAATCAAATAATTTTTCACGAAACTTTAGCTAGATGAAGTCAGAAAAGTGGAGGAGGTGAAACATTGAGAAAAACTGATGACGCATGCAGATCTGTAACCCATATATAAATATACTTCACTTGACCAAATCGGCCTTCTTTCATCCAGTTGCCCACATATTTTGACACGTTTCCAAAGTGCGACATTTTTCATCCGAGTTCCGTCATCCTTGTATGAATAACTTTAGTTTTGCGCGTTGTGCAACTCTTAAAAAGGGTTGAAGAACAATCGAAAAAGTAGTACTTACTTTCTTACTCATTCATTGACTCACTTGGATTTTGGATTTTGGAGATTTCAGAAAATGTTTCTGGCCACCTATAGGGGCGCAGTACGTTTCGCACTCAACAAAAAACCTGGAGACAGCTTGAAGGACCTACCACAGCAAGCAGATAACTGAGGAACTAACTTAGAAAGAAAGCTAATGTTTCAAACAGACACCCCGTAGGGCGGAAGCTCAAGAAGTAAAAGTAAACACTCTAAGAAGACAACTAAAAGGAAGTAATTACTCAATATCACTTTAGTTCAACCTAAAAGAAGAAGAGACAGCAATCACTACTAGGAACAAGGAAGACAGTTCTTTATCACCACTAGGATTTCAGGACAAGTCAGGAGTAAAGTAAACACAGAACAGAAAGTACAACTGCGGGGCCGCTATTGCTTATGCTTAGGACAAATGAGTTTTTGAGTACCTGAGTTAACGAGTAAGACCGAAACAGTCGCGGGGCGACTAACTTAATAGCGACTACTATCAAATAAAGACTAGAAAAGTTGAAAAATAAGAAAGCTAAAGCTCTTTTATTTTTTATTGACGAACTTCCGTAAAGACAACACAAGTCTTGCTTTTCTCACAGGGTACCAAACTAACTTTCTCACTTCCAAAAACGCTTTTTTTCGTTATCTAGAAAACAAGTCAACCACTGAGCTCGACTCTTTGCTGTACTTACTCAGCTGCTACACTCTAACAGCTTCTACTTGGAGCGAGCAGCTTCTTCTCTCCTCTTCTTCTCGGCGTTAATGCGTCGCTTCTCTCTCCACGCAGCGCGAGACGCTAAGAACGGCGCTGGGTCGGTCTTCATGCGCTCTAGTACCGCTCGAGCCTCGAGTAAAGCTAGACGCGGATCATTTCCATTTCCCTCTACAGTTACGTTCTCGAAAATGGTGCGCGACTCGCCTTCTTTCGTCACATTCGCGTATACTCGAAAACACCCACCAAAAACGCTCTTAGCAGCACCGCTCCAAGACGAGTGCCACTGGATACCCGGAGGCAGGCGGCTAAGACTGGACCCGCTACCTAAAGCCCCGTCTGCTGCAGAGCTCGGCGCAAGGGCTTTCTGCTTTCTAGTTCCAGCGTCAATAGCGAGCTTCCTTCTGGGCTTGACTCTCGAGACTTTCTCGCCGGACTTCTTGGCGGGCGGCACTGTTATGGCTTGTAAAAAAGTAGCAGCAGCTCGGTCTGACTTCAGACTTCTCATGTGCCTGAAAGCAGCTAAAAAACTTTCAAAACGCCTGCCGCGACCATCTCCGAATTGAGCCGGCTTCTCAGAGACAGCAACAGTAGGCGTTCTCAAGGGCTGCGACTCAGCTAGGAGGTCATCCTCAAGGTCTTCCACCAATCTCGAGGACGCCAGGCGATCACCACCACACGCGGGCACCACTCCGTTATATTCATCAGAAGAGGAAGAGGAAGTAGTTGTGAACTGAATAGAAGAGGACGACTTCGAGAGACCACCACCACGCACGCTGCGGTCCTTGGCGCGCCTCCTGGCCTGCTGCTTCACAACCCAAGCCCTACACTCTGCGCAGAAGCACTCAATGCGTCCACCCTGAAGTAACGACGGAGCAGAAATGGCAGCTCTACTACTCGAGCTACTAGAAGAAGACCCACATACTGAACTTGAGCTGCCACATCGGAAGTCCGGGAACTCCGCCACTTCCTTCTCCCACTTCAGCGGCTCCTCCCCAACATGTGACGCCCACTGTTCGTCGCTTTCTCTCCGCAGTGCCTGCGCTGGGGTAAAGACAGACTTGATTTCATTAGCATTAAACAGGCGAAGAACTGAGTGCAGATCTTTGTCCTCCTTCGTCGAGCTTGAGTGGAGACTACTTACAACGTCACAGATGTCACCAGAGCGGAAGGATGGAGGAGGCCTAAACTTGGACTCGTCATATGAAAGAGCTACTTCGCGCCGTGGACACAACTCCTCGTGCTCAACTAACAGTTTGGCAGACGCGTCCGCAGCAGCAGCTGCGTCAGACGGTCGGAGCGCTATCCTCCCCTCAGACTGAACCAATTGCAGCGCAAATCGCTCATCCCACCCGGGAACCGATAACGAGCAAAAGCGGCACCTCATCTGCGGCTCATAGTTGGGCAAAACCTTCTGTCTCCAGATGGCGTCAAGATCCGGGTCAGCGAAGCTGCCATCTTCGTTGAACCAAGAGAGGCCACTTCTGCACTGAGGATCAAGCTCGGGCAACGCGTCTCCCCTTTTCGTGTACTGCTCTACCCAGTACAGCCTCGCCGTGGCCAACGACTCAGGAGAAGCCCCCTTGTCAGTGGCGTAGTGGTCCATTGTCAACTTGATTCGAAGCTCATATAGTACAGTGTTCCAGTGGCGTCTACTCAAGGCGACTGCTATGATCTGAGATGTATCGCGCGCGCCCATCACTAGAGATAGACTGTCCTTGACCTCCTGCCATATCCTCGGGCCTACTTGACCAGGTCGCCTCCTTTCGTTGGACGGCAGGAGCCTCCAGTCCAGCTCCGGCCTGCCAGCCACACAGAAGCCAAATAGAGCCCTACGGGACAACCTACGCGTATCGGTGCGAATGAGATGACCAATGAAAGAACACTGAGAATAACGAGTAAAATCTGCCTCAGACGGAACGCGCCGGAGTCGCATCAGCCGTGATATTGGACAATGGTAACGCCGAAGAGCATACCGAGGCATTCCTGAAAGACGGCAGACGGCTGAGTTCATGACTGTTTGGCGCTGCCTGATCTGTAGAGCAGACGAAGTTCTACCACCAATTGCGAATGAGCCCCTTGACCTGACCCTAGAGGTTAGCGTCACCGCAAAGTCAGTGGACGTCTCGGCCGCGCCAGATACTCTGTCGACTTCAGTGAGTGCACTAAGCATTCTACCGACTCTGCGGCGCCCATCCTCCTCAAGATCAAGCCAATTCCCTAGGTAGCGGACCCATGCGGTCAGGCGTGGACTAAACAATGCTAGAAACTCCGTCTTTTCCTTGTTAGGCCTGACGCCCATCTCTCTGCCGACGGTCGCCTCCCAGCAGAGGAAGTTCGAGACAGCATGTAGCAACACCGACGCAGTCACTGTGTCGTCCGCAAACTCAAAATCGGAGACAGTATCGGCCAAAACAGATAAATTCAACGGGTGCAAGAAGTCCAGCACTCTTTCACGCGGGAGGAAGGCGAACTTGGCACGAGGAGAGTACAGCATCACAGTAGACGAACCCGGCAGATGTTCAGCTAGCGTCACTCGAAAGATCCTAAGACAGATCTCGTACCCAGAATTGAAGAAGCCAGGACTTGTAATCTGCCCCTCGCCGAAGCCTGAACTCAACCAGAAGGGTTGGCTCCTACCAAGGTCGGCCACAACTACATATCTAGTCGAGCGGTGAATTCGGATGCATGTTTGAGCGAATGGCGTCCCGTCAATGCCCCACAGCTCAAAGAAACGACGAAAAATCTTGAAAGGAAAGGAAGGGTAAGCTTTCTTGATGTCCAATAGGATAGCGACTGCGAGCTTCCCTACTTCTGTCGCAGCTCCTTTGAACCTAAGAACGTCCTCCGCTAGGCGCCTAAGAAGAAAGATTTTCTCGTCTACCTGATGGCCCGGTCTAAAGCCGCCCTGCCTTGGAGAGAGGAAGCGCGTCTTCCGGAGGATCGACTCAAATCGGTCCAGAAGGCACGCGGAGAGGACCTTAGTGAGAATGCTGGCATTGACAATACCACGATAGTTGTCTAGCTTACTTCTGTCACCCTTTCGCTTGTATAGCAGATTCACCACGTTCGTCATGAGAAGCTTCCTGTTCTCCTCACTCTCCAAGCACCGGAAACCAGACTGCCACTCCTTGTTGAAGACCCTGGCAATAAGCTCCCAGGCTTCACCCCTGAGGCACTTGTAGAAAGCGATGAGGTCACCACTTTCGTCTATCTGCCTTGAGTTCCTTCTTCTAGCAACAGCATCTCGAATCTCTTCTGCAGTAAAGGGTCTATTGAGCTCATCCTTCATCGACTCAGACAGGGGCGGAACGACTCCTGATAGCGCGCTCAAATCTGGATCCACTTCGTTCTTAGACACCTCCTGGAAGTGCAGCGCTGCAGTATCTGGATCAAAATGGACCTCGTCTGAGTGCTGCGCCTTAATGTTCCTCTGCGATCTACAATGAAGGTCCACATTGAAGTCACTCTTCTGAGTCGCACGAAACTCCTCGAGAGCGCGCTCAGCCTCCGAAAGGTCAAGCTGAATCGCCGCGCAGCGGGCCGTGGCAAGGCCCTCATCCTTAACCAGTACTAGCGCCCTCTGCTTCCGACGCAGTAGCCTTATTCTATCCTGCAGCTTGCGGCGCGTGCGATAGTCATGAGACCTGTTGTACTTCTCTAGCTGTTGACTGGCGGAAGTCTGAACTATAGGAGTAGCTGCTTTGATGGATTCCACTAGATTGATCAATGTAGCTGAACTGCCCGCCTCCTCCGCCGCAGCTTCCTTGGCCGCATATTGTCGCACAACCTCCTCAGAATACCTCGCTTTCTCATCCTCAGAGGCCCGCCAGAGAGGGGCTGCCCTACTTGGCTGCGGCTCATTCGTCTTCTCCTTCCTGGACGCCTCATCTGCTACTCGCTTCTGTTCGACTCTGTTGGACAACTGGTACTGTTCCTCAATGTCAAGAGAGATGAGCTTATGTCTGTGATCGAGCCCCAAGCTGGAGGAGAAGGTCCCACAGCGCCTCACCATTGGGCAGTCACAGCCAGGCATAAAAATGAGATCTAACTCTCTCCACTTCGAGCACCTGCGAGACCAGTGTGTGGACCTGTCAGGAGCCTTCGTAGCCGTAGCCGAAGGCCAAAAACTAGGCAGGTAAAACTCGTCGTGACTGTGCAGTGTATTAACGAGGGCAAAACCAGCAGGATCCATCACCTCGGCCGCAAAATGGGCGCCGCGTGCATTGCTGTCGTCGATTCCATGCTGACCGGAAGTGGAGCCGTTAGCATACCCGACCTTCAGTCTACTCGCAGGAGAACCCAACACACCTAGGTTGTCACCATAGAACACGACAGGGCAGCGCTGCTTCGACCTCTTAGGCCCACACCAGCCTGCGCTGTAAAGACCACTACCATTCTGCGCCTTCCTCTGGAGAGGAGCCCGCATATCAGCAAGTGCCGCTGCGGAGTCCGCACAGAACACATCAAAGGCCTCGCAAACTCCAGACCCATGCTTGCCCCCATCTGCAGGACCATACGCAGCAACAATCGCGACATATGGCAGACGGAGCCCAATGATTCTGTCTCGTGCAAAGATGCGGCACTCTTTATTCTTGATAAACTTTACCCAGAAAGTGTTGAAAACAACTATTGCCGCTCCGTTCACAAACAAGACCATCCAACTACCATCGGGCTCGCGCTGAAAGTCCCACTTATCAGGACTTCCTCTCGTTCCACGGCCTCCACTGTAGAAAGCCTCAGAGCATAGGATTGCGTCAATGGCTGGAGAGCCGTCCTCCTTCTTAATGTCGTAGAAGGTCCTAATTCGGGACTGCCACTCGGCAGACTCGCCCTTAGACTCGTTGTTGAGCGTGATTATGTTGACACTAAAGCCACGCTTCCTCTCCCTGTATCTACGTCTATTTCCTAGCCTCTTCTGCTGAGCTGCGTCATGCTTAACTTCAGGAGCAACATCAACGCCGCCTCTAACTGGTGGAGGAGGAGGTAGCACAGTGGTGCGCGACGATGGGCCACTATGTGAAAAAGTAGTATTAGAACCACAAGAGAACGCACGATAGGGACGCGCCCAGCCATCCTGCGCCCGCACTGCATCACGCCATGGCACACGTCGGTGGTAGTTGTCAGTAGGAGCAGGGACGTAGCTAGGACAGTCTCCTCCGCCCTGCCCCCACCATCTCTCGCAGTTCGGTGGTGAGTCAATGCGAGGCGACGGCCAACGGCACGCACCGTTAACAACACCACCGGGCCAAGGTGCGTTGCACTCCAACCACTCCCAGGTCTTGGATTGTTCCTTCCTTATGTAGTCCAAACCCAACTCCGAAGTTGAGGCGGAGCGCCACCTTCTGTCTACTTTCGTCTCGTTCTCAACACTTACAGAAGCGCCACTACCACCAGATGGAAGCCGAGATTCGCCACCAAGAAGAGCACTAGAAGATCCGAACACTGGCGCGAGAAGACCTCCAAAGAACGAAGAAGCAGGCGGCTGGAAAAAGCTGCTACTATCCACAGAAGGCACTACTTGGTTATCAGACTGGGGCACTTTGGCCCTAATTTTAGCAGTTGCAAGCTGGTGGCGGTGATTCATGATAGTCGGCACCTGCTTCATCATGGAACAGTGAGTGCGACTTTTACAGTTGTCAAACAGCACACTAGTGCGGGGATTCGGCCCAACGTCATGTTGTCTCTTAATCTGTGCATTCATTTCAGAACTAGACAAGAAGTTTGCTCGAGTCATGTTCGCCAAAAAACTACTCCCCGCTTCTCTTCTCTTGTCAGTGCTAACGACATCCTTGAAGTTCTTGGTGACGTTCTTATTCAGTTGGATGTAATTACTATCATCATGCTTGTCATTGTCTCCCCAGAGTTCCTCTGATGACGGTACAGTATCAGACCAGACCCCCTCCCACTCTGTGCCAGACTCCTGCAACGTACCGTCCGACTGTTCAGTTGCAGACAGAGCGTCAGAGAGATCAGACGCCCACTCTTCAGCATGGCCACTAAGTGCGCCGCGCTTCCCTCCGCTAGGCATTGAGTTACTTGCTTCTCCCCGACCTGCTGCGATCTGACGTCTTGTTAGCCGTGCGGCCACGCTGCGTCCCAGATCCACCGGCCCCTGACGCATCGCTTCCCTTAGTTCCGACCGACGGCCTTGCAACTCCTGTCGAGTTAACAGCTGCAGTGACCATAGTCGACAGCTTCAGATCCAGGTCCTTCGACGAAGCGACGGCCCCTGCGATACTCTGCTGTGCCTGACTCGTGCCCAGCGCTAGAACAACAGAGCTCACAGTCGATTTCTGTAGCTCGGTGAGGGCCTCTGTAGCTTTGTCCACTTTGACATTGGTCACTTTGATATCATCCCGCACCTCCTTTAGTTCATCGGAGTGACATGACAACGACTTCTCTATGGATTGCAGACGTTGCTCAAGTGCTGCACTTTTCGTTTCTTCGTCCAGCCTCTTCTTTTCTTCATCAACTGGGAGAAGTGATTTGCTGGGATGTACTAGCACCTGGACACCCCTGGCGCAGTAATTCGGCTCCTTGGTGATTCTGTCACTGCCTTTGCCAGGGGAGAGAAGAAACAGGACATGATCGTCTTCTTGTGGAGAGCCACTTACTACGTCCTGCTCATGGAAAAAGATGCTCGGCCCACGAAAGTCAGCTGCCAACTTCTTGAACTCATCAGGGTCAAATACTTCTGTACTGAGAAGCGCGGCTTCCACGACGTTGCTACCCTGGCGTGCTTGGATGAATTCGCTGAAATTGCAGCTGCGCACAATACGGATAAACCCATAGTTCCTCGTTTGGCCAACGGCTCGAGAGAAAGTGGGATACTTGGCAATCTGGCCGTAGTACATCTCGCCAACCTTCAACATCGGCGCAACGTGAGAGGTCGTGCTGGTGTGTCCGAATCCTTCTCCACCAAACACTCCCATTTCAGTGTCCTCATCGCCACGACCAGGCATGCTGCACTACTCGGGAGAAGAAGAGTGGACGCAGCGAAGAAGAAGGGATGCTTCGTCGTCTCAGAGACACTTGACAAGGCATACACCAGAGACAGATCGGAACCCGGTGAAATATTGCGACCGAAAAGGATGAGGTAAATTTTCGGTCAGCTAAATTCGCTCCACCCCAACCAGAGGACGCCCAAACGCTCACACACGTAGGAAGCCTATTCTGACGCCGTTGGTGAGCAGTCGGAATAGAGGTCGAAAAGACGAATTACGGGGGTAGAGGCCGCAACTTCATCACTCTTTGTTCTCGGCACTTACTCATTTACTCATTTACTCACTTACTTGGTCTAGAAACTTACCGGCTGCATTCATCTTGTGCTTTGTTGTGTTTCCAGTGCTTTACTTACGAATGCAAATTTTCCTTTGAAGACAACAACTATTTTTTCCGGACAGCTTTCATTATTGTCATTTGTTCACTTCTTTCTTTTTCGTTTTATTTTCCACCTGTCTTGTTGTCGCTTTTTAATGAATGAACGAATGAATGAATGGGCCTAACAAGAGGTGTTTAGACGTCCTTCAATTGAGTGGCTGCCTTTATTTGCAACAGAGGTCTTAAACAGACTACACAGACTACTGCAAATATTTCTTCCTTTATTTTACTTTAGGTATTTGGTCAAGTTGTATTGCGTATTTCTTCATCTTCACCTTCTAGTGATTTGAGTATTTGGCTCTTTTAGGGTTTTATGAAACATGTTATTATTATTGTTGTGTGATTATTATTATTATTATTATTATTATTATTATTATTATTATTATTATTATTATTATTATTATTATTATTATTATTATTATCATTATCATTATCATTATCATTATCATTATCATTATCATTATCATTATCATTATCATTATCATTATCGTTATCATTATCATTATCATTATCATTATCATTATCATTATCATTATCATTATCATTATTATTCTTATTATTCTTATTATTATTATTATTATTATTATTCTTATTATTCTTATTATTCTTATTATTCTTATTATTCTTATTATTCTTATTATTCTTATTATTCTTATTATTCTTATTATTCTTATTCTTATTATTCTTATTATCATTATTGTCATTATTATCATTATTATTATTGTTGGCCATGGTCGTAAATCCTTGAAACTTCACAAAGATCCACAAAGATCAGAAGGATGAAGATCAGCAAAATGACCAAGATCGCCAGGCGAACAAGGTACCCACCGGCACCACTTTCAACGCGTTGGCCTTAGTTGGCGCGGGTGTCGGCGGTTTCTCCCTTCTCTCTCTCGTTTGTCGTTTCAAGTCTCTCAACACAGTCAGGGACAAAGCAACACAAGAAAGATCTCAAGATAACCTACAGACCTAAACGCATATGGTTCCAAAAACGACGATCAACAGGCAAAGGGCCTTCAACGTATTCAGATAGCAGAGATATCGGATGTCCAATCATAGCTGTAATCAGGTCCATAACGTTTTGTCAGTTCTGATCAGTTCAAAGAGCATACGGATGACCGTATGAGTCAATGACGATAGCATAGGCTTTCCCATATGAAGCATGTGAAAGCTTCCTCATGCAACATGATATCCCAATGAAGAAGCTGAGGCTTCCTTCCCTTGCAACCCCAATGAACATCCACAAGGATCAAAGCAGCCAGAGACCATTTGTCTCAGGCTGTTAGTGCAATCTGTATCAAACTCAAGCGTTTCTCAATGAGAAACTAGACGCGACTTAACAGTCTGTGTTCGAATGTTCCAACACTGCTTTGACCCTTGAGTCTGGCTCAACATAGAGTAGAAATTCATGTAGAAACAAAATGTCCTGCGAAGGGACTCGACTTGCCTCAAAACTACCCGAATGTAGTTGGCATGGCGGCAGCTCCTCATGGTATTCCTAACGGAGTTACCACCCGGGAGGACGCAGCCAAAACGTCGCAAGGCAGAGCCGAGACGCGGAACCGGTGGAGGGTGGATTTTGCTCGCTGAATTTGGATGATGACGAGACTGGAGACGAAATAGCTGTGGATAATAGTGGGGGAGTAAAAACAGATAGGACATAGTCTTCCAACTAGTTCCATTGCTGCAAGAAAAGAGGTTATCTTGGTTGATAGTTGTGCAAACAAATATACTTCAAGACACAAAGGCGATTCCATTGATATAACTGTGAGAATTTGTAGGACTACTGGTAGCGCTGGGAAAAGGACTTAGATCGTATTATACCTTGGCTAGGTGAAGAGAACTGCTCGCAATTAGGATTGGGACTCAACCTCAAAGGCGCAGGCGGTTGTCTCGTACATACGGACACCGGCCAGGCCATACCCATAAAAAACCATCCACGCCTGCAGCTTCCACACTTGCGCGCAAACTTACTCAAAGAAGAGACTGATAGTGGTTGCATTTGTTCAACAGTAGAAGAAGGAGTCAGTAGATGTTATCTTACAAGACTCGAACGCCATAGAAGGCGTGGGCACTTTCACATAGATGGCCTCCAGGTAAATTGTCCTGGGTGCGATCTACAGAAAGGCCAACACGCACCACAAGCAAAGCCTAGAGATACTCCGAATCGCAAACCCGTATCAGTTAGACCAAAGAGATGCGTGCTAGTGATTTCTGTAATGTAATTAAGAAGGTGCGCGTCGACCGCTAAAGCTGTAAAGTGACTGCGTGGAGGAAATAGAAGAAGCGACAAAAGGCATTCGCCAGGACTACTCCTTATCTCTATATGACAAGGCAGCGCGGTTCCTCCGGAGGGATGGAGAACCTGCCCTGAGCAGTGACGACATGGCCAAAGTTATGCAATCGCTGCGAGTCTCAGACAGTCCGGCTGTTCCTTATAATCTGGATTGAATGAGACCTGCGAACGTTTTATGCGGACTTTGTTCGGCAGTGTTCGCACAATGCTGACTAAGTTGATAAACGTCTCTGGAAGTTACTACGTCGAGCACGCTGGTGACTGCTGGGATTGCTTACCGCATAACTACGCGAAAATTCCTCAAAATGATGGAAAGAGTCCAACTGAAACCTTGGAATACAGGACTGGTAGAAACTCGTCGAAGAGTTCACTTCAATCGGCATGCTCCGTCGATTTGGTTGTCTAGTTCACTTTCGTGAACAACTTCAAGCCAACCCTCCTGAACCCAAGCTCTTGGCCAAATACCGCCGTGGCGTCTTCCCTTGGATTCTGTCCGAAGTCGTCTGGTTGGTTGGTTGGAACTTTCGCTCATGGCGATCGTTGCAAGCTTGGACATCGATGGGCGGAATACTCTACCCGAGATGTAGAGTTTGTTCAGAGAGGACTACTTAATAAAGAATATTGATTGGCTTTTGCCAGATCAGAGGGCACCTACATAGAGTCTGACGAACTGGGAAACCTGCCGGGTGGCGCGTCGTAGCTGGGCTCCCCCTTGCTTGGACAGTCAGAGCTAAGGCTGGATCATCAGTCGGGGTTCTCTGGCACGGAGCACATTCCAGGTGGACCGACCGGAATTTCCGAAGAAGTTACTGGATAAAGTAGAGGAATCCAACGCAGATGACCCTCCTAAAGGTGTTTCACCTGAGGAGGGGAAAGCTGAAGCGAAGGATCGCGTGACATCTGCTCCGCTTAGTCCGTCTAGGTTGCAAGCGCCCTCTTCAGCACATGTTGTGGCAGGCGAACGCCATACACACGGCGAGAAGCGTGGCCGACCAAAAGGAGCTAAGGACAAGGCAGGCAGCAGGGTACGAAGAACAAAGAAACAGTTAGAAGAATTGAGAAAGAATATGGCGCTGCTCGCTAGTGCGGTTGGTGGCATGTGTGAACTCGACGAAGATGAGGAACTCGTCGAGTCATGTGTGATTTTGTCTGTTGCTCAAGCACTCAAGTCTCCTGATGCCGATAAGTGGCAGGAGGTTACTGAGAAGAGCACGCGAGACTGCTAGCCCTTTGAAACGTGGAAAGCAGCTTCCGACGAGGAGCTTGCGACCGCGTGACAGGCTCGACCAATTGCCATAATTCTAACTATCAAAAGATGTGGAAGATACAAGGCTTGCGCTTGTGTCGTCGGTAATCTAGATCGATCAAGAGAGCTATACACCTTCGCTCCCGTAGTTTCACATACCGCAAATAGGTTGCTCCTGACTTCTGCTACGTCAGAGCAGGACTATGTGATCCCGTTCGATTTAGATTCTGCGTCCCTCAATGCTGAACTCGATCGCGATGTCTTCTGTCATCTCCCATCCATCGGGGCGGAGAAGCATGGACGCGAGATCGTGAAGCCCAAGAAGGCCTTATACGGCTTGAAGGACGCACCACGAGCATGGTTCAAGAAATATCACGACACACTAGCCAGTCTTGGCTGGGAGCCGTGTGATTCTGCGCCAGGCTTATGGAGAAACCGAGTGCGAAAGTACCAGAGAAGTTCCTCAAGATGTCACCAGGGACTTCTTAGGTGCCGTCGTGTACTACTGTCGTGAAGCTCGAACATTTCGGCTCAACGTGGAAGAGTACACTGATAGAATCGCAAAGAGATTCGAAATCCAAGTCGGGAATCCGGTTTACTCGCCCTATTTTGACGAGTCGACTTTTCTTGAGGAGGGGACCAAGATAGTCGATGGGTATCCTTATCGTGAGGTAGTTGGCGCCTTGCTATGGGTAGCTGTGACCACGCGCCCGAGCATCTCTGTACCGGTGGCAGGCGTTGGCTAGACATGACAGCAAACCCACGCCAACAAGAATGGCTAAAGCAGCCAGAAAAGTGCTGAAGTATCTGGTGACAAAGAGGCCAAGGACTGGAATACTCACCAGAACAAGAAGAAGAACTCAATAGAATCTATTCAAATTTATTACCTGAAGGCAGAGACAGGCCAGAGGTGAATATCTTTAGTAGTGCAGGTCTCGCCAACTGCGTGAAAACTATGGGAACGCAAGTGAAAGACCATGCATTAAATTTCAAAGGCGTTCCAATCGCTTGGAGAAGTAACCGAAAAACTGTCCGTGCTTATTTTACGGCTGAAAGTGAATATATTGCAGCTTCTGACACAATCATGCTTAGTGAACTGCATGACTTTACAGACTTCTATAGGCCTCTACCAACTCAGTTGGTACACACACAGAGCGGCTTGTCTCCCTCTTTAGAAAGTGCTGTGCTCTGGATCGACAACCAATCCGAGATCACAACAGCTAAAGCAACTGACACATGCCCGAAGAGTCGCCATTATGCACTTCGCTACTTGCATGCGCGTGATGCGGCCAGTAAGATAGTTTCCTGTCCAACTAACTAACTTAATGAAGGCTGACGGTTTAACTAAACTAGAATGTAGCTCGTTTCAGCGTAGACTCCTACTTCGCCATATCCATAACCCGATAAACAAGGCCAACTATGATGAAAAGCGTAGCCATTTCGCCTAGTGGTTAAGTGTCTCAGTTCAGTTTCTCCGGATCTGAATGACGCAGGGTTCGAATCCGACAGAGGTCAGAATTCGACACACCCGTCACTGGGAGGGCTGAGGAACGGCATCCATGCCGCGAAGCCACCGGGCAAGGCCTGGATATGAGGTTAGACACGGTGACCCAGAGGAAGGGCCCGGCCCGTCCTGTGCTCGCCTCGGAGAAGTGGCCAACTAGTTCAACACTGGTTTACTTTGGTTTCATAGACGAAAAGTTAGGAGGTATGACTTCCGTGGTAGTCCAGAGACTAGGGACTTCGACACGCAACGATTGAGGAGGGGTGTTGGTCATGGTCGTAAATCCTTGAAACTTCACAAAGATCCACAAAGATCAGAAGGATGAAGATCAGCAAAATAACCAAGATCGCCAGGCGAACAAGGTACCCACCGGCACCACTTTCAACGCGTTGGCCTTAGTTGGCGCGGGTGTCAGCGGTTTCTCCCTTCTCTCTCTCGTTTGTCGTTTCAAGTCTCTCAACACAGTCAGGGACAAAGCAACACAGGAAAGATCTCAAGATAACCCACAGACCTAAACGCATATGGTTCCAAAAACGACGATCAACAGGCAAAGGGCCTTCAACGTATTCAGATAGCAGAGATATTGAATGTTCAATCATAGCTGTAATCAGGTCCATAACGTTTTGTCAGTTCTGATCAGTTCAAAGAGCATGTGGGTGATCGTGTGAGTCAATGACGATAGCATAGGTGTTCCCATATGAAGCATATGAAAGCTTCCTCATGCAACATGGTATCGATCCCAATGAAGAAGCTGGGACTTCCTTCCCTTGCAACCCCAATGAACATCCACAGGGATCAAAGCAGCCAGAGATCATTTGTCTCAAGCTGTTAGTGCAATCTGTACCAAACTCAAGCGCTTCTCAATGAGAAACTAGACGCGGCTTAACAGTCTGTGTTCGAATGTTCCAACAATTATTATTATTATTATTATTATTATTATTATTATTATTATTATTATTATTATTATTATTATTATTATTATTATTAATATTATTAATATTATTAATATTATTATTATTATTATTATTATTATTATTATCATTATTATTATTATTATTATTGTTAAGGGTGAGGTAAAAGAAACTGCTTGTTAAAAACGAAACTGTGTTAACGTTGAGTAAGTTGAGAGACATTAGCTGAGGACTGTTATGCATTTTCTCTTCCTTTTCATTGTGCTCATTAACTTTGTTGTTTCATAATTTTCACATTTCATGTCTATGTTATATCTTCTAACGATATCAAATTTTCACATTTCATGTCTATATTCTATATCTCCTACAAAGCAAGTAAACCTTAGGAGACCTGCTTTCCTGAAGTTCATATGAGCATGCTTTATTCACACTCTGTGTTGTAGCAGTCAGAAGTTGATACCATCCTGGATTCTCAGCATGCGTATCGTTAATATTCGAGAAACTGAAATACCAAAAATACGTAAGCAACTACTTAAAAATAAAATATGCGAGATGCTGAAATAAGAGCAACTCAGCGAGACTCTGAAAACGGCTACTTACTCGCGTATTTTCACTTTTCGAGTGCCCCAGAATGCACTTCTACGTCTACCACGGTGTTGACCGATAGTGATCGCCCAGCACATGTTTACAAGTCGCAGGTCTTTGGAAAATAAAGTCAAAAAATCCAAATCTAAGTTAATATTATTCATTCATTCATTTACCTAGCATGAGGTATGAGTTAGTAGAAGAAGTAGTAGTAGTAGGAGTAGCAGTAGTGTGCCCAATCTTGGGGTATCGTATGGATCTGGAAGAAAAAACCAGCCACATCATCATTATCCCTTTACTTCAACGTATCTCTTATTGCATATCATATCGTAATAAAACAATTCTCATAATTATTCACTAGGATGCACCAAAACAGCAAGAAGAGACGAAAAAGCTTTCTCTATATTCAAAGCTACGCTTAAGTTCATTCATTCATTCACTCATTTACCTAACAAGAGGTCGTTCGACGGACTTAATTGTTGCAGTTGTCTTTTTTCTATTTTCTACCCTTTTTCATGCACTTCTCTTTGTGCTTTATGTATATAGTAAGTGACTCGGTAAGTCTTACCGAGTCAGTCCTAAAGACATGAGGCTTTGTCCGTCACCTGCTCTTGAACTTCTACGACAAGACCAAGACGTACTTTTTACCCTTAGTAATTATAGTATTGACCATAATTAAATAGATATTTCAGCTTTTCCTTCCTCCTCGTTTGCACACCCCTCTCCAGTAAAAATCCCTTGTCACTACACCCGGCTCAGTATATCATGAGCATCCCCCTCATATTTTTCCACTATGGTTGCTTCCGATTCATCCAAAACCAAAACGCTGTTAAGCGCCTAGCCGAAGGATGGCAAATAGAAATAAGACAACACCGGATCCGGTGACCAGATGTTTCCGCCAGCAGACTGAGATAAGTGGGATGAACAAAGGATGAAATAGAGTAGGGGGATCCAGCATAACATCAGCACTTTCTCGTCGTGACACCGGAGTTTAGACAAAGGTACTTAGATCACTTGTTGATGCTCCAAAGGAAAAGATATAAAAAGGATGAAAGTAAAAGCATAGCAAAGTACAGCAGAAGTTGCTCCTCCAAAAAGCGTGGTAGGGTTAGCGCGACGCGGAGTTAACATAGTGTTGATGTTGAGCACTCCTGCTGTAGCTTCCACGAGTAGAATAGCTGTGCTGCTGATGGGGTCGACCGCCGCCATCGTAATATTCAGCCTGTCCTTGATGATGATGAGATTAGAGAGGGAGAGAGGGAGAACGCATCTCAGATCGGAACTATCATCATCTGGCCCATAGTGATAAGTGAACAGACCAACGCCTAAACCACTAAGCCAACTGCGCAGTATGTATCAATTATATTATTTTGCCGATCCTTGAAAAGATGAGGCCTCTCTTCATGTTCACTGTCGTGTCTTCTTTCGATGCTTAGAATCGACTCCCAGGTCGGTGAAGATCCTGCGTAAAGTACAATGAAGGAAAGCTGCTAGTCCTATTATAGTCCTTATAAAGTACTTCTTGTTGCCATAGTCCTTATAAAGTCCTTATAAAGTCCTTATAAAGTCCTTATAAAGTCCTTAGCATAAAGATTCTTGTTGCCATAGTGCTGCTGGTCTTTGGCATTTTTGCGCTCTGCCACAATCTGGGCCATGAGTCCGGAGGACGGTTGGCACAAATACCCAAAGTTTCCTTGCAGTAGAGGTTAGACGCGGAGGAGTAGGAGGAGAAAGAGGCAAAAAAGTAAGAGGGGGCAGAAAACTATGGCACAAAGAAACATCTTTGAGCACTATGCTGCCCTAGGTCGCTCTACCTGAATGAATGAGGCGCAGTCATCTACCTGAGTACGCTACTCAACAAACCGACTTAGACTTTAAAAGAAACAAGAAACCTGAAGCCATTTGTTCCATAACTCACAATCTTCACGACGTTGTCCAGCGGTGGCATCTGCACCAACGTAAGAAGCTTCGTCTCGTGAAACACAGTTTCCGATAAATGTTTTCCATGCCATCTTTTGATCTTGGTCTTCAGCGTGGAGAGGTTGAAGCCAAACGGATATTTGCGAAGCAAATCCGAAAAAACGGCCTTCAGCTCAGTCATGTCCTTCACGTAGCTCTTCTCCCGATGCTTCACATTGGCCGACGAGGCGGTCGGGACTCCGTAGAGTGCTGGAGAAGTGGGTGTTTTTATTTCATCTGGGATCATTGGGAATCTACTTTTGAAAAGTAGAAGATAGTACTACTCCACAAGGATTGGAATTTCAAGGAAGAATGCAGCTCATAGAGAGAGTCAGACAAGCTTCGCACTTGCTAGGTGCACTAATTGGAAACGCCACTGACTATCAGTCACGACCCAAAAAGGAGTTCGCCAATTCTAATTGAGTACCATTATGGTACTTCCCACAAGCCTGAGCCGGAAGCAGTAGATTGTTTTCGTAGTGGAGGAGATCTCTCTGGAGGGCCAGCTCAACGATATGACACACTTTGCCAAGAGAATACCCCTGAAAAAACGGCAACTGACGGGCATGCCTGAAAGTGATGAAAACGCCTGAATTGTGAAAAGGCTGAAAGAATTATGTATGAACGACGAAAGCGAGGTAGGCTTGTACAACTTGCTATGAGTGGGAATGCGATGCGAGCATAGATTGGTGAACTCAAAAGAAAACTGCTGCAGCGAGAAAAAACCTTGAGACGACGACGCAATGCGTCTATTAGACAAAGTTTGTCTAATAGACTAAATGCGCGAAAATTTTCGACGAGATAACAAGGTGAAAAAAGAAGATTGATGGTGGATTACGTAGGCTTAGAAATAACAAGCGCCAGCATCAGCAACTATACCTAGCACGGTCTTGGTAAGATATATATTAGTATTTATAGGGTTAGCAATAGTTTGCGAAATCCTTAAGAGACTCCTTTAAGTGGCTTCCTTAAGGAAAACCCTTTTCCTTAAGGAATTTCTATTACAAAAAGTTATTATAACTTTCCTTAAGAGAAAAAAAATTCCTTAAGGAAGCTCCTTAAGGAAAAGTTGTAATAGCCCTTGGCTAATATTAGCGCCCTCCTTAAGGGATTCTGAAGGGCTCAAAAGGCTCCCTAATAAAGCACTTGCGTTGCTAGTGCTACGAGTTCAAAGGCACCGCGAACGTGTTAACGTGTTCGCGGCTGCTAGTTTGTAGGCTACTCACGTACACCAGCCGCACCAATCTGCAGCAGGACACTACGCGCCCACCCCGCCCTAGCGAATCGCCCCAAAGAACTTCCAACCGCTCCCCTTGTTAAAAAATATCGCCCAGCGCCTTTATTTTTTTTCAAAAACTTCAGGGAGGCCATTCAAATACAGAGAAAACAAAACGACCCCCCTGAAGTTTTTGGGAAAAAGTTAGCTCGCTCCCCTTCCGCGACTACCTTCCGCACACAACAACCGACCACAAGAGCGCGCGGCAGCCCTTGGAGATGGTTAGCCCGTGTGTGCATTTTTATCAGCACAAAAGTAGGAGAATTGTAAGGGAGAGGGTGAGCACTTGAAAGGGCAGAGGCTGGCGAGCGTCATCACATTGACCCACGAGAAAGCCAAAGATATACAGTTCTGTGCTTGAAAATCGAAGCCGTGGAGGATGTCGATGCTTGTGAGAATGATAGCCGGAAGCACTTGCATCGCTGAAGGGTGGACCCTGGTGAGCATCATCATACTCATGAGAAGGCCACAGATATACATATCTGCGCGTGAAAGTCGAAGCCGTTGATGATGTCGATGCGTGTGAGAATGATAGCCATGAGGCCTTGCATGTCTGAAGGGTGGACCCTTGCGACCGTCATCATATCCATGAGAAGGCCAAAGATATACATCTCTGTGTGTGAAAGTCGAAGCCGTTGAGGATGTCGATGTCTGTGAGAATGATAGCCGTGAGGACTTGCATGTCTGAAGGGTGGACCCTGGTGAGCGTCATCATATCCATGAGAAGGCCAAAGATATACATCTGTGTGCGTGAAAGTTGAAGCCGTTGAGGATGTCGATGTCTGTGAGAATGATAGCCGTGAGGACTTGCATGTCTGAAGGGTGGACCCTGGTGAGCATCATCATATCCACGAGAAGGGCAAAGATATACATCCCTGTGCGTGAAAGGCGAAGCCTTTGAGGATGTCGATGCGTGTGAGAATGATAGCCGTGAAGACTTGCATGTCTGAAGGGTGGACCCTTGCGAACGTCATCATATCCATGAGAAGGCCGAAGATATGCATCTCTGTGTGTGAAAGTCGAACCCGCTGAGGATGTCGATGTCTGTGAGAATGATAGCCGTGAGGACTTGCATGTCTGAAGGGTGGACCCTGGTGAGCGTCATCATAATCATATCCATGAGAAGGCCACAGATGTACATCTGTGTGTGTGAAAGTTGAAGCCGTTGAGGATGTCGATGTCTGTGAGAATGATAGCCGGGAGGACTTGCATGGCTGAAGGGTGGACCCTGGTGAGCGTCATCATATCCACGAGAAAGGCAAAGGTCTACATCTCTGCGCGTGAAAGGCGAAGCCTTTGAGGATGTCGATGCGTGTGAGAATGATAGTCGTGAGGAATTGCATGTCTGAAGGCTGGACCCTGGTGAGCATCATCATATCCATGAGAAGGCCACAGATATGCATCTCTGTGCGTGAAAGTCGAAGCCGTTGAGGGTGTCACCTCCCCAGCCTTCCCTTCTTTGACACAGTGGGAGCCAGCTTCCCAGCCTTGGCGAGCAGACTTGCCTTGGCGACTTTTTTCGTTTGTCTTTCTGTCTCTTAGTAGTCAATCTGTCTAGTTGTTAACCTATGCCCGGCGCAGCGGGCCCTTGATGGGCCCGCTTTCTGGGCATGTATATAATACAACAAAGAGAAAGTAACTACAAAGCCGAAGCGAAGTAGCGGGAAAATTATAGTACAGATCCTGAGCCATCCCATATCGTCCGCGATGAAAAGTGACCGGCTTGAGGCCCTTCTTAGAATGAAGAACGCCCTCCTCCAGCATCTCCTGAAGATAATCCGCAAACTTCTCCCAGACCGAGTGGGGATATGGGTCGCTGATATTGCCAGGATCCACCCATCCTTCGAAACCTGCTAAGGGAAAGTAAGATAAATAATCACGATAGTGAAAGTGATAAACATTGCGTCGCCTCTAGTTCTTAGGCAAATTCATTCATTATCATTCAAGAGAAAAGAAGTAAACGAGTAGTTGTACCTTCGTAACCGTTTTTGAACTGAATGGACACCGTGCCGCTGTCATCCGTGGCGACTAGGTATGCCGGCTGGACTGAGTAAATTTTTACGAAATGCTGCTCGATCATCGCTCTCACACCGAGCGCCTTCAGACGGGCTTTCACCATTTTTTCGTCAGGGGGAGTATGAACGAAGGCGGGCAAAAAGATGGGTATAGGAGTTAGGGCTACTTTTGTGATCGGAGCCCACGTCTTCAAGCGAAGCACTCATAGTGTCAAGAAGCTAATTCGAGATGCGCAGCTACACACTTCGTCGAGGAAGGTACGGCCTTGCTCTGCGTCTGCCAGTCGTTTTTATAAATACAATTAAAAAACTCGCAAAACTTTCCGCCCCATAAAAAATCTGATCGCAATACAAGCTCTCCAATGCGCCGTGCATCGCGTCTATTTCTGGAGGCGTCAGACACAGGTATTAGAATTTCTCATAAAACTGCATCGGTTCATTTATGGTGTTACTTTTTTCAATATTCAATGCACATAAAACTTTGCACTCTCTATCTTGAGAGAGTGTTACTTTCTTGCAAAATAGCATAAGCCAGAAGAGATATAGAGAATCATGGACAGAAGAGATATAGAGAACAAAAGCAAGCCGTAAAAGCGCTGCCCATTCGGTAAGTTTACGAAGATGAAGGTCCCTCCCTCCATTTTGCTTTTCGGTTTTGCTTGGTGTTCTAACGTACTGCTTTTTTGTTGTAGTGTGTTGATCGAGTGCGAACCTTCTTGATGTTGCTCTTGCTGCCCTTTCGGTTCGTTTCAGAATCTGAGAAGGTGAAGCTGAAGATGCTGATCTACTTCCACGTTAACTGCCGAGTTTTCAGCGACTTCTTTTTACTTGATGTCCCACGAGATAGATTACAACTTTTCTTCTTTGAAAGAGGACTAAGTACGCAGTGGTAAGAACAAGGAAATGGGCAGATAGACTCTGTATTCCTACAACAATTACTTACTTCCCACTTTTACTGGTTGCAGTAAGACTTCTGACTCTACTTGAGGACAACGAGCGAATTCTATTCAACTTCAGTTGATGTATCGGTACCGCAACACACACGATTGATCATTGGTACCGCAATTAATTTTTCTGTATTAAGACGTCCTTAAGTTGTTGTCGTTCTTTCAAGAACAATCTAAGAACAATCTTTCAAGAACAATAAGATTAACGCGTTTTTTTGCGTGATTAGAGTTGAGTTTTCAGCGACTTCTTTTTACTTGATGTCCCAAGAGATAGATTCAGCCGACGGGCTGAATGGGCTGTAGTCGAGCTTTCTTTTTCTCCTAAGTGGTTTTTTGGGTATAAGTGAGGGATATCAAGTGTCGCGATCGATAATGCGCAGCATTCGCAATCATAGATATGAGTGAATGAAGGAATGTACCCACTCCAGGGGTATAAAACAAGAGTTGACTACTGACTACTTCGTTCTACACCGCTTCTGTACCTAGTAAATGACAAGGAAAGTAGTAAATGACATGGATCTCGTCTTCTACCGGAGGAAGGTGCAGCAAGGTGAAGGTGATCTTCACAATATTATTGTGACAATAAAGACATCATGAACACATATTGTCACAATAAAGACATGATAAGTGTGATAAGTCGTGTTCAGTAAGGTGATCTTCACAAAGACACGATAAGTGTTCGTCTGTATTCGCGCTGTGGATCTTCGGATCAAGTCCAAAAAGAGAGGAGCAGAAGGACCCAAGCTCACAGTCACATGCGTCGCAGTCCAAAAAGAGAGAGGAGCAGAAGGACCCAAACTCACTGTCACATGCGTCGCGTTCGGAGAGAGGACACAGGGACCGTGAAATAATCATGGTCAATCGGCGACAGAACCCTTCTTGTTCTTCGTGAATCCTTCCCTAAGGAACGTAGGATACACTCTACAATCCGGTGGCTTCTGTCCTCGAGCTCCAAGGTAGCATTGGATGTTGTTGACTTTTCAATTTTAATTTATTAATATTAAGTATTTCCAACATCAAGAGCGAGGAGAGTTCGACGTCGCGCTTCAAAAAGGAATCTTCAGACTTCTTTCTTCCAAAAAGAAAAAACCTTCATTCAGCAATGACAAGGCGTAGGCGTTCGATGTGTAGGTGTACAAAATTGCGATCATCCATCATCTTGAGGTTGAGGGTTTATATTTTGTTCGTTTCTTTGTTGCACCAGTGCTTGGCGTCTCATTTGTTCCTTTCTATGCGAAAATTGAAGAATACAGTAGAGATACGATTGCGATAGGCATAGGCATGTTTTCAATGATACTAGCTCTAGCTGTTGTAACATTATCTAGCTACTGTGCTACAGCTACTGTATCATAAAAAATGAACTTGTGGTCATGTTTGTCATGACCTGGATCTACATTTATTTAGAACTTCTATTATGCGTATGGGTATGCGTTCTTCATGCTGATGCTCAAAAAATCATAAGACTCTTATGCCTGTTGAATGAAAAGCCTATTAGTAATGCAGAGTAAAAGCAAGCCTAAAAACAGCACCAGTGAAAATATTGACGACAGGAAGTGTCACTCTACCCGTCAAAATTTCAAATTTTTTTTATTTGAAAACTATGTGTCCCGGAGTTTTCTTAGGCTATTCAATTGATCAAAATTCTTTGTTTTGTGGCATAAAAAGATTTGTTTGGATGTCGATGTATCCACATTCGTTTTCGCATCTGATATCGAGGTAATCGAAGAATTCAACTCAAAAACCATGTGGTCATCTACAGCTCCAACACAATACACGTAATGTCATCATGGAATCCATCATCTAATTTCTGGTTCCATCGTTTCTTCGCTTCTTCACAAATATTTGAGGCTTCGGACACGTAGGGTAAGATTTCCTTTCCCTCCTCAAAAACGTCCCATACCCCATCGGTTGCGACAATAACCTTCTCTCCCTTCTTCGCGTCGAGGAGACGCACCTGGGGTATATTATATTATTCAAAATGAAGAACCCAACTCGTCATATGCGTATACTACTTTATCTAACATCAGTTTGTTCTACTTGAGGTCGTAATCTTATATTCTTTCATACTACTAAGACTAACTGTCTAGTAATATAATACGTCCGGCATATATGTCGCTCCTTGCTCATGCGCATGCAAATCCCCGAATACTCGAGACATGTTGAGCGCTGGCCAGGTTTGGCCTGTCGTCACGATTCGTGGATCCCAAGGCCTCACTGTCCCCCTGGAGACATAGAAGGATTCGATATGTGCTACGCCAAGTTTCTCGATCCTTTCTTTCTCACTAGCCTCGTCCGGTCGATGGTCTCGAGTGAGGAAGGTAACGTCGTCGTTTTCCTGGATGGTTCGTGGGTCTACTAGAAAGAGGTGTTTTCGTGGAGGAACCTAAAACTTAAACTGGCAAGAGTCTTCTAAATTATTCTTGCACAGTATCGAACTTGTTCTTGCGAGACCTCCAGAACCAGAACTTCACTTTTCTTGAGAAACCATAAAGAATGCGATACTAGCTAGCTGCGCAATCTGAGTAGAGTAGCGAACTAGTAACTTACAGGCTTACCTTAACAAGCACCGCTTTGCCATCCCCTATATGCCCAATCAAAAGCCATGGATCTTCATCGCCTCCCTTCAGAATCAAGGTTGCCGTTGTCCCACTTTCTCTAGCGTCAAAAGCGTCTGGGAAAAGGGGGTCCCGCTCGAGTGGTGTCGATTCCGAATAGTCGAGATAGCCAATTGTGAGTTGGTCCATGATCTGGAGCGAAAGAGTTTTTATCGGGTGTTATTTGCGTTTGGTAACTGACTATCAAATTGTTAGGGGTTGAAAGTTGGCATCTCTAGCCCGCATATCGATGGCTTTCCTACTTGGAGAAACCATAGAGATGCTCATAGAGATGCCAACTTTCAAGCCTTAAAATTGAAGACTGGAGAGACTGTCCCTTCATCCTTCATCTCAACAGTCATCGAGATCATGAAATCTGCGAATTTCAGCGATCATGTCAATGTCTTCCTATTCCTAATAAAAAATACGGATATAATTAAGAGTTGTGATAAGAGTGCTGAAAATTATATATACCTTATGAAGTTGTGTTGAAAGTTATACCGAAAATTATATATACCTTATGAATCGTTTGAAAAGTGTCCTCCATAGCCTTGCCTAAAGGTGCCAATTGCTCCGAAGATGCATCCATAAATCCAGGCCCATCTCTTGGTATTGCCGCTGCTGCTGAGTTCAGATCTGGAGGAGGACAGAGGTAGTGCTTGTTCTTGGGATCATGAATACTGTTGTAAGTCTAAAAAGAAATCAAAAACCACCTTCTGAGTCTTCGAACAAGATGATATGATCCTAGTTATTAGTTTAGTTAGTTTCAGATGATTCAGTGGCAGCTTACCATCAACATATTCTATATATAAGGGAGTTTAGTTGTCCGTCGTGGTCCCTCATGATAGTGAGTACAAGAAGATCAACAAAGTTCAAAGTTGGACAAAGTAGTTCAAAGTCTAATATTAATATTCACAGTAGCAGTACTTTCCAAGAAGATCTTCATCATCAGATTGCTGGTGATTTGAGAGGTAATTTCCCCAAATTTCCCGTGTCCATCGTAGACTGCAATTAGTGTCAACGGGCCCCATTGGTACACGCCATCCAAATGCATGATACCGAAGCCATCGTGATTAGCTGTGCCCTCTTTGTGCCCCTTGCGACAGGACACAGAGCAACGCAAGGACGCAAGCAGAGAGGTTTTGCGAGCGAGAGCGGAATCGGAGGAGGAGGAGGGAGGTTAGAAGGGAATAAGGGGGAGGAAGACGAAGCGAAATTTTGTATTTGGTTTTGTAGAAGAGCAGGTTCGATTCTTATCCACCTCTACTTAACTTTCCTCCGGATGAATGAAAAGTTTTTGTTGCTGCTGCTCGTCTGAATGCTCGGTTATGAGGAAATGCTTCTCAGCAAAGCTAGGTTTTGATCCGCGTTCTGCGTCAACGTTAGACCGGATCCAAAAGTACTCTCCGCCTTTCGCGATTTCTTCTGTTGTGTGCATCAAGATCTTCTAACTGTAAGCATGCATCAGCATCGATTACGATTACCCAAGAACAAACAAAATTAATATTATAAGCCTACCTGACATGACAGGCGCCGCGGCAGTTGTTCCCTTCGCTTTCGATGTCTCTTGCTCGCCCATCTTCCTCGCTACTTCATGCGAGATGAGAGTCGAATCTAAATCCGCTCCAATTTGGACTTCTTTCTTCAAAAGTTGTGGAGCTGCAAAGGCAGGCTGAGCAACCGGCACTACAGCCTTCGGCTTTGTTAGCGTAGAGGAAGAAGACACAGACGGCGTCCTAGAATTAGAACTAACTAATGGAAACCCCTCTTCAGCAGCATCTTGGGTCTCCTTGGGACCCTTGAAAAACGGGACCAAGATGCCTCTGAAAATGGGGGATTTCTTGTAAGTACCCTTAAGAGAAGCGTCGTCGTTCACTGCGGACAAAAGACTATCAGCCGCAACGCTTCCAGCCCACGAGAGGACACCGAAGAAACTAAAATCCTCCTCTTGAGCTGGTGATGGAAGGAGGAATCGTAGGCAATGGCAGTAGGAAAAGAAGTTCACAACTACTCTTCACTATAATTTGATCATACGAGGATAATTTCGATGAGCTTAGTCTACGTCTACATAAACATACCGATACCTCCCCCTGGTCTACATAGTACTCATACTTACATACTTCTGTACAACAACTAACTCTTTTACTAGGATACCTATCGGCACTGCTTTATGCTCTGTTTGTCGCAAAAAGCGTTCCAGCAGATCCGGAGATCCAGGAGCTGGAGAACGGGGCGCTGATGCTGCAGGTGCTGATGCAACTTGAGAACTACTAAAACCTGCGAAGCCGAACAGGTCAGGGACGTCACTGATGAGTCTTGTCGGTGGCACTGCGTCATTGACCACAGGTTGAGGTTGTGTTGAGGCTTCTTGTGGCACTAAAGTTAGAGGTTGAAAGTTGGCGTCTCTAGCTCGAATATCTATGGCTTTCCTACTTGAGATAGCCATAGAGACGCGCATAGAGATGTCAACTCCCAAGCCTTAATAAAGAAGAAGATGAAGGCTCAACAACACTGCTCCTCTCTACCAAGGCGCCTGTAGAATTATACGCAACGCTCGACAAAGACCCTATCTTTACCGTCGGCATTGCAGCAAGCTCGGCGTCCCACAAAGTGCATTTCTTTCTTGGCCACAGCTCTCCTAAGCTCGTTCGCATTAAAAGTTTGTATTTGGCAATCAAATCTGCGTCAAATCGTCTGGGCGGTCCCCGACCATACACGTCACTGCAAGCGGCGCGCCATAAACCGAGTGAGACGTCGATTGAAGCGACCAAGTGTTTCTCATCCTCGGTGCCTGAAGAGGAGGATGCACCACTAGAGCCCTGCTCATCTGGGTCCCAGGTTGTCTTGCGACTCGGACTTCTCGAGCCTTTTCGTGCTGCTGTGTCTTCGGTTAGAAATGATCATGGAGGATTTTCTTTCAGGCGGTGGGAGACGGTACGCTACCACTTGGAGGACGAGGAGAAGGTCTACAGTTCTAGATTTCTAGGTGTATCAGAACGAGTCTATGGCAACCTCAGCTAGCTTTTCCTACCACAATGACAAGAATCTATCACAATCACATCTTCAGCAGCCATAAATTGTCTCCAAAAAAATTCATCTTTAAGTAGTCGTCCATCGATGTTGGTAGCATTGAGGTCTCTTTGCCGCCACCTATGTACCCGCTCTCAACGGCGCCTGCGGAGCCATGCGACATCGGCTGTGCGTGGCTCTGAATGAACTGGCCTGAACTTCGACCTGCCGGCATAGAGGGAGGCTGCTTTTGTTAGAAGAGCAATTTGTTCGTAGAAGTATAAGAGTATCCATATGTTAATGTTGGTAAGACGTAAGTACGCTGTGTTATGAAGCACTCTACTGTCGTGAAAAATATAACTAAATAGTACCACTAGTACAACGAACCTGGTGGATGACGTGGAAGACTTGACTACACACTAGTTAGTACAATCATCATCTTCATCATGACTGCACCATTAAAATCTACAGTCCATAATTCTGCACTTCGCCTACCTCCGTTGATATTGCGCCAACTCCAGGATTGGAAGCGCCAGCTGTTGTCCCAGGATCTGCATAGAACTGAAAGTTAGCTGATGGAAGCTGAAACCCACTCCCAAGCCGAAGCCCGCCCAAGGAGGGCCGTGTGAAACCCTCATTTGGAGGAAACAAGACGGACATGGTGTTTTGAAGGATTTCGATTTTAGTTGATCTACATGTATGACCGGATAAACAAAAACATGTAGTTGTAGTCTGCTTCGAGTAGTATTATTAGAGTTCATCAAGAAGGTTTGTCCCGCTAGTAGTCGTGAATTCACTACAACCTTGGTCGTAGCGTGTTTTAGTCCTCGATGTCCACTGAGTTACGAGATTGTCTGGTGTCTCCCGTAGAAGAATCTAAAAACGGGTGTCGCACCAGTTGTTCAACAACTCTTTATGTTCCTCGCTATGATTTCTCTCTTACAACTCTTGTCAGTTGTATCAGGCAGAGCAGTCGTTCATGCGTGAGATGAGCACTTCTTGTAGCGTTTGTCTCTTCTCGTCAGTGAAAGATAGGCAACAACACAAACTTGCACCAGCCTCCTTTAGCTACAAAAAGCTGGAGGATGTTATACTTCTTCTTCTACTTCTTCGTCACAGAAGTCATGGTGTCTACAAAGCTATCCAAAAATCTATCTTTAACATCGTGGAACTGTTCAAGTTCGAGAGAATAGTGATGATGCTTTACATGATTTTCTGATTTCCGTATTTTTTTTTTTGTGGTGGAGCCGACCTAACTAGTATTTCCGTATAATTGATTCGTGGTTGTGGTTCCTGAAAAATACGAAGACAAGCAACTTGAACTACATGGAAATGGATAGAGATAGACTGCAGCAACAAGAACGGCAATTTCAATTTCAAAAACCTCGTTCAACAAATATCGCAATCACAGCAGCAGCAACCGCAATTCCCGCAGTCGCAGCCTCCATCACAGCATGCACAGGGATTACAATCGCAATCGCAACCGCCACATTGGATCCCGCCAAGAGAGTCCAGGCAATTGCCAAGCAAACTCGTCGCTTCCCCCATCACACCGCAAAAGGCCTCACAGGCTTCATTAGAGATAGAGTCTAGCCCAAGAATTGCAATTCCGATTCATCCCCGTTTTTTTAGGTAAGAAGAAGATAATATGAATATCTCGCCAAGAATGAAGTGTAAATAGGGTCCCTCAGTATGCGCATGCGTATGGTCTACTTCGTTGTATGTCATATCTATGGCTGAGGGATGGATTCCTATAGTTAGTACTATAGAGATGGATCATTAGGGGTGGAAGCCTTAACTTCGGTTGCTGCGGCAGGCGCCTCACCGGCTTTCTCAAAAATCACGCCAAGAATGCCACCATCATCAGTGGTTATTACGCGGTTTAGAGGGAGAAGAGGATGACGTTGAGACGACTATTGATTTCTGGTTGGAGAAAAAGCAGATCAAAATCAAATCAAGGAATCAAGTTATAATCGCCATGATGATGATTTATTTGATAGTCTGACTTGAAACTCTCATCAAAATGATCGTCCACGAATTTTTTTGATAAGACCCGAAATAAACCATATCTTCACAGTTCCAGCAAGTGCGCTATCCTCTAGACTTCCAACCAAGCCATCAGCTACCCCTGTCACGGTACCCAAAGCTTCACCCGTCGAGAAATCTTGGACATGTATTAGAGCTAATGCTAGTCATCACTTGCTTTTGCTTCATATCGTCCGTGGTTGAGTCTTCCCTTCATGAAAGTTGTTCACTTGCAATGTTTACGGATAGCAAGTCGAGTTTTTCGAAAAACTAAAATAAGCGAGTAACTACGGAAAATAAGCGAGATACTGAACAAGGAAGAGTAGCCCTGTCAAAGCTACCACCCTTATTTCAGTCAGTAACTCGGTTATAGCCCTGCCAAAGCTACCTCACTTATTTCAGTCAGTAACTCGGCTATTTTCAGTTTTCGGTACATCATCCACATCTCTCGTGGAGAAGTGAGTCTCAGTTGCTTCTTCTTGCTCCTCCTCACACCATGATCAGCACACCAAATTAGACAAATAGTGAGTCAAACATTAGGGAAATCCCTTTAGGATCATAGATCCCTCACTCCAGATAGTGTCAAGGATCCACCCTTAAATTTTCTCCCAGAATATGCAAGCCGTGACCGGCAAAATCCGTCATTTCCTCTGCGACTGGCGCAACAAGTTGTCGTGGAGCCTCTGCTCCGAGACCTGTACTAGTTGCAGCTTGCACCAACATCTCAGGTTGGATGTTGTCAGGGTTAGAAGAGCTAGAACTAGACGACCGCAGAGTGTGTGAGTGTGTGTGTGTGTTTTCTTTTCTTGTAGGTTTAAAAGATTTATTGAGAATATCTACTTCCATCCAGCTCGAGGGAGCACGAGGAGCACGTGGCTGATCTCTTCGACCTTAACTGCTGTTCCTTCCACCAGGTGAATTTCGCCTGGCCCCCGAATTGCGCCTTGACGTATCACCAAATCGATGCCATTCAGGTCTTCTCGATTGATCTCGAAGCTCGGAATACCGTAATCCCTGCGACGAGGACAGCAAGAGCAGGATCGGCAAAAAGAAGGACAACAATCGACGCAGCAGAAGCAGACATCATTCCAATACAGTGAGCTGTGTGGCACGTTGTGGTCAGCAGGCTGCCCCGTGTCGGCTGTAGATTTCGTTGCTCTTTGGATATTAAAGGTGGAGAAGGAGTAGACTACACTTCTGATAGTGATACAGATACACATAATATACAATCTTTCTTACTATCTTCTCATACTAGTTTGAATTTTGTAGCAACAATTTCTTCGAGGAGACCCCTTCAAACACACACTGCCCCTTAAGCTTACTCCTTGATCTAAAAATAGATAAACTTTATATCAATGCAGCTCCTAAGTCTTTTCAACTGATTTTGTCCACGACGCATCGCACGCTCCATCTGCCTTTGGTGTTTGGCTCCTGCATGTCTATGCCGTTGCTCTTCGTCCATACAGCACCGAACTCGCAGAAAAACACATGGCATACCGATTATCGCAGTAGTTGCCGCGAGTGTGTAGGCGGTACAATAGAAAGGACTGACAAAACACAACCAGCAACAACCAATGCATCGCTCTGTGACCGGGATAGATTATAGTGAGGAGAAAAACCAGATGAGGAGGAAGACAATCGCGATGTCGATCTAAAACAAATGACAAAAACATACAACTTCTTCTTTTCCCCCTGCTCTGCTCCGCTTTTGTTGCTGCGTCGTGTGCGTGTCACCGATCACCTCAGAAGTCGGTCCATCCTCTGATATTCCGCTTAATGTAAAGGTTTGAGGTCCGTTATATGGCAAGTTTGGAGCAGCAGTTGTTAGTGCACTTATCGCCCGTGCACTCATCTGTCCGAGTTTTAGAAATGGCAACATGATGAGATGAAGATTAAAAAGTTAGTTGATGAGGAATGAATAAATCAATTATTGTACCCACGCCAGGGGTTAAGAAGAACCACTTCTACACACTACTTTTTAATACATCATGCCTCGTGAAAATCCACGCCATTTTTGCGTCCAAATTCCAATCCCTAACATCTTCTGTCTCCCATTTTTTTCAGCGCCAAAAGGATTAGTTGGCGACGTTCCTTCATTTTTTTGACTTGCCGACCCGCCTAACGGTGTCACAAGAACGCCTCCATTCGGTGAGAATAGTCTAGGCCTCGAAAATGTGGTTGAAGGGGTTGATGCCGCTGAAACAACCTCAATTCGATACGCTTGGACTCCAGAAGGCTGACAAGAACTTCCGACAGGCACAGGTGTATGTAAGCCTCCATTGCCGAGAGGAGTTGGCGCAGGCCTTCTTGATGTGCAACTTGTTGAGGATGAGGTTCCGTTTTTATCACCACCATAAGCAGCATTAGCGACAGTCGTTCCCGCACTTACGCTTGATGCACCAGTTGTACCTGCTCCACTTGCGCCAGTTCCAACTCCAAATTGTGCAATTGCAATTCCAGGCTGTGCAGGAATTCCAGGTTGTTGCACTAGAATGATAGGTTGTTGGGCTTTTTGTCTTAGAATACGGGATTGGGATGCGGGTAAGGGCCAGCCATCGGCTTCTGTTCGCGGAGTGCCAGGTTGCAAAACCGGATCGATTGGCGAAGACATTGTAGCTCTTGTTGATGTTGCAGTTCTAGATGTAGTTTTGCTTCTTGTACTCGTCTTTGATGTTGTAGTATACAAATTCAAATACAATGCTTGTGGTTGTGCTTATCTACCATCTTTAGATCCGGTCCCTGCGTCACGTAGAGGACTGTTGCATGTAATGCGGCTTGGTATTTGCTTTAAAAAATCTTTCACAGTCAACAACTGACGTTGGATACACCGGATTCAGTGCGGCAGCGGATGTTGCGGACAAAATAAGCTTCCTTTTCGAAGTGCTGTTTTCTTCAAACTCGTAGACTTTGAATTAGCAATACGAGGCGTTTCATGTTAATGTCGATGTCCCGATCACGACATTTCAAGTTATTCTTGAGGGCAACAATATTCAGCGTAAGTGAGTGTATACCTTCTACGTTCTTAGTCTGAGCTATAGCTATACGTTCTAGTACGCACGTGCGTCGTCACATTATTCTTTGTCTAAAAATTTCTACCTCGTCTTCTTCCATTTACACAACCTTCTAAGAATCTCTATTCAAAAACTACTTCTGCTGATTCTCCATCCAAGATAATTCTCCAAACTTCAATCATGCTCCTTTCTACAAACTTCATGCTTTCCTCTCACCAACTACTGATGTTTGAAATCAGCCTGTCTCTTTTCGGCGAAGGCGGTCATGCCTTCCTTGCGGTCCTCCAATCCCCAGGTAGAGTGGAAAACGCGCCGTTCGAACAGTAAGCCCTGGTCCAGTGGCAAATTCTGACTTTGATTCACCACGTCTTTGACGGAGATTAGAGGTTGTAGTAGGAGGAGTATGATCATGTTGGTGAGGAGAAGAGGGTGTAGTAGGAGGTTTTACTAGAAGACGAGCTACGTACTAGTACTATAAACTAAGTATAAATGAGAGAAAAAGGATCATTTTGGATTTTTTGGCCTGAAGACTGTATTAAACATGATGATGTCGAGTCATGCGTATTGGCGTCCACGGTCCACCCAGTCACACGCAGAACAATGATCGCCTTAACATCTGAAGCACAGGTGAAGAATAGGCTGCGATCTTTTTCGCCATCTCAACCGCGCCTGTTAGTAGCTCGTCATTCGTGCCGAAGACTTTGGCCACTAGGCCTGACCGTTCGGCTTCGGATGCAGAAAACCTAGGAGAGGAATCGAAATCGAATAGACCGACACCGAGCAGACTTCGGAACAATTTCACAATGTACAATTACAAGTCGAAGTGCTAGAGGAAGTGAAGATCTCTAACATAGTTTAGTCTTGTTTCTGAATCACCGGTGTGGAACTGGTACTGGTGCTACCTAGCTGAAGTCAACATCCTCTTCGTTGTCAGGTCAGAATAAAAAGTGGATTTCAAATCTACGTCTCTCCACTTAGCATCCACCACATGGCTTTACTTTTGCCCACGGCGTGAGTGAGACGCTGACTCCCACCACATCCGGGAATTGTGCCTACAAGATTAGAAGTGGAGCCACAACAAGTTGGGAAAATCAAATTTGTTCAATTTATGGTGCCAATGGCGGATGATGATGCATTATCCTTGGCGATACACTGCGTTTTTAGTTCAATCCTGGATCATAAGCTTAATCTCCGGCTGCCCGAACTTTGCAACTTCAGAGGCACTACACGATTATGGATTGTGACTTTTTGCAAAATGTTGACCATGAACCAATAACCTCCAACAAGCAAGATAGATAGATAGATGTACTCCAACAAGCAAGATAGATAGATAGATAGATAGATAGATAGATGGCGACCCTATCACTCATGGGGTATCTATAAGTTCTTTAATTAGGGACTACAGCTCCAATTGATTTTTATTTTCAATCATAAGCTTAATCTCCGGCTGCCCGAACTTTGCAACTTCAGAGGCCACGATGATATCACAGGCCATCGCTAGTTCGCAGCCGCCTCCGAGCGCGAAGCCGTTCACGGCTGCAATAACCGGTTTCCGGATCTCCTTTACCCCATTCCAGAATGCCAACATATCTCCCTTATGCACTTCCGCGAAAGTCTTTTCGTTCATTTGGGAGGTTAGATGAACGATTTGAATGAAGGTAGTAGCTTCTCGCAGCTGTTCCTGTTCGTTTCGGAGGTAGAAGTACTAGAGATTGTTCGTTTAGGTTTAGGAGGTAGAAGTACTAAAGATTGTTCGTTTAGGTTTAGGAGGTAGAAGTACTAAAGATTGTTCGTTTAGGTTTAGGAGGTAGAAGTACTAAAGATTGTTCGTTTAGGTTTAGGAGGTAGAAGTACTAAAGATTGTTCGTTTAGGTTTAGGAGGTAGAAGTACTAAAGATTGTTCGTTTAGGTTTAGGAGGTAGAAGTACTAAAGATTGTTCGTTTAGGTTTAGGAGGTAGAAGTACTAAAGATTGTTCGTTTAGGTTTAGGAGGTAGAAGTACTAAAGATCATCATCGAAACAAAGGGATTCATTGAGCTGTTTCGGACTTTTCGTTCTCTTTCTTCTTCCCTCTCCACATAACTTGATATCGGCACCTGCCGCGAAGGCTTTCGGAGTCCCAACTTCTGTTCCATCGGGCAATGTGAGATGCCCTGTTAGCACAATGCAGCGAACAGAGTCATCGCCATCAAGTGCTTTTAGTTCAGAGATTAGTGCTCCCACAAGCGAGTCGCTCAGCGCGTTCAAGGCTTTCGGTCGGTTCAACACGCAGAGTGCTACACCATCAGACTTGTATCTGTCATCCGTGTACACGAGTGAAGAGTCGGCGGAGGGCAGATTAGAGAAGGGAGTGTCCGTGAGTGTGCTGGTGAGCAAACCGGGTTTAGTAGCAAGGATTCCACCGACTTACCACAATACAAACCTGTAGTTTTCTAGCATCGAAGATATAATTTTCCTCGATCTTTGTGCTCTTTGAGATAGACGTCGCTACGAGTGCTGCCTCCTGGGCTTAGTAGCAAGAATTCCACCGACTTACCACAATACAAACCTGTAGATCTAGCATCACAAACCTTAAATGAAGAAAAAGCACGTCGACTCGCCCCACCATTCGTACGCGGTAAAGCAGCCACGCCTGATGGTGTGCGTTCAATACCAACAAGAGCTTGATGTTTACCTCGTGGCGCGTCCTTCGCTGAAGTAGAAGGGCATGACGTTGTTCTGCTTGTTGCAGTTGTAGCCAAACTCGTTACAACTCTGCTTGATCGATGGCTTGTCCGGATCGAAGAAAGAAAGCGTTGTCCTGCTTTGCGCATGACAACCTGCGCTGCAGGACGAAGAGCCGATACTGAAGATGCCATCATATTTGTCTTTCGTGATCTTCAGAACAAGGGTGTTCGTCTACTCTATTCCTGTGGTCTCTCTCTACATTCAAAGAACTAAGAACTACTTCAAAGCTGCGTCTTTCAAAATTTCAACCAGGTGAGAAGTAAGAAACTTTGGAGCTATTGGAGGACTATCTTCCGCGAAATTCCAAACTCACTTATCTTTCCATTTTGTGGGGAATCGGGGTGTAAAGTTGATTTCACTCAGCTAGGCTCTCAAGTGTGAACAAAACTGTTCGGTGTAGAAAGTGTTTCAGATCAAAAGTGGAGTTTTGTTCGCGTCTTGTTTCTGTACTTACGTAGCGAGCTCAGGGAATGAGCTGAACACATGGAGGACGTGGAGCTTAGTTAGGTGCGGTCATCACCACAAGAACCAAGTCAGAATGAGAAAGCACATCAGCTTCATGTTAAGATAATGTGAAAGCACTTCGATAAACGGGAAGACGTTATCTTAAACAAGTCAGAATGAGAAAGCACATCAGCTTCGTTTATCTCTGTCATCTTCGATAAACAATGAGAAAGCACAAAAAACATTGTTTATCGAAGATAACGTCACCCGCAGGTCTACTCACGTACTAGAGCCATTGTTTCCACCACCAGAACTTCTTGCCGTGAGTTTCGTTCCAAGCCATCCAAATAGGTTATCAGCTTTTTCCACGAGCTTGGCGCCAGCCTTCTGGACCTTTTCGTTTGCGGCAACGCTGCTGACGGTCGACACAGTAGCGGAACCCAGATGGCCCACTGCGTCTTTCTTAGATCATGGCGACATCAGTCGTGGTGCCGGAGTAGAGACTACAGTAAAAATGTCTGCAAACAGAAACAACGGAGTCGAAGAACAACTAGAAATTCAACAGTTCGAATAAGGAGTCCAAATCTATGACAACTTCAGTTCGAATAAGATTCTTCGTAAGTATCGCTCCCGACCCAAGGTTCTCTACGGATTCTATCGCCCCTTGCGCCGCATCCGCTATCGCGTTGCCAGCAGCAGAGAGGATCATCTTACCAGCCGCAAAGCCTCGTAGCCTTATCTCATGCTGCCGCATCAGCGTTACGGCCAAATGCAAGGTTTCATGCACAAAAAATGGTGGATACGACTGCAGAATTTTCATGTTTTCGATGAAGTCGCCTGCAAGTAGAACTTCCCGTATCCGAATCATCATGGCGACGCAGACGTAGTGGAGAAAAGGCTGTTGCTGAACCCGTGGCAACAAGTCGTCTAGGTCTTCAGTGCCGTGTAAAAGACCGACAGCCATTTCCTTCACCTGGTCACTACGGGTGCGGGGAGTGTTAGAGCATCTTCACGATTGCTGCCTGGGGTAAAAATAGTATTGAGATTTAATCTAGGTTTAGCTATTGCTCTGGGTATATTATAAGTTAGCATGAAAATCCTTTTTGTTGTGCCATCATCTAGCCGCGTTTGTTCAATGTGATTCGAGCTGGGAAGACGAGAGGACATCGAAAAACCATAACTCTATTCCCGCTACTTGCTGAAGATGCTCCGCCTACTCCTGTCGGAAACAATGGATTGCTCGTTGTTGGCGAACCTCCAGGCTGAGGATGACCTCCTGCAAAACTTGAAGACGAAGCACTAGTTCCACGACCTTGCTGAGCAGTTGTAGTTTGCGCATCCTGTTGCTGTGGTTCCACTCCTGGTTCTTCTATACCTGAGGAATCTGTTGCCTTTCGAATGTCGTAGCTTTTTTTGTCGAAGAGGTGGAATGGATCTAGCTCCGTAGCCGAATTTGAGGAGCTGCCAGCACCATCATCATCAGATGCGTCTGCTAAGTGAAAAACCTCAACTTGGGCTTGTGCTCTTGACGTCCTGCTTGTGCTATTTGTTGTCACAGGATGCGGAGGTGGAGGAGGAGGTGATCCTCCTGGCGCTAAAAACTCCACTACTTCGGCGTTACTATTCGAAGATGGAAGTTTGGTCGCGACGGAACTTGTTGTGCCAGGTGAAGCAGATGTTGTTAGCGGGGTTTCTCTGGAATCGTCTGCTAGGTTGGTCGTTGTTGTACTACCTGGAGTAGGCGACATCGGTGTCTTCATCAAATTGGGAGTCATCATGCTATTGCTGCCCGTCGAAGATGTTGTAGCAGCACCTCCCATCGAGGCTACAGTATCGGTCACACCGCTAGAAGCAGACTCGTATCCACTTCCCCTACCTGCTGCACTAGACGTCGTTGAGACAACACTACTTCCAGTTGTGCCTCCAAGAAGTGGTCCGCCATTCACACCACCTCCGGTCACAGAGCCTCTATTACCCAAAGCTGATCCTGCGCCAGCAGCTGAACCAGCAGGTCCTGCGGTGTGTGACGTGCGGAAATAGGAAATCAAAGCCGAAGGACTAGGGTCGTGCAGAAGTGAGTCCCACAACCGGACCGTGTCAGGCAAGGACAGCTCTTGACTCAACAGTAACATGAGTTGATTAGAGAGAATAGGCGTCATGGGATAGACTCGTCAAGGTGAAGGTGAAGCTGTTTTTCAACATTGAAAGTAAAAGTACTTCTACACCCGGTATTTATTAAGTGAAAGAACGTATCCATGATGCAGCTATGAGTAAATCGTAAATCTCGTGTTGTAGCGATAAAGATAAATGATGATGATTTTACCCATAATACTAGAGGTGGTTGTTGTTTTTATAGAGTTCATCCCTTGCTGCACTTCTTGATGTGGCCTCTATATATTTCGACTCTTTTTGTTCTTGCTTGTAGTGACTAAAAAAACCGATTTAGGTTCTGACTCTCTTTCATAATCCATCTCAACGAGTAGAACGTTGGGTCCACGCCGTTTGCTTCCAGCTTTTTCCAGACTTGGTAGTCTAGAGCTCGCAACAGTTGATTTAGTTGCTGGATTCGACCGTGCATGCCGCCCTCACTGTGATCCAGAGACTTTAGGAAGCAATCCCGCTGCTCTGCCATGATAATGCTGAAGCAGTAAAAGGTATCGGCTTCTGCGTTCTCGTACTGCGTTGCTTCCCTTGTGTCGGTGCCGCTGGTGCTACTTGTTGCGCATGAGGAAGTAGCGGTGCTGTCGGATGCAGCCCGATTAGAAAGTGAGAATAGTCGTGGTCTTGTTTCTCTTGCTTTAATACATAGTAAGTACTAGAGATGACCACTGGCTTCCTAGTAGTCCTCTTCCAGAGCGACTTCCGACTAGACTTCCAGACTGGCTTCCTAGTAGTCCTCTTCCAGAGCGACTTCCGGATAGTCTAAACATATACCGACTTCCGGATAGTCTAAACATATACCGACTACTACCAGCCATAAACGAAGCCATAAACGAAGCCGCCGCACCAACGCGGCAACACGAGGCGAAGAGGAAATAGACCACCGCAAGTATTTCGTTCATCCCTTGCACGTACCGGATCCCAGGATTCAGTTTGGCGTAGAGAAAGAGTACTCTACCCATCGCATCGAAGCCGTTCTGCGGGTATAGGATGTCACAGACGTTCGACGCGTTGCTGTGCTTCGGAGCTGCCTCTGCTGGATTGCTACCATTCCTGAGGGGATCACTTTAGAGGGGATCATGTTAGAAATGGAGATAAAGGTCCATGTCAGGAGACCTTGCAGAAGGTCAATGTCAGGAGACCTTGCAGATAAAAGTGAGGATTTGGAGCTTCATCCAAATCGAATAGTGACGAGAAAACAGACGAAAACAATATGTCTATAACACTATAAACCAGACAGACGAGCCTTAATGATCAGCATTAGGAGATAGAGGGCTGATATTAATCTTAATCCCTAGCCATAATCACCACTTCCATCAATCTTAATCCCTAGCCATAATCACCACTTCCATCAATCTTAAACCCTAGCCATAATCACCACTTCCATCAACCTCCTTCCCCGCTCCCGTCTTCACCTTGTTTCCACTGAAATTTCGTCCGAAAAAATCACTGTGCTCTCTTCGCGTCCTAAACACGTCCTTGTTGATCTGATCGTAGATCTCTATGTCTATTTCGTCGATCTCTACGCTGGGACTGGTGGTAGAAGAATCCTTCTCCTTGCTGGAAGGCGCTTCGGTCTCCGAAGTCGTGGAGCTTACTGAGAGTTGTGAATGAGAGTGAGAGATTGGTCGTGCTGTCTGATTTATTATGTCGTGAAGATTCTTTATGTTCTTGTGTTGTTGAGCTTGAGCTTGAGAGGATGGGACTACTACTAAGTACTAAAAGTAAATACATCACAACTCTTGTTCGACATCGACGTAATGAAGTACCACAAGTATTCATCAGTAGCGTTTTGAAGAGGTCTTTCTTCAGATTCGGATTGCTACAAAGCTCCACGACCAGAGACCTGTATTGCTCTCGCTTTTCCTTCAACGTCGAATCCCATTTTTCGAGTTCTAGGGGAAGGTAGCCCAGAGTCAGCTTCCAATAGGCCGATCTGAGCTCAGGACACTCTTCCGGCAAGCCTTCGAAGCCGAGGGCGCGGATGGGAGTTAGAGTGAAAACATGTTGACGTCTTCAGGACCAGTATCATCTAAAGATCAACAAGTCCTCAAAAAATATTTTTTCGCCCACCGGTGAACGCTAACGCCAATTGATGTCAAGACCAAGGTTATCTATTCAGAGATGACTGATTCAACTAAACCCCAAATCCATAATGCTTGCAAGTCTAATTCTGGCGTCTCATCGGACGGGCGCTTGATGAGCAATCCAAGACACTTCGCCAGCCGGTCGCTCAATACTGGATCTGTGATAGCTTTCTCAGCAATGAGGGTGTACACCCTTTTTTGCAAAGAGGCGAGGACCGTCATGATGATGCTCTCTCCTGCTGCATGCGAGGTGTTTGTTGATGCAACGAGAAGGGAGCGCAGTGGGCGGCCGTCGCTGTTTGATGCAACGAGAACGAAGCGAGACTGCCGACGGAGGTCAACGTATCATTTTTGCATTTGGGATACTAACTTTTACATGATGATCATGATGTGGAGCGGTTGTGCCTCTTGATCAAACACAAACAGCTTTTTCAAAAAAAAATTAGGTCATCTTTATCTCTTAGGTCATTTTCCTCACGAAATGACATTCAGCAATGACAGACACGAGGAGTTTCGTTGTCTCAGTCCATGGAAAAAAAGAGTCATTCTCACGTAGTCGCTTGATTGATGTGCCTGGCAAGAGGTTGATCAAAGATGCTACTTCTACCCTGGAAATCTCTCTTCTAAGAAATAAGGAGTCGGTGAAATAATGATCGTCCTGACTGTCCTCTCAGTGTCATTCTATCATAGCAACTAAGGCACGTGGATTTTTTGCTATTACTTTTCCTCATTCTTCATCTAGCATCCAACAGAGTCTTCATGTGATTCGGTCAAGATTGATCGTTTCCGATAATTCTTGCGCTGCTGAATTCTCTTCCACTTTCTCCTCTCTGAAAGGTGTACGGGCACAGCATCAACTTCTATTGTAGAGCAATATCGTCCGCAGACAAATAACATGACATGACCAATCCTGTACTGGCTCGCCACTATGAAAGCTGAAGGCGGGTAGTAAAAACTCGCCAAAGTAGACACGACAGTCGAATAATTTTTGTAAAATCGACTCAGCAAAAATAAAAGAAAAAAAGTTGCTGTAGTTCGTTGTTGCCATTTTTTTTTCTCATCATTCATTCATTTATAAGGCCTCCGCGAGAGTTTCTTTTTGTTACTTCGGTCGACTATTCTCGCTACAGTTTCATTTATCTAATTACCCGAGCGAGAAGCCTGAAGCACGACGGCGAGGCAGCTACAGCTACGCAACGTGAAAATCATGATCGGCCTTGCTAGGCTTAATGCTAACCATAGGAGAGGTTTTTAGCCACAGGTAGTTGCAATACTTCGTGAGACGATCTAGAAGTACCTCTAGCTTCTGCTCCCAAGTCAGACGAATAATAGCTACAAAGTACAACCCCCCTTATTTTGGTGGTCTTGTTCTTTCCACTAAAACTCCTGACGCGGAAAGCAGCCATATTTTGGTGGTCTTGTTCTTTCCACTAAAATTCCTCATGCGGAAAGCAGTGGAATACTTATAAATATATAGGTACTTACATGGACGGAAATTATAGCCATAGCCACCAAGGGCAGCACCCACAGAAAATATTAAGTACATAGAAGCACGAAGTTGGTGTTTCACAACAGCATATCAAGTAACTGGAGTATACCTCAATGTTGATCACTCGTTTTGTTTAGGGTGACTTGTACTAGGACTAGGTGACCTTTCATTTTCGAAACAGAAGATCGAGGCAATACAACGACTGGCAATATCAACTGGGTAGGAGAAATATCAACTGCGTAAAAAGAAAAGTGCCAGAAGTTAGATAGAGATCGAGTGTTAACACTCATCATGATGAAGTCCTGCCTAGACTCTCAAGCACGTTGCCAACGGTCAGAAAGAAAAAACTATAACTCTTAACGATAATGATGCCAATGTGCACAGAAACGGATCCGCGCCTCTTGACGTACTAGACCAGGATCCACTGATCTATATGCACCTGTTGAGGCGGGGCCTCCGCTAGATATACAGCCACTGCCACAGTCTTTTAGTTTATAACAGTACTTCTGCGGGAGCGAACCTCCTACAGAAGGAGGAACAGAAACCCCGTCAAAAACAAATGAGCTTCATCACAATTTTTCGTGTCAGGGCGGAATTCGGAGGCCCTAAGTGTAGTAGATAGAAAAGCCTCCTCATAATAATGCAGGAAAAAGAAAAACGAAGGGTCTGAAAAAAAAACTTCACACACATCTTAGCACCATCTTTCAGCGAGAAAGTTCTTGCTCGATGCGAGACAAACCCTGTTTCTTTCATGGAGATTTTATTGAGCCCTATAATTCTTCACAATGAAACTCAACTTGAAATTTGAGTAATCCGGTCAAGTTTATTAAGTACATCTTCACACTTAAAATATCAGTAGATACAGTTGTTGTGACTCTAGATACTGTGATTTAGAAACAGATACAGAGAGATGAGAGAATAGAAAAGTATGCTTATGAAGATCATCATCATGTTTTTCCAGCATTGGATTAAAAAGAGGGAAAAAAAGTGAAAATATGTAGAGATGAAGGTGGGACGATGTGCTGTCTCGAATATGACCACTTACGAACTAAAATCCAAAAACACGGCCATAGAAACTGTCACTGCCTTGTGTCCTTAGAAATCAAGGCTGCAGCGAGGCGGGGGCGCAACTCCACAGATCACCTGATGACTAAGTACTTATGGAGGGTATCGGTAACGGGATTACTGGGAGTAGTATTGTCCATCAGTCGTTGTAGAAGCACGTAGAAGTAGAAGATATTGATTACGTATTCACTCATTCGTTTACCTGTTAGCCGCGTGATCTCTGTTGATGTGGAGTACTAAGTAATTCTTTGACGCGATAATGTGATCGTCATCGTGATGCTTCCTTCAACATAAGTACTTGCATATTTGATGTTCACTCGATACGGATAGATGAGATAAGGACACACGAAGAACAACTAACCTAAATTTAGACATTACCCTTCGATCTATTCATTGAATCGCCGTCGACCCTCTAATACTTAATATAAGAACATAAAAAATAGACGCCAAATTGTTGACTACATAGACTCTTTTAGGAGTAAGTGGACTCGGTATAGGAAACGGAGGGCCTCGCACTCACTCATCTGTCAAATAGTTAAGCTGCATTGTTCGTTTTCTGTCTCTCCTTTCGAGCTGGTACTTCTGTAGGAATATTACTCTTTCCCAGCTGCGTCGTAGTGTTGTTTCGGTAGAAGTAAGGCAGGCCTTCCTTTGAAGAGTGGAGTTGAGGGGCTTTAGGAGTGGCATGGACATCAGCGCCAACGCTAGCACGCAGTTCACTACTACTAGGCGGAGGTGATTTGCCCGCCCCCTTGCTTCCTCCCAATGAAGTGGCAGTATCTGTCACGCCGTTAGTGGAGGCACCAGAAGATCCTCTTACTCCTCCTTTTTTTACTCTCCCTGCTGCTCCTCTTGTGTGGGGTCCGCCTGCTGCTCCTCCTGTTTTCACTCCTGCTCCTGCATCTCCCACCACACTGGTCGCGCTGATCCGTGCCTCTGCCTTCTTTTCGTTCTTCGAACGATAGTAAAGACCTCTCAGATCAACAGGCCGAAGTGGTGACTTCCACTCGCATACGTGACAGAAGGCGCAGTCACCCTCTTCTTTACAGCCGCTGCCTCTCCTTTTCTTCTCCACAAACTTACAAGGGCCCTGCGGGTTCGGTGGACTACAGTTGCACCCGCCGCTTCTAGGGCTAGTCTGATTCTGGCTTTGTGGCTGATTCTGACTCTGTGATCCTGCGGTCGAAAAAGGTGCTGGAGGAGGAGGAGGAGCCATCTCGTCACTTGTTCCATTTGATACTCCGCGCCCACTCTGAGGAACTTCGTGGCGAGACTGCTCCTCCTGCTGGTCATCAGATACTAGCGTAGATGGCCCCGCAGGCGGTGCGACTTCATATGGTGGACCCCGTTTTGCGAGCGGAGAAGTGCCCTGCATGAAACCCATACCCGCCTGGTGCGTCCACGGAACATCAGGCTGCTCGTACGGCCCGCTTAGCAGGTTCGTCGCCGTATAATATGCAGGCGCCCCTTGCCCACCTTGCTGCAGGGGCTGCGGCATTGGCACCGGAGGCGGCAGAGACTGATCTTGCTGAGGAACCAGAGGCTGCGTCTGCTGATACATCTGCTGCGGCCGCATCTGTTGCTGCGTCTGTTGCTGCTGCTGAGAAAGGAGAGGCTGCTGCTGCTGCTGCGCATGTAGAATATGTCCCTGTTGCTGCATCTGCTGCTGCTGCTGAAAAAGATGCTGCATCTGCTGCTGCTGCTGCTGCTGCTGAGAAAGAAGAGGCTGCGCCTGCGGCATCTGTTGCTGGAGGTGCACAGGGTGCTGTTGTTGTTGTTGTTGTTGCTGTTCTGAATAAGGCGCCTGACTCGGATTCGGAATGAGGCAGCCGTGCTGTTGTTGTTGTTCTGGATAAGGCGTCTGACTCGGATTCGGAATCGGACAGCCCATTACGACATACGGACCATGAACTACAAAGCCGAGCAGTACGCCTGGAGTTGGTGCTTGTTGCTGTAGTTGTGGCGAAAAAGCGCTCCTAGGGGCCGCCATCTGCGGAGGACTATAGGCTGGAGGAAAGCGCGAGGACGTCTGATCTTGTTGTCCAGGTGTCGCACAGCGATGTTGGCCCTGTGGTGCCAGAAGAGGTGGAGGTGGACCAAGATGAAGAAAAGTGTCTTTCTCCCCCCTATCGTGCAAGTTGTGGACATAATTATGCCCGTGTTGGCTATGAAGAGGTGGAGCACCAGACGCAGACGCACGAGTCGCCGTAGGCGAAGGAGGGCCAGTTGTACGACTCCTACTTATATCTGCTCTATCGTTAACGCTGAGTGGGTCTGGAGTTATTGGCAGGTCTGGAGTAGGCGGATGAAAGCTTGTAGGCGTCGAAGCAGCAGTAGCACTAGTCCCGCGCGTGGTACCAAGCATCGTGGAGGGAGCGCTACCAAAAGAACAAAGCCGCTCTCTGGATTTCATCTCCTGGCAGTGACGTGGTTGGCCGTTACGTGGTGTGAATCCACGAAGGGTACCAACTGAAATGCCTGTCGTCACACTTGAAAACGAAGCGTGACTATCATTAGACCCCGAGCTCGATTCGCTGTCCGTGCTTTCCTCTTCCTCTTCCGATTGTCGTTCTCCTTGTCCTTCTAGCAGTTGGTGTTGAGCACCTTGTCCTTCTAAAAGTTCTTGCTGGCGTTCTGGTGCCCCCCCTTTAGCTTCAAAGTCCTCGCGTAGAGAAGCAGCAAAAGAAGACGCGCCTGAAAGTGAAGACTCAGATGCCGCACGAGCATGCTGAACTCCCTCGCTGTCGTCATGGGCGTGGCCACCTGCTTCTGGTCGTTCTTGTCCAGATTTTTCACTGTGTTTCACCGTCTCCAGCTCCGGCTCCTTTGATCCACCTCTTTCGGGTAGTTTCTTGGCATCGCCGTCGATGCTCTTCAGAAAATTCTTCACTCTTTTCTGCGCTTGTCGGGACCTCTTGTTCCTTGCTTTAGTGCTTTTCTTGCAATTCTTCTCTGGAGCAACTATTGCGGAATCAACTGTGCTGGGATCATCAGCTGTCGATCCTCCACCACCACCACGGAGCAACCCTCCTGCTGCACCATGTCGGACCGAGTCACTGCTTTCAGCAGTCAGTCCCCAAAAGAGGCCCGCTGATTTGTCCATGTCCTCCACATAGCTCAGCCACTTCGCTTCTGCTTCCGCGTCATCTTCATCGCCGTCGCCGGAACTTTCTACACCATCTTCGTTGCCACTAGTAGGCGCTTCTCCGTCGTCTTTATTCCCAAGTTGGTGCTGGTGCGTATTGGCTTTGGCGCCTCCAACAGTTTTAATAGCCTGCTTAATATTTTTGGCGCAGAGGTCAGATGAGGCAAGACCATGGCCACCATCTGCTTCACCCACGGTTGTTGGCTCATCCTGTGGCGCGGTAAATGCCACACCCGAAGAACTACTAGCCGACGACTCTGCCTTCCAATCTACTTTACCGCCTAAAGTATCAGGCGTCGAAACTAGGCTAGCTTCCAGCTGTTCGATTTTCTCGGGATTCGAATCCCAGAAAGGTCCCTGCTGCCACTTTTCTTTGTTTTGAGAATAAAAATTCGTCGCCATTGCAATGACGTTAGCACGCGCTTCACCTTTCCACCTCTTTATTTTTTTCTCTTCCTTCAAGTGTGCTTGCACATGCGCCATGCCCGCGTTATAGTCATCCTCGAAGTCTTCGTCTTCACCTGCCTCACGGCCTTCTTCAATAGGATCTAAAACAGGAGGCGGCCCAGGAACTACTACACTTCTGGCACCTTGTCGTTGTTGTTGTTTCTTCTTTCTTTTCTTGTTGTTAGCGTTAGGCCTCTTAGGATTTTTAGGCGACGAAGATGGAGCTCTATTAGGAGTAGACGACTTAGAGTTCGCAGAAGATGAAGAAGCGGAACCGGAAGCAACAGTAGATGAAATATTCGACAAAGGAGCTGCTGCCGCACTCTTAATAGCTGCGGAGGTCGTTGCCCCTCCACTGCCGAGTAGTTCTTGATGTGCAGGAGTGCTATTGATTCTCTGGCGCGAGTCTTGTTTAGAAGGTCCGTGCCTTAGTACTTCGGAAAGCCGATGATGGGCTTGAAGAGCTTCATCTTCTTGTTGCTGTTTCGAAGCGACCGCCGTTTTGTTCATCAAGACCATGTAGTTTCTCGCCTGTTCCCGGTCACCTTTACCCGGTCCTGGGCCTCCTGTTAATTGGAGGCAGTTTTTCACCATCCCGAGGCAAGTGGGTTGCCCTCTTTGTACCTTAGTTTCCCCTTGAAATCAAGGAGGACCCCACACAGCATAGGCCACGCGGGATAGTGATAAACTACCCTTAAGTTAAAAAAACAGCTTCACTGATAGAGCTGGGAGCGTCCTGTCTTTCCGCCACTTCAGAAGACACGACAGGTAAGGAGCCTTTGGCGAAACTTCGTGGTCTACTATCGATTTCGTGAGGAGAAGAAAGTGAAAAGTTGCCATCCCTTCCAAAGTCGTGAGGTTCAGCAGGATCTTCCAGGCGTCCATCTCGTCCTTGTCCTTCAAACTCCGGATGTGAGTCAGCCTCAAGCTCAGCGTCGTCGCTACGCCCGGCACTATCTTTATCTACGTCTCCCTCAGACGGAAACAAGTGGCTCCCATACATGTCAGCTAAGTCGCCGCCTCCAACACTAGTATCCATCTCGGTTTCCGCAGAAGACTCCACAAAAGATTCCAGAGAAGATGCTGTTGTGCTTCTCGTCCTTGCTTCGCAGGTATTGAGTGCCGAAGCTGAAGATGCCTGTGCCTTCGCCTTCTTTTTCCCTCGCATCCTCAGACCACTCACCGCGATTTTTCCACCGTTAAAATCGACGGGAAGTTGCACTAAGCAGAGAGCAAGGTAGTAGTTGTAGCAGTAGTAGAGCGGAAACAAGAAAGCATGATAATTCCATGTACTCCTGCTGTTGAGCAGGTTAAGACCGCAACGTCCAGCAGATATGGACTTGGCTCCCACTGTCTGCTGACGTCGCACCCGCTCAGACGACGAGAAAGATTCCATTTTTTTTTAGTAGTAGTGGACCCAATCTGCTCAAGTTCAAGCTCCAGTTGTAGCGTGCCCAATCTGCTCAAGTTGAGCTTGAGTCTGGAGGTACGTTCGGCAAGAGACGACTATGACAATGATTCGAAGTTTGTACCTAAGATATCCGAGGTAGTGAGGTGGTGAATATATCGTCTTAGACGACAAAACTTGCGACTTTCACTTGCAGCGCCTTCTTCTAGGAAGAGGCAATTAGTCGTAGATCTTGCTATAGTACGGATTTCCTTAATCAATGATAACGCTTCTTGTTCAACTGTATTTCTAACACACGATGACTAGTTCTTCATATATCGAAAAAAGTGATCAACTCTTATCCCTGTTCAGTCATACGTATAAGTTGCATCTTGACGCTGATTGTTTGATGGTGTTGACCAGGTCGTAATTTCAAGCCTACTTCTGTAGATTACCTCAAGTTAGATTACCTCCATTAGATCATAAATAACGCTACAAATCATGCGATGATCATAGCTATAAAAGATTCGTTAACACTCAGCACAGGAGACAAGACAACGAGTACGAAAAAATTATACGATAGGACAAAAAGTCGTGCCCATCAAATCTAGTAGACTGCTCGTTCAAACAAGTTCTAAAAAAATTCCAGACACGCAACGAGGTGCTGTAGTGAAGTAGTACGCTTGCGATGGATTCAAGTTTCAGAAAAGGTTAACCTCTGCTTCACATCGGTTAGACACCGAGAACTAGGAAGTAACTCAGATCCAAGCTATAGATAGTCTAGGTCTTGGAATCGTACAATTCTTAGAAGACGACGACCTGATTTTTGGGCGGCGCAGGTTAGTAGTTCAATTTCAACCTCTTTCTAGACGTAGACAGTGTGTGGTCAAAATAAAAAACCGAAAAGGTCGGTGGGTGAACAAATAGAAATCTTAGAACATATTTATGAGAGCCTGGGCTGAAGTAATATCCTCGCTACACAGGTGGTTTACAATCTTCTGGAGATCTTCAAAACAGTTCAACGTTGATCGTAATGCTGAAGGAAGTAGTAGTACGGTCTTAATCTTTAATAATCGCTTCAAACACGACTATCTAGTTCCGACACTAGTGGTGCCTGATCTATTACGAATCGGATAGTCAAGGTTACGTAAGAAGTCACTTACATGCGAGCAGCCACAGAGACAGAAACTCACCTGCAGGATATTTGAAATCAAATTTCAGATTGTAGTTTGTCCTCAAGAGATAGAAGAAACGTTGAAGAGGTGCAAGAAATAATGCAAGATCGGCCTGTCGTCACTTCCAGGGTTACAAACATGGACTTTCATTTTCCGGATCGTCAGAAATTCAGGAATCGGCATGCGCATTTCAGTGACTTAATTTGGCAGCCCATTGATCTTCAGAGACGATAATCCTGGCGCTTCACGCCGCCGTCATCTATTTGCCATTCTCAACATAACGGGAACCTCTCGATCATTTTCCTATTATTTCCTTTCCTTCTACTAGTACAAACATCGGACTATGAGTTTTTACGTCAGAAAGCGAATGGAGTCTATGGAGGTCTTTCGTCACACGTTGCCGTCATGAAAAAAAAGCCTGAAAGTCCGAGTTTCATCATGGCTTGTTGAAGTTTTTTGTCTCCCGTGATTCGTTCGCTCTTTGTCATTGTCGCCTCTATGTCTAGAAGAGGATTGCGTAGGATTGATTTTCACGACAGTGCTTCATCACTTCAGAAACCCCGAAGGTTTGTGCTGTACCCATTATCGATAACACAAACATCCTTCGTTCCCCGAAGATGAAAAGTTGCCACACGGAAGTTTGACAGGTAGTCGCGACACTTCTGCCACACGAGATTTGAAGATTTTACAAACTCGAGATCGGCTTGGTTTCTTGGACGTAAGTGTTTGCGTAAGTGCTGTATTCGGCACGGGGGGAGGGTGCTCAAGGGACCAAAACAGTCGAACCAGAACAGTCGATTTGAGGAGCCACCACCAACAGGATTCATTTTCTTTTTCCTCTTATGGGTCGTCCTCATAATCTTCAACGCCTTCTATTTTTACCAAATAAGGCGAGTGCTACAACTTTACATCATCGTTCATTTTGCTCGCACGCGACCAACTCCCTTGCACATACAACAGTCTCAAAGACCCTTGCTTTTCCTCTTCGCACGAACCCTCGTAAGAGCCACCTGCGTCGTTCCTGCGCCATTGCTCCAGTTGACGGCTTTTTGGTACCAAAGCTCAGCCTCTGCCAAATCCAGAACAACCGCGTCTGGCTCAATCATTTCGTGGCGATCGTGCTCATAGCACACTCCCACGTGCTCCTGCTGCGGCAATCCGTGTGAGAGTGTGCTATCAGCACCGATCCGCGCATCGCTTAAAAGCGGCTAGTCCGCGCTTGGCGAAAGAGAGAGCTTGAGCTTCATGATCGGGAGTTTTTCATTCATTCACTCATTTACCTAGCAAGAGGTCGCCCGCAGGACTTAATTGTTGCAGTTCCTTTTTGTTATTTTTTCCCCTTCTTTAAGCACTTCTCTTTGTGTCTTCTGTATAGGTCAATCTCATGATCATATACGTGCTCCTGCTGCTCCTTCTTGTAGTTGTTTGTCGCGGCGTTGTTTGGTGCTAGAACTCTTTGTTCTTGATGTTTTTGATTCTTCCTGCTTCCCTGCAGCAAGAAATGCCCAACCAGAGCGCGCCATCTTCCAGAGGCTGTTCTTCTCAGCAGGCGCGAACTCCTGCAAATCTTCCTTGAGGATTCCTGCTGCTTCGAGCTTTTCCAGCCATTGAATGGCCAGCAGCTTGTCCTGAAGCACAGCCTCGAGTTTCTCTTTCTGCTCCGGCCTGGCGTCGGGGGCCTTGGAAGTATTATTCTTATTGTCTTCTTCGAATTCGATTGAAACACCAGAAACGCAGAATTTTGCAAGTTGGAGGCCCCAGACGGTTCAAAGGTTGCATGAGCGTCTCAGAAAACTAGCTTCGCTCTTGTCCGGCTACGGAGAGGCTTTCACCCCATCGTCTTTGTGGTTGTTGTTTGCGTTAGCAGGCGTGACTCTTTCATCCGGAGAAGTAGTTGTATCGTTCTCCAGCTGTGAAAACTTACACTTTGTCCTCCGCAAGATTAAAGTCCTCCAAGCTCAACAACGGTTCCACGACCCAGCCTGCGAGGCAACACTGTCCCACCTCATAACAGAGTTGCCCGCGCAATGCTGTTATTTCTTCTCTTTCAACAGAAACAGGAGGTTGTGCGACTGTAGGTTGAAGTTGATCTTGACTTGTTTTTTTGCGCTTCTTCATGCCAGCAGTGTCAAAACTTCCACTGTCAATGTCATTCTTCCCTCCATCTTCCAAAAGAGTTGAGAGTAGACGTTCCGCACTACGATAGAAGAAATAGCACTGCTTGGCGCACGCAGCAACGTCGCGAAACACGCTATCATCTTGTGCTCGATTGTCGTACTACTTCCCCATATCAACAGAGGGCTCGCACACGCGCCAAACTGCCTGGCTTCGTTGCAAGGAGCGCTTTAAAGACGGCCTGCTCGGACGGAGGATAGGCGTAGTTCTCAGGCGAAATGAAGGCCATTTTGTTCTTGATGTTCGTTCACTTTCAATGTAAATCGGATGATATCATAAGTACTTCTGTAGCACTACTCTAGTAAATGTTCATGATTTTCAAACAAACATAATTTCTTGATGGTATTATTCTTGCACAGACGATGTCGGTCTAGGTGTCTTGTACCATGTAGATAGGGACCGGTAGTCTTCGCCGCCAAAGCTTCGACGCGTCGGAGAGAGAGGGACAGACAGACAAGGGCGAAGAAGAAGAGAATGAAGCAATTGCTCCGCGTGAAAACGTCTTTCACACAACTCAATATCTTGCAAAAGCATTCGGAGTGACGCGAGGATTTCGAAAAGGCGCTGTAGGGTATGGATGCGTCTTCCGATCCTCCGCAGGTCTTCGACATTGCATGTGAAGATTCATAACATGTGGCGTGCTCCTCCAAGTTTATTTGCAATGCCTCTCGCCATCGGTTTCAAGGGTTGCCGTAACATAATCAGAATGCGTCGCTGAGCACGGATCCACATGAATTGCGTTGGCGATTTTCATTTCCAAGATTTTGATCTCATCTTCAAGAGCCTTCTTCTCTTCATCTACATCAAAAAGAATGCGTCGAGTCAGAAAGCGAATGGAGTTTGAGGAGTTCTTTCATCACCAGCGGTCACGAAAAAAAGCCTGAAAGTCCGAGCTTCATCCTAGTAGATAGTAGTACACTTCGCTGTTGGGATCTTCTTCAGAAAACAAAATACTTATGCAAAACAGAGATCAGAAAGCGAATGGAGTTTAATGGAATTGCTTCACCATTCCCGTAGGTCCGGTTACAATGCCTGAAATCCGAGTTTCATCATCTGAGAGTTGTGAGAGCTGCTAGAACGGCCCTTTGGGAGACTGTATTAGAAGGTCTGCTCAAAATCTTGTCAGAAAGCGAATGGAGTTCAAAGGAGTTGTTTCTTCACGCGCATCAGTGAAAAAATGCCTGAAAACCGAGTTTCATCATGGGAGCTTGTGGATTCTGATAATTGGAGCACAGACGGAAATACACGGAGCAGGCATCACGACGTTGACACAGCCTAGCCTTAGACTTTCGCTGCGCTTAAATTTTGAAAAGACAACACAGGCTTATTCATCGTCGACAAGAAGGATCAGCAGCAGTCAAGTGGCTCTGGGCGAGAGCACTACACGTGCAAAGCAGAAGGTGATGGTGAACCTCAAGTAAGGTTGACCCAAATGCGAAAAGATGCAGCAGGCGAGGACGAAATTTGCAGGGTAGGCACTCGACACGAAGTCAGCGGCTGGCAAGGCTTTTCGCAAGGGACCCTCGATCACGGTGCTTTCTCCAACAAAGCTTCTACTCTCTAACCTAAATTTTTCAGGCTGCACCAAAAATTTGAGACAATCTCAAGCTAATTCCTAAATCTCCTATACTAGTGATGATCCGGCTTCGGCGTGGTCACTTCAAAATCCAGTAGCAATAGGAAGGTGGGCAACGGGGGATTCAAATGTAGCTTGTCGAGTGGAATTCGGAACAGCGTCGTGCTCGCATTAGACTACTCCTTTTTGCCTACTTTTCACATCGCTCTTTTCTCAGAACTCTCACAGAGAATCTTCAGCTGACATTGTCATCCAAGTCGTGAATCCAATTGTGACAGAAGAGGGATTTGCAACAGAGCTCCTGAACAGGAGTGAGCGTCGTAATGACCACAAAGATATTAGCACAAGCACAGATCTAAAGGTATACGAGCGGACGGCTCCACTCGAGATTCGTAGAGGAACACCCCAAACAAGCAACTGCATCACCCCAACCAACCTGCAAGCTTTGGCCAAAGCTCTTTTTAGGTGTGGCCTGTACTTTTGTTTGTAGCTCTTCGCAGAACGCCCTCACATGGATCTTGACATTTTGAAGAATAGCAGGAGGTGACTCATGATCCCAGGAAAATTAGACAATCTCATGCCAAGAAAAGCTACACGTCTTCATGCGCATCTTCTTGTCTACAGCAGCTCCACGAGCTCCTCTGCTCTCATCACGTGCCCGTCTCCCTCTGCCCATACAGCATTTAGAAGAAGAAGCCAACGATCTTTCCACCGGTGTGCTTGCGACGGGCTTCCTCGTGGGTCATCAAACCGTAGGTGGTGGTCAACACCAAGTGGCCGAACTGACGGGATGGCAAGATGTCGGACGCCAACTGCTCGATCTCGGACAAAGTGACATCGAAACGAGGAGAGATGACTCCGCACTTGTTCAAGCGTCCGATCAGGTTGACAACGATCTTTCCGGCACGATGGTCATCGACGATCTCGAAGTCGCCGATGTAGTCGTACTTCTGCATACAAGACAGAAACTTGACGATCACCTGGGAAGAAATTTTGGATGATGTTTTAAAAAGGTTCCTCGACCTGTGTGTTTAAAAAGGTTCCTCGACCCGAACACATATGATGAATTTAAATTCTTCCTCGGTTGCGAAGCTTTTCGAGCTTGAGACTGCAGTGAGCCAGTGGCCCGGCCTTGGAGGAATCGTCTGCTTGTGAGGAAGCTCCGAATCTAAATCTAATTTGCTTAAGAGTTCAGTGGTCTAAAATTTTTTATGAATGGCTTCAAGGAATCTAAATCCAGGTCCTAAAGATGACGACCACAACATCTAGTGAAGTAGGTCAACACCTACTGAAGATCACAGCATTCAAAAACATAGCAACAGCCGAAGAGAAAATGGTAATCAAAGCGCTGTATCATTACCTTGCTGCTCGGCTTGATCAAGACCTGACGCTTGCCACGCTTCTCAGCGTTGACAATGCTGTTCAAGCAATCGTTGAGGACGGAAATCTTCACCATTTTGTCGAAGAGGACTACACTCTACCACAAAGGTTATCCGGTAGTGGATCTCGTTTCCCTGGTTTTGAGAAAGTTGTTTAGCGGTTAATTGTGGCAAAAAGACTTAGCAGTTCTTGAGAAAGATGTTGAAATCAAAATGTTGGAATCTTTAGAGAATGACGAATGGGCGAACTCTAAGAGATCGTGCGTCAATATTTGTTTTGGATCAGAAGGAGGAGCCCATTGCCACCAGTCAGAAAAGTGGCCAAATTTAGATTTCATCATGAGGAACCGTTCCGAGATCTGTCCGAAGAGAAATCTGGATCTCTGAAATTAATTGAATCCTCTTCTTCCGGATCTTCATCACTGTTGAGATTCAGGGACTCTGGTACCAGATCTCTTCACGGTAGAAAATTTGCATCTAGGTCTCCGGTTCTGGTCGAACTATAATGTACAGTACTGTCAAGAGAACTTGTATTTAGGCTGCGTTGGATCTTTAGGTCATTCGAATTGGTCACCACGGCAGAAGAAAAACCCTTGCTTTGACACACATTTAGAACATGGAGCACAGTCAAGAATGGGCGCAAAGCTGAGGGCAAAAGATTAATAAAGAATCTTTGGATCAAACACTTCGACTAGGGAGTTCGAATTGTAGTGAGCCACGCGTGCTTACAAGCAACAAGGTCAATTAAGTCACCAGTAATCAGCTTCGTTGTATATGCGAAATTAGGTCGTTTTCATTTACATTCTAAAATTTTGGATTTTGATGGTGTTCCTAATACCGAATCGTAGTTGTTACGCTAAATGTGAAATTGGACGAAAGCTGCAAGTGCAATAATCTAAACAAGCTTGATGTATAGCTTTGGGGAGACTAGATTTAGATTTGGCGAATCTGGTAGTCCTAGTCTGTCCCCGATCACTTCTTTCGCACGCCGCCCTTCTTTCCTCCTCCTTTGTTACCCTTACCAGCACCACCAGACTTGCCACCAGACGAGAGTTTTAGATTTTTTCCGCCTCCCTTACCTTTCTTTCCACTACCTTTAGCCTTACTCTTTCCGCCAGCTTCTCCCTCTTGCATAGCTGAAGTTGCTTGTTTAGCCTTATCTTTCTGTGATTTCAACCACTTTTTAGATCGCGTTAGGCGTCTGCGTTCTTGATTCGTCAAGGTTTTCAAGGCCTTCTTCTTCGTGCATTGCTTTACCCGCTTCCCCAAGCTCATTTCTGGTTCTTTTTCAGCTTTCTGCGCAGCCAATTCCTCTTCTCCTAGCACCTTAGAAAATCGCAAGATACGACCATCTCCTGCTTCGCCTCCTTCAACACCACTATCATCTCCGATGTGATGTACTGCACCAATACCTTTTCCGCCTGCACCTCCCAACACACTAGAACTATTCGCTAATCGGATCTCCTCTTTCGATTTGACCAAGGATGTCGCGCTCGTGCGGTCCTCGAACTCGACGAATCCGAATCCTTTGGAAAAATGTGTCGCAGCATCTCGTACGATTCTCACCTTTCGAACCATGCCGAATTTAGCGACCTTCAACTCTAAGTCGTTTTCTGTTGCTGTAACCGGTAGATTGCCAACGAAGACGGACTTCTTTCTGCTGAAAGCTGAGGCTGAAGCATTCATCTTCTGTGCTTCTTGTTGTTCTTCTTCAACATCTTTTCCTCCAGACTCTTCACCACCTGCCTTTGCTCCTTCTCTCTTCGCGGCCTTCTTCTCGGCTTTCCTCTGCTTCTTGTTTTTCTTAGAAGTACTTCCGTCTGCGTTCTCTTCTTTGTCGTCTGCAGCATCTTTGCCGCTCGCTTTAGGTCCAACAGCTACAGCACTCTTAGAAGTCGTCGGCTGTACTACAAAATCAGCCAAAATTCTGTGCTCTTCATCTGCCATACAACCCTGGAGTCTCGACACTAGTTCTGGTAGCAAGTCCTTGCACTCTTCTCGCAATACCACATATGCGTTCTTATTCTTTCCATGCTCTGCATAACAACCCGTTGCATAAGCAGCTCTTCTGTTGTTTACAAACTTCGCCTCCACAGGTAAGGAGCGAAAACGCAAAGACTGAATTCGGAGAGTGCAGTCGAGCTCGATGGTGCAGGTTGTAGTTGGTGTGGTAGTGGCTTCAGTAGAAGCGGTGGCCACAGTCTCAACAGAAAGTGCGCTACTATTTCCCTTCACCGTCTTCTTCAGCTTCTCCGCTAATGCGGAGATGTTTCTTCCCGCTTCTTCAGAAGATGGACCAGTCTCTTTGCAAACGCTGTTGCCGTCCACAGTGAGTACGATGTCTTCAAGGTGAGAGTTTGAGCGTACGCAGACAGGTATTCCATTTCTTTCGGTGATATGCAGATCGGTTAGGGGGACCTCGGTTTTGATCTTGTGGGACCGCATTTTTTCGCAGACAAATCGCTTGAGCTCCTGGGTAGACCAAGCGAGCGGAACCTAAGGGAATTGGGAGACGGGATTATTTGGATATCCTCTCCGCCGTAGAAAATTGCTTCTAAGTGGTCCTGAATTACCTCTCTCATGGTTCTTACGAGACCTACTTCTATAAATATTAACTAAAAGTTCTGAACCCAGGTGGTCGGTGATGTTTTCGTTTCCTAAAATTTTATGCGTTCTTTGAGTAACTCCTTAACCTTGTTCGCAGCAAACTAAGCAATAACGCCATTAAAACCAGGAGCAGGAACAATAAGTAGTACATTTCCAATAAACATCGTTCTCTTTTCCTTCTCCTGCAACTCAGCTGGTGTCAGTTCACCCGTCTGTTGACTCGTCTTCATCGCCTTCTGAGCTTTTTTCTCTGCGGCAGCGCCTTTTTCCAATAGCGCGTCCTTCTTCGGATTTAGTACGGCTTCACCGAGAAGTGTCGAGGCAGCGATGCTTGGTCCCTTCGTCTGATTTGTTCTGAGGGCACGCGCTGCAGCTAATGCATTCTGCAATTGGACCAAGTTTTCCTCCTCCTTGGAGATAAGCGCCGCTTCCTCTCCGCCTTCATTTTTGCTTTTTTTCCCGGAAGAAGAGGAGAATGATGGGGTCGCCTCGGCAGCTCCCGATTCCGCTGCACCTGCTTTGGATCCAGAAGACGTCTTGGTTTTCTTTAGTCGTGTTTTAGATGTACTGGATAATCTCGACGCAATCTTTTCCTCTTCATCTTGTCGCGTTCGTTTTTTGCTATCTTGTTTGGTAGACGCATCCTCCTTTTTCGCTGCTGTGGAGCTCGTACTCGAAGAGGTCGCAGTCCCAGTGCTCCTGAAGAGACCAGCGAGGCCGCTCTCCTCAGCAGCCTCAACACCCTGGCCGCCGATCAGATCAGCTAACGACATTTTTCTCCTCTAGGTGAAGTGAAGATTTGAATTCGAATTACGGTGTGCTCGGAAGTCGATGCGGAGATGAAAAGAATGCTTACTCAACAAGAACACTATCTTCACGCGCTACAAGTTCAACTACACCATCCAAATTTACTTCAGCATCCTGTGTGTATTGAAATCGAAAACGAGAGCGAATTTACAAGGTTGTATAATAATCGTCATAAGTACAAAAATCTCAAAGAGGACCACCATCGCCAAATCCAGGCATTTGATCTTCAAGGATGATCTTTTGAGCTAGAAGTACTCGTACTCCTGCAGACGGTCTTAGCCAAATTTTACTAGGATCTTCATCTCATCATCTTCATGTTTGTTTAGAAGGATCTACAACTAGGTGTTCTCGTCTAAGAGATCTTCTGTGTTTTCCTAGGTGATGATATTACAGGGATCTCCTTAATGCTGGCTCCCACTGGAGGTCCTGTAGTACGGAGACGGAATCGTAAAAATGGTATTCTTTTTCGAAACGTTGTTGAAGCCTAGTAACGCCCTCATGTTCCTTTACAACACACGTAGTTTTTCTTATCGAGTTCTTGTTCCCAACTCACCCAAACCCTTCTGCAGTCCCGAAGCCTTCAGCTGTCACTGCATATGCGAAGATATTTCCAGAAGCCGGAAAGTCTCTAGTTAAAGCTCAGCATTCATTCGTCACTGACTCTGAACGGAAGAGACCTCCGACAAGGCTCTCCCCTTTCCCTTCATTTTCCCCTGTTCTCTCAGGGGGACCCTCTTCGATTTCAGTGACCAACCTCTATGACCAATGAAAGTTGAGCCTTAATCTAGGGACCGCGTCGTGGAGGATCCTGCGTATGGGAGGAAGATGCTCTTCTGCTGGATCGAGGTGCATTATGCCACCTAGAGACTTGCTTGGAGACTCTGTTCCATCCTCGAGTGCTTCCAAGTCCTGATGACTCTGCCGTAGGCTGTCTCGCGCTCGCCGATGGAGCACTTTCCTCACTGCATCAGCCAGTACAGAGGCGCCAGCGACTGGTGTAGAAGATGTTGCTTCCCCTCCAACAGGAGCACCTCCCTGAAGATGTTGCTGTTGTCGTGGTAAACCTTCCCTGAATGCTGCTTCATTTAGAGCTTACAACAATTCATCTTGGAAGTCTTCCTTGAAAACGTGTCAGGGATGCCTCTTAAGATGAATTACGGCAAGTCTTAATTTATCACTTGATGCATTCGAGTCGTGCAAGAACATCAACAGCGCCAAATGCGTTAATCCCTTGCTACCGAATTCAGCGACGATCTGCATCTCTTCTTTGTGTACTGGACTCAGCAATTCGATCAGTTTGACTGGTGGCTTGGCGAAACCGAGCGCTCGGAAGAAGAGAAAGCCTTCTAAAAACGGGCTCTCAGCAGACATACACACACAGAGCTTGGCTTCAGGATTTTCCGGGAAAACAGATAAGCCAAGACCAGTGACGGAGACCTGCGATGGTGTTGTTGCCGTGTCGTCGTGAGGCTACTTTGCGGTGCCTTTTTACTTAACATCAATTAACTGATAATATTTAACTAAATGTTAGACTTGAGTTGTCCTAGTTCGTTGTCCCTGTGAGATGTCCTTACACATTATTAAGATGAAAGGCTCCTGCAGTAACCAATTGAACTACTTACTTGCCATCATCAAAAAATATCAATACTCACAAGAAACGGAAAAACACCTTCGCATCCTCACAATGCTTATGAAATGCTTCTGCTTCTGCGCTTCCTGGACAGACGAGTAGGACAATGTCCCAAGACAACACTTTGCCGAATATTGTAATTCCCGCATCTATCACGCCATGATGCACATCCTCTTCGTCTATTATCTTTCTTGTCTCCTCTTCTACAGACGCCGGTGCTGATGAAGGCAGAAGCACAACATCATCTACATCAGCAGCTTGGTGTGAGCCGTCTACCAAAAGTGGGTTGTTAGCAGCATCAACATCTGCGGGCGACGCAGTAGCAGCGACTGGAGTAAGATCCAGGCCGCCTTGAGGACTTGGCGCTTCAAGTTTAAGATTTGAAGCTCCTTTAGTAGAAGGTTCTGGTGATGCCGCCGGTTGGACAGGTGCTGTCGCTGTTGCCGCATAATCGGGGGCAGTTAGTACGCTGACCTAGTGAAGATGGGTCAGAAATTGTAGAGCTCGTAGTTCATTTTGACTTGTTTCATGCAACGTGAAAGTTACGAATCAAAATCTAAATCAATCATGTAGCACCAACTGTCTAAGAACAATCGTTACGTGCTGTCCCTCCGGCACTTCCTTCATCGGAGGCAAATGGCCCAATTTGCACCACATGGACGCACTAGGAACGCCGCCTAGCTCCGCTGCTATAGTTCTCAGCCGCTCTAAGTGGTCTGGCGGGATACCGCATTTGCTTGTGAACGCGGTAGCTGCAGCGAAGATGACGTCTAAAGAGGAATAGGGAGGCAACGAGATCGAGATGACTTCGTCAAAAACAAAAGCTAGAGTCGATCATGTGAATGTCATACACGAGGAAGATTTGAGGGACCTATGCATCATCTTCAATCTTGGTGACACTCTTATCTACAACTTTGCAATACCGGCGGGTCCGATAATCTCATGCTCGAAGTGCGTTCCTGCGGAATCTAGCAGCAATCTGTGATGGATATCTGGAGGTTCGGTGCCACTTCTATTAGAGGCTTCTTTCAGACTTGATCTGATGAACATCGTGTTTTTCTATTTTGTTCAACAAGATATTAATCTTTGAATCCAACACACCTCTACATAACTACGATTGCAAGCGCAAATCAATGATCCATAACGCTTCCCACCTCCTTTGAAAATGGAGGCGTTTCGGCAATCCATGTATCATAAAATTGTTGTTGGTGCCGACTCGCCTGCAATCTCGTTACCAACGCACTCCCTTCCGTCTTTGAGAAGTCCTTTAGGGGTCTGACCATGCGTTTTTTGAGACCTCTTCCAGTGGAGTTGGGGTTGTTGAAGCCAGACATGTTGCTACCGTTTGGATTTCGATACATTCGCAAGGTCAAAGGTCGGCGTCCTTTCAAAACGGTTGATAGGTCTTCATCCTTGAGGCTTTCGACTCCTTGCTCGTCGACGGAGATGATAACGTCACCGGTTTGGAGACCTGAAGATGGAAGGATATCGATTTTAGTAAGTCTAAGTTGACTTTAGACGGCTCATTTTGTTTCGTGAGAGAATATCAACGAAGCCTTCCGAAGGTGTAGCTGATATCATAACACTAGCAAGAAGAACTTACCTCTTTTCTCCGCCCATTGTGAATTCGGCAGCTTATTCTCCCCATCACTGCCACCTCCCACGTATATAGAAGTTCGCGTTTTTTCATCAACAGCGAAGAACCCGTCAACTCCAATCTGTGCGGGGACGTGGAGAGTGTAGTACCCCTCCACATCAACCTGCACAGGACGACCGTCATCATCGGATCCGCGCGCAGGTTTATTTTTGCTGCCAGCACAACAGGACATGATGGTGACTGGTGTGAGTCAGTGTGGTCCTAGGACCAGGAGTCGGAGTAGGACACGGACGATGGAGTCGGAGTGTCCAAGATACGACTATTGTCGGCGGGCTCGTATGTCAGGCGGTCATGAGATTGGGGCGGTTTGCTGTGCTCACTAGAGTGTAAGCTTCTTCTTTTCTGATATTTTTTTCACCCCCTTCATTGCCTTTTTCGTTTTCTTGGCGCGTGAGACTGAGATTCCAGCTGCCGTTCGCGCATACCAGTGGCAACATCTCGAGGAGGATTCACGGTGTGTCACCAATGGAGCACTCAGCCTCCTAAAAGAGATCGGCGGGTATAAATTAACAGTTTCCGTAATCTGAAATGGGTTCAGAATCTCTGCAAAGGGTAGTTTCTGAAAGGAAAATCGATTTCGATTTGGTTGCTGACAGTGAAACCAGTAGCCAATCATAAGGCGTGAGGTAAAGGATAGCAGGGCGATGGTTTAAGCGGTCGAGAGACGAACAGGACAGTGTCGTAGGTAGTAGCTATAAATGGTTAGTTTTGTCCACTATGCTGTATACCAATAGCTGACGGTCATTATAGTGTTGAACTTGAAATACAAATAGCCATGAATGAAACAAATCAATATGCTGTAGTTTGTGAGAGAATGAGATGAATACGGCCTCCTTGTATGCCATTGCCATCGTCTTCGTCAGTAGCAGCTCACAAAAAATTAGAAACTATGTGGATGGGAGAATTAGAAATAGAAATAAAATCACACACCATACGGAGGACCTCGTCTACCTTAGATAGCGGTAAAAAAGCACCGGTGAGGCCGGCAAAAAAGCAAGTAACGACACGCTGTGGGCCATGATGCGTGGAATCTGTTCGGCGAAATGCCCAAGTAGATTTCCCTGGCGACATCGACAGTCCCAAGATTTTCCTATGACAAGTAGAAGTGAAGAGAAAAATATTTGAGAGTGTTTTTAGGTGCCTCTACCTAGCATGAGCATCCATCGACGCAATACAGTTACAGCTGTGCAAAATGTAACAAAGTCAACAAAAATTGATAGTATCTCTTTTTTTAGCTACTCACTTCATCATAAGAATTATCGTTCGAAACTGATGGTCAATAAATCGAGGAAAATTTTTACGAGGTGGATCTACACTCAATTGAAGAGAGCGAATGTACACAAATGTGAGGTGGGTAATATGGTTTCAGTTTTATCGTGTGTAGCTGCAGCATCTTACTGGGGCGGTAGTGGTAGGTGGGGGTATGTAGTTTGCGCTCATTATTAAATAGTATGCAGTTTGCGTATATAATATACACGGTCTTATTTAGCGAGCCTGTACTTCTAGTGGTTCACGCCATTACACGTTGATCGCTCTTCCTCCCGCGCAGCCTCCTTTCTTCGTCGCGCAACACGAAGACGAAACAAGTCGTGGGCCAGGCGTCTCAGTTTTGCCGAAAGCCGATTTTCGGATTGCGTCTGGTGGAGAGAGTTAGAGCTTGAGCTATGAGCTTCTATGAGCTCGTTCTAGGATCGATGATGAGTAGGTTGGTCTACCTGAGATGCTGAATGGTACTTCTAAAAACAGGAGTCTGTGAAGAATCACAACTGGTAGTTCTCTTTCATCGCAATCAATCTGAGCTGCAATCTTCTGAGACACAAACACCACAATTGATTGATTGATTGATTTACCTATTCATGAGGTATAGATCATAAGAAAAAGGCGGCAACGGCGTAGCGAGCTGCGCTGAAGCCAAGGAACAAGGTGGGGAATTGACGAAAACTTCCATGACCTCTTCTGGAGGATAAAGGTTCGGGAACGGCAAACGCACTAGACCGGAATAGACGCATTGCCCGCAAAGAAGGACGACAAAACCTTCATATTTAATATTCAGGGTTTCTTGATACAATACAACTGTGGTCGTAGATGTAAGGGGTGTCGATCATGTTGCTGTTAATATCCTCGTCCATAGTTTCTTCTACAGACAAGAGATCTTACATCGTGCTTCTGCAGACAAGAGATTTCACTCTTCGCAACGAATTACTTATAATAGTAATGGTAATTATGGTACTTAGTCTTAGTACCAAAAGCTTGGAGCTTCGAGTACGCATTCCAGCTTTCACCGAACTCCTTGTACGTCGATGGCGCAAAATACGTGATGCACAGGTCAATAGCCCAAACCAGAGCTGTCCTCGAAGCATCGATCATCGTGTAATGAACCGCCGAAAGTGATGACGTGACCAACATGCGCGCGACGTTGTACGTACAGCAGGAACAGAGGTAGATCTGGTAAGAATGAGAGGTAGATCTGGTAAGAATGAGAGGGAGGGAAGACGATTGGTTGTCTTGCCTTTCTTGTTCGGTAGAACTGTTCAAAGTGTATAAGTGCAGTTTGAGGAATAATAAGGATTATAAACATAATACAGCCAGCATCGTCTGCAATCCAGCTGAGTTGCTGAGCATGGTCAGGGTGTCAACAGTGTTCTCCTGGACGCCGCCAACGTCGTTACCTGGAAGGATCTCCATCATCGGGAAGACTATCAAAAGCATAATCAGCACTCCCCAGATTCCTTCATATTAGAGCTGTCCTGATAATTCATCTTTCACGTGCATCCTTGAAAAGTACTATGGGAGAGCACTATATTCCCTTAGGTGGATACTCCTCCATACGTCTCAAGGATGCGTTCAGAGATGTATTAGGTACAGCCTTAATCATATCCGACTAAAACGAAGCATGACAGCTCGACGTTCTTCAGCCTGTGGTCGTTTTTAGGTGAGTCTAATGTGTCGATGTTGCTTGTGCCGCAAGGAAGTTAATCATCGAGCAGGTAAACGTGCTTAGATTTCTTTACGACCAACAAGGACGAGTGGAATTCATCGTAGATGTACATGTAGTAGTAGTCCATCAATTAATATAAACAACACTTACAATCTCTCCTCAGCCACGCACTGTGCCGCTTGCAAAACCTGTGCCGCCATGACGAAGGCGACACCAATTGCTGCTCCAGAACTCGATGCAGAGGAGGCTGTATCTGCAATAGAACTAGCATCTTCTTTCGGAGCATCGCTCTCACCCAGAACACTAGCTGCTCCAACACAGGAAATGCCCGTCACGCAGATGATAATGCCCAACCAGTTGAAACCGTAGAGCTGTCGGTTGAGAAATATGATACTGAGGAATGCGGAAAAGACATGCATTAGAGCTCCTCGTACTGCTTCCAAGAGTATAGTTATATATAATGTTGTAACCCAGATGTAAGTGATTATTAAGCGTTCCAAGAATCTCTCTCTGCAAGGTAAGCATCCCTTACGAATATCCCTTGATGAGTACCTCTGCGCCGGGATCCCTCTTCTCATTCATTCATTCATTTACCTAGCATGAGGTATTGTCTCAAAACCTAATTAGGATGCAACGACGGATTATAAAGGTACAACCTTAAAATCATGGATCCTCTCAACATCTGCCACACAGACGCGGAGATGTACAGCAAACCAATGAAGTTTAGTCCGGAAGAAACGAGGTCGAGAATCGCCGGAACCGCAACCATCAAAAAGTCGCTCCATGCCTTGCTCGAGATGGCGGCTCCCTGATGGGTTTAGGGTTAGGGTAGGAAGTTGTGAGTAAATTGGATCTAGTATGGACTAGTCCGTTTCCGAAAGGATGATAAATGTGAGTAAGTGTAAGTCTAAGTACAACCACCTGTAAGTGTAAGCAATGATCTTCGTTCTGGAGTACGACTAGTCGTACCCAGTTGAAGTTCTTCTTCTTCATAAAAAAATCTAAAAAGCTACTACCGTAGATCCATCCCTCAACAGTGGCGTCATCCTATCCGAATCCGCTTTCATGCTTTTCTTGTTCCTCTGTCGCATAACGGCCTCCACGCCAAGCACCCCTACCATAGCCGCGAACATCGCAAAGTTGCCCAATGGTTAGAAGTTGGCTCAACACTTCTAAAACGATTTTTCATGACTAGTACCTGGTGAGTACCCCGTACGAGGACTACTCACATCGACATTCACAGGGCAATTATCAGAATCGTCCCGACGTCTTGATTCTGATTTACGTCGTCAATGGAAAAAATATGAAATTCAAAGCTCATAACACCATGGCTTTTGAAACGGCTTTTCAACTCCATCGCTTCCAACAGAGGTCATAGAGAACTGCCATTTCGTCGTCAGGGTGTTCAAGGTCCCGAAGACCATGAGAAAACCGATATAACCGGCAATGAGCAACATTTTTGGCAAAAGTAATTATCGATTGGTGAGATTACTTTTATGGAAAAAACCAAGAGTTGTTGATCATATGAATGAATGAATGAATTTGCCTACCTAGAGGTGATGCGATGTTTATCACTGTGTGATTGTTAATTAGGCATCAGAGATTGTGATTGACATGTTCATTGAAAAAAATTTACTGCTCGAGCCAGCCGTCAGGATAGAACTATTCACTTTCTTCTAATTCGTTTTTTCCGGGTATAATTTTCGTTGTAGCAAATAAGTATTTAGCCCGAGCACGTGTCGGTTTTCAGTCACGCTCTTTGCCTTTCTAGTAACTTTTCAGTCACGCTCTTTGCTTTTCTAACTTCTCTCACCACATTTTCTGCTCATCCAGATAATCCAGACCCTTTCCGTTAGCCTTGACAGATGACTATCTGTCGTCATTTTCTATGCTTGCTTCGCTCGGTGAGCCCAATCATATGAAACGCTTTCCGAAGATGTCGTCACTTAGAGCATCAGAGGTCGTCCCTGTCTTCATTTGGTGTCTACAATGCACCAGCGAGCCCCCGCAGTTCCAGCTGTTCTGGAAATAGGGTATGAATTTATAATGTCAAAAGTTAGTTTGAAACTGTGTCGGTATCGGTAGAGGCGCATCATGATGTGATGTCTGTCTGTGCAAAAAAAGAAAAAAACATTTTCTGTAGATATCGCTACTGGTGCAAGAACCGGATTTATAATTGACTGTACAACTTACTACGACAAACGAACAAAATGTACTTGAATCCAAATACTAATACTTGGTGCTGAAAGAGATGATAGATATATTTACCGAGTAATTGTGATTGTAATAGAAAGATAATACTACCAAGGAGCTCTGCATTTTTATGGCTCTGTCTATTGATGTTTGTTTGCGTATCTTGATGTCTTTAGCTTTGTCGTAGTCGTGCTTACGTACTATGATCTAGATCTATGAGGGTGATCATCAAAACAGGATGGCGATTATATCTGTCGTTAGTAGAAGAATTTTTTTAGTGCTAGTGCGGGTGCGCTGTGCATGAGGATAACTACATAATCATAAGAGAAACTTACAATCTAAACTTACTATCTCGAAGATGGAGACCGTTGGATACTTTTGCCTGTCATTTTTCTTCCTCCTATTGTTCCTAGTTGAAAGTTGAAAATTATCGTCCGAAAGTGCGTCTAGTACAGTTTCACCTCGCAGATGAAATAGTCGACGACCGCGCAGACAGTGGAACGAGATTTGGGAGTTGCAATGGTTGTGGCGGTGTAAGACATGGACGAGCGACGGGTGCAGCAGGCCAAACAAATCTTGTCGTCGTAGTCTTGGAGTTCGATGACGCTGTTGTTAACATCATGTTGCTACCACTCGAAGATGGATAAGATGGAGCACTCGCAACTAATGGTACTGAGGCAACACCACGTGGCTCCGTAGCGATGTTTCCAGCGATGTTGCCAAAGCCAGTTGTTCCTGTTGAAGAAGATGTACTTCTTCTGGCGCTACTCATTACAACTGCACTGTTCGTTGGAGGAATTAGAGCTACCGCGGTCGCAGCCCTAAGGCCAGCCTTGGCTTCTTTTTCCCCTTGAAAAAGAGACCAAGGATGACATTAAGGATATGCTTCAGCGGTAGCCTTAAAGGAAGTATCATTTTCCTGTCAAGTGACATTGTCGTCTTCGAAATTGGGGTCCTAGCGAAGGAAGACGGTTCCGCCACAGCTGGCACAAAGCCTGACACACTGATATTAACGCGGGAATTGGATACTACAGCTGTCCGAGAATGCGAAAGAGTTGCTGTATTGCTGGAAGTTGATGTAGCGTCGATACTACCAGAGTATGAGCAGGAAGCGGAAGAAGAACATGAAGCATTAGCATCGATGATTGAGCTGTTTTTGCTTGTTTTGTTTTGCTCTACGGTTTCCTGGTGACTCGAATCATGATGACTGCTGGAGTCGTGGTAACTGGGTTGAATAGAGTCGTCGACTTGTTCAGCTGACGCTTCTTGTTCCGTGTGCAGGTCCGTTGCCGATGAAGATGCGTCTTGCTCTGCTTCAGCCTTCACTGATTCCTCTGTGACATCAGTCGCATGCGCCGGGTGATCTAGCCTGCAAGACTTCGCCTCTTCTGTTAAAGCGCGGCATTCAATGGTCACTGATGCTGAACTGAAGCGACCGGACCCCCTTCAAAGCTCTCCCCTTTCCCTTCCTTTTCCCCTGTTCTCCTCTCAAGGGGAAGTCGCTTCTTCGATCTCCGTGACCCCAATCTCAATGAACATTGAAATGGCTGAGCCTTAATTCTGACTGTGATTGTTCTCCTTCTCCAGTGTGCTCGATGTCGTCAGTTCCTACTTTTAGAGGTAGGTTTTTGGTGCTCGCTTACCCCGCTTTTTATGCCTTTCTCCCTTAGGCGAGGCACAAAAAGCGGTAAGAAAAGCACCTTTTACCTACCCTTAATACTTGTTGAAAACGATTTTGCTCCAGAAATGGTGTCTGATTTGCAACAACTTCCACAGGCGCACGAAGGAAAGGACCTCCACGCCGCGGTGCACTTCTACGAGGTGCCGCCTCTGCATGACTGCCTTCAATCTGATGTTCTGTGTTTTGTACTGCTTGACGATCTACTTGCAGTTCCTCTCCTGGTTTCACCGAGGTCTCACTTGTATGAGCAGGCACTCCGTTCTTGTAAGCGGCTTCTTCTTGTTGCTGGGTAGGGACAACATCGGCTTCGGCAGGAGACTGCTTCAACACCACGACGTCCTGCTTCGTAGCAATCACAGCTTTATTCAATTCATCACTCGAGGGTTCTTGCGGTCCTCTCTTGGGATAACTCTTCCTACCTACTGAGCCACCTCTAGGGGTTGCTGAATTCGATGAAGAAGCTGACGCAGAAGATGCTTGCCCTCTTCCTCTTGCAGCAAATAGGTCGCTTGTTTTAGGTACAAGGAGTTGTGTCCTAGAACTAGAAGATGTTGCAATGTGTTGAGCTTGAGTTTGAGTTGTTGGTCGTTTGTTGTTATTGTTAGCACCTCCACCAACTGGTGGTGTCTGCCTACGAGGATAGGATCCTCCAGGAGTCACAGATCTTTGACGTCTTGTCCCTGTAGCATGATTCGATCGTTGTCTGGATGCAGATCGAGATGCAGTAGCCGTCGTCGAAGGACGGGCAGAGGAGGATGATACCGCTTTCGCATCTTGAGGATTTCCGCTTTTACTACTAGAAGAAGAGGATCCTAGTGCACTTCCTATAGTTTTCGAAGCTTCCCTCCCACCTAGACCTGCTCCTTGTTGCCCCAGATCACTTGCTGATCGTGCACGACGCGAAGCTGAGCCTAGACCAGGGAAAACTACCGGCCTCTTCGGTACTCCTGTAGAGGTAGGAAGCTGGATCTGCTGGCTCAACGCTGTTCTTGCTCCTTTTGTCGCAGAGGACGATGAAGACGAGATATTCACTACGCCCACATCGCTGGCACGACGAAGTTGAACATACCCAGCATGATCTTCACTATCTGCTTGGCTCGTAGTACTGAGCTCTTGCCTTCTGCGATCGGTCAGAGTCTTCAATTCCCGTCTGATCTCATCAGCGGTGACGACGACGCCATTCACAACATGCTGTAGCGGTTGCTGATGATCAAGAACTAGAGCTGCATCTTCTGTAGTTGTTGCTCGACTTCGATTCCCAACTTTGATAGTTTCCTCAGTCGTGCGTCTGCTTCTTGCTCCGGTAAACACATCAGGATCCATACTCCCCCGTCTAGTCGTGACATTTGAACTGGCCACTTCCACTGGAATCACACGGACGAAACAGGAGCTCTCACTCCCACTCAATTCTGCTGCCTTAGCTAGAAGCACTTCATGTTCATCCTGACTAGCCGCAAGGTCAGACGACATCTGTTCTAACGTGACCAAGTCTTGCATCGTGAAAGTGTGCTCCTCTTTGGTGTTATTGCTTGATGAATTTGCAATTGCAGGTTCCGGATGACCTTCAGGACCTTCTGGAACTCCTGTGGTAGTTGTGGTCGGAGATGCTGCTACTGACTTCGCGATAGCAAGAATATCGTCTGTGGTGAACAAAATTTCTTTATTGTCAGCGTTTGCGTCATTGGCGACGTGCTCTATTTTTGCATTGGAACAAACGTTCTGCTGTAGTAGTTCCGCAGGATAAAAGAGCATCGGAGATGATGCCTCTACTTGCGCTTGAGCAGTATCAAGGACTTCGACTTGTTCTTCTCTAGTACAACAATCTCCAGCTGGTCCTTGACCTTCTTGTCCAGTACCAGCCTCTTGTCTCAAATAAGCCAGAACCTCCTCTTCCATGACACGGTCTGCACTTGTAATCAGCTCATCACGACAGCTTGTATCCAATCTGAAAGACGCCTCCTGTTGCTCATCCAGTTGTTCTGGTACATCAACAACCGTGCGTTTAGAAGATGTGGCGGCAGATGTAGTTGTAGAGGTTTTGGACGTGCCAGAAGATGAAGACTGTGAAGTTCTAGAAGAGGAGGAGGAGGTTTTAGAAGAAGACTGTGAAGACTGGTGAAGAGCAGAGGTTACTTTGGAAGTGGAAGAACTTTGTGAGGTAGAAGTGGCAGAAGAACTAGACGATTGTTTAGAAGACGTTGCAGACGAAGAAGAAACTGAACAAGCAGAAACCTGATGTCGCTCATGATCTACAACAGCAGCTGTCTCCTTCGCAGACGAGGGGGCGTCCACACTTCTCCTAGTACTGGTTGGCACTAGAAGTAACGGAATCTCGTTTACCTCGGATCTCGACCTAGCAGAAACTGGCGCAGCAGCTCCTGTCAAAACTGGTGGAGAAGGTAGTGGTGGCGTCGATATTGGGATAGTCTTCGACGCCCCTGTCGAGTTTACTCGTGGAGTAGTATTTGGCTCAGCAACAGCAGTGTTGTTACTGGCAATCCGTACAATTCTTGGCTGCTTTGGTTCTTTCATGTGAAGTAGTGCTCCTGAAGAACCAGAAGTAATGGAAGAAGTATATGCATGCAGTTGATCAAAAGAGTACTCATTTCCCGAACTCGTTTTAGACCAATTCCTGTCCTCAAATAATCCCGAGTCTCGAATCTTCGTATCCGCATTCCACTTTGTGTTGCTAGTGGTGGAAGAAGTTTGGACAGTTGTGAAGGAGGGACCAGCTCCTGCTTTCGCGGCATTGTCATTTTCTATCTTGTTACTTGCTGCGTTGCTGGATGAATGTGGAATATTCCGGTTGAAGGTTTGTCCTCCAATACCTTTATTTATCCTCGAATTCGACCGTCTGGATCTCAGGTAATTAGCGCCAGCAAGCTTCGTTTTGCTGAGTGAGGACATGTCAGGGTAGACGAGGCGACCATCGGGTGATGTGGCTGTTACTACAACTGGTCCATCTTTTCGAGCATTGCTGTGCTTACGAATACTGGGCTTCTCTTTCTCCGGCGAAGACCAGGCAATATCTGCAGCTTCGCCTAATCGCTTCGCTACACGTCGCACATGCGAAGACTTGGTCTTGGTGGTTGTCGATGGAGTTGTAGTGGCTGCTGGCGAAGCGGTAGTAGGAGTTGCCTTTTGGGGATGTTGGACAGCAGGTGCAGATGCATGTTGATCATCTCCTCGTAGTACTTTTGCCAGCGGACTACTGCCCTGCTCAACCACTCTTTCTTCGTCCTGTGTTGCGCTGCTCGTCGTCGTTGTTGGCGCCATCACATGCGTTGCCTTTGCTGATAATTTCGTCGTCTCTGCCGCTATTGGCTCCTGACCAGATGATGAGGCTGCAAAGGCGCTCTTTTGAGAAAGCAGTCTCACCTTGGGCCCAAATGGCGCAGGAGGTATGAGACGCGTTGGAGGAGCCTGGGGAGGTTGCTTTGGTGTCATTTTCATCCGTGTGCTAGAAGGGGTCGAGGTGGTCGTGTTGTTCATATTGGCTTTGTTAATACTAGACGGAACCGGTATTCTCGATGCTGCCTTGTTTGCAGATGATGCGGTAGCTGCAGTTGCCAACAATATTGTTCGCGGTTGCGGCGTAAAAAGTCTTACTTTGTTGTTACCAGGAGCAGCGGCGCTTGGTGGAACAAGATGATCATGTTCTGGCATCTTGCCACATGCTATGTTGATCTTCTTCGGCTGCAAATTACCCACGACAGGTGCGGAGTTGTAGTACATGAACGGACCACCTCCACCTCCAGATGATGCCGTAGGAGATGCTGTTGGGATCGGTTTACTGGTTATCTTCTTAGCGGTGCTCGCGTTCGACTGATTAGTACTGGAAATCAACTGATTCACCAACGTTGCGGGGTCCAGCTTGTGTTTCTCAACAAGTTGTCGCAACAACTCCTGCGCGTGTTCTTGGATTTGCTTTTCGCTGAGATGTTCTAACCCTACAGGTTTGGAAGAGGATGAACTGTTAAAGGCTGTCTCTACTTTATTCCGACTAGTACCTCTAGCGCTAGCCGGTGACCGGCTCGGCTGCCTCTCAAGTCCTGGCGAAGCGCCTGGCGGAGGTTGTAGCTGCCCTGGACTAACCGCTATGCTTTCGTACATGATGTTGCTGTTCTTGGCGATGGAAGATTGGGTTGGCTTTGTGAGGTGGAAGCTGGGAGGACCGAGAAGAGATCCATTTTCTCCAGTAGATGTAGCAAATCTTCTAGTAGCAGAAGCGCTTACACTACGCTTTGGGGAAGTCCTAGTGCTTGTTGTTGCGCCTCCAAAATTATGAGGTCCCGATGAAATCAGAAACTCTTGCGGACCTGACTTGACCAGATGTGGTCCTCCCGCTGCTACGTTGTCAACGATCATGACCTCGTCTGGCGCGTCGTCGGCTTGATGTGCCTCTACGTGCTCGTTTCCGCCAACGACCCTTTGAACAGCTCCGAACCGCACTGCATCGGCAGAGCGACTTCGTTTCTGAGTCTTCGTCGGACTTTTGGTTTTCGTCGTACTTGGAACAGCACCACCGGGTGTACTAGGATCCCGACGCTGCACTATCTTCGACAAGTTTGGTGGTCCACTGTAGGGCAGGGCAGAAAACATGAAGCTACGAGGCGCTTTACTGGTTGTTGTAGTTGACGTCGCAGTTGTAGTTTCTGGAAACGCACCTGCACGACCGCCAGCAGCAACGCCTACGCTCGTGGCATTTCTCGTCCGAGCTGAAGAGGAAAACAAAGCTCCTCCACTTGCTGTTGTCGTTGCTGTGCTTCGGACAGGCAGATGAAAGGAATACTTGTTGAGTGAACGAACAAATGTTGTACTGCCGGAACCTCGGAGAGAAGTCTTAGCACGTGCGCTTCGCGGCGTAGCTGAGGCTGTGGAAAACGAACCCGCTGGATCGGCATGTGGGACATTCGTTGCATGGTACCGGGTCGTACTCGTTGAGGCTGGTGTTGATAGTGTTGTCAAAATCCACCAAGAATAAATTATCAGATGATGCAAATGCATTTTCATCATTGATTCTTGGTAGTAAGTTACATTGGTCAACAACTAGGTTTCACCCGATCGAAACAAAATGAGGTCGAAGTACATCTTTTTATCCCGAAAATCTCACCTCCCCTCAATCCCCCACTCCACATCTTATCCGCATCCTGATGCGTAATCCGTTCCTTGCATTGGGCCTTGCCGACGCTCGAAAGCGTGTGCCGAGACCAGATAGCATTCCCAGGCTCACGTGGCGTGCCCGGTGGGAGATAGGTTAGCTCGTTCTCTTGGGAGACTGGCATAATTTTGTCTGGTGTAGTTATAGTGAAATAACTAAGCTTAATTATATTGAGTCTGAGTGGACGTGGACGTTGTACAGTACTGATCACTTGGAGGAGGTCAACCTTGTACTTGTTCCATTTCTGTTGTTGAACAACAGTTGATTGTTCTTAGAAGATCACAATTTCAATTATCATTGAATAGAATAAGGAAACGCATTCTTGTTCTCGCGACGCGGTGTATTGGAAACTGACTCTGCTATCGGGGCGTCGACTCTCACGACCGAATCTTGTCCACAGAAGATGCTTTTCCAACCGACCCTCCACAAAAACAGAACAAGATTACCTAAACCTATAATTTCCCTTTCAAGTGAGTGAATGGATGTGCCTAGCGCGAGGTGGTGCAAGTTGTTGCGTTTTATGTCGCAGCCGACAAACGAGAACGAAACGTTCCGCGTGTTCAAAGAATCGATACACGGGACACCGAGTCCGAAGTACCCTTACGATCATGACAATTTTTAATGTGCATGTTCATGCGCTTGCGAAAATATCTTCATCAAGGATTCATTGTGACTAATTCTGAAGATGAAGTGTGTCCGTTTCCTAAAACAAAAACAATACAATTACAACTGAAGTAGAACTATATATAAATATCTCCTGTACAACATTTTTACCGTAATTATCTATTTTCGAGTAATTTCCTCACGTGTGTATTCGCACGGCCTTGCACTGTTCTTCTCCTCCTCCACGAAGAAAATGAAATACAAATACTCCGTTTGGATTTTGGATTTGGAGACTTCAGAAATTGTTTCTGGCCACCTATAGGGGCGCAGTACGTTTCGCAATCAACAAAAAAGCTGGAGACAGCATGAAGGACTCACCACAGCAAGCAGATAACTGAGGAACTAACTTAGAAAGAAAGCTTATCCGTCTTGTCCTACATCAGCTTACGATACGACGGTTATTCCACCAGCTACATCAGCTTACAATACAAAGGTTTGCTCCACCAACCATACGAGCCACAATGCGATTTGTAGGCGAACACCATAACCGCTGCGACAACAAGTCCGATGACAATCTTTTGAATCATTTGTGCTTGGCCTGCTCCACGACCTCCTTCAGACGCTCCACCACCGCCTCCAAAGGCACTGACGGATGTCGCCACTGCATCCACACCACGCCACGTGCCTGGAGCTTTGTTGCCGTAGCCAGTCCATCCATTTTTAGAATGTGCTTCAATTCATCATCTCGAACGAATCTTCCCAGTACTATCTCGGTGCCTTTTCCCCTTGTAATTGTATATCATGGGAAAAGGCGGGTGGCAGGAGAGTGCTGAGATGCTGAGATGACTAAGAGTTGGTCCTCATATCTTTAGCTCCTGGTGGAGGCTTTCCAATGGCGATACCAGCGAAGCCATAGGGATCCCCCAAATAATTGGTTTTTCCGGAGCGAGCTTCAGTACCGACGTAGGTTTTTTTGCCATTGCGATCAGTGAAGTCCATGCGCTCGGCCATGGACTCACCTTCCGGTTGCTGAACGTTGCGCTGCATCTTTGGTTCCAACGTTTTTGTCCTTGTGGTAGTGGTTGTGCTATTCAACCTACAAACCAATATTGTAGTTAATGCGATAAGAAAAATCTGTGATTTTGCGTAGATGATGATGAACGAAGCACTCTAATAAAAGTCTTGTATTTAATAAGTATTCTCAAAACAAACACTATTTATCCGAATCTAGCCAGCTTCGGGTTTGAGCAATGTTGATTGGTCCAAACAGTGTCTAAAATGGACTTCAACAATGTTGATGTTCTTGAACAGGATTCCTGAGGGTTAGGGTACGGGGAGATGGGAACAACAGAATACCATTACCAATCATGTGAAGATTAGAGCGTAATTCCGTTGACTTGATGAAATTTTCATGAAAGCTCCTCACACTCATGACAGACCTGTGCTCGCAGATGTTGCTTGGTTATGTCTCGTATCAGAGGTCTTCCTTACAGGCTTTACCGAACATTATGGAGGCACCTCGTAACTCTCACTCAACGGAGCATCCGAACACTGTCATCAGATTCTCATTGTGTTTCATGTTCATCTGACTCAACGGCCGTAATATTTCTCTCTCGACGGACGTTGAACACATATGCTCAACAAAGTAGTCTGGGGCAATAAAGTCTCGCACTTCACGACTAACGCTCGTTACCAGTACCACGACTTTACCTATTGTTCCTATAATCATAATGTTGCACTCAAGAGACAGAGACTTTCAGATTCAGATTAGAAGTCATGTATGTTGACGTGGGCGTCGCACTTCCACGTGTCAAAAAAAAGTTCCCATTTTCTCCTCTCAGCCAGTAGTTGGTCTACCAGGAGCTTCTTTAAGCGCCACAACACCACTAGAAGAAGTACCACGAGCATGCTGATTTCACGACGTGGGCCTCGCACGACTTCCACGTGGACTCTTCATCAATGGGAAATACAAAACAGTTTTCACGTCTTCTTCTTTCGGATTATCCCGCGGATCTGTGTGATACTCCTCAAAGCAGGGATGTTTCCTGTGTACCGCGATTTCCGCGTTCCTGGCCATTGCGTGTCCTTGGCTCCAGGCATTGCCCAGATGACGGTACGGTCCTAGATGCGTCAGGTGCATGCAATGGGGGTGGGCAGGGATGTGGCGAAGAGCTAGTTGGTCTGGAACCTTCTTGGGGGAGTCGGTTTTCTTTGAGACCACTGTGCTTGATGGAGAACTTCTACTCTGCAACTTGATCTTTTCTGAGATACGTCGTACAACCTTTTGTACGAGCTGAGCATGACGCGTTTTGCTCTGATCGATGCCATCTGCAATTTGATTCCCGTCTAGTACACGAAGACCACCTGCTCCACTACAATCTTCGTAGTCTTGCCTCAGCTCTCCCACGACGATTCCCACGTATATTCTTAGACGTCCTGAAACCAGCTCATGCTTCTCATAGATCGACACATACTTCGATTTTTTACTACTGAATGGAGATGAAGATGCTTGTTCGCCTTTAATATCCTCTTCGAAAGCTGCTATCTCCCGAAATATCTTCTCAGCGTCACGACGATACTTGGTCATGCGCTTATTCTGCATGCCTCCTGGACGGTACCACGTTCCTTCTCGAGAAGAGTCGACAGCTGCTTGCTCGTCTTCCTCAGCCGGACAGATGTAGTAATCCTCTTCTTAGGGGTTGAGAGTTGGCATGATCTCTAGCTCGCATATCTGTGGCTTTCCTACTTGAAGAAGACATACTAGAGACGCTCTTAGATGAGATGATAGGTCAACTCCCAAGCCTTAATCTTCATCGTTGATATCACGACCTCCAGATTCGTTGATATCACGACCTCCAGAGGCTGCACCAATGTCCTCCATCCTTAGCACTCCAGCAATCTCATCCACGATCCCCTGTTCCACAAACAGAAGGGAGTCTGATATCGCCTTACCAACCTGCTCCATCGTGCAGTCGACCAGTAAACCTACAAGCAGACGACTGGTGCCATTGTTGTAGGGCCCATAGACCGGTGGATCGAGTATTTTCGAAGGTATCTCCCCTGTTTGCGCCAAATCTTTGAGCATTTTCAAGCCTCTGCCTAGGTCCATTTTCAGGACACTGGAGAAAACCGCGCAAAGGAAACCGAGATAGAAGGGTAAGGAACCAGAGACTTCCCATAGAACTCGGGTATTAGAGGTAGCTTTTTGGTGTTCCTTTATCCCGCTTGTTAATATGGCTGTCCCCTTAGGAGAGCCATAACAAACGGTAACAAAAGCGCCTTTAACCTACCCTTAATGGTAGTTATGGTGTCGTCGTCGCTCGCTTTAGGAATGAAAGCAAATCTATAAGTCCACTGAACCCGCATTGGTGCCAGAATCTGGACTGCAAACTCCACTGAACGGGGTTCACCGTCTTTGCACACTGCGATCGTCTCTCTCACAGTGCCTGCGCCACTGCGGTAACGCGCCAGTGAGTGTGGTTGTGGTTCTTGCCCGCCTCCGCGGCCACTCACATCTACTTGAGGACAATTCCACCTCAGCTCGATGATGTCCTCTGTGGAAACAGCGTCTTTCGTGGAAGAAGTGCCTCCAAGAAACGGAAAGTCAAAGAGTCCTCTCCCAGCTGCACCACCTCCACCAACGGTCCTCTCTTTCACTATTTCCACTTTCGCATTCGGATCTATCTTCAACCAAGGCGCCCACTTTTTCCAGGACTCTAGATCCCTGACAATAGCTTCAACTCTCTCTGGCGACACTTCTGGAATCTCGATGCCCTCTGTAACTTTGATCTGGGCGTATCTTCGGAGGATGACGATCAAGACCAACAATGCAGTAAAAATGTAGCTCAGAAGTCGAGCAGTCGAATCCGGGATGAGCCAGCTTGTCGCAGAGGGGGGCGAGGCCTCATATAAGATAGAGACGTCGGGCGCCGACATCTCGCTATTTGGTGCAGACCGGAAAGCTTACGCAGCTCAGGCTCAGGTATGAAGCTTACCACTTGTGGTTGTTTGACTTTGAGCAAGAGCGTCGATGACGGTCATAATTGTTTATGATTATGTTTTCACTATTTGTCATAAATCATGTCTGTGCTGATGATGATGTAAATCTACTCGGCAATCTGCCTGCGATTTCCCTGACGAATTCGACCCGGTATTGGAAATCAATGGTCTTTCTCATATTTTTGATCGCTTGTGTTATGGCTTTCTGCATCAGAGCTAATATGGGACCCAAAGATTCTCTTCCATTTATCTCCCGGAAGAACACGAACACGAAACTGATCACAAGAGCCAGCCTCCTGCTGCCCGACCAAACAGACCACCCAGTCTCCATCGGTTATAATGGAAAAAAAAAGTTCTGCTATCAGGTCCTCCAGGTGACAATCACAAATATGACGATGTCACATGAACATGACGATGTCCTTATTTTTCGGTCGAACTGGAATGGACAGATGATCAAGTAATCTATCCTTCCAGGTCACCACCAGAGTCTCTTCACAAACGGAAACGCGCACTTCACATCATCTTCAGGAGTTTCTATGTTTGTACTTTGAGTCTATCTATCCACATCTTCAGGAGTCTTCACATCTTCTTCATTTGTACTCCGAGTGATCTATCTACTTTCTTCTTCTTGTTTTCTTGTTTATGATCTAGAATTCTGTGTCCCTTTTTTTGGCGCATTCGTGATCAGCTGTCTTGAATAACCTTGCATTATCCGAGAGCCTCGAAGTTGTTCCAACGTACCAGGCTTCGACATCAATGCGTCTAAAAGCATCTTTCGACGGTAACTGATGTTTGGGTGTAGATTACCAAGATTGTCCAGGAAGAAGATTCATCGTGGTAACTACGGACTAGAAGAAACTCAAACGACCCTAACGGGGGTTGCAGAACGAGAACCGAAAGAACAATCGTGAATTACTATTTGCTGTAGGGTACCTCGAAACCAAAGTAGGTACCTCGAAACATCAAAACCAAGTAGGTAGTACATAGATTACTATATCAACATCAACAATTATACCTCGAAACCCTCGATGTGAAGCTGAGCTCCTCATCCCCTAGTGTTCCACTCATCATATTCTTCATGATCCACAACATCCTCTTTCTATTGTCTTCTGTGGCTCGACTGCCATGATTGGTACAGGACAAAAGCTGCAAAAAGTCTGAGAAGCTGTCTATGCTGCCTTTAGGGAAAATTCGGAGCAACTGCTGTCGCGATTCGACGAGACCGAAAGCTGTTCGTTGTTGTAGTGTGGGATTTATTACTGACGGTCTGGGCAATTTGAATGTGAATGATAATGATTGAAAAAAAAATAGCCGAATCCGCTTCTTCATAGAATCCTGAAAAAGAACCACGACTTCATAGAAAAATCCTGTATTTCAGGACGAGTACCAATGAAAAAATCCTCAATCTCCGCCAACCCAATCGACTCAGCCCCGTTCGTCAAAGCTTCGTAATAGCCCTTCAATTTTCTCCGCTCCTCCACACTGAAATCCATCTGTTCGGCTTTGCCGTGATACCTCAGCCAAGTGTCTCGTTGTCTTTTCACGATCACCGCCATGGGATCCTCGATCACCTTGCTTCCCGTTTTCTTCAGGATCGAAGAGGAGGACCCCCCGCCGAGTGCAGTGGACATGGACATCTTTTTGCTACTTGTCGTGGCCTACTGGATCGACTATGACGGAATCAGTCAAAGCGACCTCCAGTGCACACCTGGGTTCCTTTTTTATTTACTTGTTCGCTGGGCAGGACCCCTATTGGTCGTAATCAATAAAACGTCGTGTGATCATGGAGATGGGAGCCAGCTAGAGAAACTTCTTCATTTCTTTGCCTAATTAAGTCTCGTGTTATGGACGATGACGAAGAGACGGCCGCTATTTCTCAAGTTTTTCACTATTTCACGGTCTTTCTGAGACCCGCAACGATCGATGATTCCAGCGACTCTGTGGTTCTCTCAAGGCTTCTCTCTGTTTGAAACAAGACATATCGGCGATTCCTTAAATCGACATCGAGCAGTTGGCGTACACTTTCGAGTACACCTGCTCCGCGCTTCAGACACGAAGTCATGCTTTCTCTTAATTTTACCACGACCATCCCCTTGACGAAAAGCATAACCAGTACAACAATGATGATTGTCAGAGCTGTACTACACACTTTCCCAGACGATGTCTCTTATCAATCCTTATGGTTTTTATCTATTTCTACATGAGTCCGTGTCAGACTACGACTCTTTTTCGTGGTCGTAGCTTTCATCACTCTTGTTTTCAATCGAATGAAGATGTTGTTAGCTTTTTTAGATAAAGACTATATTAATCGTGATTGAACAAGTGAAGTGAAGATTGACTAAGCGAAAGCGTTAAAATAATACGAATTGATTGGGCCGCTCAGATGATGAGCAGTGAACGTAGAAGATTATTGTGATTGATTGACTAAGATTTTGAAGTTTTATGTTCAATCTGGTGGAAGATCAAAACAGCAACTTCCTTCAGTTGACGACATGAAGTTCTGTATCGTGTTCTTGATTTTTGTGATATAATCGTAGGTAAGAATTTTGTGATATAATCGTAGGTAGGTAACATCCTTCTTGGTTAAGTAGCCGTAAGTATCAATCGTGTTTCCTCCTCCAGCAGATGATAGTAAGAACTCAGGATAGAAGAGCTAGAGGTAGAGGATCAAAAAAAAAATCTGGACCGGAAGGGCTAAGGCCCTCAGAAAAGGATGTCCTTGTCTTTCTGCGGGATGAAGCTCGGTGGAGCAACGTTGAGCATCGGGACAGCTGTTGTGTTGGTGTGCGCGTTTTAGCTTGAAGATATTGGCAGTTCGTAGAATTGAGTTCGTAGACTCTGGCAGTTCGTAGACTTTAGTTCGTAGACTCTAGTTTCTTCACGAGTAGAGAGCTCAAAAAAAACTAAATGTCGATAAAAAGTACAAATTCCCATTCCATTGGCTCCGGGACCTGCCATCATCGGTCTTTGCTTGCTAGCATCCTGCGCGCCGCCTGCTGCTGCTAACGCTGCCGCGAGCTCCTTAGCATGTCGCTGCTTCTTTTAGAGCCAGTTTGCATTGAAAACCCGCCCCCCTCATCTTGCTGACCCTTCCCCCCTTGTAACGATGCGAATCTATTCGGCGACTTGCCGAAGATTTCCCTGGCGACTTCTTGTATATTAATTTCAAGGGAAAAAAACTACATTTGGTTATTAACAAGTGTAGTAGTATGAATGAAGAATCGATATTAATACAGGGGAAAGTAAAAATTAATACAAGGGTATAATGGAAAAAAACGAAACTGAGCATAATTCTTCTTTTCGACAACCTTCTTGACACGGAAAAATTCCTCTCGTTCCATCTCGTCCATCTCGCCTTTGACCCATTGCATAGTACTTTCAAGTCGAGGGATCACGACGCATCTGGTTGTTGGTTTTGGTGCTTTGTGGGTGGTGGTGTGGGTGTGACTGAGGTTGTGGGTGTGTGTCTGGGGGAATGTGGGTGGTGTGACTTAGGTTGTGGGTGTGACTTAGGTTGTGGTTGTGTGTCGTGGGTGATGTGATCAGATGAGAAGGGGTGTGTGTCTGGGGGAAGGAGTACATGGGGAAGGAGTATATGTGGGTGTGACTTAGGGTGAAAGGATGAGGAAGGATTCCTTCCGTTCCAAGGGTGCTATTTCATGCACAGACTTAGAAGAAGATGGATGGGAAACATTTCGTAGAAACAAAAGCAAGTAGGAACGAGTCGATGAATCAGTCAACATCACGCTCCTCAAATATGAAACCTCAAGATAGATGAGTACTCCAAACTATTGACTCGGCGACTGGTCATTTTGATCTCCTCATCCAAAGTCTTGAACATTGTTTGCAGAGAGGCCATCTCAATGAGCAATTTCAATGCGATTCGGTGTTGGTCTCGGCAACTTTGGATCACTTGACCGCCGCATCCGATGCCTAAACTGTCGGTTGATCCATCCTTTGCCGGGTCGTAGTTCATCGTGAACTTGGGGAGTTGGACCTAGGGAAGATATCAGAGGTTAGGTTGGGGATCCTTCACACTAATTTTAACATATTTTCAAGATTTAGACATATCATGAATGACTTCGACTGTCTTGACGTATTTTATTACTATCATTTTAAACTCGTCGTGGAGTCTTTTTTAACTCTCATCGTGAGCTAACTGAAGATCGTCGTTTGGTCCAACACAGGAGAAAGGAAATTTATTTCAAAGGTCCTCGTTCACATTAAGGTAAGTACTCCCGCACAGTTCTCCGCCTTCATCGTGACTGTGACACTGGGCTTACTCACACGATTCAGCACAGCCTGAGAGAACTCGCTATCCGACGCATATTCTGCTTTGGCGTAAGAGAAAGCGCAGTCCGTGACCATTACGCCCACAGCCTTTTTGCAGGTGATAATCTCGTGATTAGAGTCTGCGACTCGAGCTAGATTGCATCTCGGCCCCCTCACCCCTTTTACCTTTTTTTTTTACCTTTCTTGGGGTCTTTTAGTACCTTGTAATATTCATGAGAAGAATACAGGGGAACAAAAGGGGACCAAGATGCCGAGAATGATGGACACCAAATGTTGACCATAACGTGAAGCATCGCTTGAAATCGCGTTTTGAGGGCGTCACGCTTCTTCTTCAGGAGAGCGGATGAAGAGGGGAGGGATTCTTGGGATAGTGTTCTTGGGCATGGAGTAAGGACGAAGATTTTTTGAGATGACAATTTAGGATAGACACCTCAAGGATGAGGTACGACTACATCAAGTGTTATTGAATTGTCGAAGTTCTACCAATCCTACTTGTAGTTTCAAGTTCAAGTTCAAGTTCAACCCTACTCATTAATATGAGGTGGACCGTGGAAGACCAAAGGACTCAATATCTTCTCAAACGAACAAAATCTTTCTGAACCTAGAACTCAGAACTTACTACAGCAGTAAACCTGCTATCGCTCATTAATATTTACACCTCGTCCTGTCATAAACCATATCCCTTCTTCGCGCCGACAATTCGGGCTTTGAATTGTAGCAAAGTGCTACGGTTGGCAGCTGGCTTTTGACCCGACGACATCTTGCTCTTCTTCTTACTTTTAGGATGAACGTGGTCTAAAAGAAAGAGTAGATACAGAGCTCTCCACTTCAGGACTTCACACTATGCGATCGGTCTTGCGTCAGTGAATGGGTGTTACTTTTAGCAAATCAAAATCGACATTGAGTATTTACGAATTACTTGAACACCAGTGGGGGAATGTCATGCCGTGTGTCACACTGATGTAACAAAAACATTAACATCATACAACTCTTGCTTGCGCCTCGTCTTCAGTATCTTTAAGCATACACTCAGCAACATTAAGCATACACTCAACAAGATAGAAACAGGACACTGATCATCCTTGCGCGAAATAAAACCATCTTGCTGACTGCCAAGAGAACACGGCCCCTCCCTATGGGTCAAACACCTAGCAAGCAATTGATGTTGATGATGGTCTCACCAAGGACCACAAGAAAGACCAGTGGTGGTATGCGGTAGGGGAAAAGTGAATCATGTGACAGGGACGTCGCCGGGCACTGTTGGAAGGGGATCGAAAAAAAACAGGTAGAAAAGGGGATGAGTGAATGAATGTACCCACTCCAGGGGTATAGAAGACTACTTCCCTACTACTTCTTCTTGCATTTTGCCTCATGAGTACGCGCCATTGAAAATATGACTATCCGTATGACCTTCTAGGACTATCCGTATGATCTTCTGTCCTCTTGCTCCATTTAGTAGTGTAGAGAACTATGTTCTTCCCATCAACAGGTAAGACTGTACTCGCTAGTCCTCGATACGTTGACGTCAAATACGTCAAAAAAGTACCGTAATCACGTACAGGTCTTATGCTGAAAGGATTCTTCTTAGACCTTCTATCCTCGAGTTGTCCTTGGCCAGCACAAGTTGAGGTTGTGTCGTCATCTGCCAGTCGTCGTGCTTCCGCACAGTACAACAGGCTCTTCTCTTCTTCCGGTTCCGGTTCAACAGCATGAAGTACTCTATTAGGAAACAAGTCCGAAAAGACGCAGCAGGGCACCGTGGCAACTGGCGTCTTCAAAGATCTCGCCCAAGCAAGAAGTGGCTCCGTCGCTTGGTCAGGGTGCAGACCAACTATGAGGTCTGCACGTGAGAGAAGGGAAGAGACGTCATCTACTAGTAGCTCTTGCGCATCCACGTCTGCAGTTCTAGTGCTGCTCCTAGGAGGCATCTCCACTTTCCCTTTTACAAAAAAGCTATCCAGCAAAGCCGCAGCAGCTCCTAATCTCTCCGTCTTTGAGCTTAGTGAGGAGGATGAAGCATAATTGTCCCTGTGGTCCTGCTCGTCCTTGCTTGGTGTGATGTTCATGACTTTCCTCAATTGCCAAGGTTTCCATTTCTCAGCTTTCCAGGGATCTATTACGTAAACTTGGCGAAAGCCGCGTTCTCGCAAGGCTACTGCTAGATCCCCTGCGCCTCCTGCAACGTCTACTATAATTAGAGGTAGGTTTTTGGTGCTCGTTTACCCCGCTTGTTATGCTATTCTCCCTTGGGAGAGGCATAAAAAGCAATAAAAAAAGCACCTTTAACCTACCCTTAATATAAGAGGTTGTTTTTCATCCTGGTCTGGGACAATAGACAACTTGTTCATCTGTGGGAAAAAAGTCTGGACTAACCAATCAGCGAAGATGCTGGCCCGACGATGCTTGGAGGTTTTATCTATGGAAGTAGCTTCGCAGTGTTCGTCTTCGATTCGCTTTGTTGGCGGAGACTGCTTTCTTGGACTTGCTGGAGTTGCGCTTTCTGTGGTACTAGTAGTCGCAGGTGATTTTTGCGTCGTTGTACGTTTATTACTTGAGAAAGGCGTATGCGTGTCGTCTGCTTCCTCTGGAGGTATCAGATCCCGTGCTGCCGCATTTACCTTCAAGCTTTCACGTCGAGCCGATGCGGATTGGCGCAGTGCAATCCAATCTCTTTCGAAGATTTCATGACGCCATTGTAAGAAACACCTTTTCGGTTGCTGGATTGTCGTACCTGTCGTGTTGTTCTTAGGCGTCGTCATACACGTTCGTGCGACTATTGCGCTGCAGTCCACCCCATCAACAGAAGTGTTGTCTCTGCTTATCTCCGCAATCAAAGCTTTGCGTAAAGCTGGACACAGTTGTTTTTTATCATCGAGGGCAACAACGTGCTTCTTCCTCTGCATCAAGTCTAGAACTAGACTTCGCGTTTTTTGGTGGACTCCTTCATCCTCCAAGTGCTGCTCAAGCAGTTCCCAACTCGAGACGACAGCAATCGTACTTCCCTTCTCCTCGCCAGAGGTACCAACAAGAGCTGTATTAACACGGATATAGTCACCCACTTGTGGCACTCCTTGCTTGCCGTTTCTGGGAACGAAAACTCGTGAATCTTGAAAACTCTGATTCTGATGTCCTTGGTCTGATTGTCTTTGATGACTGTCGTTGTAGTGTCTCAGCAAGAGCACTACCCCAGTCCGCAACTTCTTACGCGATACGACCGCACCGCGGAGATCATGTTCTTGCTGAGGATTTCTCATCATTTTGATTTTTCCTCACAGACATCAAGTCGGATGAAATAAGAGAAAATGTTGATCATCATGTCATTGCACGTCTTGTTTGACAACCACACTCATCCCCTGTTCCCCAAGCACCTGTTATTTGCAATACGGATGGAAAGGTAGTTTTATTAATGTCTGAGTTTGGAATACTGCTCGTCTGCAGTCATGCAGAAAGATCTATATCGTCTAAGAGGGATGATCCGGTGAATTCATGAGGAACAAGCGATCTTCAGTGGCTGGCTTCCATCGCGTAGTTGTGAGCTTCACCTTGCTTTCCAAAATTTCCAAATCACTCTTTCACATGTAGAAGTTGAGCACTTTCTTATCCTGTGAAAGGTACTCATGCACAAGTTAATGCTTTTTCGAGGTCTTTTCGAGAAATTGGGAATTATAAACGTCAGGAGGCTCACATGTTGTTTCTTGTCTTTGTTCGTTGGTTTGCAGAGAAGGATCTCTTTACTGTGCATCCTCGATGTTGAGTTATTCATTTGATGCCAGTTGTGAGTTGTTAGTAGGGGTAACCACTTCTGGATGAAGGCATCATTCATCGTAGAAGCGGGTATAACAAGTAGGCAGGACTGGTTTACTGTACATTAATCTATGATGGACGATATGTTCTAATTCTTGTTATAACTTCTACAAGAGACATTTTATGCCACAGACCACACATTTAGACTTTTCTGCTCAAATTAAATTCTGAACGACGCCAGCGCATAATGAAGTTAATACATACTAGGTAGGAGAAAAATGAAAAAAAGTATCACGACAAACAGTTTCACTTATTCTTGTTGATTCATTATTGATTGTAAACCATAATATTGAGGTCGAGGAGAACAAGGCTCTGTCATGTTCCAAACTTGTTGTAACTCTAGCTGGTAGTTGCATCTTTACATCATAGCTTTTCTGTTTCACAACGTCTTGCGTCCGTTAGGTTTTTTACTTGATAGTGGAAATGTGGAAATCTGGATTTTTTTGTAGATTGTCACTTATTTCTTGTTAAAATGGTCAGTCTTGCGGACACAACAGCAACGGTCACAAACTGCAATATCGTATTGAATTATTGTTCTCCTGGTCTCTATCCACTATCCTCACACGACCCCAAACAGACCCAAGAACCTGCTCTACTCACCCCTTATTTCGTTGAGACCCTAGTGTCCCACCTCCCCAAAGCCTAGCTAAGACCTCTTTCATCTAACCTCTTGTAATACTTACCCTGTTTCTCCTTAAAACCGCCTGACCTCTACTAGACTTCTTTCTTCTAAGCTCATCTTTTAATAATAATAGTACTACTCACCCTAACCCTTTTTCCTCCTCTTTAAAACGAACCACCTCACCCTCTATTTCGTTGATTTAACTTCAATGAAGCCTCTAGCCTACTTTTTTCGTGACTCGTTTTTCAGTAGTCACGGTCTTTTTCGTGGTTTTCACACTGGTCGCCCTTGTCTTCGGAGTCGCTTTCTTCGCCGCTTTTCCTTTGGGAGCGGACACGGTTCGCCTCGGGAGATTAGAGAAAGGGTACTAGTTCTTGTGGTACTTATACTTATTCATCTTGAAAGTTAAGAAATCTATCTTGGGGGAAGAGACCGAGTAAGAGTATCTTGAAAGTTAAGAAATCTATCTTGTGGTATTCATCTATCTTGGGGGATGAGACTATGTTGTCATGTCATGGCACAGGCTCAGGCACCTCTTGTGTACTAGCTATTAATACAATACAATTACAATTTATCTCGCACAAAGTTCAGTGCAGACTGCCACAAGGGCGTCATAGATGATACACACGATGGGTCTCACGCAAAGAGTGGAGTGGAGAAGCGGCACGGTTACGTCTGTTGTGAAAAGTTACAACTTAACAAGAACTAGCCATAAGCGAGAGTTTTAGACAACGAACCCCAACTATCACCGTTCAAATACTAAAGAGGGTGGCGAATCTAATCGGCAGTCTGCCGAAGATTTCCCAGACGATTTCTATCCGCTAACTTACAACCTTGTTTTTTTAAGGATCTTCTTTCTAAGAACAAAAGATATTGAAAAAATCTCACAAATTTTCTTCATAACAGCAGCTGGAGCTGCAGCGGCCCCTACATCTGTGCCCGGAGGTAGCTGCGTCATGCCAGGAGGCAGCTGGATGTTAATCGTCTGAACCGTTTTTACTGGCTCCAGTTAGAGAAGAATTGTAGGTTTTGTACTAGCTGCATGCAAGGAAGATCGAAGAAGTAGTTTTTCTTTTTACATCTGGAGCCTTGATTCAATTCTCCAACTTGTAATAATTACAAGGGCTCTACTCCAATAAAAATAAGAAATGCAACAAGAGAGACAAGCAGCAACATTGTATCTGGAATTCATCAGTCTGACAAACAGTCCATGTATTTGTAATTGTTCCATAATTTTTTTTCTTTTTCTCCTTTACCACTGCCGGCGCCGCTGGCGCAGCTGTCACTAACGTTAGAGTATGACCTCCGATAAATTCTAGACCAGCACTTCCCGTCGAAAAGAGGACATCAACATCAAGAGTCCACTGACGACGATTGCCATCCAGTACTTTTTCCTACTTATCCGTTACTGTAATCCAGTAATGGACGATAAGGAGCACAATGATCAAGATTGAGTTCTTTAAGGACCTAATGATGCCAATTTGAATGCCTCCATAAAGTGTTATTATTGTTGTTATTGTTGTTGTTGTTGATGATTATCGGTTGCTGCGGCACCGATTGCTGCGGCACCGGTTGCTGCGGTTGCTGTGGTGGCGGTGGACCACCTTTCCCATATCCGCTGTCCCAACCCCAATCGCCCTTACCCCAATCGCCCTTACCCCAACCCTTGTCCCAGCCTTTGTAGCCCAGTTTGTTAGACGAGCAGGAAGAGTCTGTTGTTGTATTTGCATGCAATCCTACTTCTGGAGCTATGGATTTATTGTTGATGTATAGATAGGCTTCTACTAAGTACTTCCTAGAAAAAGTTCCATAATCATGCTGACATCCATCGATGGCTGCGCAGCTTTCTGAACGATGAGCTGTTGCTGCTGAGGTGGTTGCTTCTTCTTCTTGCAGCAGCAGTAGCAACAGCAGCAAATATAACAGCAGCACAAGAACAACAGAAACACGGCAGAAGGAATCACGTAGGAAGGTTAGAAGAGACTACTATTAACCCTACCATTTCCATCTACACTACCCCGCCCTTAGAGGTTGGAGCAGACGTTCTTCTAGGTAGTACTTAGATGGACAGAGACAAAGTGGAGATGAAGTTCAAATTGTAGCTTTTTTTCATGTTGTTGAGCATAAAATTTGATAAACCACTGTTTGTTTTTTTCATGTTCTGGTGCCCACGCGATGTTCATGACCTGCAACAAAGAACCAGGGTTCGGTGCCACGTTTTGCCAAGGATTTTTCTTTCGGTCGCGGATCTGGTGGGTTAGAGTTTGGGGTTTGGGGAGGGATTCAGTTTGGGGAGGCAATGCACTATAAAGAGACAGTGAGGAGTCGTGATCAGGTGGGGAGAATCCTGAAGATGATCCTGCAACTACTGGTAAGCGAGAGAGAAGAGCCAGGAAATACAGGCAATGATGGAGAAGCTACTTCCTAGGAATGATGGATCGCATGGAGCTGCACGGAGCTAAAGGGGGCTCTTCTTGCGTCCCTTGTTATAGATATGTTATAAAGTCGTCAGTAGTTACAGGATCATCAGGATTCTCCCCACCTCACTTCTCACGTCCCATGATACTGTAACTTCTATTGCCGACTTTTTAATCTGAATATATCGATGAAGATCATGCTGACCACTCGAGGACTTTTATAATGGCGTTAAGTCAACTAAGAACTGCACAAAAACGGTCATTATTGTCGCCTCCTCGTCCTGGAAGTGCTCCGCTTAGCGGCTTTTGCAACTTGCTTCCTCTTGGTTTTTCTGTCTTTTGGTTTCGTTTCATGTGATTCCCCGCGCCCCTCCAGAGTCCACCGCACCAGCCTGCAGGTGTGTGCCTGGGGATTCTGGAGGGGCGCGGGGATTTGGAGGGCGCCCGGGGTTCTTGGCTCGCAATTGGGGGAAGGTTTTCCCGAAGCGAGCGCAGTAGGCGGCGAGTGTTCTGCGGATTCGTATCATGCCCGGTAGGATTGAATTTTGTCCGGATTTTTGCAGTCCTTCGTTGAATTTTCTCCATTCAGACTCCACTTGTCTGTGGTCAGGTTTTTCGCTATAATCGGAGAGGTTTGAGGCAATCCGCCTGAGGTTCTTCGTTCTTGGGCCTTTTGGTCTTGTTCAGTGTTGGACTTTTGACCACCCGGCGCCCCGAGGCTCTCGCGCTGGGTGGGATTAGTTACAAAGAGGAGCGACGCGCTGCCGCCTTTAAATGCTGGCCAGACCACTCACGCGCGCCGCCGTGTGTGCGCAGATTGTCGGGGGGGTTTGCTGGCGTTGTTCGCACTCTTTTGAAGTATTTCAGCGGGGAAGTTTGCGGGGGTTTCGCCGGAATTGAATAAACCTCTCTACTGTTTGCCGCTTTCCTGATCGCTAGGCCATTTTTGATGAAAAAACTGAAAAGATGTCTTCAGATTTTTTTCCAAAAATGGCCTTGCAGTCAGGAAAGCGGCAAACAGTAGAGAGGTTTAGTCAATTTCGTGGCATTTCTCAAGAAGGGCTGGACCGGTTGCCGCTTGAGTTCCAAAGGGCTCGCGCCTCCTCTTTTTGTTAGGTTTCGACGGTGTGGCGTGCTCGCTGTGCCTCTGGTGCTTCCGCAGGTGGCTGATTAGAATGGCGCTAAGTCAGCTAAGAACTGCACAAAAACGGTCACTATTGTCGCCTCCTCGTCCTGGAAGTGCTCCGCTTAGCGGCTTTTGCAACTTGCTTCCTCTTGGTTTTTCTGTCTTTTGGTTTCGTTTCATGTGATTCCCCGCGCCCCTCCAGAGTCCACCGCACCAGCCTGCAGGTGTGTGCCTGGGGATTCTGGAGGGGCGCGGGGATTTGGAGGGCGCCCGGGGTTCTTGGCTCGCAATTGGGGGAAGGTTTTCCCGAAGCGAGCGCAGTAGGCGGCGAGTGTTCTGCGGATTCGTATCATGCCCGGTAGGATTGAATTTTGTCCGGATTTTTGCAGTCCTTCGTTGAATTTTCTCCAATATAGAGGCTATGTCTATCATACTTAAGGAGCAGGGTCTTAAGTATGGAAAATCGCTATGCCTCGGTGCTCCGGTGATCACTGGCTGCAACACCCCTTTTGATTGCTTATCCCGATACACCAGGTAGGTGGTCCTGGCGTTTTTCTGATTATCGATGAAATGTTCGCCGTCCGCTTGACTATTTTGCGACTTCGCTTCTTGTCCTTCCTTGAACGTGTCGTAACGCGGAGGGCTTTGGGGCCCGCACTTCTTAGAAGAACAATACTAGGCATGTTCTTGTAAGTATGAAGAACGAACAATACTAGGCATGTTTGTTGTATGAAGAACAATCTCATTGGCCTTAGAATTCAAGAAACTTATTTTACTTAAAAGAAAGAAACTGATTGCATCTGTGCAGAGGAGTACAAGTTTTGCTTTTGTTTACAACATCAAGGACGAGAAAGAATTTTATTTCAATTTGAATTGCAGCTCCTTCTGTTGATTCTTCCTCTACTTCTTACTCTTCTTCTCTTTCTTCAGATCATGACGAAGAAGAAAAAGACACGGATGCTCTTGACAAAGAGCAGGGCTTAGCACACATACAGCCATAAACTTATGCACGTCATCAGGCACACCTGTGTTCGTTCCTTCCTGCGGGTTTTCGATCCAAGGGGCTTTGCATTCGCGCCAGTCGTCATATAGTAGACGGGCTGCGGCTGCCTCTTCGTGTTAGCGCTAGTTTTTCACTATCCCTAGTTGAGTGAGTTTCCCTCGTTTGCCATCCTTAGTTCCTCCTTAGTCGTGTGTCATGTCATGGGGCCTCTTGTATAGCATTGCGCATCTATGTACTATGAAGCCACTCCATAGAAGTTGTATAAACGTACTACCTCCATAGGAGATGAGCCTCTAGCTCTAGCTCTTAGAGTACACCGATATATTAAAAATCAATCTAGCATCCACTCAGGATCCGATTAATTAAAACTTCAGAAAGCCGAGGTCAAGCTGAAGATCCGAGAGGACACCGTCGTAGTAGAGTTTGAGTTTTATCGTAGTAGAGTTAATAATCTATATCTAACGAGCATCATCGTAGTAGTTTCCGAGAGAACACCGTCGTAGTAGAGTTAATAATCTAACGAGCATCATCGTAGTAGTTTCCGACGGGACACCGTCGTAGTAGAGTTAATAATCTAACGAGCATCATCGTAGTAGTTTCCCAGAGGACACCGTCGTAGTAGAGTTAATAATCATGCTAACGAGAGCATCATCGTAGTAGAGTTTCGAGTCAATTATCTAACGAGCATCATCGTAAAAAACTAGCCATAACCTGCATTCTCCGGTTTGGGTTGTTTCATACTGCTGGTGATCCACTGCATCTTGCGCGATATGTCAAATTTGCTCCTCCATGAAATGCCATAGATTCCATCACCCATCTGCCCTCTTGCAGTAATGCGGAAAAGTTAGAAATAAATTGAAATCAAATCTACAATAAATATTGATATTCAAAAATATGTTTATATATGATGGAGGGCTGGACGGTACCCCCCCCCTGTGGTCAGTCTGGTCTGTGGTGGCGCGCGCGCTTTTCCGCGCGCATTTCGGCGCGGAATCTAGTGGGGGAAGGCGTCCAAACTTGGCGCGGGTCTCCCCTTGAGCCTGTCAGCCGGTTCCCCCGGGACCTCCTGGCCTTTGCTGACCCTCGCAGGCGGGAGGTCCCCGGGGTAAAAGGCCGCCGAGGGCGGCCACGGTCGCAAGCGAGCCAATGACCAAGGGCCCGGAGGGAACAAGCTGCACGGCTCAGGGGGTCCAGCCCCTCGGCTTTTGCCGCCTTCAGAGGCCTGCCACCTACTTACGTTGGAGGCCTCTAGGGAGAGCCAAGCACCTGGAAGGGAGCGAAGCCGCCCACTTGGCCCCCCTTGTTTTGAGGCCTTCCACCCCGGGCAGACGCCTCCTAAAGGGGTCCGGGGAAGAAGGTACAAACAACCCCAAGCACAGGATCATATGTAAGAAGAAGTAGGTACTATGAATATTTAACTAAACAAGTCTGTTGTGAGTTGATTGTGAGAAATAAATATTGATATAAAAATTGGGATATGAAAAATTCAGCTGTTGATCATGTTGTTCATCTCGAAGCAAGAAATGGTAGCAGTTATACAAATTTACAACTACAACCACCGCGAAGCTGTTCATAAATCAAGCATGCAGCAGCTGGAAACGCGGCAGGGCCATTAGGCAGGTTGGGAGGAATCGGCGTTACAGCTGCTTCCATTCCCTCTCTCTGCGTGGAGATGTCCATGAAAATTGATTAGAAGAGCTCGATGTAGACCTCTCTCTGCGTGGAGATGTCCATGAAAATTAATTAGAAGAGCTCGATGTAGACATTGTCTACTTGGTCCAGATTTGATGTACTTACTAGACATATGATTTCATCAGAAAATATTGAAGTTCTTCTGTGACTATGCGCTGTGTTGTTCTAGTGTCTCGTCTACTTAGTTGGATTTGTCTAGTAAAAATTCGACATTGTTTATTTCCACTGGAAAGCGAACGACCCGGTTGTGTCAGTTCTACTCTTGAATCAAAATTCATCCGCCCTTAACTTGTTGCAGCGACCTCCGCCGAAGTACTGATGTTGGCCACCATTATCACGCTCTCGTCCCTCTCCTGTTGTTTAGGGGTTGAAAGTTGCCCCTCCTCTAGTAGGTCGCATATCTGTGGCTTTCCTGCTTGAAGAAGCTGTAGAGATGCTCTTAGATGATAGGTCAACTTCCAACCCTTAAGTTGTGGTCTCCTATGTAGATTCCTCTGGTGCATCGTTGGACTACTTGGCGTCACTACTGCTTCCATTCCATTGCCTGGAGGCACCTGCAGCAGTGTCTCCAGTACAGCATCTATTGCTGAGGAAGCGTGGGAAGTAATCAAGTCGAGCCATGGATTAGAGGTCGTCGTAGGGCTTTGGTGTACGTGTAGTTTCCTTAAAAATAAGTACCCGCCCGTTCAATCATCTTGCCGTTAGTTTATTACAAGCTATGCCTTTCCTACAGTTAAGAAAGGCATAACAAATGGCAAATTGATATGCCAACTACGTCGGTTGTAACATCAGAAACACCAAAACAAGCCAATGATTCTTAAATGAAGAAGGGGATTCCTCCTTGTCTTCGTCGTGTAAGTTGTTTAAGGAGTTTCGTTGGAGCGCTGCTTGGTCATTGGTGAAGGCAAAAGCCTCCGCGAGCACATCCTCCAATTTGCTCCCCGTATTGCTGTTGTGACCACCACCACTGGCACTCGAAGATGAGCTAGATGCCTTGATAGTAAAACTACTTCTAGTACTATCTTGAGATTGCTCCTCAACGTTCTCTTGCTGGTCGTGGTCCTCTACTTCTAAGCCAGCGTCTGAGGTTTCCTTCTCTAGGAAACTTCTAGCATGCGTAGGAGTTGCACCGCCACCAGCTCCACCAGCTGCCTTTGCCAACGAGCTGCGGATATCCTCCACTCTGAAAGGCGTGCAATGCTGCTTGAACTCCGCGTATCTTTTGGTCCCGTCCTCGATTTGGGTTAGAGTAGAACAATTCTATCAATACTTATACTATACTTACACGTAATGTTGCTAATGCATCCACCGTGAACTGTGTACCAAAGACTATGTACCAAAGAGATCTCATTCTATACGATGAATCATGGACTACCACAGCAGCTTCGATGATGTCTTGAAGAAACCGTATTCAAACCGTATTCGACAACTACCCAGTCCCAGTGCCTAAGATCAAGATGATGATGTTCCATTGCCCTGACGATTATGATTAATAGAAGAAGTTAAAAAAGTTTCTAGTCGGTCCTACCAACAACTTACTAGTCTAATCTTAACTGGCTTGGGCACGGAGGCAAGGAATTCATCAGCGGCAGCCACTTCAGTGGGCCCAGCTGCTTCCACACAACACCCTGTGACATGTCTTCGAGTGTTAGAGGAACTACAGCAACAGTCTTTTTTGGGCGACAACTGCAACCACCAGTCGCAGTCCACTTCCTCCACTCTAAATTTAAATTATCAGTGGTTCATCAGCACATATAGAGGACTTTCATGGTCACGAAATCGAGCCTTAACTCGATCGTCATCTGCAAACATGCGCATGCCGCGAACGCGTACCCGAAGGCTTGCTCTGAAATGTGTGGCACCACACTCAGAATATACACCTCGTCTCGTTAGAAAGACCTACGCCTATGCATGATGATGATTCATCTTCCAAGTGGTGTATCTTTTCAACTACTGCATCGTTTCAGTGGTATTCAAGTAGAATACTCTTCAGAGATGCGGAAGCAGATAATTACTGCATCTTGTCGGAGGTATAACTCAGCGACAATATTCAATACCAACAATCTTCAGAGATGCAGATGACTGCATCTTTTCGACCGTATTCAACTGGAATGCGAATACTCGTTTCATCTTTCCTTGGAATCATAGAGTAGAACAACTAAATTTTCGTGCAAAGCAGAATTATACCAAGTGGAATACTCATCTTTTCGGTATTCATCAGAGCAAGTGCAAATGCAACCAAAATAAGGTTTTGCTGTACCAAGGATCATGAATATTTACAATTAGCGAATACAACTCTTCAAAGATGCAGATGCAACCAATAGAGACCCCAAAGAAAGAATGATCACAATCTGATTTTTATCAGTGTTGAGACGAGCCTTAATCTTGTAACTCAGGTCTATGAATGATCACAATCTGATTTTTATCAGTGTTGAGACGAGCCTTAATCTTGTAACTCAGGTCTATGAATGATCACAATCTGATTTTTATCAGTGTTGAGACGAGCCTTAATCTTGTAACTCAGGTCTATGAATGATCACAATCTGATTTTTATCAGTGTTGAGACGAGCCTTAATCTTGTAACTCAGGTCTATGAATGATCACAATCTGATTTTTATCAGTGTTGAGACGAGCCTTAATCTTGTAACTCAGGTCTATGAATGATCACAATCTGATTTTTATCAGTGTTGAGACGAGCCTTAATCTTGTAACTCAGGTCTATGAATGATCACAATCTGATTTTTATCAGTGTTGAGACGAGCCTTAATCTTGTAACTCAGGTCTATGAATGATCACAATCTGATTTTTATCAGTGTTGAGACGAGCCTTAATCTTGTAACTCAGGTCTATGAATGATCACAATCTGATTTTTATCAGTGTTGAGACGAGCCTTAATCTTGTAACTCAGGTCTATGAATGATCACAATCTGATTTTTATCAGTGTTGAGACGAGCCTTAATCTTGTAACTCAGGTCTATGAATGATCACAATCTGATTTTTATCAGTGTTGAGACGAGCCTTAATCTTGTAACTCAGGTCTATGAATGATCACAATCTGATTTTTATCAGTGTTGAGACGAGCCTTAATCTTGTAACTCAGGTCTATGAATGATCACAATCTGATTTTTATCAGTGTTGAGACGAGCCTTAATCTTGTAACTCAGGTCTATGAATGATCACAATCTGATTTTTATCAGTGTTGAGACGAGCCTTAATCTTGTAACTCAGGTCTATGAATGATCACAATCTGATTTTTATCAGTGTTGAGACGAGCCTTAATCTTGTAACTCAGGTCTATGAATGATCACAATCTGATTTTTATCAGTGTTGAGACGAGCCTTAATCTTGTAACTCAGGTCTATGAATGATCACAATCTGATTTTTATCAGTGTTGAGACGAGCCTTAATCTTGTAACTCAGGTCTATGAATGATCACAATCTGATTTTTATCAGTGTTGAGACGAGCCTTAATCTTGTAACTCAGGTCTATGAATGATCACAATCTGATTTTTATCAGTGTTGAGACGAGCCTTAATCTTGTAACTCAGGTCTATGAATGATCACAATCTGATTTTTATCAGTGTTGAGACGAGCCTTAATCTTGTAACTCAGGTCTATGAATGATCACAATCTGATTTTTATCAGTGTTGAGACGAGCCTTAATCTTGTAACTCAGGTCTATGAATGATCACAATCTGATTTTTATCAGTGTTGAGACGAGCCTTAATCTTGTAACTCAGGTCTATGAATGATCACAATCTGATTTTTATCAGTGTTGAGACGAGCCTTAATCTTGTAACTCAGGTCTATGAATGATCACAATCTGATTTTTATCAGTGTTGAGACGAGCCTTAATCTTGTAACTCAGGTCTATGAATGATCACAATCTGATTTTTATCAGTGTTGAGACGAGCCTTAATCTTGTAACTCAGGTCTATGAATGATCACAATCTGATTTTTATCAGTGTTGAGACGAGCCTTAATCTTGTAACTCAGGTCTATGAATGATCACAATCTGATTTTTATCAGTGTTGAGACGAGCCTTAATCTTGTAACTCAGGTCTATGANGGATTAGAAATACAAACCAAGGGATGTAAGTATACTTATTATGTCCCCTGGATGTGGATTAGAAATACAAACCAAGGGATGTAAGTATACTTATTTTGTCCTCTGGATGTGGATTAGAAATACAAACCGACCTCCATAAGCGGCTAGAAAGGACGACGATGACGAATGCCGGTTTTGATACTGTCCTCCTGTTCCTCCTACCTCCGTCTCCGACGACGCGTTACTGCTAGAAGACGCGCTGCTGCTAGGAGGAGCACTAGAGAGACCACTAGAATTAGAGCTACCTGGTTTCTAGAATTAGACCACCAGAAAGGCTCCTGAGCTCGTTTTTTAAGTAGAAAAAGAGCCATGGATGATGCAGCTGGGGATGCTCGTCCTTAATATGAGAGCCTTAATGGAACTACTTCCTGCGTCTACTTGGTCTTGCATTCCCTCTTGAAGAAATGATTCTGAATACGCGGTTTGTCCGGACCCTCGTAGCTTGCCAGCCCTGCTGTCGGATGACCGTTCGTCAGCACCTTTATCATCTTCACTTACGCTTTCACTTATAAGGTCGAGGGTTATTAGAGCATGAGCCTAAGCATGAGAAGATTGAGAAAAAAATAAGGTGATAGGTAGGCGCTCTCCTAGGATTACAGAGCTCGAGATCGATGCAGGACTAGCTGACAAAAGGTTCTGCTACCTAGGAGGAAGAAGAACGCAAATGCTGCTCGAGTCACTCGTCGCTCTACAGATAAAGATGATTTTTCCGTATATTTTCGAAACGAAGTAGTTGTAAAAACCTCCATAAATGCTGTGCTATCTGCTTCAATCCAAAAAACGCGCAGTTGAAGGTGCCGCCAAAGAGCACGAAAAAGTTGAAGAAAGAGGAACGAAGCAAACTGCGCATACTGCCATGAGTACTCGATGTCGTTCTACTGCGTGGCGTCGATGTCCCTGTCGACTTGCTTCTATTTCTTGTAGTTCTCATATTGAGGTTTCTGAAACTGCGAGGCGTGCATCTTCTAAAACTGCGAGTCGTAGTACATTCTCTTTCCACGTAGAGGACAACGCCTCTGATCACGTCTTCCACTTTTTCTAGAGGACTCCTAGAAAAAGTAGAAACCCCTGACGTGCAAGTATTTGTAGAACTAGAAGTGCAACTTCTTTAGAGGTAGGTTTTTGGTGCTCGCTTACCCCGCTTGTTATGCCTTTCTCATCCTAAGGGAGAGAGGCATAAAAAGCGGTAAGAAAAGCACCTTTAACCTACCCTTAACTTCTGTCTTTACTGCTGCTGCTGCAGCAGCATGTAGGCGCCGGAGACGAGGTTGTAGAGCGTTTTGGTACAGTATTCGAAGAAGCAAGCCGTCTGGTCGTGGATGAAGCATCTACTACATTGGTGCACAGGACCTGGGGATTTTTGGCCTCTTTGGCCTCCTTTCGCCTCCGCCGCCGTCCTCGTCGATTCATGGTAGATAATAGCTGCACTGTGAAAAAGAAAACGTACGTCTCAATATAATTCAGTTAGAACAAATTTATTTGGAGATGTGCAATCAAGAAGAACAAGTCAAGTCGGTATGTGTCTCGCGACTAGAAGTTCCGCTAGAGGGAATAAGTCGGCTTCCTATCGAGGACGGTTTGGAAGTTTCGTCGTGTGGGACGTCAAATAATCAAAAAGTATATTGCAAGGCCGAAGCTGCCGAGTACATTTACAAATCCAACAACAGGCGAGCTTAGCGGGTGGAAGTCGTCAGGGAAATCTTAGGCAGATTGCTGAGAAGATTCACATCTTCATCAAGTTCAAACATAAATCTCTGTTCCGCGGCTTGAACTTAAGGATTTGAGATGGGGGACGGGACTGCCTTGCGCTACGAAGAGGGTTCACATTTGGTCAGTTTTTTCTCTCTCTAATACGTAATACATCCCGACGACGGAGAACCGACAGTCAACGAGGACATCACGAATACTAGAGAAAAGCTACTACAGCAATGCTTCTGAACACCAGAGTGGAGGTGATTACTTGATGATTGATGCTAGGACTTAGTCATCAAGTCATGATAGTGAAAGGTGCAACCTTTTCCTTTGTTACCTGGGTCAACGTCAATTCTCGCCTACTTATTTACATCCACGCCGCGAGAAGCCTGTAGCTCTACAGATAACGCGTCTAAATAGAAGCAAGTAGAAGAAGTAGTACACCGAGCCAATGCGAAGAATCTAAATTCAAGCATTATTTTTGTAGCAGTCATGCAACCCTGATTCTGCTGAGAAATCAACGATTCTACTTTTCAATTTCATGGGTGTCATGATTGAAGATCTTCATAGCTGCAGTTCCAAGGAAGTGGAAGTCTGTGTACTTGAAGTTCTTGTTCATCTTCTTAGTATCATCGAAAATCGCATACTACATAACATACTGGTGGACCCATGTATTATGATTATGTGCATGTGAAAAAAATGGGAACAATAGGAACGAATTCGAGCTCCAATGGACTTCTTTTTTGAGTGTCGCACCACTCATTATATGTCGGCAAGGTAGTACACATCAACTTGCTAAGGCCGATAAATTGAAAAATTTAGGGACTCGTGTGAGGACACCGTTGTTCTTTATCATCTGGGGACTAAAAATGAATCGTTGCCCCCGTTCTTGAGGGGAAGATTCAATCGTAAGTGTTAATACATCGAATGCGGGTAACTAGTGCTTGGGTCTGCACAATCACGAGAAGGAGGTCTAAGTCGGTAAATCAAGCTTATAATTGTGAGGACAACTCGAACTCCTGCAATTCAAATTGAATGACTGGCTGTGAAAATAAGTCAAACCAAAAATTGCACCTCCACCTCTATCACTATCTACACTATCTACTTACTTGCTTCTACTACATCCATTCTTTATCCTACTTTTCTTCACAGTTTCGGTTTCTCTCCTCCTAGACCGTTGTGTCGCAACAAGGCATCCACAGTCGGTTCGCGGCCACGGAACAGCTTGAAAACCTCTAGAGGAGCGACGCCGCCTCCTAAACCTAGGATGGTATCTGCAAATTTTCGGCCTACCGACTTGACCTTTTCTTCGTCGTTCAAGCCTGCCTCTTCGAAAGCGGCTTTTGTTAGAAGCCTTGATGAACTGTAGATGCAGATCTAGCTCAGTATAATTCTTTTTTCAAAACAAGATGAACTTCGAGGACAAGAAAGCTATTCTGCAAGAATTTTCTTTGTCTCTACTTCTACAACAACAAGCAACCAGTGGTCATAAAAAGCAATCCGCCGACAGCACTTCCGCCCACTTGTAGCTGAAGTAACCAGCTGCGTAGCCTCCAGCGAAAATGTGCGCAAAAGAGCACAAGAATCGGTCGTACGGCAGCAGGGGAAGGACGTCGAACTTTTTACTGGTTTCCAAATCAACATCCCAGATTGATTTTCCCGAGTTCGGATCATAGTTCGAATGGAGCTCCAGATCAACGTGGGAGAAGTGGAGCTGGCGGAGCCTGAGGTTTATTTCAGGTTTTGAGGTGGAATAAATTTCAATTATTGTTCATTGGTCTAAAATCAAAGAAGGTCGACTAGCTTGAACATCCATGTTGTCGTTGTCCTTCTAATACGAAGTGTTGTAGTTGTAGTAGTTTTTTGTTAGCGACTAAAGCCACAATCATTAGTAATTTCAAGACGAGTAGTCCTCGTAAGTAGCATCAGGCTAAATCAGGATAGGCCGCATCAACAGCGAAGTAAATTTCAAAAATAGAAGCAATCATATTACATCATGCTCGCCGCTCTGAAATTCTTTGCTGCAACGACTTTTTTCCATAAGTCGTCTGGAATTTTCTCTCCGGATTTGTAGTGCAAAGCCATCTTATCAATAGTGCTGCGATCGTAGCAGAAGTTTTCCATGAATTGACTCGGTTGCTCCACAGCGTCCCATTCGACTTTGCGAATACCAGCTGCGAGGCCTTCGGATTGCAAGTTAGAGGTGGACAAAAGTGTTGAGGGGGGCACGACTCAGAAGTGGACGAGCAGTCTCCGCTACGCTGACAACATAGTAAGTATCCTGTGCTTTGCAAAAATCTCCCATGACATAGTAAGTATCCTGTGACAAGATCCAGGAGCATAACTTTCGTCAGCATGTGCTGCAAAGCATGTCCAAATTCGTGGAAAAGGGTTTCGACCTCTCGGAAGGTCATCAAACTCGGCTCATCGCCAATTGGTGGGCTCTGGTTGCAAACCATGTGAGCTATGGGAAGCCGCACGTTATTCCCAGAAGGGACCAAAGAGGGGTTGGCGGTGCGACCTGGGATGAAAAGGTTAAGTTTAAGTATTACTTACTGTAAGGTGTTATCTCATACTGTAAGGTCATGATCAAGCTGGATTCATCTTGATCATGTGTACTTAAGTTGAAAACGAAAAGGTTAAGTTTAAGTAAGGTCATCAAGGAGCTGGATTCATCTTGATCATGTGTAAGTATTTGCAAGAAGGGACAGCCTAAAAGTAGAAAGAGGAAAACAAGCCTATTGTTTATTCAAGTATTAGTATTTTAGTATTTCGCATTAATTTGCTTTTGCGCCTATAAGTCAAAGTTTCTAGAAGTACCATTATTGCTTCAATCTCCTGTTCCTCTATGACTACACTTCTAGTTCTACTACGTCTATAACTACATAACCTTCTTTCACTTTTAGTTCTTCTACGTCTACTACTCATTCCAGCACCTCCTTCACGCCACTTCTAATTTAGAGAAATAGAAGTACCAGCAACTTCATCCATCCACGCGCCTCCCTTCTTGGTCTCCGGTCGACTGTAAGGATCCAGGAAGAAGTAGCTCACGGCCTTCCCCTCACGCTTGATCTCGAAAACCTTCACGTCGGGATGCCAGATGCTGACACCAAGACTCCCGAAAGCGGCGTCAGTGGACGCGAGTTCGACAATGTCAATGTCAAAGAGCTTCTTGGCGAGTTGGAAGAGTCCGGAGATTAGAGTAGGATTTACATCGTTACGAGATTGGGGATCATGGCAGATTTGATGAGAAGCTGCTGACTAAAGAGGGCCAGACGAGGTTTACAACCTCTACTCTAAGACTAAGTGTAAGGACAAGGAGTACCTGAAGCTGGTTGGAAGAGTCCAGGGAAGATTAGAGTAGGAGGTAGAGGGAGATTGGGGATGGCAGATTTAGCCCTAGGGTTTAGGGCTTAGGGTATATCTTTACCACCGATTTCATAAGACCAACACTTTCGGCAACGAGAAGTAAGGCTTGAGATCCTCCTCTTTGAAGGAAAACTCAGCTTCCTTCATCCTCTCAGCGTAGAAGGGGACGTCCCACTGCATCAACTTCTCGGAGGCTGGGAAAGCAGGGTACTCGGATAGGAATTAGATGTGAAGAGAGGTCATGTCTGCTCATGGGATAAATATTCGCTTTGATCTACTTGAGGCAACTTAGTAAACTTTAGCAGACTCAGGAAAAATATTTATTGATATTCTGGTATAGGTATTAAATTTGTGAAATAGAAGTCGTTCAAGGTCGTTCGCGTTAACTTCACATCTTCTATCATCTTAACCTTTTTCGGGAACGAAGTCGAGACTTCAAATTTCTAAATCTAATGATCTATTGAACTACTTACCAGTAGTACAACAGAGCAGCTCCATGTCCATAATGTTCTTTCTTCGCGAACTTCTCTAAATCCTCTAATTCCTTCAGCGCTGGCTGCATACTAGACGCCCTCAAGTCTTCGATCAACTTGTTCGCACTATCCAAAGTGGCCATCTTCTTAGCCAAACTGGTTTCCGCGTAGTTGGTGTAGCCCAAGAGTTGAGCGTTTTCGAGGCGGAGTAGGGATTAGAGAGAGAAACGGAGCAGGTTTGCAGTCTACAACTTCTGATGTGTAGTAAAGATTTTTTATAGTATCATTCTACTATCTACCCACAATATGTACTTCAGGTTCATCACAGAGAGCGAGAAGAACGTTCTTCCATAATTCAAAATCTCCTGAATCAACGGTGTGTTGTCTTTGAGCTCGTTCGTCTTCTCGTCTTTCAGCTCCGTGAATTCGCTAGCACGCTTCAGATGTGCCTGGTACATCTTCTGGCGCAAAGCTCGGTCATGTGCGTGCTGCATCACTGGGAGATAACTCGGCATGTCCAACGTAAACACCCAAGGTCCATTTTCTGGTGTTGCCTCCTTGCATTAGAGCTGTCCGTAATTCATCTTTCAAGTGCATCCTTGAAAAGTATGGGGGAGTATTCCCTTAGGATACTCTTCCATACGTTTCAAGGATGCGCCCAAAGATGTATTATGTACAGCCTTAATTGCACGCAGCATCGGATTCGCCAAACTTGCTCTTCGCTGTTTGAGCTGCTAGGGAAAGAGCGGATGCTGGTAGTCCCGCAACTTCTGCCTTGGTGGTGAGTTTGAGACTGAACGCCTTGGTAGCGTCTTGCAGATTGTTGGTGAACTTGGTTTTCAGATCGCCCATGCGTTTGGCATTCTTGTTGTACGTCTCCTTCTTTTCGCCAGTGAGACCGACACCGCTCAATTTTGCTGCGAGACGTTCGCTTTCGACAATGCGTTTCTGACTTGGGGTCAGTTTTTCCAGTTGCCCTGGTTGGGCTGCCGATTAGAAGGATGAGGAGGTAGTTCTTACTTCTTCCAGAAAAATCATGATCGCAGGAGCGTAGTTGTAGTTATCTTTTGATGCTTAAATGTTTTGAAAGAAGATAAAAATCTTCATATTATAAATGATGATTAAGATTATAGATACTTATTTAATAGAGACAATTATGTACAACTAGTACCGCTAAAAACAACAAAAACAAAAACTACAGATTCTAAGAACTCAAGCTCAACAAATGTTCGTTCATAAAAGTAATCCCATGCTTTGAACAATGGTTCGCTTTGACCCATGCGCAAACCAAATTCAATCACCTTCGGTTGCATGTCATCAACCGCTTGCCTCAACTCTGGCGAATCCGCAACCGACTTCAGGTGCTTCACCGTACCCCACGCGCGACTAAGTTCGTCATCAAACCGCTCCACTTCTAAGGCGACTTTTTCGTAGGTCAGGGTGTTGGCAGTGAGGGCTTCTGTGATGGACGCTTCGAGTGCTTCGAGAGCGACAGTAGCGATGCGAAGTTGCTCCGCGATTCCGGGAACCACATCATCGGCTTTTACAGTGGCTGCCGTTAGAGAGACCACAGGGAAGAAGAGGAAAATAATCTTCGTCCTCTCGTGAGAGTAGGTGGAGGGAAGAAGGACTCTTTCAAGTAGAAGGTGAAGACCATAAGAAAGGAGGAAACAGCTGTGACGCTGGAAACAGCAATGGATTATCCTTCTTCGCTTCTGGCATTTTGTTAGTCTTCGCTGTAGTTTGCGACGTCGAAAAAGGTGCGCCAAAGCGTTGAAAAAGAGCCGTCGATGAAGCCGGAAATATAAACGAGAAACCTGATGTGAGAGTGAAGATTGATTGCACCATGTACTTGTAAAGGATCATGGTACTAGAGATAATAGTTTTATAGAAGAATGTTGTAGTCAAACACTACTTGGTCTACTAGGTTTGGGGTATCTGATGAGTGATCCCACCTCTGAACAAGAGTGATGCCAGCGTTAGTCGCTATGACTGGAAGAGGAAGAATCTGAATCACCGAAGCAGGCGAAGCAGAATCCAAAAACCGCGTAGGCGCAGAGACGAACTCGTGACTGTTGCTCTAAACCGCGAAAAAAGTTCTTGGCTGTTGAAGACGTAGATTAGATGTGATGAATGTGATTAAGGACAATTATGGAAATTTGTTTCTTAGTATGCAAAAATTACTGGAAATTTCTTTTTAGCAGATGATAGAGGTGCTCTGCTAGTAATAGGTCTACTACTAGAACTGCTCGTTACTGAGCCACCTTCTTTTTCCTCTGTTCTTTCAGACTCTAGTAGGTACCCAACCATGTTCATTCATCAGATGACGCCATAACCAGCAGTACTACTTGGTCCTCGTTGTACTACCCACCCAGGAAGCCACGAACTCGAAGATGTACGACGACCAAAAAGATTCGCTGCTCCCTCAATGGTAGAAGCTGTATCGTCGTAGTCTGCGCCAGAGTATGTTGTGCCAGTGGTGTTGAGGTCGTTCTTTTTAGAGCGTCTTCTTGTGAAACAAGTAGACTAATCCATCTTCTTGTGAATTACAAGTAGAGAGAGTAAGATTTCTCTTGAACAAGTTCTGCTTCTGCTTTTTAGAGTACTTCTCTCCTAGTCTCAAAGGAGGAAGTCTACAACTGCAGTTGCGATACCTAATCCTATTGCTCCTGTCCTGCTCGTCCCACGCAAGATGAGCCAGTTGTTCCAAGATGAAGATAGAGTGAGTGAGTCAAAACCAAAAAGGAAGGCCAAATCTTCCCCTGTTGAGCCTAATGCTGATCCCCCTGTTCATAATATCTACACTCGCACCACCACGACCATAGATTGGTTCATCGTCACTAGCACCAGCGTTGTTTGTGAGCTCGTAATGGCGGTTCCGAGACGATATCAAGTCAGGACTAATACTGGCACCACTCATTGATTTTTCCTTTTGGGGAAGATGGGCGGGGGTGGGTCTCTTAGTCATTTAAGATAGGGAATTGAGAAATGGAAATGACGTTGGGCATGGGTTTCTTGGAAATCACAAGATACTAGGGAGGCAGAAGTGGTGGATTGACAAAATGCTATAGCCATTCGTATGTCGTATTCATCACACCAAAAGCGATATCATTATTTGCGAATCTCGAAATTTTACTGTTGGCTCTTTTCAATATTCCCTCGATCGAGTTGTGTGTAAATTTCAGTACCTTTTTGCGATGAAAGAGTTGCAGACAATTGTCCTCTTCTCAATGCCTCTCGTCCCAAATTTTTTCCTTGTGGTTTCCCGAGAACACGTGATACAAGGCGAAGGCTCCCACCCGCTCTGTTAGCCGACATGAAGATTTGATGTTATCAAGAAATCTGCTTCTAATTTTCTTCTCACGTCAACTGAGAGGTATCCAATGCAAGACCAACAAGCTATTTCGCACTATGCACGACTATACTCTACCTGCATCCACGCGTAAGTAACTCTAATTCAATGTACGTCCTGCAGGAAATCGAGCATCAGGAGAATATTAAAGAGCAAGTCTGGTTATCGCTATGATGACTGGGCGGGCTCCTGTATTAGTGTTTAGCTTGAGGGATCAGCGTGAAGAAAATAGTGTTGCCTGTGAAGATACTCATTTGGTCTCTCGAGAAGATGAATGTATTCTTTCTGCAGAGGAACAACTTCATTTCTTATTACATCAGAATGACAATGAGCCTGAGCGAGCAAGAAGTAGAAAGCATCAGTTATTAACACGAACATCAACATCGGTGCTACAATGCTGAAGACTCCGCGTTGAAAACCATTCATACTTCAATCATGCACGGCAAATGCCTGCTAGCTTTGTCGTGGATCAACGCATCGCTAGTGGTGCTACCCTTTCACAGAACACTATCAGAATCGGCGGAGGCAGCACTACTATAAAAATTTGCAATTTTTTACTATGTTCTACAGTCGGTCTCTTTCTAGAGCCCATCAATGTATGAGCGAAAAGTGTAAGTACTAGATCATTTCACCACCGTGACGATGCACGAAGACTACTAGACCGGCTCATAAGTGAAGTTACTTCAACCTCATTCTCGTCAACACGTCTGGGCGATGTCGAGGTCTTCCGTCTGCAAGGACGTCGACGGGATTCTCCTCATTCATCCGTTTCCGAACTACCTTGCAAACCCCTCTTGATCTTGTTCCGCTCCCTTTGCCACTCCTTATAGACGCGCCTAATGAACAGCACCTCAGCTTGCTGTTGTTCAGCGAAATTGTCGCGGATCCCTTTTCTTGGTGTCTCTTGCATCTACGCCTATCCATCATCAGGTCTTCTCGCGAGTCGCTCACTCTGGCCCAAAAATAGCAAAGAATTGCGATGCTGATGCAACAGCCTAGCGATAAAACCGTGTTTCTCATCTCAGCTCGTGCTTCCTTGTCATGATAAGCAGCTTGTAAGGCAGCGGCGACTGTTGTGATGTTGGAGGTTTTTTGTCGGTGAAGGGACTCGTAGTTCACATTCATGTTCATCTCTATGTGGAATCAGCTAGTACTGGGAGTTACTACTTACCTGTAATGAAGACTGCAAGTGGTGCCAATTAAGATTAACTGAAACTGTCTTATTGGAGTAAGTACCTTCTCCTTCAATATCCATCGCCGCTTGATCACTCCAACCAGAGCCGCCTCCCTTCGCCATACCAGAATCATTCCTACTTTCTTCCCCGCCCTTTCTCTTTTCATTTTCTCGACTTCATCAATAAACTTTAATGCTTCTGAATACTGTGCCTTCAATTCGACAAAAGCATGCGCTTTCTTCGGATTGCGGTCTGGATGGCATGCTCTATTCGCTTTCTTGTAATAGGCCTTTATTTGAACAAGTCGTGCTTTTTTATCCTTTGCGCCGTCAAATTTCGAAACTGCATAAAACTACTGCGTCCTATCAGTGTCGTCGTGCGAAGTAGGTCATCAGGGTCGTCGTGCTCGTGCCCGTCATCTTCAGCACGTTGAATCGAGTAAGGCATCATTGAGAAAACACAAGAGTTTTCGTTTGTTCTAAACTTTTCCTCGTGTGTAAAAGTACTCTTCTCACTCACTCTCACATACACTCTCTCAACTCTCGTTCTAGGTAATATGGCCAGGCACGTCTCACCCGTGGTATCGGTAGTCATGTGGCAGAAGCTACCACAGGAACATGCGTCGTTCCTGTCTGCAACTGCAACGTGTAGTTTCAGTTTCAAGATTTTTTGTACAAATTGAAAAAAGGAGTTGATCTGAATGAGGAATTGATGTGATGGTTTCTCCGGTCGTCGCTTGATGCGGCGGGGACCTGTAGGATTACAATTTCTGGGAGGGGTCTACATGAACAAGTGAGGATTTTGTCGACTAGCACTATGTATCTAGAATATCTAAGTAGTACGAACAATACGAAAGGAGCCGCTTATAGGAACTTCTTCCATCTTGATCATCTTTTACAACATTAGACGTATTGCAAAGGAGGAATAGTGTGGGAAAGCGGATGGGATGCGTGTACCAAAGAAAGCAAACTCGTCTAGTACATCTGCGCGCGAAAATCAATCATAATAAATCAAGTTATTGTTATCAAACTAGAATCTATCAACATTGCGAGACAACTACTATCATCTTACCAGTACCAGAATCCTAAAAGTTGTACCTGTAACTTCCAAAACCCGTGGCCGTGCCTTGCTCGTGTCCAAATTATTAGCCGTTCCTTCTACAAATACAACTAGCTTCAATCATCTACATAAGGTGAATTATCCCAAATATTTCGTTCTCTCCAATAGTCTATCTTTATCTTATCTCTTCTACATATTTTCATATATAATTTCCTTTCTCCCTCCCAACATCTACTCATCTACAGCCACCTCATCGTCGTCTTCCAATCAGCGACGCATTCCCAACCGAGTCGAGGTACTGGAAGTGTCGCCGTTGATCCTCGCCATCCAGTTCATGGATCTTGATTTCGTCCAATGCTTCCTTAGCAGCTAGATTCTCTGCTACCTTCGTCAATTTCTTCCAGCTCTTATCTCCGGACGACGCATCGTTGTCCCAGTGGACGTGGTATGAAATGTGGTGGTGGTGCAAGGCGTGTAAAAAACGGGGAAGAAGATGAGGATAATAAATAAATGTATTTATTACACGTAATATCACGAGGATCGTACTAAGTAATTATATTCGAAGGAGGGAATACTAAGTATTTCATACTCAAGAAAGGAGGACTGTTCTTGATGTAGTAGATATTTTTTCGATCATCAAAACTGTATGAGCAAGATCTTGTTTTTGATGGAGCTACACCTACGCCAAAAATTCTTCTTCCAAAACACAACTTTTCATAAAGCTTCCAAGAATACACCAAAATTGTACAACTTTTCAACATAAAGCCCCCGCTGGTGTGAAAAACGCGTCCTTATTCCCAAAAACCCATTTCGCTTCTTGATCGACTGAGAGACGAGTCACGACAGACCCCGTAGTACCTGAATCCCATATAACGTCCGTTTCGTAGTGCAAAACCTTTTTCGAGACTCGTAGTTTCTGCTGAGTCGCGAGGTTCAAGTCGGAGATGTAGTTTAGGTTTTGCATTTGGTGAAGAGATAGTGGCTTCACAGCTACTTTACCCGTGGCACAAGAAGTTGTTGGTCCAGCAGAATCCCAATGATCTGTAGAAGGATAGGATGAAGAATCCCAATGATCTGTAGAAGTTGTACTGGAGGTAATACTAGGTGCAACTACACAAGCAGCCTGTTTTGACCAACTCGGTGTATTGTATCGAAGTTCGGGAGCGAATGGATCTACTTCGTGCCGCTCTTCTTCGCCTTCCGAACGGATCAGGCTTCCGGTGCCAGAAAAACCACCATCTTCGGCATTCCTGGTGGGTGGTGGGGAGTGAAGTCAGTCTCCGTGCACCTGATTGAAGATGATACAACTAAAACAAGAACATGAATACTTGATTTATGCTAAAAGATCATGATAAGTACTAAGAAGTTACACTAGGTGGAGAGGAATGCGAATGAGGATGCGAATTCATTCGGGAATCTGCCTAAGATTTCCCTGACGACACTTCCCCTGGTTTTTGAGACTAGGAGAGTAAAGCTCGTGCAGAGTAAAAGCCACTACCTGTAGTTTGCCACTTCATCGTGGTTACTGCCATCTTCAGCGGGTAGCAGTAATTCCTTTGGCGCTGCGTCTGAAAGAAGCGTTTCGGTAGGGGTTTTCGTCACATATTTTTCATCTGATGTAGTTGTGCTTGTCGAAGAAACACGAGTAGAATCTGTTCTCTTTCCACCCTTATTATTCTTTCCTGCTTTTATCGTGACAAAGTCAGCCAGCGTCGCCGTCTCTTTCGGTGCAGCGAACGCAGAAAGCAGTTCCCGCGTTTGTCGCTGTCTTTCCTTATTTACTGCTTTTTTCGACACGGAATCAACCGGCGCTGCGCTCAAGATGTTCTTCAGTTTCTTGAGTTCATCAGCACTGACGCTGCATCCACCTGTTGTAGCTGTACCACTAGTACCACCTGCCATATCATTAGCCGAAGAAGACGTAGATTCCATGACAATCACCATTTTCTGTGCCTGTCCGATCTTCTTTTGCACATTCCTGGCATTGTTCTCTAACCAAAGTACAGCCTCCATCGCTACTTGTTCCTCAGCAGCTTTTGCATCTGGATGCGGTATCTGCGAATGCATTTCTGTGACGATGCGACTGGGGTTCTCGGCATCACGGAAAAAGGGACGTAAGTTGGCGCCATTGTAAAGGACGCCGGGAATTAGATCTAGATGATGATGCTAGTAAAGTCTTCAAAAACACTGTTGAACATCGCAATATCATGGTGTGTGTCGTTGCGGAAACCTCAAGAATTTTTTTCCCTCCTTACAATAGATCATGTCCACAACAAGGGTTCTAGTAAGTAAATAATAGCGATAGACAGATAGACTGTGACTAAGACTATGACATAGTAAAAGGAGTGACAACTATGACTTTTTAGTAAAAGGACAGCACAAAACACGTGATAGATTGTGATACAATTGTGACAGCACAAAACACGTGATAGATTGTGATACAATTGTCGTGACAGCACAAAACACGTGACAGATTGTGATACAATTGTGACAGCACAAAACACGTGATAGATTGTGATACAAGCCGCCTAGTTGTCCCAGATGAGCCTTAAGTCTAATACTGCTCTTCGTGACAAAACCGGCCACGATTTGGCCTGGTTTCCCAAGTCACTTTCAGATCCGGAACGCCTTTTACGGCTTTCTGCATTGAGTTATTGAGTTTTTGGAGATTGTTCTGTGCATCAGGAATCCACGGGATATCACGGATCGATTTCAACAACGGCAATTGCTGGAGCAGCGACTGATGTGAAGATGATGTTGCGCTTTTGCTGTCAACATGGCGGACGTCCGAGAAACCGCAGAAGGACGACTCTTTGTCAACTACACCATGATTTTCACCAGCACAAGCATTTCCGTGCTGATGGATAGCATGTTGGAGCGGCTTTTTCGTCACTGCATTCGCCTTCTTCTGCTTCAAGAAGGCGACTGTCTCCTCTTTCTTCTTTTGTACATTCGCATCTCGGATTTTTTGTGCCTCCCGTTGAGCTTTCTCGTTCCTGCTTTTGGTGAGTTCTTGGTAGTCACCGTATAAATCTTCGAGGTTGGAGTCGTGGCTCCCGAGATTTCCAACTTGATTTCGTAGCTTTTCGAGGTCCAGGCTGCCGGTGTAACCCTGCGAAGCTGTTGCAGGTGGGCCTCCCTGGTTTTGGGGTTGGTAGTTCCGCTTCATTTTTTTGTTCCAGCGAAAACTAGCAAAATAGTCGAGTACTTAAAGATTACTAGGCTGAAAGTTCAAGGTTAAAGGTCCGCGGCTCTACGGCCATGCCGTGTTGTACTTAAAGATTACTACCTGTTGTACTAGTAGTTCACAATGTAGTTGTTGCCGATGGTCTGGTGTTGTAACTAGTACACCTGATGAAGTGACAGACCGATGTCAAGACGATCCTGGCTGTCAAGGAAAATAAGCTTAAATTTCATAGCCTGTGGTCCGAAGTAGGGATAAAAAATTATATGTCGGCGGAGTAAAGGTCGATCAAGTTCTTCTTTAGGGTCGGCCTCGGCCAGAAGCTGCTGACTAAAACGCGTCAGAGGTTTACAAGTTCTAGTCTAATTACGTCTAGATGAACTGGTTGCAGACAATGAGAATTGTCCTGAGCTCAATGCCTCTCGACCCAAATTTTCTCCTTGTGGTCTCCCAAGAACACGTGATACAAGGCGAAGGCCCCCACCCGCTCTGTTATTTCGCACTATGGACGATTACACTCTACCTGCATCCACCACGCGTAACTCTAATTGAATGTACGTCCTGCAGGAAATCGACCATCAAGAGAATATCATAAAGAGCAAGTCTGGTTATCGTCATGATAACTGGGCGAGCTGTATTAGTTTTTACCTTGAGAAGGGTGAAGAAGATAGTGTTCAACAAATTGTTCCAAGTGCTCCTGTGAAGATACTCATTTGGTCTTTCGAGAAGAATGTATTCTTTCTGCAGAGGAACAACTTCATTTTCTATCACATCAGAATTAACATGAGCGAACAAGAAGTAGAAAGCATCAGTTAACACGAACATCAACATCGGTGTTACAATGCTGAAGACTCCTCCACTTCAGAAGCGCTGCCTCAGGCGATCCTGAAGTAGAGAATTCAGGGTCGTCGATGTGTCAATGACGATGTACCTAAACCTGACTTGAATATACTTTGAAGCGGAGAGAACAGTGCGTGAAATGAGCCATTATACGCCTAGAGGACCTACATCACCTGACTTCAATATTTGAATTCTTCCATGTGAGTCTGCAGTTTCTCCGAAGGTCTGCGACACTCCTACAGAACCGCTGCTGTTGTTCTGCTCGGACTCGGTGGCGCTTTTGCGACCTTCAACCTTCATCAAGTCGTGTTAACAGTGGCAGCACGTCAAAATGGGAGTGCTTCACTGGACCACTCTCCCAGCAGCTGAGGCTTCCCCGTGTCTTCCAGCCAGATCCCTAACCGAAGGCGATGTTATTCAGGGTAGCCTTGAAGATGACAAGAAAAGAGGAAAGAGTAGCCTTGATCTACTAGAAGATGCCGGTCGTGTCCGGCCGCGTTCTTGTTGTGGGCCGCGCACTGCTCATCTTCAATGGCATGATCTTCAACCTCCTCGTGATACTGCTTCCCTTCGCATTCTCGCTCCCAACACAACAGGATCCCGCAGTAGAGCGCCTCCATCTTCTTCTAAAAGGTTCATTCCAAAGTTGTTGTGAAAGCTGTATTTCGGAATGTACACTTCTTCTTTCTGTGGTTCTGGTTCTATTACCTCCTCTTTTTTCTGCGTTTTTGCAATCTTGTTAATCATGCTGCAGAAGTCGGCGCCGCTTACGTCGGAGAGAAAATTAGAGAGAGAGACGAGGAGAGTGAGGACTTGGACTACTACTACAAAAATTGGCAATTCATTACTATGCATGTAGGTACTACAGTCGGCCTCTTTCTAGATGAAACCATCAATTTACCATGAGTGAAAAGTGGAAGTTGTAGATCATATCACCACCGTGACGGTGCACGAAGACTACTAGACCGGTTCATAAGTGAAGTTACTTCAACCTCATTCTCGTCAACAAGTCTGGGCGATGCTGGGATCTTCCGTGGCCTACGGGATTCTCTGAATTCATCCGTTTCCGAACTACCTTCCAAACCCTTCTTGATCTTGTTCCGCTCCCTTTGCCACTCCTTATAGGCGCGCCTAATGAACAGCATCTCAGCTTGCTGTTTTTCAGCGATAAATTGTCGCGGATCCCGTTTCTTGGTGTCTCTTGCATCTACGCCTATCGTCAGGTCTTCTCGCGAGTCGCTCACTCTGGCCCAAAAATAGCAAAGAAATGCGATGCAACAGCCTAGCGATAAAACCGTGTTTCTCATCTCCGCTCGTGCTTCCTTGTCATAAGCAGCTTGTAGGGCAGCGGCGGCTGTTGTGAGGGAGGTCGTTTTATTTTGTCGACGCACGTGGAGTAATTTTTATTACACCTCCTGCAGCTAGTGATGTAGTACTTCTGAGTAGTTAGTTACACCAACATGTACAGACTACAATGACTGTTTGACAACTTTGACTTTGTAAAGTTTCTCAAATATTATACTTCTACCTTCAATATCCATCGCTGCTTGATTATCCCAACCAGACTGGCCTCCCTTCGCCATACCAGAATCATTTCCATCTACTCCTTTCTTCCCTCCACCTCCCGCCTCTTTCTTCATTTTCTCCACCTCCTCAAACAACTTTAATGCTTCTGCATACTGTGCCTTCAGTTCCACGAAAGCATGGGCTTTCTTCGGATTTCGGTCTGGATGGCATGCTTTCGCTTTTTTGTAATAGGCTTTCTGCAGTGTCTTTTTATCCTTAGCCCCATCAAATTTCGACTGGAGCAGTTCGGATAGTTCAGCGCGGCGAGCGGAAATGGCACTAGGAGCTTGTTCTGGTGGTCGTGGTGATGAGCCGTGTGCATCTCCATCCTGACCCTGTCGTTGGTGATCCCTACCACCTTTGCTAGCACTCTGGTCGCGTCGCCGTTGTTGGCTCTTAGCATGCAAATTTGCAAGCTTCTTTCGGCAAAAATAACCAGCTGATCTACGGGCGGACAGCTGCATGAAACTGCGTCGCTGGTATCCTGCGAGCGTCATCAGAGTCGTCGTGCTCGTGGCCGTCATCTTCAGAACGTTGAATCAAGTAATCATGTCACAGTAAGGCATTTCTAAAAATGATGAAAGACTTGAGCTGCTTTTGTTTCTTGTTCTATAATTCAGTTGTTCTCTTCAACTTCAGTGTTGTATCTAGTCGTTGGAGAACAAGAGGTCGTACTCTCTTGTTCTTTTGGTAGCATAGGCAGTACATCCAGAAGTACTCTTCTCACTCACAAGCACTCCGTCAACATGAACATTTCGCATCTGGCCTCAACGCAGTTTCTACTTTCACTCTCAACTCATTCAACTGAAGAACCACCTGCGCCGTTCCTATCTGCATCCCCTTCTAGGTACTTAATATGGCGAGCCACGTATCAAACGTCCAGTGGAAAAAGCTACCACAAGAACGTGCGTCGTTCTCTGAGACCAAGGGTTTAGGGTTCGCCAAGGTAAACGAAACTACTAAGTAAAGGTTCTTCATCTTCATGCCTTTTCATTTTTCACAGGAATGAATGTGCGTTCTTCAAAATTCCAATCGGTATTCAGCTTATGAGCTTCAACGTGTTTCGCAGTCAGAATGCCTGTGAGAGCAACCCACTGAAGTCAATCCTTGGACAGACCATCCTAGGAACGACCTCCACGGATACAGAGCTTTGCAACTATAAAGTGTCTTACTGTACTAGATGCAACTCAATCTTCAGTATGTGTTAGTAGTTTTTTAGCAGCAGAGAAAGAGATGATAACGTCAAATTCATGACGTTTTTGACTATGGTTGATCACCATGCATGAGTAAGATGTAACTCAATCTTCAGTATGTTTTAGTTTTCTATCTTTAACAGCAGTGAGAGAGATGATGACGTCAAATTCAAGACGTTTTCGAGTATGGTTTATCATCATGCATGATTACTTATGTAAAAAAGAGTTGCAATATTCTCGAACTGTTGTGCTTGCACCAGTACCTGATTTGATACAACCGAGCCGTCCTCTAGAGCAATAAATTTTTACCATGCACGTCGATCTTCCTATACACGATCTTCTTTTACTCATAGGGTAGAGGCTCGTAAAAATCTATAGACACCTCAAAAGAGGTCTAGGATTCGTGCTTGAAAGGTGTCCGAAAACAGGAATAAGCAGATGAAAATCAGTGACGCGAAGAATAGATTCCCACAGTTGAAGGCCTTGATGAGCTCGATCCATAGAGGAGAGTCACACACCGCATCTAACTCGGTTTCTCCAGGGACGTGGCGGACAGGTGTATCCAAAGGAAGCGTTCCCGGGAGGCAGTAGTACAAAAAGCATCCCCAAGGTTCCCATGCCCACGACGGTGCTGTTGCGCATCTTTTCGGCAGGACGCGGACCTCTCCACCACCAGCCCAGCTCTCACGCACCATGGACAACTGGGCAGCAGGACCATCACTTTGCGTTGCTGGGTAAGGTGTGGCTAGATCTGTAGACGAGCCTGGGAAGTTGCCGGAAGCGGAATCACCAGCAGCATAAGTCACCACATCAGGAACTCCTGCACTGCGTGTTTCGGGGTCCTCGTCTCCAGCCTCCAGATCTATGTCCTCTAGGCCATCATCCATTTCCACGTTGACATCAAGTGCACCTAATCCCTCTTGTACACTGCGACCTAACGTCGTTGTTCCGGCTCCGGTAGAGGATGCACTACTTCTGCCATTAGCTGCAGGGGCATTTCCGCTAGAGGAACTACTTCTAGCATGATTCTTCTTCTTCGTCTGATGTTCTTTCGCTTTTCGAGCAGCGCGCAGCCTGTTGATACGTTTTCGCAACGAGAATGAATCTGGATTCCGATAGTTCACATGATGCACTTGCGTATCATGAGTCGCGATGAAAGAAGCGCTTCTCCTTGCCCCTTTAGGGCCAGGCTTGGGAGGACGCTGTCCAACGACGCCTGATCCACGATCTGTCGAGTCTTCTAGTGGCGACCTAGAATCCTCAGAGGACGTCGATGAACCAGCCACTACGACTCTACCAGTAGAGAACATTACTTTTGGTTGCTTGTCATCGGCAAACAAGAGAGGGACCGGCTGTGAGGAACTACTCGAAGGAGGACCACCACCGTAAGAGTCAGCGAACGCCCCCCGCGGATCGTCACGCGTCACGCCTCTAGCGTGACGCGTATGAACCTCGGGGGGATTGGGTGTTTTTTCGCCAGGCGTGCTCTAGCGTGACGCGTAGGAATTTCGGGGGGATTGGGTGCTTTTTGACGATGAGCGCTCTAGCGTGACGCGTGGGAATCTCATCGGGGTCGGATGTCTTTCCCGCGTGCGTTCTTTAGTGTGACGCATGGGAATCCAATGCAGACCGGGCGCCCCTTTGCCAGTGTGTAAGCGTGACGCTGGCCGAAGTTCTCCCTTGAGGGTCCTCAGCCTCATGATCGGAAAGACTTCGGCTGAGTGTCCTCTATTCAGATTGAGGGCTCTCCTTTGAAGGTCCTCATGATCGGAAGGGCTTCATCTGCGAGCCCTCTCAGAGCAGAGCGAGGGCTCTCCCTTGAGGGTCCTCATGATCGGAAAGGCTTCAGCTGAGTGTCCTCTATTCTTTCAGTTTCAGACTGAGGGCTCTCCCTTGAAGGTCCTCATGATCGGAAGGACTTCATCTGCGAGCCCTCTCAGAGTGAGGGCTCTCCCTTGAGGGTCCTCATGATCGGAAAGACTTCAGCTGAGTGTCCTCGATTCAGATTGAGGGCTCTCCCTTGAAGGTCCTCATGATCGGAAGAGCTTCATCGGCGAGCCCTCTCAGAGGGAGGGCGCTCCCTTGAAGGTCCTCACTCATGCTCGGAAGAGCTTCATCTGAGGGCCCTCTCAGAGTGAGGGTTCTCCCTTGAAGGTCCTCGCTCATGATCGGAAGAGCTTCATCGGGGGGCCCTCTCAGATTCGACTGAGGGTGGGCTCTCCCTTGGGCGTCATCTGAGTGTCTTCTATTCAGAGTGAGGGTGGGTTCTCCCTTGAAGGTCCTCTCTCATGATCGGAAGTGCTTCATTTGGGGACCCTTTCAGAGTGAGGGTTCTCCCTTGAGGGTCCTCATGATCGGAAAGACTTCAGCTGGGTGCTCTCTATTCAGATTGAGGGCTCTCCCTTGAAGGTCCTCATGATCGGAAGGACTTCAGCTGAGTGCCCTCTTCAGATTGAGGGCTCTCCCTTGAAGGTCCTCACGATCGGAAGGACTTCAGCTGAGTGCCCTCTTCAGATTGAGGGCTCTCCCTTGAAGGTCCTCACGATCGGAAGGACTTCGGCTGAGTGTCCTCTATTCAGATTGAGGGCCCTCCCTTGAAGGTCCTCACGATCGGAAGGACTTCATCGGCGAGCCCTCTCAGAGTGAGGGTTCTCCCTTGGGGGTCCTCTCTCATGATCGGAAAGACTTCAGCTGAGGGCCCGAAGGTCCTCATGATCTGAAGGTGGGGCCTTCATCTGCAGGCCCTTTCTTGAGCGTCACGCGAAGAGCGTGACGCCTTGTCTCTCGTAAGTCTGTAGGGTACATGCAACAAAAGCGTCACGCTTTTCGCGTGACGCGTCACGCTTTTCGCGTGACGCTCGAACCAAGATGGGGCAAGCTCTCAGTAGTATACCAGAGGGGGGAAGGCGTGACGTCTTATGTAGGACCGCGGGGGGCGTTCGCTGACCCTTACGGACCACCACCTCCTGCCGACCTACTGCTTGCAGCAGCACCACCACCTCCCGAACTACTCGCAGCAGCGCCAGAACTACTTGCGGCAGCGATAGAAGATCCTCTGTTCGGGTCATCCTCAATTGATGCTGGAGCGTTCTGCAACGAATCGCTATCAGCTGGCTCCACTTCAGTTGTATCATCAGTAGATATTAGAGGAGGAGCTTCTGGACGAACAGCGGCTGTGATATTAGAGGAGGAGCTTGCTACTTGGTAAGCATTTTTGTCTTCGAAGAAGTCTCCTTCTACATCGTCTGGCGTCCAAGAATGTTCCTCTGGTGCCATCAGGAGACGGCGCGATAACGCAACATCAGTTGATGTTAGGGTGCAAGCAAATGCCCAAGAAACAAGTGGAGAGCGAAACGGCAACATCGTGGAGGTTTGTTTTGAGGAAGAGAACACTGCTCAATGGTTCTCTGGTGTTGTAATTAGACCTGATGAATAAAATGACAGACCGATGTCAAGGAAAAGAGGCTTCTATTTCATCGCCTGTGGAGGTCCGAAGGGAGAATGTGTCAGCAGGAGCAGAGTAGACGAGGTCGATCAAGTTATTGACGATCTTGTATCATACGTCTGTATTTCAATCTTTCAGACAGAGCGTCACGTAGTTGTAGGCACCTTGACATTCCATCAAGGAGTCACCAGGAGGCGGTTCAGAATTGAGAGACGAACACACTGACCACACCAGTGGTTTCGGCCGATATGGAGCAAAAGAACCAAGAGTCCTTCATTTCCTCATTCTTGCGCTTTTCGTTCGGTGGATGCGATCCTTCAGCGTATTTTTAAGCGTCAATGTGCGAATAGTATGTTCCTTCAATATGCGGTGTCCTTCAATCTGCTCATCAACCATGATGATCATTGAATGTTGTCTATGCAATGTTTATGACATGATTCTGTGACGATGTTGAAATGGTTTAATCCTATGAATGTTCATGTAGTTGTTATTATTATGATAAGTAGTATGAAAGTAATGCGTTGTGATGTGATTCCAATATAATTGCGTGTTCTGATCGATCCTGATAAAATTCGAATCCTACTTTCCAAAATAACAATAAGTAAGTGATAACTAGTAATTGCTTCTTCATCTTCAGTCTGAATCTGATGCTCTCACGTAGTTGTACTTAGTAAAGATAGTTTTTAAGTCGATCCAAAAACTTCCCTAAGACGACTGATCTTCATAGAAAAGCAAGATCTCGTCTGAAATTATCAAATTGATGAAACACCCCAATGTTATCTTTTCCCTTGATATTCTTCCCTGTGCAATCTGTCCTGTCATGGTCCCACGTAGAGCGAAGATCTACTCTCAGGACTTAGACAAAATCCGTAGCTTCCTTCTAGAGACGATGATTCCAATAAAAACTAGAATAAGTAGTCTCGTCCCAAACCCAATGAACTGACATCTATATTAACACACAGATGAAGTTGAAGATACGAATGACTATATCAAGACTGTAACGATTCAATTTGATAACTATCTAAGTCTATGAATATATTTTCCCTTGATGAAGATGTTTCCCTCCCTAGTGAAAATTCTTACGTGTGGAACATACGCTCTTTCCCTATATAATCTGATTCCTCTTTAAGGAAATAAAATGTCTTACAGCAGTATCTCTGAGGAATCGACTCATTATCTATGAAGGATGTTGACCGCTATCGCTAATTATCTTCATCTCATTTATCTCAATCTCCATTATCTACTCTTTAAGATACAACTATTAAGAAGGCCTCGCCTAAAAAGACCACTTGTACTTCACAATTTTTTCGACTTCCGTCCTAGGTAAATCTCGTCATCAGACCCTGACCAAAGAGATTTCTTTCCTCATCCTCTTATGCAGCTTCTGGAGATTAGCTAGTGCCGAACGGTCTCAGCTGAGCAGCGAAGTCCACAAATCCGAGTCTACGACTGGACCCAGCAAACCGTTGCCAAAGCAGCTCGATATCCTTAGTACGCGCGTTTCGGTGGTTCATCACCACCTTCTGGAAGTCGAGGAAGGAAATGTAGCCCTTGTCGTCCGACATGAGGAGGAAGGCGTCGAGGAGAGCGGTGGAGACGGAGTCGACGTCCATCATAAGCATCTTGCGGAAGCGTCAAGATTAGAAGTCGCCATTGGGAAGAGGTTCCTAGGGTGTAGTTTGAAACCTTTTTACTAGGAGTAAATAGTCCTAGGGAGGTGTTTGAAAATGAAATCTTACTAGGAGTAAATACTTAGTCCTAGGGTGTTTGAAACCTTTTTACTAGGAGGAAATACAGCTGGAATTGGAATTACAACTTTGTAATGGCCATCCCTTTAGAATCTACAAATTCTTTCCACCATAATCTTGATCTTCAGCGACCTCAATGGCGAACTTCAGGAATTGTCTCAGCTTGTGCTTCTGCGTCAACGTCAGTCGGAACTCAGTGTCTCGGTCATCGCCGATAAGGTTGCAGCGGAAGGGCGTTCGGCACACGGAGCAGGTCACGGAAGAGCATCCTTCCATGGTGCGCTGGACCTGAACATTTTTTGGATGGGGAGTAGAGGTTGAAGTTTTTTTAGAATCTGGATTTTTTTTGAATTCAATTTGGACGAACCATGATGAGGAGACAGATGCTCCTCGACCTCTTCTATCCATGATGAGGAGACACATGCTCCTCGACCTCTTCTAACCCACAAAAATCCCAAAAATAAATCCTCCACAATCTATCAACTTCTAAAAAGTACTCATCTCGCTCTCACATCAAAGAACCCAAAAATAAATCCTCCACAATGAATCAACTTCTAAAAAGTTAGTACTCTCGCTCCACATCCTGGACAGCTAACTGTTGACCGCACGACGTACAGCACGTTCATGGTCTCAGCATCCTCCATAACGGGCTCCACATGTTGGGTCTCCTCGCTCTGTTGCGGGAACAAGGCATGGGTCAACTCACCAAGGCTGAGTTGGCCTTGTTTCAGCTTGGCGGCATCGCCTTTCTTCAGGTCCCGGAACAGTTGGCAGACACCGGAGAAGGAGACTGGGAGCTCAGAATGCATGATCTGCCAGACATCAGTGTCGGCGATGTACCTGGTGTTGTTGGAGGGGAGGAGGATAGTGAGAGAGAATGAGAAAGTGTGTTAGTGTTGGTCCCTGTGACTGAGTGAGTAGTAGAGTGTTAATATCTTAGGATCATTTATGAGTACAATGGCACCGCCCTGTTTTACGCAATATATTAATAACGTCTAAGTAAGTAAAAGAAGATATAACTAAATATATAAAAGAGGAAAAAGCTGCAAAGGAAACAAAAGCAACTTGTATTACCCCTTTCCATATCGGTCAAACCACTTGAACGCTGCTTCCAGGTTCACGCCTGCTTGCCAGATCTGCTCCTTCTCGGATTCTAGCATCACGTCGGTATCCATCATCTTGCACAGAGTGTCCGCGACCTTGGTCAAGTGGTGCTTCTGGCGACGATGGGTCAACAGTTCGCTTTCCTTGAAGCCCATGTTGTCCACGTTAATATCCACAAAAGTCGTGGTCTTGGACATGCGTGGAGACATGACTCGGCTCATGCTTCGCTCCTCGTCGAGGACGGAGGAATAGCCACCAGCGAGATTCGTCATGCGGGGAGACGACATGAAGGATGAATCGTTGCCGTTGAAGGAAGAGTCGTTGCCAACAGTGGTGGACATCATGCTGCGGTTGTTCTTCATCGTCTGGCCTGGTGTGCGTGGAGAGAGAGAAGCACGCGGAGACTGTGGTGCCATGGAACGGGACGTCATGGTTGGACTCTGGCGAGCGCTCATCGGACGACTTGGAGCAGCGAAGCCAGTGACGGATTTGAAACCTGGTTTTGGAGGGAGAGAATATCCATATTGATGAGGGAGAGTGATGAATGTAACATATTTTCGAATCGAATTAGAACAAGCATTCTAACAACAACAACTGCTACGACCAGCTATAAATTGATGCACACAATCAAAAACGAAAGCGCAACAGGTTGTACAGACCAAAAGCACCCACATCAATGTTATCAATCGGTACCTCTCGGACTCAATCGATCCGCTTCCTCGGAGTTGGTGTGGCATTTGAAGGTCGTCCGGCAGAATGGGCAGGTGATGTTGGGGCAGGCGCCTCCATCACGCTGGCACATGGAGCCACAGCCAGGGCACATCGTCGAAAAATTGCGGATGTACAACTCGTTGAGGTAAGCGTCCGCCTCCTTGGAGGACAGGAACTTCTCGAACTCAGCGTAGGATAGCATGTCGGTGCCTGGTGGTGGTGGAAATGGGAGTAAATGTAGGAACTTCTCGAACTCAGCGTAGGATAGCATGTCGGTGCCTGGTGGTGGTTGTGGGAGTAAATGTTGTTGTTTTAGACAATGGGCAGAGGGTGGGACTAAAGATAGACTCTAACAAGATTTGATAAGTAGATTATCTGTTTGATGTCTAGGATTATTTAGATATGAGGATGATAAAGATCATTGTCGTGGTTGACTTGATATAGTTGTACTGGTTTAGATATTTAGAAATCTTGGTTGTACTGTAGATACCATCATCTTGTTCTAAGATTACAACTACCAGTATCAAAGTCAAAGGAAAGCGATGAATAGCATAAAAGAACTAAGCAGAGGACGAGTACCACTCAAATTGACCCTATGGAACAGCTGTTCCACTTGTCCGATCGTCAAAATTTCCTTCACATCACACAGCAGTCTGCAGACACCCAAGACCGACACGTGTGTCACTCCCGGTGCCGTCGACATCGATTGCAACCACGCGAACCCACGCTGAGCAATGTTGTTACGGTCCTCACGCCATTCGTACTCGAGGAGGCGCTTGCGACGGAGGGTTAGCTCGTCATACAAAGCAGTTTCCTGCTCCAACAGGCGCACGAAGTGGTAGCCACCGTCGCGACCCATTTCGCGCTCCAACATAGAGGAACCGCGACGACACATGACCAGGGAGCGAACACGCTTGTCCTCACGAGGGAGGACCAGCTTCAGGAAGTGCTCGTACCTGTAGTTGTAGGAGTTTTGCAGTGATACTGATATGAGGAACGAAAAACTAGACGTACATTTACATAGTGCCAGTTTTCACCTTCTTTTTAGGACATCGACATTCTAAATCTAAATGTGGCAGTAACTACAGATCAAATTCTTACCGCATAACTCCAAATGTGGCAGTAACCACAGATCAACTTCTTACCGCATAACTCCTTCTCCCATCGAATAGTGGTCGATCACTTTCGCCACGTCGGATTCGCGCAGCATCGACGTCTTGTAATACTGACGGTTGAGCCAGATGATGATGTCCTTCGGGGTTAAGACTCCAGAGGTCATCGGACGCATCTGCATGGCCTTGAATGCAGTGTAAGTTAGAGGTGTACTTGTAGGGGAAGATTCATCTTCTACTCGGGGATGAAGATCATCTGGGTGGAGGTGCCATGATTTTCCTCGTGTTCGTGATGTCTTCTTTCTCTACTTCCAGATGACTCTGGAGGAGATGAATTATGAATTTTTATTTTTACTTCTAAATAATAGGTTGTTTTCTTATTTTAGATTTAGAGATTACGTCTAGCTTTTGCGAAGCCATAAGTAAGGTTCGAAGTCTGGGTCCTCGCACATACGAGCACGGATGAAATCGATTTCAGCTTCGCCATCCGCGGCAGCTTTCAGCAGACCGCTGATGATCACCTCTTCGCGAGCGTCCAACATCGTATTTTTTTTTGGTCTAGATGTAGAAGATGTTGCTTCTGCTCGTGGCAAGAAGACCAGATACGGAGACGATGACGAGGTCGTCGTGTGTATTTTTTTGGTCTAGATGTAGAAGATGCACTAGCTATAATGCTATCTAGCTTTTCTTTTTGGCGACTTACTTAGTACTAACTATTCCCTCTAGTTGTATCGTTATGATCGTTAATTTGCTCTATTCTTTATCGTTAATTATCCTCTCTATCCTCCTTTTATTACGATTTTTACTTCTAAATAATATGTTGTTTTCTACTTATTTCAGATTTAGAGATTAGGTCTAGCTTTTGCGAAGCTTTATAAGGGCCGTTGGCGACTCTGAAGAGTCTAAGAGCCGATTCCTAGAGTCTGCGTTTTAATTTGGAATTTTGGGAATATGATATGATGTCGTGGTCTGGTGTGATGATAGCGATAGATTAGCCTTACAACCACTTGTGAATCACAAACTACATGATCTACACTACATCAGATGAAGTAGAAGTAGATGATGAAGTACTAAAACAGAAGCTAGTACACTATTAAGACTGGCCGCCGAACTGGCGGGAATCAATGCAAGCTCCGTTCACCATAAGTTACTTGGGATATCATTCCAAAACAAAGAAGAGTCGTCGTTTGCGCAAAAAAAGAAAAAACAACACACATTTCTGGAGATTTAGATTTTTTAGATGTTGATGACCGATTGATGTTTTTTTTTGAAAAAAACGGACACTCACGTCGCTCTTCATATCAGCAGACTCGTTCTTTAGCGCACAAAAAAACGACAGAGTGCCAATTTATTAATTTGCCTCAGACAGACTCAGGTACTATCAGGCGTTGTTGTAGATTGACAAGCATAACCGGCGCCTTGTGGAGCTCTCTCATCGTCTTCGACAGCAAACAGGCCTCTCGATGCACCGACTTCTCATGCCTCACAGTTCACCGAAGTTGTAGAACATCAAGAACAACATCTTCCCATGCAGTTGTAGAACAGGACTCTTTCTATTCCTGTACATCGGATTTAAATCTCGTCGAACTGAACTGCTTACTTATCAGAGTTAATCCCTCAAGCTGACAGATGTTGAGTCCTTTAGATTTTCTCTCAACTTAACAGAGTTTTCCTCGAAAGCTAGCACTCTCTCCATCAGAGGAGACGAAGGACGAACATCGCTTATCTACATGAGAAAGTGAAAGCCTTCCTCAAGTTAGTACCGAATCCTATGTTTCAATTCAGTGCCGAAAAATCAAAAGAAATCTAAAAAAGATGCGTCAAACGACATCAAACACTTCCATCAGATTTAGATCTTCTTCAGTTCGAAAAGTTGACATGCATGTTGCCGTGGACAACTTGTTGTTCATCTCGTCTTTAGATGACATTGCACTTTCGCTTTTACCAAAAAATAAATCTAACGGATCACTCTTTCCATCTAAAAAAGAGCATTGACCACCTATTTTTCCAGCGCATTGACCACCAGCATCTAAATCATCAGCCTCATCGACGACCCAAAAGGCAACTTCTTCGTCATATTCTGGTATTCGAAGGACGTACTTTCCACGCTTTTTAATGCCAGGAAATCGTAGCACGTGGACAGGAGTCGACGATCCACTGTGGGACATAAACAGCTCTCCACCGGATGCCTTTTTTGGTGGCATTTTCGTCGTTATCTTCGCGTACAGCTGTCGAGTCGAGCTAAGGTGCTGCTCATGCTTTTGCTTGTTTTGCACCTTTTTAGGTTCTTTAGATTGCTTTTGTCGCACACTCGAATCCCCCTGATCAGCACGTACGCGTTGTTCCGCCTCTTCTACTAGAATCTCAAAGATTTCCACCGTATATTTGAAAGATTCATGTCGCGGCTCCACCTTTGAAGTAGACGCATCCTCTGCTTTTTTGGCTTTCGACGCAGCATTCTCCTTGTTCCTCTCCCGGAATCGATTCGCCCAATATAGTGCAACGTCAAAAGTGTGCAAATATGGAATCACTGATACCACATTTCCTCTAAAGTTTTCGCCAAGGGACTGCGCTATTCGGAAGGTTGCTTTGGTCAGCTTTGTAGATTTAGCATAAGGCTTCTTCTTCGGACGTGCGGAGAAATTTGTGGTCACGGGCACGACGTCCTTGTCGTCGTCTTCATAATCTAAAGAATCTAAATCTTCATCGATCGTTCTTCCGGTTCTGCTCTGACGAGTCTGATCCTCTGTTGAAGAGAAATCGTCGTACAGCTTACCTCGAAGGGGGACAGCCCCTTCTTCAGGATTCTCACGTTCGCGTCCACCTACGCCTGAACTTCCCCAATCCAGCCCTATGCGTATCGCACGCAACGGAGAACTGCTACCAGAGAAATGCATTATCCTTTCTTTCAGCAGAAAAGATTGTTGGCTTGTGTCGCATGATACTGGAATAGTTAATGGCGAATACGCACCGTCAAGGGAAACAGGAACGCTCATATAGTGTTGAAGTGTGAACGCTATTTTCAACGCTCCCGCTGCAGAACGATCAAAATGATGATCTCTGATGTGCGACACGGTCAAAGTCTTCAAAGCTTTATGTGTCCCCCCGTCAAGGATACGACTGATCCCTGAACCATCCTCCGTTCTTCCAGGAAAAAGGTATCGTTTCTGATTCTCCGATAATTTCACTTTCCGTGCAAAAAAGTATTCGTGCTGGATTTCTTGTTGCTCAAAAAAGTTATCATGAATCCATTTGGCGGCTGCTTGCAAAGAGGTAGATGCGGTAGACAGTCCGTGGATGTTCTTGTCCCCCTTGTTGCCAGTAGATGAACGTCCTCGTATGAAATCCTCTAAATACCCAGGACTATTTGTTCCTATCTCGTCTAATGGGCCATGGAAAACTCTTTCCATACTAGACGATGGAGGTTCTCCTTTTGCAGTATTGTGAACTAGGAAACCATTCAAGTGCAGGTTTGCATTGATGTGTCGATCCCAACTAGATTCGGAATGGCGGATGGCTTGGGCGAAGAAGGCCTCATCGGACTGGTACTGGGCTAGAGCGTCACGGATTAGATAGAGCATGTCCTTTCTACTTTCAGCAGGTGTGAAGATGTTCTTTACATCCGTGGCGGTACAACTGGCTGGTGGGATTTTGTAGTCAATGTCCTTCGTAGTGGGATTTAGATTCTCTAGATTTTCTGCTTGATGTGCTCGTAGTTGTGCCTGTGTCTGCTGCAACCGGTTGTTCCTAGAAGGAATCGTGTCCTTGTCCAACGTTAGACCGTTAAGAACCCATTCCCTCCCTTCTCCACCAGGCGAAAACAACAGCTCACTGTCATTGATGCTGTAGTCTGGATTTCCGTTATTTCCAATACCCATGCCCTCCAGGACTATTTCTTGCACAAAATCCCTCGCTAAAATGACCCACTCAGGCCCTCTCGCGAACCTCTGCCGAAATCTCAGAGGCTTGTGCATCGCTAAGGAACGTTTGAAAGTCATGGATACTCCTCCATTCATATTAGTTTTCTTGTAGTTCTCCTTTGAGGAAGTAGCCAGTTTTCCTTGCGCAATATCGTCATTTATACCTTTCACCTGCTTCAGAGTCTTCGCGCTTTCGTCACCATGATTCGAATCATCATCATCAACGCAGCTAAACCCTAAGGGTCTCGCACACATGTGCTGCCAACAGGGGTCCATCGCGATGAAGTTCCAACCTCGGTAGAGAGCTAGAAAGTTTTCGATGCCTGGTTTTAAAACCAGATGCGTCTCGCTAATCGGGATGAAAAAGTCGAAATTTTGCTTCAACAAAAAAGCCATCGCATACAGCTTCGTTTTCAACAATGTGTTCCCTCCTTTGACAATCTCATAGGATCTGGGTAGTATGAAGGTGTTTCGAGGTAGATTGTCGTGCACCTGCAGCTTAATAGAGTTGTTCTTCTTTTTATTGACCACGAGGACCTTCGCATCCACGTGCACGAGAAGAATGTTGTCAGAGGTGGAACCGACTATAAGCGGATGAAGGTTCCATATCGCTCGAGTATTTTCATTGACAGTGAGGAAGTAGGCTATCTTTGCAGGACCATTTTCTTGGTCTCTTGTTTTGCTCCTGTAGTTTCCACTTGCACCAACAACATCTCCGCCGTCAAGCTCAGGATAACATTCGAAGAAATCCATATTCATGGTCTGGTCTCGCATATGCGCGCACTGTGGAAAGGTGTTCACTGCGTCCTCGTACAGTTCTGAACAATAGAAATCCACCAGTTTGTTCTTACAGTAAGTGCTCTTTAACGAGGCCAATTCGATATGAAGGTCATTAACTGCTTTTTTCCGACACGGCGTACTGTAGTTTTTGTTTTTCATTTTCTTCCTGTTTTTTCTAATTGTACTAGTTGATGTTGAAGACGTTGTGGTTCTCTTTTTGGAAGTCGGAGGAGCTGCTCCTGCCTGCAAAGTAGGCAAAACCGTTTTCATCAGAGCCTTTGTCAAGTGGCTTTTACTTTGCTCATTTTTCGCCGTAGCCGCGCTGGCGCAAGCAACATAAAGACTGACCCACAAGAAGGTCACCAAGCTCCACGAAATGTGCAACATGCAGCAAGCCTGTCTAGGACTGACTGAAGACAATGGTATCTTCCGCGGTATCCCCAACATCTTGATGTCCTCTCTATTTCGTTTCTGATGGACAGCACTGCCAGTTCTGATGGACAGCACCGCCAGTGGAATATCCGAGGCGAAATAAGTACGTCTTCCGAAAGTCGTGTCCGAGGAGCTTTGATTCAACATAGGAGCTTTGTTTCACACTACCACCTTTCAAGGATCAAAGATGACATGCGATAGATCTTCGCTGGTTTCAAGGAAGACATCAAACTGAATTCAGCGGTTTAGACCACAACAACGAAGTGAACACGATGCAAAATTCGATGTCCATCAGTCGCACTCGTAACTACGCGCGAAAAGCGCAATAAATAACCACGACATGCGCTCCTGAGATATTATTCTTTCATTACAACTTCCCTAAACTACAAGTTAACTTCTACAAGAGGAACCTACAAGAACAAGCAGCAGATGAAGGTCTACTATCAAAATATTCATGTCTTCTATCAACATTGTTCATGATGAAGGTCTACTATCAAAATACAGATGAAGGTCTTCTATCAATATTGTTCATGAAGGTGTTCTATCAAAATACAGATGAAGGTCTTCTATCAAAATTGTTCATGAAGGTCATCTTCTATCAAAATATTCACGTCTTTTTCCTCACCTCATCCGCCAGTATTTGAATGTGATCCCGCAACCTCAAGTTATCCTCTGTCATTCCTCCTAGTTCACGTCTCAATTCAAGCAGCTCCTGTTGCAGGTCTCCATTCTTTAGTTGCAACTCTTCGACTTGGACTCTATTTGAAGAAGAAGAGGTTCCGGAAGTTTCGACTTGGACTCTATTTGAAGAAGAAGAGGCTCCCCCAACTTGAGAGGTTCCAGCAACTTGCGAGAAAGCTGAAGCCACACGACGACGGAACCAGGCTCCTGGAGGTGCTGGAAGTGCACTATTCGTTGCTGCAGTAGACGAGGTGGAGGAAAAGTTAGAGTCAGTCTGCTTCTAGATTGCATCTCGGCCCCCTCATCTTGACCCCTTTACTGCCCTTGTATGATTTCATAGGAATAATACAAGGGAAAAGGGGACCAAGATGCCGAGAATGATGGACACTAAATGTTGACCATAAAAAAGGTTGTCGCGAAGAACAGGGGAGTATTGTTGTGTACAAGTTGTTGTGGCTCGTTTTGTTGATGTAGTTGCCCGTCCCCGATACTGAGTTCGGATCCAAGTAGGAGCTGCTCATTCCCACCGGACGAGCTGGTGTCATCGTTCAAACTTGCCAGATCTATCGAAATGATCTGCGAATTATCGCCGGTAGCAGCAACAGATGGCGGAGCTGGTCCCGAGGACATAGTACATGGTTGAGATGCTGCCGAAGGTGGCGGAGCTGGTCGTCCCGAGGACATAGTAGATCTAGACTCTACTTTAGATGCTACCAACATCCTTTTCAAGTCAGCTATTGTCTGTGCATCTCTAGCTTGTTGTCGGTCCCGCGCAACGGCTGATTCCTCTACCTCACGCCGAAGTCGGATTAATTCTTGTTCTAAAGCAGGCCCCTCCTTGTTTGCTGATGGTGATGAAGAAGCAGAAGATGTTGATGATGGATTTTTTTGTTGATTTGTAAGTGCACCATCTTCTGGCAGCGCTAGTTCTGTTGCATCTACGCTAACGCCCACGTCAACAACGCTTCGTGGGCTTCCAGCAGTCGTTGTATGTAGTTGGCCGTGACTGTTCGTCTTAGAGGTCAGCAGTCACTGGTCACTGACTCGGAACGGAAGAGACCACCTTCAAAGCTCTCCCCTTTTCCCTTCGTTTTGCGGCGTTCTCTCAAGGGGTCGCCTCTGACCAACCCCAGTGACCAATGAAAGTTGAGCCTTAATCTTCGAGAGTTGTAATAGATACTGTTTTTCAACGCGTTCTAGTTGTTCAAAAACGGCAGAGTTTGTTTTCGCAAGAAAATCTTCTCGAACCATGGGTAAGCGTTCTCGTTCCCATTGCAGATCGCTAGCTTCGCCATCGACTGCACCACTTCCACTTCCTTGTATAGAAGAAGATGAAGAAGACGTGGAGGTGGATCGATGTTTACTTGTTTCTTTATTCAACGTGCTGATGTCTTCATCCTTAGGAGCCTGCTTTTTCTCCTTCATCCCAGCTACTTGTTTTTTCAATTTTTTTTCACGTTCTGCCTGTAACTCGTTCAGTACACATCGGAGCTGAAACGTCTCTTGTGCGGCTTTCGCATCTGTCTCGAGCTGCTCCAGTCTCTTCGATGAGATCGTGACATTGCCTTGAATTTGATTTATTTGTTGAGCTTCTTGAAGACTACTTCTAGAAGGGATTTATTTCTTGAGCCTCTTGCAGACTACTTCTAGAAGGGATTTATTTGTTGAGCCTCTTGCAGACTACTTCTAGAAGGGGACAGATGAACCGAAGAGGAGGAAGAAAATGATACAGTATTACCAGTACTGGATGGCACTCCTTTCACAGGCGTTCCATGCAGCTGTTGGTTTTGATCAGTCTGACCACCTGGGGTCTTGCTCATTTCATTCGCACCATCTGCACTTCCTCTTCGTTTGGCTCTGGTATACGTCGCCTCGTGCTCCGCTACTCTTGCTGACAGCCGTCGCAATTGCCTCGTTTGCATGTCGACGACTTCTCCTGACCGCTTTAACTTTGCCTCTAAATCTGCAATGCGGATTTGGGAATCTCTATTAGATTGTCCTGAGTAAACCCATCTCAGTCAGGCAGCATTACCTCCACCGCCGCCAGTCACGCCTCCATCTGTTGTTTGAACGGAAAACGGGTAGCGTTTTCCGTTCAAAACTGGAGGATGGATATTCTCATCAAGCCTTAATTTTAGTTTCGCCCTCCTTCTCCTCCAGTATTCTTCTCAAGTCCAATAGTTCCTTCTCTTTCTCTGCCATCGCGACCTTGTTAGCTTTCTCGAGGCATAATTGTTTTCTCTCCCCCTGCTCTTGCATGGTCGTTGGTGAACTAGCTGTAGTACTAGAACTAGCTGTTGCTGTAGGTTCTTGTGGTCGTGAAGAAGTAGATGTTGAACTATGTTCTTGACCTACAGGTTCTTGATGTTCTTGTGTTCTTGATGTTGCTTCAAGTAATCCCGCTGAAGTAGAAGAACTAGCAGGAGCATGATTACTACTACTAGTGGGCGCCGGTAGGAACTCGGTAGGAAGTTCATCTGTCTGCGTCTCCACATTTTTGTGAACAACAGGTGGAGGCGCGACTGGCGGCGGTGGAGGTGCAGCTGGTGATGCCTGAGAAGAAATAGACAAGTAGAGATGATTTTGAATATGCTGATGCTCAAAGGACTAGACGGTGTGTAGTTAAAATCTAGTCTACCCCTGCATGATGTTGAACAACAAGATTTACTCCTACTCGATTCGAAAATTAAACGTTTTTACCGCTGCTTTCAGAATGAGCGAATCAGCAAATAGTTTTTTTCGAATTTTCTATACCTGAACATCGCCTCTCGATCCACCTTGCTCAGCACCAGGTCCACCACCAGGTCCACCACCAATGAAGCTCCTTGCCATTGTAATCGCTTCGTTTTCCTGACTCTCTAAGTTAAAGGTCGGCAGTCATCGGTCACTCATTCTGAAGGGACTACTTAGATTCCCTACGCCGCTCTCACTTTTGCCCTTGTTCTTTCCTTATTCTTTTTCTTCCCCTATTCTAATTCTTCCCTTAGTCTTCCTTTGCTTTATTTCCCTTGTATGTTCTTCCATTCCATTCCATTGATATTGATCGCCTTACGTCCTCCAACCTCAAAATAAAAGGAATGGTTAAGTAAATGTAATAAAGCAGGTTCTCTGGTTAAGTAAATAAATCTCAAAAAAAAGAAGATCATAACTAAACCTGCTTGGTAGACCTCTTGCATCGTCGCCAACTGTTCTTTCAACTCCCTCACCTCCTTCTCCAATTGTTTCTCACGAGCACTAGTTGAGACCAGGACAACTGGCGGACCAGACATCGGAGATGGCATGCCGTAGCCGTTCTTGTTCGCAGTAGCCGTTCGTGTGGCTGTAGTTTGTTCCAGAGGTCGACGAGTATGCAGAACTAGAGTTTGTATTAAAGAGTCCAGGAAACTGGTTGTATTGGGTGGAAGTAAACTATTTGTACTTACGATGTTGAACGAGGACATCAAGGATTTTTACATACTGAAAAATTAAAGCTGCTCGTTTTGATTTTTCTAGTAGAAGTAGATGATGTTCTTGTTTGATGATACTAGTTCTACTACCAGGTCAAGCACTAAGAAATGTGTCACAAGCGATTACTAATTTGCGTGTAAGGTAGTTGAAGAAAGGGAATCGCTCTTCCCTTTCTTCTACTACTTCTTGTTCTTTCTCTTATCGGATAAACAAGGATCAAGTCTATTAAGTACAGTTGCATAGTTTGTTGATCCTTGACGTTTCTACAAGAACTCCTACGTAAGTAGTTGCCGTTGATCCTGTCCATAACAGGAGGAGCACTCCTAGAAGGTGGACCACCTCCTACTATTGCAGGATTGTTCATTCTTGTTCCCAGTGGAGCTGTCAAGAAGTCTGGTACTTTCGCTAGTTGTTTTGACAGCTCTGCATTTTCGTGTTTGTACCGTAACAGTTCCGTTTGCAGAGTCTCGAAGTCCTCTCGGCGAAGTTGCAGGCCTCCTCGGCGAAGTTGATGGTGGTGGTGCTCCTCACCTGGTTCTAGCTCGCGACCCAGTTCTTGTGAGGACATGGACGACGACATTGTTCTCGTTCCCTCCAGCAATTGATCATGATGGTCGTGACCCACGACTTGAAGATCATGTTGTACTGCCACGAACGGAGTACTACCCACACTAAGAAGTCCAGGCGGCTCCATATTCGCTGCCATATTGGCTGCAAGTCTGCCGCCCATACTCTCTTGCCTGGGACTGAGCAAAGCTCCTGGTCTTGGTGAGGTAGGCACGCGCATCGGACTAATCCCAGGTGGTGCCGTCGTTCCCAAGGGAGGGGAGATGTCGGTGACTACAAATTAGAGATAGCCTCCTAATTGCAGCAGGTTTACCTAAGTTAGGTTAGGTTAGGTGTGGGTCCACTAGATAAACCAGCAGACTTCAGTGACTACTGAAGAGCCAAAAAGAACGAAAACAGGGGCTACGACCTACAGCTGGCACTGCTACGCTACCTAAGTGAGGACTGTGAGGTAGGGACGCGCATCGGACTAATCCCAGGTGGTGCCGTCGTTCCCAAGGGAGGGGAGATGTCGGTGACTAGGAATTAGAGATAGCCTCCTAATTGCAGCAGGTTTACCTAAGTGAGGACTGTGAGTAGATGTGAAATATATTTTCGTTAGCAGCTACTCCTACTAGCTTAGTATCAGTGTCAGTCAGTCCCTATAAATATTTATAATACTCCTGTTCTGAAGATGAGTTCAAATTCAAATACAAATTTTCTCATAATTTTCACCTCCAAGGGGCAAAAGTCTTCCTCCCACATCATGCCTCGTGGCACCCTCTGTACTAGAAGAAGTGGTGGATTTCGAACCACCAGCACCCAGGTCTCCTACACCAGTAAGCGGGTGATAACTGTCCTCTGAAGACGAAGATGAGTCTGAGGTCGTAGAGGGAGAGCGAGTGTTGACCATTTTTTTTCTCGTTGTAGTTTTGGCGTAGATTTAGATTTAGAGGGGTTCTTGCCTCAGCCCTGCGCATCAAGCACCGGATCAGCAGAAGTTATGATTGAGTTTCACCGCTGCCTATTGAATTTGACTCTTCAGCATGACCTGGAGTAACCGAAGCATATAATAAGAAGGGTGATGAATTTTTGGTGGAGCAAACCTACCTAGGAAAGATAGAAAAAATAGAGGAGGTACATATATCGGCTACTTCCCCATCGTCCTACACCTCTCAAGTTATTTGTTCAAGGGCCTCAATCAAGCCTGGACGCTACGTGCGTCGGAGTCATGAGATGCGAACTGTAGGTCTACTCGGCGGCGTAGCCTATTGCGAACGGCGAGGCTAGAAGATGTTATTTCAACCTGAACATCTTCTTGTCCAAGGTCTTGTGTTGTCCCTCTCGAACTTACGTTCTCACCTGTTGTTAATGCTGTTCATTTGGATGCTTTCTCATTTCTACTTGATTCTTCCGAAAAAGTATAATGGAGTAATACTTTAGCTCTCTAAATCCCTGTTGACTTCCAAAACGTGTATTTGTTCTTGTCACACTTCTACTTCTTTGGTCTTATGCCTCGTCGAATTGTATAAATATAACTACATGAAGATTACAGCGTTATCCGGCTTTGGTAAATAAATCTGATTGTTGCCTCTATGCTGGCATTTATCCAGTTCTTGTGATCATGTATCCGAAACCGAAATAATAGTTGCTTTGTGTGCTAGTTGTAACTTTCAAAAAGAAGATCTACATTTTCATGTGAAGATATGTATTCGAAAAACTGAAATAACCGAGTAACTACTTGAAATAAGCACAGTTAAGCCTGAACAAGGAAGAGGAGCCCTGTCAAACCTACCTACCTCCCATATTTCAGTCACTTACTCGGGTATTTTCAGTTTTCGAGTAGTTGTAGTCACCGACTTCTAGTTCTACAGCAATATAAGACATTGATTGTGATGAATGTGACCACGTAGCTGGAGGTTTACAACTGTTGTAGTAGTGGTACTATGGCTATTATCTAAACTGTTGAGCAATGTTCTAAGACTAAGTGGCGTTTGACTATGGACACGAAGTCTATATTATACTATGGCAGTTTTTCATTTCTGTGCATTTATTACTTCGGGATTTGCTCTGTGCATTGGGGAACCACTTCTGTGCAATATCAATGTGTCGCATACAAATTATCCTGTCGCGACCGCTAGGTGTTTATGGAAGTCTCGCATGAGTAAATAATATGGTTGAATTATTGGTCTAAGTGAGTAAAATGGAATTACTGATCATGGTGCAGTGAAGTAGAGGACAATATTTTTCGCCCGTTTATTTACTTTTTTGTCAAATGAATGAGAATCAATTTTTACCAAAAATATAAGTAGACTGCAAATAATGCATCACAATTGCTTCGAGAGCTTCTAGGACTAGATGCCCTCGTGAGCAGGCGCAGGCCATTCATCGGCGACAACCACTCATATGCACGCTCCTTCTTCCCTATTGAAGAATCCTGTTGTTTTCAGCATCGCGGTTTGCTGGTCTTTCACCAATGGCGAGTTCACATTTGGCACGACGAATTGCGGTTTCGACTTGTTCTTCATCGTCGCCGTTGAAGGTGGTTTCGTGTAGATGAAAAACCTGTCTTCCTCCGTCCGCTGATAGTTCGGTCTCGGAATGTGATGGTCATCGGTCGCATCCGTAGTGTGCCAATAGCGAGGCTCTTTCTCCCTCTCTATGCCGACCACAGAGGGTTGCAAGAATGGCAACGTCGACTGGAAGTAATCTGTCGTTGGGGAGCAGCATAGTGTTCTTGGAGATTGCTTGATTTGAAATTGATGTTGTTGATCATGCGTCGTGTTGAGTAGAGGTTTCCATGTGGCATATCCAGTTTGACAAGTAGAACGGCTACAACTCTGTGCTTCCATCTCCATTACGTCACCATCTTCACGTCAATTCAAGTTGAATGAGACCCATCATTCAAGAAGTTGAAGAGTCTTTATTTGTTTACTAGTACCGATGACGACGAGGTGGAGGTCAAAAAAAGCATAACGAACATACAACTACAAGTAAAAAGGTAGCAGCTACAACTAGGAAAACAAGAAAAAAAGAGCATAAGTGTTAACTATTCGAAAAACTGAAATAAGCGAGTAACTACTAAAAATAAGCGAGATACTGACGAGAAGGAAGAGCACCCACTTGGCGTTAAGCTAGCTCCCTTATTTCACTCAGTAACTCGGTTATTTTGAGTTTGGCAGCTACAACTAGGAAAACAAGAAAAAAAGAGCATAAGTATTAACTACAAAGAGCATAGGTATTAACTAGGAAACAAGAAAAGGAAAAAAAGAGCATAAGTATTAACTACAAAGAGCATAGGTATTAACTAGGAAACAAGAAGATCATACTAGGAAAACAAGAAAAAAAGAGCATACTCAAGTATTAACTACAATAGAAGTGCAACGTACCTTCAAACCATTGGCACAGCTTCTCCTTTTCTTGCATCACTATTCGATGCATTTGATCCTCGGTCAGAAGTCGGTTATCCAAATTGATATGGCCCAAGTCGTCTAATCTTGCCAATAGGAACTCGTCTGTATCTTAGAACCCTCTAATAGAGGGTACTATATATGATGACTTAGTCATAAGATATAGACTATATCTTATGACTTAGATCTATTATCTTATCTATATCTTATTAGACCTATTGCTAGTAGTCCATCTCGAGAAGATGAGATACAACCACATTCTGCTGCTGGAGGATACCTTTTCTGAATTTTTCTTGACATGATATTTCCTGGATTGAGGACATGGTACAGCCTGCTCCGCAGGGTGCCTTTTCTTTCCCCTTGAAAGAAAGAAAAGCCTCTCTCCTAGGAAGGATGACTTCATCTCTGAAGAAGACGGACAATAATTAGGGAGCCTTAAAAATCGTACCGCATCTTCACCACGTTTATGAGTCGTTCCCTTATACCCTCTCGGAAGATGAGCTTGTGGCCTATATTAGAGCGCAACACCCTCTTCTCATCGTCCATCTGGAACCAAGTCCATCCTGAGTAGACCGTTCTCCGGTTGAGAACGTCTCTCCCAGGATCATGCCTTCCCTGCAGTAGATGGACCATTTATTTTCCCAGGGGACGACGAAGCCTTAACTATAATGCTGAAAATACACGGAAACAGGCTCATCGGAACTTTCTTCTTTGCGAGTTAGAGGATTGATGCTGTTCTTCTCCAGTCAGCTGTTTTCTACGTGGAGGCTTGTTCTTCTACAGTCATCATAATTCCACCTCTCGATCTACTCTACGACGTTCCCAGTACTCCCTTTAGAGGTAGGTTTTTGGTGTTCGTTTATCCCGCTTGTTATGGCTGTCCTCCTTAGGAGAGCCATAACAAACGGTATTAACAAAAGCTGCACCTTTAACCTACCCTGCTTAATAAACGGTAACAATAGCATCTTTAACCTACCCTGCTTAATAAACGGTAACTACAATAGCACCTTTAACCTACCCTGCTTAATAAACGGTAACAATAGCACCTTTAACCTACTCTGCTAAATCCTTACTACGAGGACGAGGAGCTTAATCCTTACTTCGTATTACTAAGAGGACGCCATACCTATAATGCGTCACATTTTCTGCAGGCCTACTGTCCTCGGACTCGAATTCGCCTAATTCTTCTAAATCCAGGTTTGCTACCATGTGCAACGCTTCGAATTGAGCGCCCTTTTCCCTGTAAGAGTGAATGAATCAATTTGCCTAGCAAGAGGTCGTGAGGACGGTAAAAAGAGATCCGAGGTTTTGCGAACAAGTTTGACGAGTCTGAATGACGAGGAAAGGTTCTAGTACATCTACACCGACCCCGATTACGTTTTAAGGTACCTCTTACATGATCCTCGTTTTTCTTCATCAGATCGACGAGTCTGATGAAAAGCGAGGATGTAAGAGGTGCCCCAAAATGTAAACGGTGTACTAGAACCTTTCCTCGTCATTCAGACTCGTCGATTGATTGACTGATGTGCCTGACGAGTCTGAATGACGAGGAAAGGTTCTAGTGCACTATTTACATTTTAAGGTACCTCTTAGTCTTACATGATCCTCGTTTTTCATCAGACTCGTCGATTGATTGATTGATTGATTGATTGAGGTGCCTGGCAAGAGGTCACTTTTGAGGATTTTGTCTATGTAGAAGTACAACCACTTGCCTTCTCAACATCTCAAGGTTAACAACGACTATGTAGAAGTTACTAGTACCTCTTACATCTCGTTCCGCCACTAGTTGCCTGCATGAACGCTGTGACATAGTTGCATTTTAGTGGTGGTATCCTCGGAACTGGCAAGGAGAAAGCCTCTATGTCGCTCAAGATTTCCGATACCCTATGCGTCTTCGCTGGTAGGTCGCAGTAGTACGCCAAAAATATTGAATGCTTCATTCACCTCATTGAGTGACAATGTAGTCGAAGATAAGGGAATGGGAATGCCGTGGTTCCTACTGCTAGTAGCAAACTACTACTACTACTAGCTACTAGCTACTAGTACTGCTACTAGTACTTCTTGTACTAGGTGGCCCTTCTTAATATTTTTCTTATTTACTTATTCGATTTCGAAAAACTTCTGAAATAACCGAGTAACTAATGAAAATAAGGGAGATCATACTGAAAGAAGAGGAATGTAGTCAAGACTCTCTTATTTCAGTCAGTAGCTCGCTTATTTTGAGTTTTCGAATAGGTGGAAAGGCATTCGTCCCCTATGACTTGGGTTCTCAATGAGCGGCATCATACAAATATCTCCTCCAGCATGACCTCTATCCTGTCATTATATCGCACCCTGGCAATATGCACGTCGTGCTTGTTCACCTGGCATGGGAGATAATGACGATGGAGAGGAAGATCAACGTGGAAACACACAGCAAAAGTAACGGCCATGGGGATGGGAGAGGACGCCTAATGAGCGACGGGAACAGCAGAAGTTGTATGTTTTGAAAAAAAAGTATCAAGTTGTTGTACCATCAAAGCTTTCCTCGGATCGCAGCTCATGACATAGTTCATGAACGTCTCGTAGCCTTTGCCTAGACCCCTCTCCAGCTGCTCAAACAAGTCGTCCACGACCTGCGTAGGATCATAGGTCTGCTTCTTCCTTCGAACTTCAAATTGGTTGTCGGAGACTTAGAAAAATCTAACTTTTAAATGATGTAAATAAAACTCCGTGGAATAAATCGTCTGTTCTTGAGTCGGATTCGGATACTACTTAGTGGACGACGGGCCTTAAGATGGGCAGCGTTCGCATTCTTGGACTGCCAGGGCGTGCATCCCCTGGATCGTCCCTGCTTGCATTAGAAGACGAAGTAAGAGTTCCCTCGTGGTGATCATGATTTTCTACTTCCACTTTCTATTTTCGACGCGCATGATCAAGAAGAAGCTGGATCTTCTTGCTTGATGCATGTTTTTCACCCATGAAGATCAACACTTTTTTTTTTTGAGACTACAGTATTTAATTGTTATCTAAAAACTCAGCTAACATTCTTGCCGTAAGAGACTACAATAATTGTTATCCAGTTCGCACAGGGCACTGTGGAGACGGAGGAGGAAGCGCAACTTCATGTAGAACATCACCGTAGAAAAGTGATTCGTCGGCACTTGGCAGAACGCTTCTGCTGTGTTTTAGAGGAAGCCGAAGCCTGGATGAGTTCAAATATGCTTTGAAGCTGGAGATGAGTGTAATCTACATCTAGTAGACAAATGCTCCCTGGGAAATGCTAAAAATATTCGTCCACGTTTGATATAATTGATGGTATTTTTATAAGTACGTTCACGTTTAATATTCTATTGATGTGATATATATGGGTGGTGGAGCCAAACTAACTAGGAAAAGAAAAGGAAAGATTTAGTAGGTAAAGGATAGAAAAGTGCTGCAGATACATATTGTAGTATATAGTTAAAACTTAATTCAATTCATCCATAAGTATTGCAATTGGTTGCTCCTCGTGCAACGGGTGAGAGCGGAAGAAAGGTAAAGGAAGGATTATCTCCTAGGATGGCGCGGTGGACCTGTCGTGGTGCGTGTGGAGGTCGTGGGAGAAATCACGAACATCATGGAACTTCTATTCATTATAATATATGGGTGGAGCCAAGCTAACTAGGAAAAGAAAAAGGAAGGATAGTAGGTAAAGGATAGAGAAGTACAGATGAAACGAATCATGATTCATGAACAAGTTAAGTTTTCAGGAGAGTCGTTAACACTCATCTATTTCTGAAGATTCGTAATTCCTCAACCTTAATATGGCATGCCCAAAACTTCGACTTCCACCTTGTGTTGATGATGCAACTACTTAGACTCAAAGTAAGACAAGTCTGCGGCGGACACACAAGTGCGTACAAAAAAGCTTTCTATATGATCTACGGAACTCAAACCAAGACATAGACAATTTCGTAGAATTGATACAAAAGTGCTTTCTTCTCCACAGTGCACTTCCACTCTGCCAGGCACGCGCTGTCGGAAATTCGTTTTCCTATTAGACTAGATTTAGGATTTGGTATAATTAATAATTAGACTATTTCAAATTCGAAAAAGGAGACCTGAGCGAACATTGTATGCAGCTAGGGAATAATCTCCTAGCAGCTGCATACTCTTACTCGGTTACTAAGGTGTGCTGATTAGCCTAATAAGAGGGTCTTCGCGTTTCACTCTCGCCAGCGGCAGAGTTGTCAGTGCGACGCGCACCATGCAGCGCAAAAAGCGCTCGCCTGAAAAAGTAAGCCGCCGAGGATCCCCGCCCGCGGCGCCTTGCTTTGTCACATATCCCCGAGCCCGAACACGACCGGCGGCGCGCCTTCTCACATTGCTCACCCATTGCTCCCCACCTGCGCAGAACACAACATCCGAAACACACACGCCACACCAATCGCCGCCCGCAATTATCCGGCGACGGGGCGGGCGGGCTGCTGCAGTTGCGCCACCTTGCTTCCCCTACTTACAGCCCCCGCTATGGGCGCGAACAATGAGAGACCACAGCCACACGCAACGAATCAATTTAGCACGGCCCCCCCGCGCACCTTGCTGCCACGACAAAGACCAAGCTGCCAGAATAACCGTAAGACCCCGCGGACGCATCCGCTACCTGGCAAAGAAGCGCCATCCACTACCGGCCGCCCAAGTACGCAGCTGCACGCAAGACAGAGCGGAAAGACAGAGGGGCCGGCTGGTCCCTCTCTCACGCCATTGCTTGGGCCAGCCATCACTTACCACGCACAGCACCCGCACGCACGGCGGGGAAGCTGCGCTGGTCCCCCCCCCGCGTCCGCACGCCGACAAGCCACGCCGCCACCTGCCACAAAGCAAAACAATGCCAAACAACCACGCACAAGACACCGAGGACGGCCCGCGCCTAAAGAAGAGCCGGCGCCGCCGCTTCCCTAGTCCCCCGACCGAAATGACAAAAAGCGGCCCCCCCCGTCAGTCGGTCTCCCTCTCTTCCTTATCCGAACGAGACAGAGCGCCGACACCAATAGACAGAAAAGAAAAGCCTGCCAGGCAGGGCATAGACACGGAGAAACGAGTGGAGCAAAAGCTGCCAAGCCCGACGCGAAACAACCCATGCCACAGCGAACCGACGCAGCCTCGCACGCTACGCACCCACGGGCACCCGAGCGAGCGAATCTCACTTTCAATTTAGTCGACGGGCGCGGGGGGGCGCCGCAGCCAGCCGACAAACAAAAAACAAAGAACGAAAGGCCCACAAAAAAGGACGAAGAGACCAAACAGCAGACACGAGTAGAAGGAAGAGCAGCCGGGGCCCCCAGGAGTCATTCACAAACCCAACACAGCGACAAAGAAAGGCGGCTCCAAGGTGCACAAGCCTGCCCGCCAAACCGAAGCAAAAAAGGAGAAGGCACCACCGTCGAACCCTACGAGAACTCACACACTGCCCGCCCGCCCACGCACGCGGCCACCGGTGCAGCGCACCGAAGAGCATAATCGCGGGACCACCTCCACCCCACTTCGAATTAGATAGACGAAGCCAGCGAAAGCAAAAGCAGTCAGAGGCCGGAAATAGCTCACCCAGCCACCCCAGCGACCGATGGGGCTTCAAGGTCAGCCTACAAAGCTGCATGACTGAACGAACACTCACGCACGCAGTTAACATTGGCACCCGCCCCGTTTGAAACGAGGGCGCCGGCAGTGCTGACGGCCCGCAAGGCTCCAGACATAACAACCAAGGCGACCCACTTATCATCGGCGACAAAAATCACCCAGCCAAACATCCCAAGCCAGAAGAAAAGGCACAGCGGCGAAGCCCTCGACCCAAGCGCCGACCCAGTGCCCGCCACGCGCCCTCCCCCATTCACCCACACAACACAACCCTGCGCGGGGACCCCTTCACAAGTTGCAACGCGAAACAAAGCGAGGCCCCCCATCCAACAGCGAGCGGCAGCGAAGACGACCTGCACACAGCACAGAAAACAGACACCACCTAACAGCAAAATCGAGCCGGGAGCGAAATTAATAATATGACTGAAGAACGACCGAGACAGCAAGCCAACACGCATGGCGCGAAGCTCCTCCGCGAAACAAAGAGAGAAGGAACGAAGACCACACCTCCCAAAGACACACCCACCCACACACACCGCCGCCCCCAGCTTCATCGAGCTAAAAAGCACTCCCCAAGGGCTGGCCACTCACTCACACGAACAAACAGCGAGAAACGCACTGGCAATCACCTGACGACACAGAGAAGAGGGGGCCCCACCCCATGGGCAGGCAGCCTCACTTACTTAGATTAAAACAAGAAGCACCCCTACCCTGCGCCAGATTTTCACGCCCCGACATGTACAGAGAAAAGCACCCAGCGCTTTGCTGGCTCCGGTGTGTCATGACTAGGCAAGTACGCCCAAGCTGCACAGGTGCGAGCCATAACGAATACGAGACAAACAGCGCCCGCCAGTAACTACTTCCCACGCACCCGAAGCAAAAAGCAAGCGCCTCTCGTTTTTAATCTCAGTAGCCAGTGCCGTGAGTGGCCCAAGCTGCGGCACGCCTCCCTCGTTCGCTCCTAAGTCACTGCCTTAGCAAGATGAAAGCCACGACAGCGAGGGGCCGGCGCCAGGTCCTTCGGCTCATGTGTTTCTGTTTGCTTTTTTCTTTGCAGAAACAAGCACGACACGCGCCATCCGCTTCAGCGCGTGGAACTGATACCAACACCGGCCACAAACAAGCCACACCCCTGCCCCCTGCTTAAATTTTTTGCCTCACGCACCGAAATGACCACACTCGCGGCCCCAGCTGCCAGCTTGTGCCAGGGGCCTGCTGCAAAAGCTGCGCAGCGTATATTTTTAAAGACAGAAGCGAGCAAAGACATGCTCTGCATACTATATTAGACACCAAAAGAAAAGAAGAACCACACACACCACCCGCGCCTGCTTGGTCATTTCGACACCAAGCCGCGCGCGCGCAGCGCGCGCTTCTGTTTTTCCATCCGCGCGCTTTTTTTGCGGGCTCCGTTTTACATGCAGAAAAAAACCAAGCGCACGCAGCGCGCCCCCCTAGTTTTTTTTTGTTTTTTCCAAGTGAGAAGCTTGACGCGCGAAAGCCTTCCCCCTCTGAATTCTTGGCGCTACTACCCTCCGCCCTTGAAATTGCTTGGGTGTTCGGGGGGTCAAACTGCCCCCATATCGCAGGGGGGGTTTTCAGTGAAAACCCCCCCCGCGATATTGTGCGAAAGTAGCCCCGGAACGCAGTTCCTTGAAGAGAACGCGTTCCGGGGCTACTTTCGCACAATATCGCAGGGGGGGTTTTCACTGAAAACCCCCCCCGCGATATGGGGGCAGTTTGACCCCCCGAACACCCAAGCAATTTCCAAGGGGGAGGGTAGTCGCCCCAAGAATGTAGAGGGGGACAGCTTTCACCATATAATTTTCCACTTAGAAAAAAGCCAAAAAAAGTAGAAGAGCGCGCTGCGCGCGCCTCTTTTTTTCTTGCACAGAAAAGCCTGCAAAAACAAGGCAGAAAAACAGGAGCACACGCGCAGTGCGCGCGCCTATAGAACGAAGGCAGAAACCCAGGCGAGCTGCCTGGCCCCCCGTTCCTTTCCCGTCGCTCTGCATACTGCCAGAGAGGCAGACACACAAGAAAAAGAGCGACCCCACCCACGCAAACCGAGGACACCCACAGACAGAACCAACAAAGCAAGCACGTGGCCCCATCTTTGCGCGCCTGTTGCCTGTTGCGCTGGTTCACTTTGCTGCACCCTACCCGGAGGAGGGCAGCCAAGGCCTGAGAATGAACCTGGGCAAGCAGCTGCCAACTACCTGCACCCGACCACCAAGCCGCCAGCATAACCAGCGCGACCAAGGGGAGCACGTTGCTCACAAAAGTAGAGTGGCCGACAGCCTGCCACAAGTCAGAACAACAGACACACACCACGCACCCAAGCCAGCGCGCCGCGCCGTGTGTTTCGCAATCGTTTCAATCAGCAGCACCTTCTGGGTGCCTCCATCTCCATGGTGATGCCAATACCATAGCCAACAAGCCCCGAAAACAAAGAGAAGAGAAGCCCCGCACATGGCGCCCCTGTCTCACTCCAATGATGCAACACAGAAGACGAAAGCACTGGGCCGCGCCAAAGGTGGAAGGCAGTGAGTGCCACTCGCCTCCCATTTTGAGCCGCAGAACACTACACACACAGCGCACCCCCCACCTCCGAAAGAAAGCCCAGCCAAGCCCCGACACAAGTTGCCCCACTCCGCTGCAGAACCTGCGACACCAAGCAGCCGCACGCCGCAGCGCAAACCTGACGGACCACGCGCCACCTGTGCCCCTCACTGGGCACACCCACGAGCGATCGACGGAGCAGCGGCTCTCAAATGCGAACGAGCCGACAAGCCCCAGAAAAGTGAAGGCGCGGCGCCCTCCTAGCGGCGGCGCCGGGGTTCAAGCTGTGCCCCCCGCTTGGCTTCTCCCTCGTCCTCCATAAGTTGCCCAACCAACACCAGAGAGCAGCGAGGGGTATAAGCTCTAAAACACACACCAAAAAGCAAAACGAACCACGACGCGAGGCCAGAACCCCTTGCCCTGCCCATGGGCGCTTCTGCGTTTTGATGGTCTCGCGCTGGCCTGCGTCTGCCCCCCCGCTGAGCTGCTTGCGGATGAAAGACATGACACCGACGACGCCCGAAAGAAGACCAAAAAAAAAAGACAACAGCTACAATCTATCAGCACACACCCCAGAGGCCCCCGCCTGCTTGGGCTTACTTTCTCTCCTTTTAGGAGCAATAGCATAAGCATCACCAGCGCCAGCAAGTTCCCTCGGCTTCGACGCAGCCCCCAAGGAACAAGAAGGCGACACCACCTCACGCCGCTCAAAGCAGTCACCCCCCCAAATCACAAAGAAGCCGCAAAGCGCCGCGCGCTCTCATGGCTTTAGAACAAAGAATCAACTCCGCAGGCAGGTCCACCACCGAAGAAGGTAGCTGCCCTAGCCAGGGGAAGAGAGTTCACCCACGGCCCAGCGACAACAACGAACGACGGCGCAAACAAGGCGCTACCTTGCGAGAAGCAAACGACCCACACCAACCAAAAGCACCGCGGCGCCATTACCTAAGACACACAACAGCAGCCGAAGAGCACCCGAGACAGAGAAGACCAGGCAAGGCCTTCCGATCCGTGTTTCCGAAAAGGCTCCCGATGTTTACAACTATAATCCCCCAAAAGCCCGCCACCCCTTAGCACGCACACCAGCCCGCTCACCCAGGGGCACCCCCTAGCTTTTCAAGAAACGCTACACCGAAGCAAGCTTTGGCGGGTCCCCTGGTGCACTGCGTTGCCCCGTAGGCAACACGCGCGCGCCCTCCACGAAAAAGCATAAGCGAAGCCAACCGAACTCGACCAAACGAGCAACGACAAAGAAAAAGCACAACAAGCGAGAGAGGCTGGCCCCCCACCCCAGAGCCGCCTCCAGGTAGTTCCAACCAAGGTGCCCACGTTCTCCCTCGATGTATTACCCCGAGCCTGCAAAACCCGGCAGCACCCGCTTCGGGTTCCGCTCTCCTTCAAACAATCCAACGGAAGCCACACCCCCACAGACACCCGAGACACAACTACACACAAGCCCAGCCAGGTGGCACTCGAGTTTCATTAAGACGGGGCGCCCTCCCTGCCCGCAGAAACAAAGAGCCACACAGCTACACCATGCACCGTCCCCACGGCACCGCAGCGGCAGCCCCTCGCGTAGCCCCGCTCAGTTACCTCCCCGAAAGAGTGAGCCAGCGAAACTATTAACATAAGGCCCCCCCGCTGCTTCACGCGCTTCACCTGCCCCGCACAGCAGACCCCGACAAAAGCAGCGGAGGCGCGCCACCTATGCACGCCGTCGCCCGCTCTGTTTGCTACCATCGACCGACACCCACGGGGGCGGCGCCGTGGCGGCTTTGTGAGTGCGCTCTGACTGGGCGGCCCCATGCCGCTGCGACGGAGTGGGCGAGCCCATGACCACAAAACGAAGGACCCCGTCACCCACGGAAGCTTTGAAAGGCTTGCCCCTGAAATAATACGCGCGACGGTGTTTGTACCAGGAGAGGGGCCGGCGCCCGTGTCAGCTCTCATTTCTGCGAGAGTGGTCGCGGGGAGTCACACCACAGCGGGGCGGCGTGGTGCATTCAGTCTGGACGCAGTGAAGGAACAGCCCACGGGTGTGCGTTCTTCATTTCTACACGGAAGGGCGAGCGCACTCCGCGGGAGCGCTGAATTTTGCAGCCAGCCGAGGCGGCTTTGGTTGGGCACTATTCGCAAGCACCACGCAAGCAGGCGCGAGGCTGGCCAGAGTGCTTTTCCCCGGCTGTTCTGCACAGGAGGCGCGTGTCACTGTTAAGAACTCTGCCCACGAGATTCGAAGACCCTACTATTAGGAGTTTAAGAGTATGTTCTTGAGTAGTACATCGTGCATAACCCCATCAAACCTTCCAGCCCAGATACTCTTGGCGTTGAAGATGACTAGGTCAATCTCGGTAAACAATGCCTGCATCGTCAATATCTTCCCGACATCGGGTTGTTGTAAATCGGACGCTCGTCGACGCTCCATTTTTTCTTATTCTTTATTTTTAGGATGGGAGTCAATACTTGTGGTGGAGCCAACCTACCTAGGAAAAGGAAAGATAGAAAAACGGAAGAGGTAAATATAATCTAATAGGACCAGTAGCAAAAAAATTGGAGCTGAAGAAGGGAATCAATACTATTAGAGAATCAATATGCTGCACATATTTACTTGATGACGTTGCGGTATTACTGTTCCCACGGGTGTGGCAAGAAATGGGGAGGGGGACGATAGGGTAGGATAGGATTTGTTTCGCCGTCCACAGTTTGACCTGTATCCTCGAGCGAATTATGCGTGCAGCCACAGAGGGACTACTAAAAAACGTTATTTATCTTCCAACTACCATTTTCTCTGATCCTATCACACTGGGGGTGTTCTAGTGGAAATGGAATGCTCCACTTCTAGAAAGTAAGACCACGTCAGGGAATGTTAGGGGAGATCCATGTCGACAGGGGAGATCGGCGTGAGGTCTAGAAGATGCACAACTACAAACTACAACTACGTACTGCTACTCACCAATTATTTCAATAGAGAAGATAGGAAGTGACCGATGACCGAGGCCGACCGCGACCAACAAGTGTCATTGTAGATACTGGGTACAACACCGATGACTTATCACCGAATGGCACTCTAACGTCCACAGGACAGGTTATTGATGACATCATCAACTACCCAGTGATCGATTTTTTCAGATTTGGCTCTGATGAGGAGCCGTGGAACAGGGCCTCTTGTTCTAAGTAGTTGTATGAGGAAAACGAGGCAAGAACATGGACAGGTGGAACCGCAAACTGGAACTCTACTACAGATCGTTTCTGAGAGTATTAGTTTGACAAGTGACATATAGGCCAGCTGTGTGTAGTTTCATCATACTGGATAGAAAGAAGGACAGCCGTAGATCTAAGATGTAAGTTGTTGTAAATACATAACAAGGGAACGATCTTGGTGCCAACTGCCCTAGTCAGTGTGTCACTTGTCTAACTTTCAGAGAGTACTAGACCGAATCGGGCTGAGTTTTCTTTTCTTTCGGGATCCTATAATACTAGCAGTTATTGAATTTGAATATTGATCATGATACACAGCTTGATGTAGTATTTGACGCTTGTTTATCTTGTTTTATTACGCACTTTGTTGACCTACCAGCATGGGGTCTCCCATATCACAATTATTGAGTACAACACTCATGAGCGCGTCCTCCTAACTTGGAAGGCCAATAATCCCTCTTAGTAGAAGCAAGTTTCTCACCAGCATTACGCCATCCTATCCTCATTTTTTCTTTTCAAAATAGGTTGTAGTTCGTAGTTAATAGTTGACGTTTTTTTATTCATTCTCATTCCACATAAACAGCATCCAGAGGACCACTCTTGTTTGCATCGAGAAGATAACTTTGTATCGGAGGAACTTCATCACGCAGAAAACAGACAGAAGAAACATACATCATTCTCATATATGATGCAGGGAGGGTGGGCACCGCCTATGGATAACAAAACTATGTATAACTCTTTCTTTCTTGATACAACTCATTCGTTAAGCGATAGCCTCAGATGATTTCAGTGAGGTAAATAACCAACTAATAGCTTCAAAGGTGCTGAAAAGTTAAGTAAATCTAGGACGAGTAGGCTGGCTGTGTGTTTCATCATAATAGATAGAAAGAGGGCCAGCCTTATGGGTCTTAAACGTAGTTCTAGTTTGTTGTAAATAGGTAACAATGTGTCACTTGTCTAGGTCTTACCCTCAAGAACCCTAATCTTGGTTGTGTAAGTGTCTAGTCTAGTCCAGTTACTCCAGGCGCCTTTGCCGGTTTCAAATGTTGTACAAATAGCTCACCTGCTGACTTTTCTTTTCATCTACATCTTAGTACGTAACTGAAGGACAATTGTAATCCTCTAAAAATAATCATAATCATTACTGAGCCTTTCTCTACTACTAATCGCGTTCTCATTATTACGAGAAGACTATGCTTGCGTCTAAATTGATTTCATCTCACAAACACAAATTTTGAAAAAACACCGACTTACAAATACCAAAATATTCTTTAGTCATTCTTGTTCAAGTGGAAATCAACTATATCTGCTCACAAAAATAAAAAGACCTTCGAAAAATACAACAGTACTGCAACGCACTTCCTTGTAGTGTATATTTCTTTGGTTAGTGTAGTAATCAAAATCAACTATCGAATTAGTTACTACCTCCGCGCAAGTCCTCCTGCTGAGGATCTGCTTGCGCAACCAGAGATGTAGCACCACGACTACTACTGCTGCCTCCGTGCGCGTCCTCCTGAGGATCTGCTTTCGCAACCAGAGATGTAGCGCCACGGCCACCACTAATACCTCTGCGCGCGTCCTCCTGAGGATCTGCTTTCGCAACCAGAGATGTAGCACCACGAATACTACTAATACCACTACTACTTCCGCGCAAGTCTTCCTGGCCGTCTCCTTGCGCCACGATACTTAGAACTTCCCTCAATTTTTGATCCCTTTACTCCTTCTTGCCGTATTAATTTGTATTACAGGGCAGCTACGGAAACGGATCCCGCAAGTAGAAAAAATAGAATTGCAAATATAAATTATCTAAATATCTACAACTTATTATAAAAAATTAATGCATTACTAAAAATACTAGTATCTATTACTAGTACCCCGTAGTGCAACAGTATTGAGGTCTCCCTACTTAATTAAAACGAAGAAAATATATTTTTGGAACCTCCCGACAGGTCAGAGACGAAGCCTTAAAATACCTCGGGTCGATGAAGAGTTCGCGACAAAACCTCCGAAAGATGAAGCGTTCGCCATTCCCGGAGGTGGCGGCTCGTTGTCGGAATAGACGCCACGCCCACGGTCTGATGTTATTTTTAGAAGGACGAAAATTTGTAAAAGTAATTAGTAAAAAAGTTACGTTAGGTCGTTGTGAATCATGCACATCGAAGTCCCCCGGCACATGGCTCGACTCAAGACTAGTAACATCTACACTTTCTGCTCATGTCATGATTGACTTGAGGAGACAATGCTTTCTGTTTGGAATTGGAAGATCCTTTCCTGATTTGATCCGACACCTTGCCCCCGCATGGAGCTCGCCGAACCTGGCAAGAAGGTCCACTACTTCTAAAGGCACAGAAATTACTCTTGATCATGTATCGCTGTTTCTATAAAGAGGGATCCTCATAACAGAGCCGTGGCAGTTGTCGCGCTGGTGCTCTCCTCGTCCGGATCGGCGTCCGCAGGCGATACTTAGACTACAAGATCACGGCAAGTCAAGATCAAGTATAGCATAGTCTCTAATAAAAGAAGCAAGGAGACATCTGGGCTCAAGTAGAGTCAACTTAGAGGGCCTCTTCATTTCTGAAGACTCTGAACACCTGGCTCATCCTTAGCTATGGGCCCACAGCCCCAAGCAGGGAACTTCTTTGGTATAGCACTTCGAGTGGGTCTATGCATTTTTACGGCATATCGGGTTTATCACTATCTCTATCCTATGACTATGTAGGAGAACAGGTACTGGATGACTAAGTGCTAGAAGTGCTCCCCGCACTTTCATCTTAAAGGAGATGCTGGACAGATTCTTGCTCGTCCACTTGCAGAGGGTCGAAAAGGGTCGAGAATTCTGAAGATCTGTCGTGCTCGTCACTAGTTGGGTCCCCACGTGCGCCACCGTGTTATGAATGTTGTTTTTTCTCCCCTCTAGAGCCAGACCATCGAGGTTGCCCTTCGGCTTTACAGTATAAAGGGAAATAGGGCAGCCCCGACGGTCGTAGGTAAGGATGAAATAGACACTGTCCATACGCGTCTTGAGAGAAGAAGCACTACTAGGTTGCAACCCATTAGGAGAAGCACTCCGACTCCCGCAACTAGAAAAGCCCGCCAGATTGGAAAGCGATTCGGCGTCCTCTGGCCTGCTTTTTTCTTCCCGCTCTTCTTGTGGATCATGAACGTGTCGAGTATGTGTTTTTCCCCTCTCCATCACCATCTTCGAGAGGCTGACTGTCTGACCATCCTGGAGGCAGCCTTTCAACTTCCAGCCACGTGTCACGCATGGGTTACGACCACCTCGTGCCAACAAGGTGGTCGTAAGTCTAAGTAAGGATGGAAAAAAGAAAAACATCATCATCCATAAAAGCGAAGTCCGTTTGGCTCCTGGTGCTGTCGTGGTCACTCTCTGGAACATGATGGAACTGGACGTAATACTAGATTTGGCAAGAATAGAGCTACTTATCATAAATACTAGATTTGGCAATACTAGATTTGGATAGAGCTACTTATCATAAATACTATTATCATTATCTGCAATGATGTTATAGTTATCTTAATATTATCAATTATCTAGTATGACATTTATTTCTTGGCGTCCTCTTTTCGTAGCTAGGTCCCAGTCCCACCCCGACAATAGTTTCAATATTTAACATAATAAGTATTCAGCGGGAGGCGTCCTTGAAGAGTTTCTTTCCTATTCGGCTAGCTAGGGCCTGACAGGTGGTTGCGTCTGCGTCCCCCTCAGAGATACTTACACCAGGAGGGGAATAAAAGTAGTCCTCACATGATATCACCAGAAGGAGAGTAAAAAAGTTAAAAGAGGGTCGAACGGATAATCAAATAGCTGAACCTAAATTCAATACACCAGGAGGTGAAGGAGAATAAGATGTAGGTTTTTGTTTTTTACTTCTATCTACTTCTACTCTACTTAATATGAATATCCCCTGGAAACTACCGAGATTCTTCAAGAGTAAGAGTGAACCCACCATAAAGGCGAGCTGCGTTGCTGCTACTTTTTTGGTCCGCGGGTAAAGCGACGAGTTGCTTGGCGGAGTCATCGCCCTTGTCTGTATCAGGTGGGCTGCCAGGTTGTGCCAGAGCGTCGCTCCCAGTGTCTTGCCCTGCACCCTCATCGACGCGCGCTGATCCGCGAGGGCCGGCGCCTGCGCTGGGGTTTGCTTTCGTCTTTGGCGTCTTCACATGCAGTTCACACACGCTTTGAACCTGCTGAAGACCTTCACTTTTCGGAAGGCGAAGGAGCTCACGGCATGCAGAGTGAAAGGCCTCGTCCTGAGGGCTAGTCGTTTTCACTTTTTGGATCAGATTGCGCTGCCCGTCATCTGTTAAAGCGGTCGCAGCAGTAGTCTTGCCCATCACGGAGGCTGCAGAAGTCTTTCCAGAAGGTGCGCCAGAGCCTGTGGCGGGCATTCCAGTCGATGTAGTTCCATGGTGTGCGTTTTTCGTGCCAGCACCAGGTGTGGGTGGAAGCTGCTGTATGGTTTCATCTTCATGCAGCTGTTTGCCATTCGCCGCTGGACTCGAAGGCGGGCCCACTCTCGCTGCAGGTACGCCGCGACCCTCCAACGGGTTGATAAATTGTCTACATTCTTTCATGACCCAAGCAGGAGCATCTCCGCGCTGAAGGAGCTGCTTGCATGCGTGTAGGAGGTCTGCGCCTTTACCGTCTTGGAGCTTTTTTATGAGAGCCGAGGTCGCCTGTGAGGCAAGAGCGACGGAATAGCCGCTGCCGCTGCCTGCAGTCACGATAGGTTCTGCCACGACCTCTGGCGCAGATGGGTGGGGCAGCGCCTCCTCTTCATGCCGCATGGGTGGTTTCCCTGCTTCCGGAGGATTTGGCGCAGTCGCTGGCATTGTACCAGATGCACCCAGTCTGCGATCACCTGGGGCCGGTGTCGGTGGAAGTCGTGCACCCTCAGCGGGTGCTCCCGCTCCGGCTCTGCTCCCTAGGCCATCACCACTCCCCGCGCCACTTACATGCGGCGGCGAGGCCGCTTCTTCTTCATCTTCTGGTGGGGTTTGCTGCCCTTTCTCGCGTGCTGGCTGAGGCTTGCCGACCGTCGTGGCCGCACGTCGAAGACCTGGAGCTGCCAAGGCCGACGCACCCCCTTCACGTCCCACAGCGCTGCTGCCAGGCTCTCCCGCGGAAGGCTGTCCTCGGTCCTCGGCGTCAGCGGTACTTCCTCCTGCTTCCGGGGTTTCTTTTGATTCTCGTGCGCCTGCTCGTGCTTCAGCTTGAGGCACGACATCTCCTCGAGAAGAAGCGGGTGGAAGACCGCTACCCCCCTCTTTCACGCCTGTAGCCTTTTGCGCGGAGGAGTGTTCTAAGGTGCCCCCGTCGCCGGTGGCTATCGAGTCTCCGGACGGCTGCGCCGCGTCTCCATTTGCTGCGCCACTGCCGTCACCACCTGCGGCATGGTCTTTCCTACTGCTATCGCCTGCGGCCTTCGCCTGCTTACTGGCCTCCCTTCTCGCCTTCTCTTCCGCATCCTCCAGAAAGCCTGTAACTTTTGCACTTGCCTCGGAGATAGCTGCTGCCAGCTTCTCTACGTCTGCGGCAGCGTCTCTGAGTATTTTCGTCGGGTCTAGGGTGTCTGCACCTGAGCTCGAGGATGCAGGACTGGATGAGCGGCCCTTTTCTGCGGTATTTTGTAGCGTCTCCTCGATGTCTCCGACGGCCTGTCGAGCAGCCTGGACCTGCTCCTCAAGCTCCTCTGCCGCTGGGCTGTCTTCATCAAGCTGCCTGGCCTCCTCCAACGCTTCAGCCGCCTTTTGATAAGCATCCTCAGCAGAACGCCACTGCTCATCAAAAATTCCCACCAGACCGATAGCAACCTCGGCTCGCGCCGCGGTGTCCGCCGCGACCCGCTGTTCCAACTCCGCTTCCGCCGCTGCAGTCTCTGCAAAGTGGACTGCAGAGGCCGCGGCGTCACGCGTTTCCGCACGGGTGCGCGCCTCCTCTACTTCGACGAGCTCCGCTGCAGTGTTCGCGGCCGTCCGCGCAGCAGCCGCAAGCGTGTGCGCCTGTTTGACAAGCTGTTGCCGCAGGGGTTCTTCGCCGCCGCCTCCCCTCGGCGCTGCCTTTGCGGTCACCTCCTCTGCCTTCCCAGCGCTTTCGGCAGTCGCCTTCGCAGCCAATTGCGCACGCTCGACCAAAAGGCCCACCTGCTCTGCTTCAGCGGCCAGGGTAGATGGTGTCGGACCGGAAGGCGGGCTCCGTCCTGCCTTGGTAGCAGCACCGCTACTGGCATCTCCTTGCCCCTTGTCGTCTGCAACTGCAGACTGCTGAGAAGCCTGCTCACCTCCTTCGCCAGCTGCTTGACGCTCTCCTCGGTTCAGTAGTTGCTCTGCGTGCGCGGTTTCAGTGGCGCCACCAGTGTCCTCCGATGACTGCTCCTCCCCAGTCTCTGCGACGCCATCATCTGCGACGGGCTGCTCCACCTCTCCAACTTTTGCCACCCCAGTTGCCGCCGGCGCCGTCGTGGTCGCGCGGTGCTTTTCCTGTAGGAGAAGTTTTGCGCCTGTTGTCCGGGTCTCTCCGGAGTTTGTTTCGCTACCTCCTGGCCCCCACCTCGCAGAAGCACCCTGGCCCCTCTCCGTGCCTTCGACCGATGCAGGCCCACTCACGCCACCACCGCCAGCAGAATCACCGCCAGCCGCCTTCCCTTGCGCAGTCGCTGGCATTGTACCAGATGCACCCAGTCTGCCATCACCTGGGGCCGGTGTCAGTGGAAGTCGTGCACCCTCAGCGGGTGCTCCCGCTCCGGCTCTAATCCCTAGGCCATCACCACTCCCCGCGCCACTTACATGCGGCGGCGAGGCCGCTTTTTCTCCTGGTTGGGTTTGCTGCCCTTTCTCGCGTGCTGGCTGAGGCTTGCCGACCGTCGTGGCCGCATGTCGAAGACCTGAAGCTGCCAAGACCGGCGCACCCCCTTTACGTCCCACAGTGCTGCTGGCAAGCTCTCCCGCGGAAGGCTGTCCTCGGTCCTCGGCGTCAGCGGTACTCCCTCCTGCTTTCGAGGTTTCTCCTGATTCTTGTGCGCCTGCAGGTGCTGCAGCTTGAGGCACGACACCTTCTGGAGGAGAAGCGGGCGGAAGGCCGCCGCCCTTCTCTTCCCCGCCTTCAGCCTTTTGCGCCGGGGATTGTGCTAAGGTGCCCCCGCCGCCGGTGGCTACTGAGTCTTCAGACGGCTGCGCCGCGTCTCCATTTGCTGCGCCACTGCCGTCACCGCCTGCGGTATGGTATTTCCCACTGCTATCGCCTGCGGCCTTCGCGTGCTTACTGGCCTCCCTTCTCGCCTTCTCTTTCGCATCCTCCAGAAAGCCTGTAATTTTTGCACTTGCCTCAGAGATAGCTGCTGCCAGCTTCTCTACGTCTGCGGCAGCGTCTCTGAGTATTTTCGTCGGGTCTAGGGTGTCTGCAGCTGAGCTCGAGGATGCAGGACTGGATGAGCCGCCCTTTTCTGCGGTATTTTGTAGCGTCTCCTCGATGTCTCCGACGGCCTGTCGAGCAGCCTGGGCCTGCTCCTCAAGCTCCTCTGCCGCTTGGCTGTCTTCATCAAGCGGCCTGGCTTTCTCCAACGCTTCAGCCGCCTTTTGATAAGCATCCTCAGCAGGGCGCCAGTGCTCGTCAAAAATTCCCACTAGACCGATAGCAACCTCGGCTCGAGCCGCGGTGTCCGCCGCAACCCGCTGCTTCAGCTCCGCTTTCGCCGCTGCAGTCTCTGCAAAGTGGACTGCAGAGGCCGCGGCGTCACGCGTTTCCGCACGAGTGCGCGCTTCCTCTACTTCGACGAGCTTCGCTGCAGTGTTCGCGGCCGTCCGCGCAGCATCCGCAAGCGTGTGCGCCTGTTTGACAAGCTGTTGCCGCAGGGGTTCTTCGCCGCCGCCTCCCCTCGGCGCTGCCTTTGCGGTCACCTCCTCTGCCTTCCCAGCGCTTTCAGCAGTCGCCTTCGCAGCCAATTGCGCACGCTCGACCAAAAGGCCCACCTGGTTTGCCGACCGTGCAACTTCGTCCGCCTCCTTTTGCATCTCCACAGCCTCACGCGCTGACCTTTCCGCGGCCTTGGCGGCCTCTTTCGCGTCGGTAAGAAGCGTCTCTGCCCGTGCCTGTGCCTCATGCACTTGTTTAACGTGCGTAACCGCTGCTCCAGTCTGGCGCTCATCAAACTCAAAGGCACCTACCAAAGATGCTGCACCCTTAGCCAGCACCTCTGCTTTCCCCACCTCGTCGCGAGCTAAGGCAGCCGAATTCGCAGCCTGTTTCGCAGACTGCTCAACAGCACGCGCAGCATTTTGCAGCCCCTCCTGGAGTCTCTGACCGACATTCATACCAGACACTTTTCCAGCAGCTTCTACCACTTCCTTCTCCGATTTGCCTGCACCCACAGCTTGCGTCCCAGCTGCTTCTGCAGCCGCTTTGGTCGCTTGAAGAGCAGCGGAGCACGTATCCTGGAACGCCTTCAGCGTGGCAGCCATGACTCTCGCGAAAATGTCGCTGAACTTCGCAACAAGTCCTGTAGCCATCGTCACCAAGCGCCGCTCTGCATCAGTTGCGGACTGCTGAAGAATCGCGCTGGCCGTCGAAATCTGCTCAGAAGCAGATGAAGGTGTGGCCACATCTTCCGCAGGGCTATCTATTGGGAGCGCGAAAGCGTCGACTCTTGCGCAAGCAAGACCCAGCAACACCTTTGCGGAGGTATCTGTGAATCTGGGGGACTGCTGCTCTGTGCTGCTCTGCTCAAAGGCGCCCAATACCTTCCGAAAATCTGCGCCCAACTCAGCATCTGCGTCGCCCTTTTCGTCTTGAATCCTGGCTGCCACGTCTTCAGCAGCCGCGGCCCCCACGATGGTAGGCGCTGCACCAAGACCGGCTGCCCACACACTAGATACGAAGCTCGCCGCCTGCCTGGTCTGTTCTTGTGCGGTGCTTGCGTGCTCTTCAATTTTTTCCACAGCCACTCGCGCTCGGGCGCAAGCCAGTAACGCTATGGCCTTCCTAGAGTGAAAGTTTACCTCCGTCGCGGCTGCTCCAGCGGCGTCACAAGCAGCGAAGAGAACGCTTGCTCTGCTCACGCCAAAGATCGGCCCTGATGCGTCGTCACCCTCTCCAGATTTTTCCGACGGCCTGGCGGCTTGCTTCAGTGCCGTAGCCTCTTCGTTTAGACGTTCCAGCGCCTCTGCGGCCTTCTCTCGCTCGCCCTGTGCGTTCGTGTGCGCAGTCGCCGCAGCCCTGGCGCCTCCCTTCTCTGGCTCTGCGTGTCCTCCCAGAACGTCCATCGCCTTTGCCTGTACCTTGGACGAGAGCTCCTCGTCTGTTTCTTTTTTCACAATGGTCGCGAACCGCAACAGCGCGTCAAGCAAGCTCTGCAATGCATCCTCAGCCATAGTCTGACTGCCGATCGTCTCCCGCCAGCAGGCTGCCGCTGCGCTGGCAGCGGACATTCCTGCAGCGCGTGCACCTTCAGCAAGAGCAGAAGAAGGCGCCTCCGGTAAACTAGTGGGTGCGCTCGTTCCCTGGTTTGTTGTAGCAGGGTTGGAGCCTGCTGTAGCAACATCAAGGGCCACTGCAGCAGCTTTGCTTGCCTCTGCTGCGGTAGCCGTCGCTGCCATAGTCGCTTTGGTCTGCGCTTGATTCGCTTGATCCATTGCCTCCTGCTGTGCTTTTGCCGCGTTGTCGCCGCCCAGGCCTATTGTCGCAAGCGTTCTCACCACCTTCGTTGCCGCCGTCGCCAGCTTCTGAGTCACAAACGACGACAGCTGCGCACGGATGGCATCCCGCAGCGCGCCTGCGCTGGTGCCCGCAAGTTTCGCAGAGAGTGCTTTCTCAATGGCTTCTTTCTTCGCTGCCTCCGCGGCAACGCATCTGGGCCTCACGGCGGTCAAGCTGGTGTCCTTTTGGATCGCATCCGCGTTCGCCATCGCGTGGGCTGCCGCAGCGGCGGCGCCGCTAGCCTCCTTGGCCGCGGCAGTGGCTTGTCGTTCTAGTTGTTGCCGCAGTTTCTCCACCCCGTCGGAGCTGTTCTTCAGCACGTCACTCGCATGCCGCATAGCCTCTTCAGCGTTTGTTATAGCGAGCGAGGCAGAGTCCGCGTCTTCCTTAGCAGCTTGCGCCGCGTCTCTCGCTGCTTTCGCATCTGCCTGGATTTCTTTCGAGAGTGCCTCGGCTGCAGCGCCTTGCAGTGCAGTCATGGTTTCTCTCGCCTGCCTAGAAGCCTCTTCCCATGCAGCAGCCGCAGCGCCCTCAGCTACCTCCGCACTCATCGCGAGCTCACTCTCATCTAGTTTTTCACTTAGAGCGGCTCTGTCTACTACTTCACGCGAGGACCCTGCAACAGCCTCAGCGCCGCCAGCCGGGTTAGTGAACAACCGCTCGTCACGTAGCAGCGCCGGAGTGTCTCCTCCAGCAATACTGTACGCGCGGGCAGAACGGTAGGTCTCTTCTGCGGTCACCAGAGTGCGCCTCCCCTTCTCAGCCTCAGTCTTTGCCTCTTTTACAAGTGGGCCCGCCACATTCATTCTGCCTACGTCAGAGCCAGCTGCCCTCTTCAGAGCCATCTCCGCCTCCACTCCAAATGTCTCGGCCCCCTCAATTTCAGACTGCGCCTTTGCGATGAGTGCAGCAGCCCGCGCCTTTGTTGCAGAAAAGACTGCACTTGAGAGGCCAGCTTCTGCGCCGGCCTCAGCCTCCCTCCCTTCCGCTGCCGCATTCCGCCCAGCTTCGGCGTCTGCCTCCTCAACAGCCTGACTTTAGAGGCTCGCCCAGTGAGTAGCTTATACATAAGTGTCTGTAATAGAGTTGCGCCCCCTTCTTGCTTCATTATTCTTATCGGCGCAAAGTTTTCCGATTTAAAAACATTTACGCGCCCGGTAAGAGAGACGCGGCGCCAGCTCTAGAGGGCCGACTTCTAAGAAATTCAAGAGCTTGGGACTGGCCAGCAGTGAAAATAACAAATAAACAAACCCCCGTCACGTGAATTCTCTAAGGGTGTTGCGATTTCTTTTAGCCTTAACGCCCAGCCTTTTCTATTGAGCGCGCGGCCCTCTGTTGCGCAATGTTCGCCCCTGCCGCAGCTTTCTCTGCTGCATCTTTTTCATCACGCGCTACCCGTTGCCACTCCACCACTTCCTCGCCTGCCTTACCGCTGTCCGAGACAAAGGGCCCAGATGGCTCTGCAGACGTAGCTGTAGCCTCAGTGGCATCTTTACGCAGCTCCCCCACCTTTTCGGCCATCTTTTTCGCGGTTGCCTCCACCTCTTTCGCCATTTTCGCCACGTCTTCGAGCCTTAGAGCTACGCGATAAAGCCCATCCTGAGGCCGAGGGAGCGCGAAGCCCTTGCAGCTCAGTGACAGACAAGAAGCAAACCAAGATAGCGGCCGTCTTGGTTCGCGCCCTGATAGAATGTAGCCCCATCATACAGCTGCAATAAGATGGGGGTCTAAGTAAGATGTGTGAGCGGAATGAGGCTACTCGAGTAGCCGCTCCGTGGCGGTAGCGGAAAAAAGTGCACTCATCTCAGGAGAATCCTGAATAGCCATAACGAAGCTCTACTTTGTGCAGCGTCTGCCAGCTGCGCTGCCCTGGTGGCCGTGGCGCTACTTCGCCTTGCCATCTCCAAAGATTTCCGCGCCTCGCTCTTGCGTCCCTTCGCATTCTTGACAAGTTCGAGCGCCTCTGCTGCGAGGCGTGCGCTGATCATTTCGGAAGAGGCACCGCCATCGACATTTGCGCCGTCTTCCCATACCACAGCAGCTGCACCAAGCTGGCCACTGCTACTGGAAGCCGCCTCTACATCCCTTTCGAAAAGTGTGCCAATTTAGACGAAAGGCCGCCGATCTCTATTGTCGTTCTCAGTAGTTGCCTGGCCTAAGTTATCGACCCGCTGGCACTAGTCCAATTTGGGTCGGGTTCATTACGGGGGGCTAAGAAGGCATAAAGGCTATAACATCGAGCAGCCTCCTATCAGCGAGGCGGTAGAATTATTCCCAGAGAGCCACCCGGAGACAATTTTGGCACAACGCTGCGCACCCATGTGTTGCGAGATTTTGTCCGCGCAACCTCTGCCGCCCCTTTACATATTGTTATACAAGCTGAAGACGCTAGTGTTAGTGAAAGCGATGACGCTACTGGTACAACCTTAAGTCAGGTGGGCAACAGCCTGCTCGACATTTCGACGCCGTTCCTGAATCTGTGACGCCACGACCGCCGGAAGCCTCTCCTCTCTCGCTTCCTCCAAGGCTTTGGCAAGTGCTTCCAGAGCCGACTGCGGCGCTGCGAAAGCAGCGACGGCTCTCCGCGCCACTTCTTCTGCCCCTATCGCTCTGCCCTCTTCTTCCATCGACATCCGAAGCTCCTCAGAGACGAACTGCTCCGCTGCCGCAGCCTCATCTGCCTCCGCCTTTGCTGCTTCTTCTTGTGATTCCAACTCTGCCTCCCTCGCCTCCGTTTTATCCCAGACCCCTTGCTCTTCTAGTTGTTTGATCTTCTTGTCAGCAGCCTTTGCGGCTGCTTCTGCCTTCGTGCTGGCATCAGAGGTGACCCGCTTTGCTTTTCCTAAGACCTCGCCCAGCGCCATATATGTTAGACCAGCACACCCAAACAGAAGGCGGGGCGCGTAAGTAGCCTCTATCTTTTTAGTCACCACATGACTTTCAGCAACAGAAAAAATAAAGAGGCCCCCCACGCTTCAAGCCTCTACCTGTTGCAAGCGTGACGCAGAGACAGGCCACCCATCCAGCTGCCCGAATACCTAACCAGCAAGCAAAGCGCCCGCCCAAACTCTTCACACGACTTTAAAGCGAGGAGCACTGAGCAACGCCAAATCCAACCCAACTTTCGAGGGAAGAAATAGAGACGCAACCCCCCCCCCACAACATACAAGCAAAAGGCCCCTCAAAGCTAGTGGGAGTGCCTGCTTTTTCCTAAGCTGAGCAACTTACACAGCTTAACACACATGCCCCCGAGTGTCATGCTACCAGCATTGGCTTTCAGAATGATTACAAGTAAAAAGCCTACCCCTAGCCCTACACCAAATCAGACCAAGCAGAAAGCTTTCCGAACTCTCTAGAAGATATGAGAAAAGCATCCAAAATAAGAACGGACACAGCTAAGCCGAGTGAAGGATACATCGATCGGGCTCAGATGCTGTCTATCTTAATCCTTTCCCGCGAGAGCTATCTTCCAAAAGCTTCGCAAGCGCTCCCTCTTCGCGCTCAGTTCTCTCCGCGTTGGACCCGGCAGCCTCTCTGTCGCTCACGGCTTTTTCGTGGGCTCGAGTCGCTGTTTTGCGGAGCTCTTCGACCCTTGCCGCGGTTTCTTCTGCAAGGCGTTTCCGCCTAGCCTCCTCCGCCGGGTCATGCATTATGAACTGCCCCGTTTCCTGATCAACACCGAAGGCCGGGCGCACAGTGAGGGCGCCTCTCTTCTGCACGTACTTCCGGGGCGGCACATTAGATGACGTCTACCTAAAAGGCCCCGCCTAAAAAATGACGGAAAATGGTGGTCGTTGGTGTCGTTCCAAAGTTCGGGTCAAGTGACTCCTTGACTAGTGGACAAAGAGCCAAAGGCCATTCTTCAATGGCCACCCATCTAATGACTATTGAATGGCCTTTGAATGGCCATTGTGCGTCTATGAATTGCAAGGCGGTTGAGTCTTTTAGGAGACCCACTAACCAAGAGGCTACCCCGAAGACTGGGACCTACAACGCCATCGGCCTGCTATCGCGCACTACTGTAGATGAATAGTGCACAGACGAAGAGTAGTCGTCTACTCTTGGTAAAAAGCTTAGCGTAGCCCTTGCAGTTGCCCGCTTATACTATCTACCCGCGCAGCTGCTGCAGCAGCATACTAAAATAAAGTAAGTTAAGTGATCAGCTAAGCAGGCTCCCGCACTCAGCTACCACACCAAGCGCACCCACCCCATCACACCGCAAGCACCTGCGCAAAGACAAGGCTGAATCTTGAGCCTACAAGGATTCACTGCTGAACCTTCATCCCATAGGACATGCATAGACCGCTAATAAATGTCCCTGAGGTTTCTACGGTGTTGTGGAACGAAAATCAAAATAGCACAAGGCACGCAGGCTGATTAAGACGCCCTTCAGCTCTCGCCTCGTCAGTCAGTGCCAAAGGCAATCACGGCTCAAAACATTGAAAACTACGACGCGAATCAGGGCCCCAGCCCAGCATCATGGGAAGGCCCGCGCGCGTAAATACAAAGAGAAACAGTGAAAAGCGGTAGCTGTTTCCGCTTGGACATTTTAACGCCCGCCGCGGGTCATGTGGCTGGCGCACTAGCTGGAAGCGAGGCGCCTTTGATTATTCTTGCAACTGGAAGCGAGATTTCTCGATGCACGCAGGCGACCCCCCTAAGGCTAAGCGCATGCATAAGCAGCAGGGGCTACTAGACTTATGGTTATGCGACTATAATACAGTCACAAAATAGATGGGCAATCTGTAGTAACTGCATTAGCCCTCTACCCTTATAGCAGTCACGCATATAATACCTGGCGCCATAAGCAGAGGGCTTGCATATATGTAATGCTCTGCATATATGTCGCGCTCTCCCTTTCGCTCTCGGTCGTTGCCCAAGGGTTAAAGCGTGCGAGAGATCATCCTAACCCCCCACGTCGATCTTGGTGCCCTACGT